CGGATTTCCGTCGGCAGGCTTGGCCGAAGTCACTTGCGCAGTACAGGGGAAATTGAAATCTGTTTGGTTTTTATCAGCTACTTCTCTCTCTCTCTCTCTCTCTCTCTCTCTCTCTCCCTCTCTCTCTCTTTCTCTTACTTCTTCGGGCAAAAATCTTCTGTTCACTATGCTTGGGGTCAAATGTCTTGTCTTGAGTATAACTTGGGTTCAGCGGTCCAAACTTGCGATCGGCTTGCGAATCCATTGTCGCACGGCGTCGAAAGTGCCAATTGTGGGTCCTTAGACTTGGTTTAGTATGGTGTAGGACTCCCTCTCGACTCCTCGAACGTATCCAGTCTGCGCATCCATAACGGTTCTTCAAGGCCACGCATCACTTTGATTGCAGACTGACTTCGAACTGACTCGAATCCCTGAAAATCAGGTGACACTCAGGGTCATCTTCTGAAATCCTGGGAATTCTGAGGAATCTTGGGGAACTGGGGGATTCTTGGGTGTTGGCTTGGGAAACACTTAAGTTCAGTATGGAGAGTCTGGATTCTTGATCCAAACCCAGGGAATCATCTTGGAACTCTGGGTCACCTGTACTCAGGGAGGTGAACTCTGGGTTTCCGTGCAGCACTCTGGGTAACAAATCTGCTACATTGCAGGCCTGCGGGCATCTCCACAAAGCAAAGCTTTTAGCGGGTTTAGCGGCCTCCTGCGCATGATCATGGTGGTAGTGGGTTGATTATCAGGGTAATTTGACCCTCTGGGGCACTCTGAGCCACAGCAAGATGAGGTGTACTCTGGGATACATTCTCCAGAGACACTTTCCAGCAGACTTTAGGCACTCATCGTAAGGGAGAGTCCGCGGCTGGACTGAGTGTTCTCTAAAATCCTGGGCGTGCACTCCCAGGATTCACACTTCCAGCCAGTTGGGCCCATCTGCAGTCAGGCGCTGGATTCATCCCGAGAAATCACTTCTCTCCCACAGTCGCCATCCATGTCACACGGGTACAGCCGCGCCGTATCCAAGTCATCCACCAATCAGCATCCGATACAAACTCCAAGTCATCAGGTGACGGCACATCGTCGGCAATTTTTTGGGGACCGCCTCGTGTCAGTGAGCCAGTCATCGTAAGGTCGTCCACATAGACGCACACGATCAGTGTGTGTGTGACTCCTTCAGCCTCCCACCTTTTCAGATACAAGCAATGTTCTTTCTTGCATCTGGAAAAGCCTAAATCTTTTGGAAAGCGATTTACTACTTCGTACCAAACTATGGGGGCCTGTTTCAGGCCGTACAGACGTTTCTCAAGCTTACAGACAAGCTCGGATCCATCCCGGAATCCCATTGGCTGTCTCACATAGATGCTGTCACTTAGAGTACACCATTTAGGAACGCAGTAGAAACGTCCATTTAATGGAGGTGTAGATCTAAAACTGTAGATAGTGCGAGCAAAAGCCGCAGGGACTCATACCGGGCTACAGGGGCAAATACTCCCTTGTAGTCAATGCCGTACAGCTGGGTGTCCCCTTGGACTACCAACCGTGCTTTAAATCGGTCAACTGTACCATCAGAATGGTGCTTTACGTCGAACACCCAGTGACAACCGAGTGCTCGTCGCCCTTCTGGTAGAGGCACTAACTTCCATGTGCCGTTCTTTAGTAGGGCCTCAAACTCTGTCTTTATTGCGCACTCCCACGGCGCGGCATATTCGCTATCCCGCGCCTTCTTAATAGATCGCGGAAAAGGGAATGGGTTTCTTACCAGTTGTCACATTATTTAACTGGTGACATAATCTGTCAGTCTGACGGTACGCTTTTGAGGTGAGGCGGGTGAACGCCTTTATCGTCCAGGGTGTATAGTTACGCGCCCAGGGGTTGAGCGAGTCTAAAAGGAAAACCCAACTGGGGGTCAGTCTCCAATTGGAATACAAGTATCCCGACCGGAGTTGGCGTGTGACCTTGTGTAATCCCTTTCGGTAGCGTTTATCTTCGGTAGGTCCGGAGTTCACCACGTGAGCTGCTTTCACAATATCAATCAGATACAGAATAATACAAATCAACCACGTTCGTTCCCAAACGGAGTCAGTACGGTTGGGGGGGGGGTCAACCTATTAGTGGGGTCGTCCCCAAACACCAATCAATACAAACAGAGAGTTGTACACGATATACAGATATACCCTTGAGCGGTGGGTCTTCGGTCCAGTCAAAAAAGCCTAGTTCAGAACCCTGGCCAGCTCCAAACTCACTGGCTTACTCAAATCTATATCGCGCACCACTCCCGGGGCCGAACACTAGAATTCGTTCCGGAAGACTAACCGATTCACACACAGGTATACAATCCTACCACACAGCAGTCTCACAATCAAGTTCAAGGGGTGACTACTAACAACCTCCCAAACCTCAAGTTAATAATATGAAATGGGTTACCGTTCGGTTCGCCAACTGGAATATGAAACGGCGGATCACTCCTTAGCGCGCGTCGCCGTGGTCCCCACCAATTAGATCTCTAGGTCGCAGTGGAGACTCGCACAACGGGCGTACGCGTGCCCGAGGTGACCTTATCCGCAAGAAACGCGTCGCCGGGCCCGGGGAATGGCTTCTTGAGGCTTGGTCGGCCGACTTGTCACTCACAAGGCAAAACGAACTCTCTGTTGATTTTAGTGCTAGACGATCTCTACTAGCTATCTTTCCACATGCAGGATTCACTTTATCTTGGTTTCACTATGGGTCCGGGTGTCGTAATCATCTTGAGCATCCGGAGACACGCAAGGAATCAGGCGACCCCTCGTGCAAAACAGATCTTAGTCGGTCGCGTTGGTCGGTCGTTAACATCTTGGCCAGACTATACTTGGAGTTTGGAACCTTTCTTGATGGGTGACCACTGGATTTTCCCCTCGCACATTCAAGGACCCATCCGGATCCAAACCAGCTCTCCATCTCGATCCAAATCCAGAATTCCATCCATCCATCCTAAACACTGCTCATCCCGGCGCCTCTGCGTCGTCGCTTGACCTCGATACACGCTCGGTCGGCAACAGCAACCACACACATGCCTTCGGGGGCATCCATGACACACATGATCACTCTGGCGCATGCCAACTACCGAATTCCTCGATGAGCTGTACCCCCATTTTTTCCTCGAAAAGCTGTATCCCCCAATCGGGTTTGTTATACTAAGTGATGGACAGCTTTAGAGGGGATTTCCTCGATGAGCTGTATCCCCAGGCATAATATTAGCCAATGAGCTCGCTTGGCTCTGAATTGCTGGATAGTTTGTGTAACGGGGTAAGAGATACCGTCACTCGGGTACTCTGTAGATAAGAGAAAGCTCGCAATAATAAGCTCAAGTCTTGTCTTTAGGGTAAAATCAGCTCTGTTTATTTATGGGACGGGGGAGGAGGCCCCCTTACACTTGGGAACCATTCAAATCTCAGTTTGCACCTGATTGGATGAAATGGGTCTGGCTCCCCACTTTCAACCAATCAGAACATGACTACAGGTCACACGCTAGCCGTGTCACTGCACCAACTTTTGCGTATGTACCTATGTAACTTCTACCTACTTATGCAATTGGGCCCTTTACAGTTTGCCCCTGAATGACAAGTACGAGCAATTGGCACAAATGGAGGTCAGTCAAAGCCGGAGGAAGTTCGTGATTTGATTTTGATGGCAGAAGCACAGCTTAAGGATGAAGCTGGCGGTGTATTTGGTGCTCGTGGGACTGCTAGTGGTAATGGCAAGTCTGGTAACGTTAGGAGCAGCATGGAAGTTCGGTGAAGAAGGGGATAAAGAAGAAGCAGGACATGTCGCAGATTGAGTGTCATAACTGCCATCAATTTGGGCACATTAGGCGTTTTTGTCCTGTGCTGGAGTCGAAGCCAGCGGCAGTATCCGCTGTGCAAGATGAAAGTGGCAGGCAACGGCAGAATCAACACGGCCAGAATCAGCAGAAGGCTGGAGGTGGAGGTGCAAAGAAGCAGAGTGTGAGTTTCGCGGTGGTACCCGTGCTGACAGCTCCAGTTGTGTCGGAGGTAGACGTTCTACCTGACCGCCAAGAGCTGGAGGATGACTATGACTCTGGTTTGTGGCACTATGATACGGCGTCAAGTACACACATCGTAGGCACGTTGTAGTATTTCGTGGCTTATGAGGAGTTGGATACGGTGATGGATCCGTGTCGTGGGTTTGCACAAAATATGCTGACACATGCAGTCGATGTTGGTGTTGCTGAACTAGTAACGAAGTCAGAAAATGGTGAGATGAAGAAGTTTACTTTGGATCGGGTGTTATAAGTTCCGAGCGCTCGATGGAATTTGTTTTCGGCAGGAATTGTGAGAGACCAGGGTCTCACAGAGGTGCAGGATCCGGGTTCGGGCGCGTACAACGTGTATGACGGTGATAGGTTTCTGTTAGCTGCAACGCTGCAGCCGAACAACGTGTAGAGCTTCCGTAGTTACAACTCGGTTACGGAGGATGGCTCTCGGCAGGCGATGCGCGCTACAGAAGTCGTGAACTTCACGAAGATGGATGGGCTAGCTGATATTCGTGTTTGGCACGCCCGACTTGGGCACACGAATACTCAATACCTACAGTCAATGTCGGACAAGAGCATCGTTGACGTTATGATGCCAAAGAAACGAGAGTTACCCATGTGTGAGACTTGCCAGTTAGCGAAGCCGAAGCGTAAGAATCGCATGAACTCGCCGCATCGTTGGATTAGTGACCCTAACGATTTGACTTTTGTTGATTTGTTGGACCCTATATATATTACGACCCGGATGAACGTTCATCCCAGGGTCCTTTAGGGTCCTCGAGGCGCTTTATTTTAGGCGTTCACGACCCCAATATCATTCCCCAAAATTTGGCGGACCTTGTAGCCATAATCCGGTAAAGAGTCGGACACATCGTCCGACATTTTCTGAAAAACGAGTTTTTGCCCCCTGTGTAAACGTGTGGCGACGATCGCAATTCTCGATTAGCACAGAAGACGTCGGACACAAGTACAACCGCAAATGGAGGGCTACGATTGGGGGCATTTAAAAGACCAGGTCCGCCAGATTCGCGAGAACACAGTCACAGCTCGCTCCCGAACCACCTATCAGAACTCCTACTGTCGCTTTCTCGCGTGGCTTGCCAAGAATAAAGCCGATCTCGTCGCACCGGAGTTTGCAACGCGTCTTGGAGACATTGCCGCGTACTCCCTCCAACAGCTACAGGCGCATATCAAGGAGGTGATCAACCAGAAGCCGCGCATCGACCCTTTCGTCTTCGAGCTCCTGGACGCGGAGGTCTTCGTCACCTGGCTGATCACACTCCAGCGTAAAGACGGCGGTGCACTCAGCTACTCTGTTCTCAACACGCACAGAGCAAGCTTGTTCAACCTGTTTCGGGACTTCGGTCATACCATGAGCAAGACGCTCGAGTCGGAGTTGACCACCTACTTCAAGGGGCTAAAGCACAAGCTAGCTAAGGACGCGTCCATCGGAGCCAGCGAGACCAAGACAGGCAAAGACCCGCTGATGTTTGATTTATACAGCTTTTTGTGTGGCAAAATGCATACTCTTCCTGGCAAGGAGATGGCGTTTTCTCATGCGTACATGGTCATTGCCTGGAATCTCATGCGTCGCTCGTCCAATGCCTTTGGGATCCGACACTCGCATATGGAATGCAGAGGCGATGCACTTCAGATGTACTTCGCGCACATGAAGAACGACCAAGGCGGGGAACGTCCAAGGGATCCTCGGTACATTTACGCAAACCCGCTCCAGCCTTCTATTTGCCCCCATTGTTGCGCTGGGATTATACTGGGCGTCGACATCATTTGATTCAAGCGACCTTCTTTTCCCGGGCAACAATCAGTGCGAGCGGTTTCGGAAGTGCTTTCGGCGTTTGCTAGCTGAGGAAGGTATTGCCGCCGAATTAAAGCGCCAAGGGCTTAATCCTAGAGAGCTGGGTACGCACTCAATGCGGAGAGGTTCCGCTACATTTTGCTCTTCGGGCTCGACGGCATGACCGTCGTCGACCGCGGTTCCAGAGCGGCTAGCGTTGGTAGCCGCGCGCCGTCCTTGGGCTTCCAGCCACACAGGACGCGGGACACCTTTTGGTCGGCTTGGGTTGTACCAAGCATGTACCCGAAGGCCTTATTGACGCGGTCCAGCTGCCAGCCCCCGCGCTGGATAATCCAGTTTTCCGCCAAGGTACCGTCGTTGGCATGCATGGCCCCACCACGTCGAAACGAATGAGAGGTAAGATCTGGCGTCATACGAATGCTTCGCAAATCGGAGAGTTTTTTTTAACTCTAACCAGAAACCTGTTGACGTATGCTTGTGCACCAGGAACTGCCCTCTTTGTCGAAGGTGCTTCAGATTCCTCCATAGAAGGCTGGTCATCATCAACTTCCAGTAGTTCAATCAGTGTAAGCTCCTGTACATCATCAATATCATCTGATCTGTGCTTTTTGGCGATGAACTGAGGGAACATGCGCTGGCTTGGTGCCTTCTGCATAACCAGCGCCACAGCCAAAGCTTGCAGAGGACATGTCAAGAAATTCGTTGGATCCTTGAATAAGGAGATGCCTTGAAGTAAAGCTGTTTTAACCCGCTTAAATCGAAGAAATAAGACGCCGCCTAGCATAAATTCCCTCAGTGTTAAAATAATTCTGCTAAGAACATCGTAATTAATTACTTACCAGGCAAGATGGATAGCTGGCTCTTTTCGACTGTTTCCGCATCCGAGCTTCGACCGTAAAGGTACCACATCATCACGACTAGGGCCGCGTCGAGGTATTCACTCTCCGTCGCAACCGTTGAGTAGAGTAGAGACACCATAGCTTCTAAGTCTTGTTTAGAGCACGGGGGTGCTTTCTTCTCGTCGCCGACCTCCTCTCGGTTGCTACAATACTTACCCAGCCCAGATAGTTTTTTTTTGGAGCTGAGATTTAACTTAAGCTCCTTGCAGTGGGTACTTATCTACTAGCCATTTCTTGACGTTGCCATAGTATGCTAGACACGTATTGGTCGCTCTTACCTTTTCGGCTGATGTGGCTAACGAATATGCATACTTGTCTAGTTTAATACGCAATACCTTACCTGTCTTATCCCCGTCGATGAGCTGGTGGGTGGCTTCGAGTGTCATGCTCTCCGCGGCCAGGAACGTCGTGAACGAGTTGATCGCCGTCGTCCTGGTCTTCTTGCTGTTGGCAGGAGCAAGCGATGCGATCGATATGCTAGCCTGCCTGCTCTTTTCACTCTGAACAAAAAATATGAACCGACCATTCGGGTTGGAAACTGAAGGAAATTTTTTGGATATGCATTTCTATAGACATTTGTATGGCATTAAAAATATTCTGACAAAATTCCAACCAAATATGGTTGGAACGGTTGGAAAAATGCCCTAGTTTAGAGGGGCTTCCGATTGGCCAAAATCCATCGAACTTAAGGCATTCATTGGGTGAAAGTCGTCGAGTACGAGCGGTTTGGGATTACAAAAAAGAGTAGCGGTTGGAACAGAGTGAATATTACTCCATATCGCGGCCGTTCCGACATCCCTACATTTTCCGACAGACAGGATAAAGGCCAAAGCCAGGGCAAAATCGGAAATAGTGTAAGATCGGAAATAACACAATATATACGGTAGATTAGGTCTAGTGGGCGATTTTGGTGCTTCCAGTGGGTGCCTTCCAAAACCTAGTCTAAACGGTTTGATGACCTCTGGTTTAATCTGACGTCTGTGTCGAGGGCTAGGGTGTACGTCTTGATGTCCACTGACGGCTCATTAAACCAACAACCGAAACCTCATAAAACCTAAAGCTCCGTTCGAACTATTTTGACCATTGATCACACTAATATACAATTCAGTATGGGCATCTGTAGGGGAAAACAGGACCGTGGACAAAATTCTAGAAAAGTGTTGAAATATAGAGATATTGCAAGCGCAAAAGCATCTTCGTCCCCCGCATCTTGCAATTACTTCAACCAACGTGGGGGAGGTCCAGCTAGCTCGGCCCACTGTGCGCATGTTAGGTAAACACTCTCGCCTCCGCTTCTCCGTCTCCTCAGAGCACAACAGACTTACACTGATGGTGGATCACGGCCTGCTGCTGCTATTGTGTGCTTCTTCGCAGGCGAACCATCGCCTACGAGCACGATCGCCTCGTGCAGATGCGCCACTACCTCACCGTCAAGGGCCTGCTCAGCCCAGAGCGGTCGTCCTGGATGAAGCTCTGGAACGAGGCAGACGACGGCAATCTGCTCAACGTTACCAGCCTCACCCGGTAAGTACTTAGCACTAGGGGACTAAGTTTCGTATTGGGGCTAACTGTCTGTCGTTGTGCTGGGTATTGTGTCAACGCCATTTCTAGCTCTGCTTTCCTACGATTGCTAGAGCAGTTTACACCATTCTACAACATCACTACCTACAGTCCTAGGGGTGGTCGACCCAAGAAACTCCGGCATCATCACCAGGTGTTGGGGCTACTCATGGCGTTGTACGTGGGGTCTATGGGACAGAAGGCACTCTGTATTATGTTCGGCGTCCCTCCTCCTACTCTCAGCCGCACTTTGAACGCCGCCGAGGACGCCATGGCAGCGGCTCTCACTGGATTCTAAAAACTGTCAGCTTCTTGGATCGAGTGATATCGAAGACCTAAGTACACGTAAGAAAAGCGGCACGACCTGGCTTGGGCAATAATGACACCGTGTGCTGTAGCTGGTGAATCCTTAAATGAAAGCCGTGAAACTGCTCACGTAAACGCAGCTTCCCAGGGTCGTTTGAACTTCAAGTAGCTATTTCCAAATGAAGGTGTTGTCTGTGTCCATAGTGAACCAAAGGTAGTTTTGATACGGTTGCTGCTTTAGGGGTGCACATCAAACTGATCAAACCCTGTTTAATGAACTGTTTGGTGAGACCACTTTTCGGTCTCATCAAACAATTCGATTTAGTCACGTTTTTATCAGTCGGTTTGATGCGCTGTTTGATGCTAGGGATAGGGGGTGATCGAACCGTTTAGACTAGGTTTTGGAAGGCACCCAGTCAGCTTTCATGAGAGGCTCTCAGCCGCGAGGAAATCGCTTCTAGAGGCCTGTAGGCCAAGAAAAACGGTATTTTGTGTATTCATGCATTGCGGCCCCGGGACCAATGTGTGCCGGAGCCGGCAAATTCATTAATGATGCCTGCTCCAGGACAGGGGGCCACAATTAGAAGCAGTCCGACGCCAGCTAACTCATTTGAGGCATCCCATTGGCCAATCTATTAGCCAATAGGGGACATGTATTTAACGATGATCGTTGATTGGTTCTCTCTACAGCCAATAGATACTCGCCTCCTGTCCGAAATTGGTGGCTGCTAGGCATTGTACGTCGCCGACACGCGGCTCAGAGCGTTCAGTCTCCTTTTTATTAGAGCTACTGATCAAGTCTCCTGCACCCCTCCGCGCACACATCCACACCCAAGACAAGACAACTGGCCGGCCGCCCCCCCCCCCTCCCAACACCGTAGCTCAATGGAAGAGCGCAGGGCCTCCACCCTGAGATGCCCGTTCAATTTGGGTCGGTGTTATTGATCACAATGGGCTTTTGCGGTCGTGTCGTGCTGTGCCAAGGGTCTTGCTGCTGCGTCACAGATTGTGCGTCTGCGTTGTGCTTCAAGTTGTTTTGCCCGCACATTGTCGCGCTGTGGTCGTGCCAGGAGTAGCGCCTTCTACGTATATATCGGTGCTGCATTTGGGTGCGCGGTGCTCTAGCTCCTGTGCTAATCTCTGTTCTCTGTAAGGTTTGGGGCACTAGCGACGTTTTGTATGTATACGTCTAATACATGTATTGAATTAGCCGAGACCCGTATTCCAGTGAGCCTACGCGTGCGTTTGTGTCAGGCTCTCTATGATCTCTTCCGCATTAGTTTTGCGTTGAAGCGCGCGGACCTTGGACTTGTGCATATCTTCTTGATATCGCTTAAGAGAAGCGTATTCCCGGTTTGAAATGCCTCCACCGTGCGCTTGATGAAGTATAGCACAACACTCCGCAGTCATCGTGGTTTATCTGTGCCGGGCTTGTTCGGACTCCTCTCACGACGAACGCTGGTGCTGCGTTGTCAGGATATTTAGTTCGCAGCTCCGCGTCGAAATATCCACCGACAACTTTTTTAATCGCTTCGATGCTGGAGATTCCTTTCGAGTCTACATGCACAAGGCATCTCCTCAGATTGCGTAGTGCCTACAGGGTTTTGCACAATGGCAAACGTCCAGTGATTGCTCATGCATATAGGTAAAATCACGTGATCGTACTTCTCGTACGGAAATGTTGCGGTGATACCGCAACAGCGCTCGTGCGCAAGTCCAATTTTTCGCTCCACTTGAACGAACTCGCTGTAGATGTGTCCAAATACGTATGCATCCATGCCAAACGCTCGGCCGTGTTGCGGGAGGTGCACTCGGATGTAATAGGACATAATCACATCGTTCAGCCAATTTTGGTCTTTAATTGTCCGGACATCTTCCGCTGTCACCAGTAAACGCATGCTGGTTTTGCCCACAACAAAGCACGGGGTTTGTGCTTCACACACAATCTCGGACTGCGATATATCCCACACATCTCCAAAATCAAATGGAACGCTGGCCTTCTCACTGTCATCATTCAACAGTGATATGACCTCCGGCGACTTGGTTTTTTCGGTCAAAGTCGACTTGGCTGGTGGCTGGTTTTTTTCGGCCAAAGTCGACTTGGCTGGAGGCTGGGGGAGTTCGGCTAAAGTCGATAGTTGACGCTTGTGTCTCTTGTTGGGGGGTTCATTCACATTTGGCGCTGCCGTGCCGGTATTCTGGAGTCGTCGTGAGATGAACGTGCTTAGATTGTGGCGGCCTATAAACCGGGTAGTCCAAGAACTCTGAGCCGCGGGTTTGCGCTCCCCAAAGCCAGGTATTGTCGACGCAGCATCCGCGACAACATCATCTCTGCACACCACCTGACCGTTTGCCACTTTTGCCTTGATTCGCTCAACAATACCAGCCTCGTATTGAAGCGTCGGAGGGGCCATGCCTGGTGGCGCTGCCCGCTTTGCCGATGGATCGGCCTGGGACTAGAATAACTTGTGCTTGTTAGTCATCCAACCCAGCAAGGTTGTCCGAGCCACACCATGACGACGACCCCCCTCGGTAGCGTCCCATCCATTTCGCTCGCATGCGAGCAGGATCTCGGTCTTCTCCGCATTCGTCCGCTGATCTGAGCTCGACATCTTGGCAAGAATCGATGTGTCGCGTTTCGGACAAACTCGACATGTACCTTACATTTCATTGGATGACATTTCTTAAATCCTATTGGTCAGAATGCATAATATACTAATTACGACCCATAAATGATTGTTTGAGAAGCATGCTGTTTAGTCATTCTACTTTTTGACAGCTGCCGCTCATCGGTGGCTCGCGAGTGTCGCTTACTCCCATTAACAGCAGTTTCGGGTTTACTCGACTGTGGGCGATTTTGGGTTTACTCGACGGTGCGTGATTTCGGGTTTACTCTACTGTGGGCGATTTTGGGTATTCTCGACGGTGCGTGATTTCGGGTTTACTCGACTGTGTATGCTCGGCGGTTTGCGACTTCGGGAATTCCCGATACTATGCCGGTCAGGCTTGACGAGCCAAAGCTAATATGTCCTGTGTGTCTGCAGGAGCAGGGTCTTGAATTCGGCTTGTAGCGAGGAGACGTTTGTGGGCTGCGATGCGTTTGTCCAAGACGCTGCACTTGTGCAGGGAACGCAGCGCGCGCAAAACACTGCCAGCGCCCTTCGCGTTAATGTTCCGCGACTTTAGGAAGTCCAACACGGCATCTTCAGCACGGCGACCGGCGTCCAAGACCTGATCTTTGTAGTCTGTAACCGTGGGGTCAAGCGTAAAGCCGTCTTCGAGGAACAGCTTCATGAAGGCAACGACGTGGCGTGATTCGGACTTCTTTTGGCGGTCAGAGCAGTCCCAGACGCGAGGAACACGGGTGTACCACTCGTACCATGCAGCGTAACTTGCTTCTTCCTCCGTTTTGGCTTGGGCTCCTTTGCTTGGTCTTCTTTAGCGGGTCTACGCGGCTCCTTAGCTTTCATCTGAGCCGCCTCGACAATCGTCAACCGCGCAGCTAGGGCCTTGTTTGAGGCAATAAGCTCATGAATGACAGCTAGAAGGTGATCGATGCTTGGGCAGTGGTGTTGGCTTGCATCTTGTGTTTGGGTTTGTTCTTGAGCAGGCGGAGCGGCTTCGCTGTCCTGCGCGACTGACCACGCAAGCATGTCGCCGATCGGGATGTCTGCAGCACGCAAGCTCTCTTCCACGCGCGTGACAATGGGGGCCGCGGGTGAGAGCTCCTTGAGCTGCGGGTAGTAATGGACCAGGTACGCAGTGAGGACACTGATGACCTTGGTGCTTACATTTAGACGTTGTTGCTTGAGACCTGTACAGGAATTGAATAGGAAGCCCTGCAATCGGCCGAGGCGTTCTTGACTGGCGTGATCAAGCGTCGCGACGTCGATGACCGCTGGAACGTCGTCTGCCGCCCACCCACTCAAGACCCGGGCCACCTTCCTGTCCTCGCGTGCCGTGTTAGTGATGTAGGCGAAGGCCTTCTTCGCCTTGGTCATATCCCAAGCACCGCGATCGAGGATCCACTGGGCGGCGAGGCGGTCATCCCCGTTCGCATGCTGAGCCCCGCCACGCCGGAAGGAGTGCGAGGTCAGGTCAGGGGTGGCTCCTGCCGGCTCGGCGACGCGCTTGAGCATCCTGTTCACGTACGCCTGCACGCTGTCTTCGCCGCGCTTGACCTCACCGGTGCGTGCCTCGGTTGGGGCTGGTGTTGATGTTTCTTGTGTGTCCGGGCAGATTTGCGGCGGTGGAACAGAGGATACGTTGCTGGCCGCGAGCATTGAAGGCAGGGACGACCACAGCGACGTCGAGCGAAGCAGGCTCGGCTTCCAGCAGCTCCAGCAGCGGCACACCTTCGTCAAGTGGCACGGCGACCTCCGCTACGAGATCGGGTAACTGGGACAGGAGTGCCGCGCATGGCGCGTCCTGCGTCGCTAGCGCTATGGCCAGAGCGTGCAAGGGACACGTCAAAAAGTCGCTCTTGTCCGGGATCAAGGTAAGACCCTGTTCTTCTGATGTCTTGACACGTAGCAGCCGCAGGTAGAAGGTGCCGTCTGCCGATACAGACACGTGCTGTTTTTGGATGTAGCCTAGGTCCGAAGATCGGCCAAAGCAGTGCCACATAAGCACGCGAGTGCTGAGTCTTGGTAGTCGGCGTGCACGCGTGCTGTGCTGTACACGTAACGGACTAAAGACTGTAAATCCTCCTTAGTACAAGGTGGAGCCTTATTAATCAAGCTACCTTTTTCGCGTTTCATGCAATGTTTATCTAAAGTCTTCCCTTGCTTTAGCAAGATGAACTCAGTAGGTACTCGCAAGTGTGGATACTTGTCAAATAGCTACAACTTGACATTTCTATGATACGCTATTGCCGTGTGTCGCGAGTCGCTTTGTTGGACCGGTTTGGGGCCGACCGACGCTGTATTGGAGTAGTAAGTGCTGCCTGTGCTTATAGGTTTATGGGGCACAAATAGCAAGGAGATCACTAAGCAAAATGCAATAAGTGTTCCTTACGACCTGTGTGGTCCTTTTAAGCAAAAATCACGACTGACCTTCCTTCTACTCCTAACTCTTTCTCTCTACCTCTGCAGATCCTTGCGTTTCAGTGCCTTCGGGTGACTCCGTTCCCGCTCACCCCTCCCAAAGACTTGATCCGTTCACCTTGACGGCCCTCAAAGCCGCCCAACATGCCATCCGTCCCCGAAGTCCCGCCACGACACTGCGAGGCACATCATCCCTCCAAGATACCTCTGGGTAGCGGCCCACGGGTCTCCACCTTCAAGACAACCCGGCCCACGGCCCACTACTTCTCGCCCGCGGCCACAGCAGGTGGACGCCCTCAGGCACTCATCGTCGCCCACGCAGAGTTGGAACGGTCCGAGCCGTTCCGACTCGGGACATCCTCCCCGACTGCATCTCGGCGTCCTCGCCGAGTGCACGCAGCTTGATCTACTTCTCTCCTTGCTTGCCAGGCCCTCCGTCCGGCCTGCAATCCACTGCGCGTCCGCACCCGCACTCTCGGCGCATTGCTCCCACCGTCCATCCTCCAGAATGCCTCACTTAGACGCTCAGCCTGCTCCTGCTCCTCGAGAGCCGCGCACCACACAGCGTTGCCCTCCGTGGCCATGGTCAGCGACGAACGCTCGCCTGCCGACGCCTCGTACAACCTCCACAGCTTGCTGTTTATGCATACCAGCGCAACCAGTAGTTAGTCACTATTGCCTGCTCGCCCTCCTCGGAGGCGAACCAGCAATCGAAGACCACGACTACGGCGAACACGCCGGCCACACCCTGGCAGATCCACTCGAAGACTTCGTAGATGAACAGCGGGGCGTAGAACGCCGAGAACAGGATCAGGGACGTCAGCGTCCATACCACCTTGGCGACAAGCTTGGCACGGGCGACCGAACGGCCAGACTCCAGACTCGCGTCCGTGCAGAACTTGGAGCACGCCTTCCGTCCCGACGCCCAAGTCTCAGGCAAGAAGACGCACCACAACTCGTGAAGGGCGTCAAGCCACTTGTAGAGCAACCTCCCCAGCCCGTCTTCGTGCTCGCCCTTGGACTCCAGCATGTGGTGAAGCACCGAATAAGATTTTCCAACTGCGATGACATCAAGCGACATGGTGGCAGAACGATAGGCAAGGATCAGGCTGCGGTCACGGATCAAGAGGGTCTATCGAGAGATCTCAAGCGATTGGATAACGTCGACGCGTAAGGCAACACATATGTCAAGACAGATTACGGGCGATCGCGCTTGGACTGCGGCGTGATTCGACGTAGACCCAAGCCCGGATCGACGACTAATCTCGCAGATCTAGGGCGGCCGAGGACAGAAGAGGACGGATCGGCAGTGCACGGCAACTCGCACAGGTCATCGATCGGGAGTTGATCGCCGATCGGGGTCGATCGTGGATCGGGAGCCAATCGTGGATCGCCGATCGACCCGGATGGGAAGCACATGGGGGCGAAGCCAGGGGAAGAATCCAGTAATCGTTTGGTTGTAGGATGGTAAGCAAGATGGTAGCAGTAGGGAGAGACCAGCTAAACATAAATCAGAGTCGAATTTGCACCGTGGAGCGCAAGTGGTCTGGAATCTCGAGGAGGAAGAGCATATTGGCCTCGATCGACTTGCGTTGTGGAGAACAGATTTGACTCCACACGTGATCCAAGACCACCAAGCCCCGGCAAGTCGCTCTCGAGCAGAATTTGCACCAAAGACCACAAGTCCCCTCAAGTCACCAAGTCCCAGGAACTACATTGGCCTCGGCAGCGTCGACACTTTGGATAGTGAACTAGCGGTACGGTTAAGACTGGATTAATACATTGGCCAGTTTGACCTACTCTAGTGATCTATCTTTTGTGTGCAAGTCTTCGATCGACCGGATATTAAGTGCTTGACCGGCGATCGTTTCTCCTCTCGATCAACCTCGATCCCGCTATAGGAAGCGGCAAGCAACTCAGGAAAGGAAGGAGCACACCCGAAAAGGCAACTACAGGCCTTGGATCAACTACAGGCCGACCGATCGAAGCGAAGAACCCTCGATCGGGGCGTATACTCGGACGCAGAGCGAAGACTACCGCGCTGCTCCACAAATTATCCCCGCGTCACGCTAAGACACTCGATCTTCACCAAGTGCTGCATCTTCGGAGCCCCGAGAGAGCAGATCCAGCCCGCCGACGGGTACACAAGGTGAGAACAAGTTCCGCCGATCACGGATCGTTGGGGGACCTCCTCCGTTAGTCGGTGTCTGGGCGCTGGTGGGAAGCTTGATCAGGCCTTAACCAAATTTTGGCCGATCCCGCTACACAACAATGGTGCGCGTGCCCGGATCTCTTGGGGACTCCGGATTGCACCGTGAGCCCGTAGAAGATGCGCAAGTGAAGAAAGAACCAGGGGAAGAGGCGTCGTCGGATATCGGATCGACGAAGACGCTGCTGAACAAAGCGAGATCCGCGGATCGACAGAGTGCTCGGAGGACTTCTGTCGACGGAATCGAGGGCGATCTGGAGACAGATCTAGAAGACAAACCTCAACATCCACCCCAGGTCCCTTCGGGGACCCCGGTGGATCTTGGTGCGAACCGAGATTCACTAACAAAACAAACTAAGGCGGGATCGGACCGATACGCGTTCGCTGACTCGCCGATCAGGCTCGATCCGAGCTACCTGGACGCGATCGCGGACAAGGACCAGATCGTGAGGAAGAAGCTGAGAGCGCCAGGCTTGGACGACGAAGATCCCAGACCGTCGGCGCTCGACTGGTCTGAGGCTGACCTGGATCGTCAGTATCACTTGAAGGAACTGCGAGACTTCTTGCGTCAAGATCCTGTCATGGTGATCGTGCGGCCAGAGCAGATCGACGACCCGAAGGGCCCGATTTCGCCCCCCCGAGTGACGGATAACAAGCTGATGGCGGTGAAGAACCTGCTCGGGCTGTTGAAGGAAGCCGGCTTCGTGGCTGGCACCTTTGATGCGAACGATCTTTTCGATCAAGATCTCGATGTGACACGGAGCCAGCGTCAGGAACGTATGCGATCAGGACCTCGGAAGCAGAAACCCAAATCGACCGATCGGACCACCAGTGCAACCGGATCAGATGAGTCGAATGGCAGACTGGAGTCTTACTTTCAGGCTGCGATGGCCCGATTTCTGAAGGAACAACAGGCCACGGTGGTAACACCTACTCCAGCGGTCGACGACGACGTTGGATCGCGGGACGTCGAGATGGAGTCAGCCGGATCACCGGATCATGATCTCTCTCAGTGGGAATACGATCCGGACGACATCGATCTACCGAGTTCAGCCCCTGCTGCGGTGGCCACCGCTGCCTCGGGACTCACTGGGTCCTCATTGATCCAGCGTGTGCGAATTTCGGCGATGTCCGATCTTAAGGAGTTCAGTGGCAAGGATCAGGACGAAGACCGCGCCCGATCGTGGATCAGCAAGGTGAAGTCGGCGTTCCTGCGAGATCAGGCTACGGAAGAAGAGAAGTGCCTGACCTTCGCTGATCTACTGGCGGGCCCGGCGAAGAACTGGTACCGCCAGCTGGGCCGATCGACGCGGAACAAGTGGAGCGATCTACTCCGGAATTTCCAGATCCAGTATTGTGGCCTGGGAGTATCAGTCGCCTGGCAGTATTACCATTCTCGCAAGAGATATGATGAATCGCCGTTGGAGTACCTCAATCGACTGAATGTGGCGGCTCTGCGTGCGAGATTGAAGATCAAGGACGGAGATTCCAAGGCCCGCCGAGAACATGCCGAACACTTTATCGAGACGCTGGGCGATCCGGAACTGGCCGATCGGCTCACCTTACTCCGGCTTGCGGACGCAGAAGATCTGGAGGAAGTCCTGCGCGCTCGAGAGCGCGCGAAGAGCAGACAGAAGCGATCTGCCTTTGGATCGAAGTATCGTCAGAAGGTTCCGACGTCAGCACCAGCTGCTGCAACCAAACGGGCAGTGCGTGCAGTTCAGATCGCGAGCCAGGAGTCTGGATCGGACACGGGATCAGACGGGTCGGACTCGGAGGGTGATCTACGTCGCGTTTACCTAGCGTCGGCCGAGGACAAGTCTCGCAACGCTGGGGGTGACGCGACGAAGCCAGATTGAAGCAACCAAGCGCAGCTCAACCATGACCCACCTCGATCGGATCCACGATCGCGATCTTCACCTGACGGATCGGAGCGATCAAGCCGCTGCTCACATTGTGGATCGTGGAAACACACCGATCTCGATTGTTGGAGACGTTTGACGTGCGAGAAGTGTGGCAAGAGAGGTCATCCGGCGGATCGCTGCCTGTTTGTGTGCCGTGGATGTGGCGAACTACACGAGATGGGCAAGTGTCCGATGGAGGAATTCTACAACCAGATCCGTCAATGGTTCAACCCGGTGAAGCACGCTGGCATGTTGCCCGCGATCGCCGAGAAGATGTTAAACGAGGACGCTCGCCGGGTTGGAATCCGGTACGAGCCGAGCGTTCTAGGTACTGCATTCGTGAACAAGAACACGGTAGATCGAGTAAGTGGACGGACTGATCTAAGTGGTAATACATGTGATCTGCATGCGAAATCCACCGCCAAGGTCTTAAGTCTACATTGATCGGACGACTTCAGCCGTTCTGACGCCGAAGTGCCCTTGGATCTCCAGTCTGGAGAAACGCGGGGCTATTGGAAACAACGCAGACCGGAAGAATGGCTCACGCCAGCTGATGGAGAAGTGACGACCGAGATCCCGGAGCGTGATCGCGATCGAAGTCGGCCTCGCGTCAGCGAACACCGCAGATCTGGCGATGTGGTGCCTGATCTCCTTCCTGGGGAGTCCAGAGGGTACTGGAAACATCATTCGCCAGGTAAGTGGTTCCGCCAGGCCAAGATCACTGGCAAGATCAACAATGAGAAGTCGATCTTACTCTTAGACACCGGCGCCGAGGTGTCCATCGTGGACACCGCCTTTGCTCGTAAGGTGGGGTGCTATGTCGACATGAGTCAGAGCCAGGAATGTGTGGGGATTGGCGAAATCGTGTACATGACGGAAGGAAGGACCAGGATCAAGGTTACGCTGGCAGGATCGCTGGTGTATTTCTTCGATATCTGGGTTGGCGATCTATCAGGACAAGAAGCGATCCTGGGTATGGACTTTATGGTTCCAGCTGGGATCCGCCTCGATCTTGCGGACGGATCCATCTGTCTCCCCGACGAAGTCAAGATCCAGCTTAGCGGACGGCGCCAGCTGTACAACGACAATGTCAGACACGTGTGTGTGTGGATCAGGGAATGCAGATCGCGATCGGGGATTCGATCGAGCTTCCGCTACGAATGAATGTGACAGATCGAGAAAAGCTATGGGTCACCCGTGGAGATCGCTGGGTGCCGACTGTGGTCCGAGGACCCGGCAGGATCAGATATCTCCAGGTTACCAACATCAGCGACAAAGACCTCGTCTTGCATCGGAATCAGCGGATCGGGATGTGGCTGGCTGGAGATCGGATACCCCGGACCCCAGGATATGTGTCGATCGGATCTTGCCGATACGTGGAATGGCAGAATCTAGCCTTTCAAGCCACGACAGATGACCGGCCGACGAACCAGGAGGTACCAGCGGGACCTCCAGCACCTGCCGTCGAACGACCGATTTATCCAACGCCCCGAGCCATTCTCCAGAGGCACAATGTATCCCCGATCGTCGATCAGTCGACGGGTCCACCCGATCCAACAAGCGAACCTGGGGCAATGAGCCCTGATCCGGAGGTGGCCGTCGTTGATACTCTCAGATCAGGGGGCGGACCGTTGCAGGAAGGTGATCCCGAGACAGAGGGGTCGGGGTCGTCTGTGGTATCGAAAAATGGAGATTACCGGAGCGATTGCCCGTCACCCAAGAATCAAGGTACAATCAAGGAGCAGCCAAGTGCGAGATGGAAGTGGCTGCTTTGGTTAAGCTGACGACATTATCCTCGTTGGAGTGGCAGATAGTGGCAGAAGCCTCGTCGGGTCCTAATACAACCCCGAACGAGGCTTCATGGTACCCACTTTTAGGTACAGATGCATTTAGTTACGTACTTCGGCCGCACTTATTAGTGTAGCCGCGGTCGTCATTTGATGTGTCCGGAATCGCCTTATTGCGATCGTTCACACTAGATATTTGTATAGGGACATAGGACTCATCATAGGATGACCAGAACGAGGCTCCAGGGCCTCAGAAAGCTCAGTAATAAAATGACAGTCTTCCCCCAAAGCCAACTAGGGTCCAGTCCGACTTCGGTAAGTGTAGCTAGCTTATTGTAGTGCCTGGATACGCTCGGCTGCGTGTGGATGCCTGTCGGGGAGCTTATCGTGCATTGACCGAGAGTTTCCTTGGCAGCACCAAGAGTTGGCGTGGCCGGAGAGGCAGGAACGGTATTAGAGTATCGTTCAGTATATATTTGTGGGATTAGAGTGTCCCTGAGTGTATTAGTCTACCTACCGAGGTATTACCTTGGTCCCCCTGTATAAGGCCTAACACGCCGGTACCCTTCCTTCCTGAAGGACTGCAGTGGGGTTGCGCGAAAGCGCTACATAGTATCCTAGCCTTAGCTCGTGGCTAGTGGTACAGGTTTTGGGTTGACCGAAGATAACCTAAGGTGCACAGAGGCGCTTGCAACCGACCCGGTGTAAGGGATCGTTCCTGGTCTTCAGGTTTTGATCCAATAAGCGCTTACCTTTGCGGGTTAGCGTGTTGTTGGTGTCTCTAATACCTTTTGGTAGAAGAGAATTTTAGTGGTATTACCACACCACACGTCTGCTTTGGCTATCCTCGTCGGAGATCCACTAGACCCACGGTCGGATCCTGCTGAGTTGGTGTGTGAACCTTTTGGATCGGAGGACGAATGTTCTCCAGAACAGGAACAGCCCCCCACCTTCGCCGATCACGGATCAAGCGTGTGCACCGATAGATGACGTGAAGCCGCATGATGGTCGTGCGGGTGATCCATAGGGGAAGCCAGATCATGTGGGTTCCGGTGGTATAGCAATTGAGATGGGCGAAATCGTGTTCCCTCACTTGCCATCGACCGATCAGGTCGACGGTTGTGCTGTCGATCCAGATCTTGGGGGCGGGAGTACCGATCGGACACACCCTGTGGTAATACTACACCACAACTGGTGCCGCGACCCGGGATTGGTGCGACCTTCTGTGTGTCTGGGTTGTTGTAGGTCTTACCCCAACGAGCAAAGAGGAGAAGAAGAAGAGAAGAAGAAGAGAAGCGAAGAAGAAGAAGAAGTGAAAAGATGGCGAAGGGAGTCAAGTCAGCGGTACCAGCAACGCCGATCAAGTCGAGTGGAACGCGCAACGAGGCATCGGTGCGCTCCGGAAGCTCGTTCTCGACCCCAGCGACGGATCGGATGGAGTCGATCGACGAGTGTTCGGCGAGATGCGACACGGCGATTGATTCCTCGGACGCCAAAGAAGATGACGAAGATGATGACTGGGATGTGAGGACTGTGATGTCCGAGACTTCGGAGGCCGCGGTTGTGTCGGCCGGCCGCAGTGGAGGATCAAGGTCGATCACCCGCGACCTCCCCGAAACGTTCAACGACATGCCGGGCCCCGAGCCCGGCTGCGACGCGGATGACGGTGCGACCGAGGGTTTCAAAGCCTCGGTGACGGTAGGAGGGGCAAACCCAAGCCGGTTGGCACTCGTCCTCCCCTCAACGGCGATACTCCGGCGACCAACAAGGTTCTAGGCCGATGCCTGGAGCTGATGAAGGCCAAAAGTGAGTGGATGCAGTTGTTCTCCCCGAAGCAGGTCCGCCAGGCCATCTGGATGGACCTCGGAGGGGCTTTGGCAACGCCGATCAACTCAACGAGCACTCGGCAGGTCGCTCAGAACACTGTGGACCTCCTGCGTGCAATGGGGTGCGAGCCCCAGATTCTCCCGACGGAGGCTGCACTCGCGAGCTGGACGCCAACCACCGCCGCCAAGGCTCTTACTAAGTGGAGGAAAAAGTTACGTGAGGCCCTTGGGGTGGCAGACCGAGGCTCAACGAAGCTTCATTCGGCCTCGGGAGCGGTTGACTCCTCCAAGGTCCCGCTACCAGCGACCCCTCGGAAGGCAGCCACGGATGACGGAGTCTTCGCAGTCAAGGGCGAGCCTTCGCCTTACATGCAATACTCGCACATGGTAACCCCACGATCTGCGGACCGTAGTGAACGTCTGGCTAGGGAGACCGAGGTTTCGTACGCAACGCCTGGCACGCGCGGGGCAACCGGTCGCCGATCCAGCCGCCGTTACGACCTCCGAGATGAGTGACGATGATCTCGGGTCCGACTGTTACGAGGGCGACCTGCCAAGCGAATGGGCCCGTCAGGTACGCGAACTGAGCGCGACTGACAATCAGAGCTCAACCCCGAAGCTCGAGATTACCACGCATCTACCTCTCTGCAACATCAAGTCGTTCTACGGTGTGCGCGACAAGAGCGAACACTCCATGTAGTGGCTTCGTACGTTCGTCTACGAGATGAGGTGGACACATGCGCCGCCCAAAGAGTGGTGCATGCCGTTCGAACTCAAGCTCAGAGATGGGGCTTTGTATTGGTGCCGCCAGCTTCCACGCAAGACGAGACGCACGTGGATACTGCTGTGCGAGGCATTCATTAAGTACTACTGCTCGAAGTTCGCCCAGTCTGCAAAGGCTCGGTACTACTCGGCCAAACGAGAGAACAAAGAGCATGTATGTGACTACCTCAACCCGCTCAACGGCTGCGCTCGCAACGCCGGGGTGCAGTTTGAGCACGGGGATCGTGACACGAAGGACCACGTCGAACACTTCTTAGTTACGTGTGACGACCGAAACTTAGAAGACCGTCTGTGCCACGTTCGGGTCAAGAGCATTCATGACCTCGAAGACAAGATCAACGACATTCTGCGTCACCGTGACCGAAAATCGACCCGCGGATCATCGGTTCGCCGCTCCCGCAGTCAAGATGACAGTCGCCGTCGCGACGCGCGGTCGAACGAGGATTCTCGAAGTGGTTATCGCTGGGAACGAGTTACCGCGACGAGGACCGCCGCGAACGACGTTACCGCGGCGACGACCGCCTCACCGATCGTCGTGATGACGACCGCCGCCGTGGCCGACGTGACGGGTCACCGCACCGGTCGAGGGTTACTTTGGTCGACGCCCTTCCCGATGGGATGGCAGAATGGAACATCGGAGGCTCGGTCGGTGCACGCAACGAGACTTCGTACCCCCCCCCCCCCCCCGACGTGATGCTGAGGCGAACGAGAATTACTTCGAGGATGAGCGCCAGTACTCGGACGACCAACGCTCGGACGAGGATTCAGACGCCGATTACGACTCGGACGAGTCTACTCGGCATGTCGCTGCCGCTAACGACGCTGAGCGCAGGGCCGCAGCCGATGGAACGTTCGTCCGGTCTGACAACCGACGCTACAGGAACGGAGGAGGCCCGTCCAACCGCAAACGAGATGGCCGTCGCCAGTTTGGGCCGTGTGCCGCGTGCGGAAGCCCGTCCCACTCGGTGCACTTCTGCTACTGGCGGTGCAAACTGTGCAAACAGGTGCACGACGCTGGGAAGTGTGAAGCACTCCACGAGCTCACCAAGCTCCTGAAGTCCAAGGTCGACAAGAAGGATCTGTCGCCAGAGCTGCAAGCCTGGTGTATGGAAGCCATTTAAACTAGGCAGCCCGCCAACTGAAACTGGGTTGGTCCCAATCGTGCTGCCACAGTTAGCTGAACCTGCTGTTGATGCGGACTATCTGTTCGCGTTCATGAGCGAAAGTAAACGGCCTGACGACCTAAAGAACAATGAACGTGTGAAACCGACCGAAAATGGAGAGAACCGGGACGCAAGTCTTGTTGAGATTGGTATTGATGAAGATGATGATGACGAACGTGATGGACACCCGACCGAGGCTTTAATCACAAGTCTAGCCCAGATCAGGGGACCACCTCGGAGCGGTGAAATTACTGCCCGGTGAGAGACTGAGGTGGTGGTCGTCCCAACGATACAAGAGGAAGCGAATAAGAGCTTTGGTCAATGGCGCTGTGGACGACGCGCGAACGAGGATACTTCTTGACACTGGAGCGAATGTTAGCGTGATTTCTGTCAGCTTCGCCAAGCGGCTTCGTGTGCGAAGTCTCGAAGTCTGCGGGATCAACCCAGGGGTGATGGAGACCCGGCGACGGACGCTCGTCAAGATCACCCTCGGGTAGAAGCAGGTCTACGAATTTGAAATGTGGATAATGGATCACAGTGCCGGGGTGGATGTGGTCCTTGGGATGGACTTTATGATCCCGGCTGGAATCCGGCTGGATCTATTTCATGGCACCGCACGCCTTCCGGACGAGGTCATGGTACCGCTGCTAAAGTCGCAGAGTGTTGAAGATGACGAACCTTATGGCACGCAGCCTTCGTGTGGTCCGATCGAGGATTTATATGTACCCTGTCGCGAGTGGCGAGAGTTTCGACTGCCGCGCCAGCGGCTACCTCGTTCGGAGTACGATGTGTGGGTACGACGCACGGATAAGCTCGTGCCGACCGTAACGAGGTTTCGACGGGGGCAGCCGACGTGGGTACGGCTCACCAATATTACGACCACAGCGGCACAATGCGCCAAGCATGACTCCGTGGTGCTGTGGGTACCACATGGTGAACTACCGCGAGAGACTGGTTACGCGAGATTAGACTCTAACAAGTACAAGGAGTGGCAGGTGCTGGCATACTCAACGAGCCGTGACGAGACTCTGTATGGAAGGAAGCGATGTCTCTATGACCAATGGCTGGCCAAACAGCCACCCGCAGTTGAGCGCGGGACTTACTCGACGCCGCAGAAGATCTTACGGAGACCGCTCGACGCTCCAATATGGCCGAGAGGTCATCTTCAAGGTCGTCCTAACGACGATTATTCTTCGCTCGGTATATCGGATCATGCTAACGACCCCAGGGTCTCCCAAGGCTCGGTCAAAGTTATTGAGCCTGGTGCAGACGACATAGAACGTGATGGTATATCCAACGACGGTTCAGACGACGAGGCGAGTGCACGGACCGACTCCGACGCACTGGAAGGGTCGTCGCTTCACCGAGCGGCCTATGCATCCAAGCGCACCGATCATAACGCCTATAGCATCGAACATGGGGCACAGGAAGCCCCGGCCGAGGTGTCAGCAGCCGGAGATAAGCGTGATGATGGTGTTGGAGAGCTGAACGACGATTCGGGAGAAGATCATGACGCGCCAGATGTAACAGCAGCGGTGGAACCCGCCCCGCGGATGGCCGAAACAGCGACTGATACGCAAGCACGCCCTGAACCAGATCAAACGTCGGTCGCGTGGGGCAACGCCACTATCGACTGGGGTGAACATGATCCTGGACCGAACGACATTTTAACTGAAGCAGGAACCGCCACGACCGAGACTAGTACCGATGGAGAAAATTGTGTCGATGGCCCGGACAAAGAGGACCCTGCAAGCCTATTGGAGGCGAAATACACCTCATTCTTATATGCAATGGTTGCGGAAGGGTTCCCGGAGGTTGAGGACACCGCGAACGAGATTAATCTCAGCGACTACGCGCAGGAGTCGCTACCGACATCTCGACTGAAGCCTACCACTCGGATTTGGCCCTACATGGAACGAGGTAAACCAAGACACGAGTCCTGATTCTCAGTGGTGGGCTGGTAAAGGTTTGGAAGTGGGACGGACCTGAGATGACGTACCTAAGCACAGACGAACACCGTTCGATTGTTTGTTTGGATGATGACCTGCACGAGTGGCGAACGCAGCACGATGTTTGCACGTGGCCCAAGTCGTTGACAAGTTGCATACGCTAACGACGTTTGAACTGCCCGCGAGGGTTACCCAGTTCGCGATGGCAGACGAATGAAGCTACTGGAAACGATGATTGAACTGTCTGCGAGGGCTATCCAGCTCGCAGCGACAGACGAAGGAAATTTCTGAAATTTGCATATTACATGTGATGTGAATGAGTCATGATGGAGTGGCATCTCGGAATGCCTCGGTCAACACCCCAGCAGATGAAACGAACAAGGATGAAGCTCAAGGATGAAGCTCAAGGAAGGGTGATCGAGGCTTCGGGTGCCGATATTAACGTGGAAGAAGGTCGCGCCTATGCGCCGGACCTCGACTTGCAACGATGTATGGATTTGATGATGAAGTGAAGATACGAGTGGATCCGGGACCGCTACGCCCGACAACTACGTTTCGTTCAAGGCGGTGGTGCCTGATGTAGCCTGCGCGGAAACTGTGGGAACCCTGAACGAGAATTGGTGCGGCTCGAAAAGATGTGATTGCAACACAGCGGGTCGCTTGATGGAGGCTGGGGTACCCAGACCTTACGTTACGACCACCGAGTATTTGCTGTAAGTGGATCACGAACCACGGTCAACACTGGTACAGTTTCTCACGCAAAAGTGGAAGAAGCTGAAGGCTCGACCGACGTTTCTGGTGCGGTGGTTCCCGAGCCACAGACTGAGGCAACTAAACCCGATTTGGTTGCGACCACCGGAAAATCCGGATGGAACTGTGGAACGAAGGCAACGAAACCACAGTCGACACAGCTACACTATCTCCGAGTGAAAACGAAGCAAGTGATGATGTGACCGACGTTGGCGGTGCAGCGATTCGCGAGCTTCAAGCTGGGGCAACCATACCTGCCTCCTTTACGACCACCGAAGTTCCGACGTAGTAATGGTGTGAGACTGGACGAGTCATCGCACGTTCCCTGACTACTGCAGTTGACGTTGAACCCTCGAACGACGCAGAACTAGCTACAGAAGATGTCAGCGACGCTGAGAAGTATGCGGACGATGTGTGACGAGCGGCGGTCAGCAGCATGTCGATGGAACGTCGGACCATACGACCACCGGAACTCCGGTAGATTGGTATTGCGGCCAGAAGAGTGGCAGGGCATGCTGCTCAGTTTGACCCTCAGGTGATGCAGCACTTTCTAAAGCAGACACCAATGTCATCGAGGAAACGAAGCCAAGGTATAACTCAGGGGCAGTGCGCGGGGCATCGACCGAATAACCAACGTCGGACCATGCGACCACCGGAATTCCGGTGGTGTAGCAATGGATGGACTGACGGTTGAAGCATGACCGGCTACCGTACGCCGTTCCGATTGAGTTTTACACGCTGCAGAAGATGCCACTGAAGGTGAAGTAAACGGAACCAAGACGCAAACACCGGCAGTCCGCACGGTATCGGTGGAACGACCAACGTCGGACCATACGACCACCAAAATGCATCGGGCATGTGTATCACCGTGCGCAACGTAGCGGCTCCAAGCATCCTCAAATCCTCGGTGGCCCTAGCAGAAGATGAAATATCACTGGAGGAACCTTGTGGTGTGTCGACCGACACTTCAGCAGCGACGGAAGTCACTGGAGCCTCGGTCACAGGTGCAGCTTGCGCCGGAACCGTATTATCAGCACCAACAGGACCACCGGTGAGTAATGAAAGATCTTGCGACCCTAGCCAACGTTGCAAAGTATCGGTGACTACATCGACAGCACCTTGGGATGCCGGAGAAAAAGCTGGCTTCATTAACGAGGATCCAACTGATGGCGAAGAGCAGCAAGAGCGCCCAGCGTACCGGACCAGAACACTGAAGGTCCAGGAGAGCGGCCGTCGCAACGGTCAAGCGCAAGCGCGATGAATGAACCATGAAGTTTACGGACGGGAGGCGCCTAGACGCTCACCTGTTGCGGAGGCTCGTGTCCAGGCGGGGGCAGTTGTGGTATCGAAAATGGAGATTACCGGAGCGATTGCCCGTCGCCTAAGAATCAAGGTACAATCAAGGAGCAGCCAAGTGCGAGATGGAAGTGGCTGCTTTGGTTAAGCTGACGACATTATCCTCGTTGGAGTGGCAGATTGTGGCAGAAGCCTTGTCGGGTCCTAATACAACCCCGAACGAGGCTTCATGGTACCCACCTTTAGGTACAGATGCATTTAGTTACGTACTTCGGCCGCACTTATTAGTGTAGCCGCGGTCGTCATTTGATGTGTCCGGAATCGCCTTATTGCGATCGTTCACACTAGATATTTGTATAGGGACATAGGACTCATCATAGGATGACCAGAACGAGGCTCCAGGGCCTCAGAAAGCTCAGTAATAAAATGACAGTCTTCCCCCAAAGCCAACTAGGGTCCAGTCCGACTTCGGTAAGTGTAGCTAGCTTATTGTAGTGCCTGGATACGCTCGGCTGCGTGTGGATGCCTGTCGGGGAGCTTATCGTGCATTGACCGAGAGTTTCCTTGGCAGCACCAAGAGTTGGCGTGGCCGGAGAGGCAGGAACGGTATCAGAGTATCGTTCAGTATATATTTGTGGGATTAGAGTGTCCCTGAGTGTATTAGTCTACCTACCGAGGTATTACCTTGGTCCCCCTGTATAAGGCCTAACACGCCGGTACCCTTCCTTCCTGAAGGACTGCAGTGGGGTTGCGCGAAAGCGCTACATAGTATCCTAGCCTTAGCTCGTGGCTAGTGGTACAGGTTTTGGGTTGACCGAAGATAAACTAAGGTGCACAGAGGCGCTTGCAACCGACCCGGTGTAAGGGATCGTTCCTGGTCTTCAGGTTTTGATCCAATAAGCGCTTACCTTTGTGGGTTAGCGTGTTGTTGGTGTCTCTAATACCTTTTGGTAGAAGAGAATTTTAGTGGTATTACCACACCACACGTCTGCTTTGGCTATCCTCGTCGGAGATCCACTAGACCCACGGTCGGATCCTGCTGAGTTGGTGTGTGAACCTTTTGGATCGGAGGACGAATGTTCTCCAGAACAGGAACAGCCCCCCACCTTCGCCGATCACGGATCAAGCGTGTGCACCGATAGATGACGTGAAGCCGCATGATGGTCGTGCGGGTGATCCATAGGGGAAGCCAGATCATGTGGGTTCCGGTGGTATAGCAATTGAGATGGGCGAAATCGTGTTCCCTCACTTGCCATCGACCGATCAGGTCGACGGTTGTGCTGTCGATCCAGATCTTGGGGGCGGGAGTACCGATCGGACACACCCTGTGGCTGTCTTAGCTGTGGAAGAGTCGAGATCAAGTGACGATACAGTAGTCGATGGTGTTCCCGCATCTGAACGACTGCCGCAAGTGGCCGAAAACTCATCGATCGTTGGAGGTGATCAGGTAAAAATTGAGGCCACACCCACTTCAAATCAGGACGATCTCGTTGCGTCAGAACCAAATCGACACGTTGGTGCTGATGATCAGGTCCATTACCACGAGGGCGGGAATCTGTCAGCAGAAGATGTCGAAGGTGAATTAGCTGTGCTTCCTGAAATTATGATCTCGACATCGATGATATCAAGGTGGGAGATCTGAAGTTCAACACCCCGGAGGAGATCGATCGGCTGCGAAAGAAGATCTGGCACAGGAATCACCTGCTGATCGGCAAGGGCAATGCACTTCCCCCAGCAGCCCGGGGCGTCACCTGCGACATCGATGTGGGCGACGCGAAGCCGATCGCTCAACGTGTCCGGAAAGTTGCCCCTCAGTTCGTGGAGAAGGTGTCCGAGCTGATCAAGGGATTATTGTCAGGCAAGATGATTCGGAAATCTCGATCACCGTGGGCCTCGCCGATCGTCGTGATCATCAAGAAGAACGGCGTGGATATCCGACTCTGCATCGATTATCGGCTCGTCAACAGTCTAACCAGGCTGATGGTATATCCGGTGCCCTTGATCAACGATTTGCTGGGGGATCTGGATAAGGTACTCTGGTATTGCTCTTTGGACATGGCTAGTGGATTCTGGGTGGTGACAATGACCGATCGATCTCGTGCGATCTCGGCCTTTATCACCCACATGGGTCTGTTCGAGTGGAACCGGATGCCGTTCGGCTTGAAGAACGCTCCTCAGATCTACCAGCGACTTCTGGACGACGCGTTGTATGGGTTCACCAGGATCCCGCGATCGTCAGACTGTGAAGTTACTACGGACTTGATCGAGTCAGGAGAACCAGAAGATCCGGGGCGTCCATCAGTGCTAGGTCGCAGATCGTACATCGATGATATTCTTGTGACGGCCGGATCATGGGATGAGCTGTGGATCGTGTGGATCACCTGCTGGACGCTTGTGATAAGTGGAATGTCTCGATCAGTGTGGAGAAGAGCTCTTGGTGGATGCGTAAGGTGGACTATCTGGGACATCGTGTGTCGAACGACGGGCTAGAGGCTAATCCGAAGGATCTCACTGCTTTGACTGATCTGCCGTTCCCCGGATCGCTCCGATCGATGCAGTCATTCTTGGGCAGTCTCAACTACTACAGTCGTTTCTTGGAAGATTACGCGATCTACGCGGCGATCCTGTATGAACTGCGCGAGGTGGACTTCGCCGAGCTGAAGAAGCGCCCTGATCTGCGCCAGATCCTGGATCGTCAAGTGCCGAACTCAGTGGATACGGACCCAGTGAATCCCGATCGGACTCCACCAGTTCCTGAAGTCGGGGTCGCCGATGAACGCTGGATCCGTGCTCATCGTGCCTTTTCGACACTGAAGATGAAGATCGCGACGACACCGATCCTGCTGCACTTCGATCGCGATCGGACTCCGGTCGTGATTGTGTATGCGAGTGGCTGGGCGATCTCGGCCGCATTGACGCCGGAGCACGACCAGATCTATCATCCCGTTACCTTCGCCAGTCCAACGCTGAAGTCGAATGAATTGAACTACAACGTGGTGGAGAAAGAAGTGCTGGCGCTGTTACGGATCCTGGACCTGAACTATAACATGCTGGTTGGACGATCGATCCGGGTCTTGACCCGACACTCGACGTTGGCGTGGCTGTTCCGATCACCCGGCCTTCAATCCTATCGCCCTGGACACTGGGTATCACGAAGTGCACCAAGGGAGAGGATGAGATATTTGGGGCGATCGCCGCTAGTATTACGGCTCGATCGGATATGGACGACGCGTTGATCGCGATCGCGCCGAAGAAAGAGCCCCGGCGGAAGATTCAGGTCTCGATCCCGACTGTGCGTGCGGACGAAGAGCTGCTCGTGATAAGTTTCGATGGATCTGCCCGCGTCAAGCGAGGCGGAGGCGCATACAGCGCGATCTTGTGGAAGTTACCCGAATGCAGTGTGGTGATGGCCCGATCGGGCTATGCTGAAGGGCTGACTGTAAACGAGGCTGAGTATCATGGTCTGTTGTTGGGTTTCGACCTCCTTGACGGCATAGATCAAGGCAGGATAGTGGTCTGCGGTGATTCCAACCTGGTGATCCGACAAGTACGGGGCGAGATCGACTGCAAAGCACCTAAGCTGACATTGTTGAAGCAAAAGGTGCTGGATCAACTACAGAACTGGCCAGATCACGAGCTGTTACATGTGAAACGAAACTGGAACGGAAGTGCGGACAGCCTGGCCAGTCCAGCACTCCAACGTGAAGGGGGCGTCGTCGTCGAGGAGGATGTCGATCATGGGGATCTTGTGACACTGAACCGACTTGATGAGATCCTGGTCGTCCGATCGGATGTGTCGATCGCCCGACTATCGCCGATGACAGCCCGATCGGGCACCAGATCACGGCCGAACCCGACCGTCATGCAGGAGGAGTTCGTGCGAGGGTTGCGGGTCGATCGGATTCGTCGAGCACAGGATGAAGCCACGTGGATCGCGGGTATCAAGAAGTATCTGATGGGAAATGTGGCTGATCTGACACAGGATGAGGCTCGATCCTATGGCAACCTCGCAGCCGACTAAGAGATCGACGGTGATAATCTGCTGTTCTATTGCCCACCCTCCAAGCGATCGGATGCAGATGGAGATGGACTAATGAGACTGGTGGCACCGGAGACGCTGCATCAAGACATCCTGCATCACTATCACTCCACTCTGGAAGGTGGACATCAGGGGATCGGGCATACATACCAGCGGATCCGCGATCACTTTCAAAGGAGTAGTCTCTTCAGAAGTGTGCAGAAGTACGTCGGCGAATGTGTCGACTGCTAGACCGGCAAAGGACGACCGACGATCAGGGGCGAGTCGCCGGGAAACATCCAGGCGACATACCCGTTCCAGATCATAGCAATAGATCACATACCTTCGTTACCCAAGTCGTACAAGGGAAATACGGAACTGTTGATCTGGGTCGATCTGTTCACGGGATACGTGATCGCGAAGGCCAGTTCCTCCCGAACGGCGCAGACGATCGCCGAGTGTTACGAAGAGTGCGTGTTCCGGCGATTTGGTGCTAGCGAGTGATCAGGCACGATCGAGAGCCGGGATTTATGGCTGACTTCTTCCGCGCCTTTTGACAAGATCCTGGGTATGCGCCAGCGAGCGACGATGGCATATCGACCTCAGGCTAACGGTACTGCAGAGCGAATGGTACAGACGGTGACGAGAGCCCTGAAGATGTTCGTGGAGGATCTGGATCAGAGGGATTGGGATGAGTACGCAGGGCGATTGACCTTCGCGATCAGCACGGCTCAAGATCGGGTCCGTGGGGACTCTCCTTTTTATCTGGTGCATGGATGGGATCCTCGATCGATGCTCGAGGCAACAATACCTTTGGGTAGTACCCGGACTCGGGATCGGAATCCTCGATGGTGGCGTTATCGGATCCAGAAGCACCAAGACCAGGCTCGAAGTCAGGTGAATGCTCGACTACGCGAGGCGATCGCGGATCGGGCCGATCGACACAATGAAGAAGTTCGACCGCACTCGATCGAAGCTGGATCTCAGGTGTGGCTGTACCTGGATCGTGTGAAAGAGGGGTATGGATGGAAGCTGGCTCACCTGTGGCACGGCCCGTTCCGTGTGGCGGAGAAGGTGAACGAGTACACGATGAAGCTTCAGATCGCTGGTACGGACTATCACCTATTCCCGATCGTGCATGTTTCGAAGCTGAAGTTGGTCAGGGACTTCCCCGATCGACCGCAGATCGCACTCACGGTGGACGAAGCAGATCGACTTGATTTCGACGAAGTCTTACTTCCGGAGGACAGCTGGGCCCCAGATCGAGACTCGAACGATTACGAAGTGGAGAAGATCACGGATACGAGAACAGGCCGCAGGACTCGGTATGGCCGGACGTATCGAGAGTTCCTGGTACACTGGAAGGGTTATGACGAGCCTGACTGGGTCGACGAGACTGATCTCAACTGTGGAGCTTTGTTGCATGAGTTCCTTCGAGATCGCGTGAACCGGAACCGATTTGGCGCGATGCACTCACGAAGAAGAGTGAGATCGGACCGCCAGGGCGAGCTGGTCGCCTTCGTGAGTTACGGATCGACGGGGAGGTCGTTGATCGGAGGAAGGGGTTTTATATTCGATATGATTGTGTGTATATGAATGCAGATCGGGTGATTATGGAGCAACTACAAGGTGCTACGACGACGGATCTGGTCTGATCGGGTTGGTGGCGGTGGTATGACGATGGATCTGGACTGATCGGATTGGTGACGACGGATTGACTTGAGAGAGGTGACCAGCAGTGACGAAGATTACGGTGGTGTTTATTGATCCGTAGCTTTCATGCTACGAAGATGCGCGATCGGCCTCCAAAAATCGAAGATTTCACGACAGACGAGCTGACCAGCTGGACGCTGAATTCGATCATCCGAGCTGGGGGATGCTGTTGTTGCGGCAGACACTCTGTATTGGGGATAAGTTCGTTGAGGAGACACGCGATCGGCTGTTCCAGATGATCCTGGGGCGGTAGCAACCTTTGGGTCCTGCCGGTGATCGTCGGTGCCCGCCTCGATCAAGCGGAAGTAATAGGTTTCACGACGAAGTGTGAGCCGTTGATACTGGGATGGTGAAGTCTTGTCCGCAGTGAGCCACCGTGCGGCCCGACTTACGGACAGGGGGCGGTTGTGGTGAAGCACCGAATAAGATTTTCCAACTGCGATGACATCAAGCGACATGGTGGCAGAACGATAGGCAAGGATCAGGCTGCGGTCACGGATCAAGAGGGTCTATCGAGAGATCTCAAGCGATTGGATAACGTCGACGCGTAAGGCAACACATATGTCAAGACAGATTACGGGCGATCGCGCTTGGACTGCGGCGTGATTCGACGTAGACCCAAGCCCGGATCGACGACTAATCTCGCAGATCTAGGGCGGCCGAGGACAGAAGAGGACGGATCGGCAGTGCACGGCAACTCGCACAGGTCATCGATCGGGAGTTGATCGCCGATCGGGGTCGATCGTGGATCGGGAGCCAATCGTGGATCGCCGATCGACCCGGATGGGAAGCACATGGGGGCGAAGCCAGGGGAAGAATCCAGTAATCGTTTGGTTGTAGGATGGTAAGCAAGATGGTAGCAGTAGGGAGAGACCAGCTAAACATAAATCAGAGTCGAATTTGCACCGTGGAGCGCAAGTGGTCTGGAATCTCGAGGAGGAAGAGCATATTGGCCTCGATCGACTTGCGTTGTGGAGAACAGATTTGACTCCACACGTGATCCAAGACCACCAAGCCCCGGCAAGTCGCTCTCGAGCAGAATTTGCACCAAAGACCACAAGTCCCCTCAAGTCACCAAGTCCCAGGAACTACATTGGCCTCGGCAGCGTCGACACTTTGGATAGTGAACTAGCGGTACGGTTAAGACTGGATTAATACATTGGCCAGTTTGACCTACTCTAGAGATCTATCTTTTGTGTGCAAGTCTTCGATCGACCGGATATTAAGTGCTTGACCGGCGATCGTTTCTCCTCTCGATCAACCTCGATCCCGCTATAGGAAGCGGCAAGCAACTCAGGAAAGGAAGGAGCACACCCGAAAAGGCAACTACAGGCCTTGGATCAACTACAGGCCGACCGATCGAAGCGAAGAACCCTCGATCGGGGCGTATAATCGGACGCAGAGCGAAGACTACCGCGCTGCTCCACAAATTATCCCCGCGTCACGCTAAGACACTCGATCTTCACCAAGTGCTGCATCTTCGGTGCCCCGAGAGAGCAGATCCAGCCCGCCGACGGGTACACAAGGTGAGAACAAGTTCAGCCGATCACGGATCGTTGGGGGACCTCCTCCGTTAGTCGGTGTCTGGGCGCTGGTGGGAAGCTTGATCAGGCCTTAACCAAATTTTGGCCGATCCCGCTACACCACAAGCACAACAAATGGGGTGGCCAGCAGGGCCTCGTAACACTTCCACACGCGAGTTCGGAGCGGCTGCATTTGCACGGCAGGCCCACGGACATACCTGCAGTAGCGCATGACGCATAACTTGGCCAGCACGCTCCACTTCAGGGCGAAGTCGACGAACGCAGCGGCGATCCGTGAGCCGATGCTTCGCAGGGGGCCCGTAACCGTCCACGACACTGCTCCAGCAGTGAGCCACGCCAGCTCCCAGCGACGCTCCACCGCAACTTGACACGCTGCTGCCTCAGCAGCGACCACCACTATTGCCGCCAGGCCGTTCACCACGTCCGTCGCCCACTCCATCGTTCCAGCAGTACAAATTCATAATGACGACCACTTCGACGCCGTCCGAGCCGTCCTGACCGTCCGCGCGCGCCACTAGAGGCAGCCCTTGGCGGTCACCATCGACCTGCAGAGGCACGGGGCACCCAATGCCCCGTTACTGCCAGTTGGTCACCAGCGTCGCTCGCGGGTTCTTCGAAAGTGACCAGCCAGTTGGGCGTCTCTTTCAGACGGTCGCAGCCATCCACAAGGTGAGTCACATTTCGTCAATTCACTTGAAGTCACGTGGTAATCAGAAGTTGCCGTAGCCGCCCCACTGAAAGTTGCCTCATTCCGCAATTTTCGCCGGGCCGCGCACTCCGCAGTCACCAAGCATCTCTTCGCTCTCTCCCAGGCCTCGCCTCGCCTCGTGTCCGTCATGGTCAAGAAGACCAACTCCGACGCCACCGACTTCGACAACCAGGTGGCCAGCCTGGACATGGCCCTCGAGCTCGACGACGAGGGGGACGTCTTCATCGCGCAGCGCGAGTTTTGGGCGCGCCTCCGGACCCGTCTCTCCGTCAACAATGCGTCCCAGGGGCTAGACGTCCTGGACGCCATGGCCATGGACGTCCTGTCGGGTGGCGACGCGCGCCGCCTGAACCAGATTCTCGTGATCCTGCCGCACCCCGACCAGATGCAGGCCGGCGAGCCTGCCGAGCACTCCGTCCTGTCGATCCCGCTGCCGGCGTTGGTGTCCATGCCGGAGTCGACACCCCGCCTCCGCGGCCATCGACGGGGACCCGATCATCGTCGCGGACGTCTTCCAAGGCGAGGCCGCCGTCGAAGAAGAAGCAGAAGGCCGCGACCAAGAAGAAGGCCAAGGCCTACGACTTCCGCTTGCCTGCCTCGGCGCCAGCGCGTTCGAAGCTCGACCTGGCCGCGCTCGCACAGCGCCCCTTCAGCAGGGGCCTCGCTCCGTTCCGTCTCGCTTACCCCTGGCGCAAGCAACGCTGCTGGTACCCGCCTTCGGAGTTCCGCGAACTGCACCTCCTCCACTACCGTGCCAACATGCGCTCCCGCGAGTTGTATCTCCAGGTGGCGCTGTACGCGCCCTCCACGAACCCCGACCAGTGGCGCAAGGACAAGATGAACGCGTGTCTAGCACGCAACGAGCTCATCAGCTACAACGTGGAGGAGCGCGGGTACTTCGACTTCCTCAACGACTTCGAGAACAGCGCCCACGACACGCTCCTGTGGTTGGGCGGCAGGGCGGCCAAGCACTCGGGCAAGGGCAAAGCGCTGGAGGACCTCGGCGTTGTCCTGAGCAAGGACAAGACCCTCTACGAGCGGACCATCGAGCGCGCCCTCGACCCCAAGATCGTCGATGAGGACGGCTACGCGTCGATCCCTGAGCTGCTCGAGGAGGCCGAGCTCATCGACACTACGCGCCCGGCGCACCTGCGCCTCTCCGACCGAGCGCTGGCGCGCATCAAGCTGGATGTCCTCACCGGCCCGGCGCCCGTGCCCTCATGGGTGGGCAACCGCAACCGAGGACCATGGAAGGCTCTCCTCTCAGACACGTCCCTTCAAGACACGGTCAAGGAGGTGGCCGAGCTCTTGGAGTTGGGCCTGAAGGTTGCCGTGTACAACAACTTGAAGCCGTTCAACCCCGACGAGCAAGGCGACGACGACTCCGACTTCGAGGACGAGGACGAGGACGGTGTCTTCACGGCGTTGCCTCCGACGCCTCCCGTGCTGTTCCGAGCTCCAGCCGCCAAGCAGCGAGCGGCCACTCCGTCCAAGCCAGGGGTTCCGGTTTCTCGCTCCAGCAAGTCGGGCGAGGCCGAAGACTCCAGCGACGACAAGAAGAAGCCGGCGGCCAAGGATGATAGCGACGAGGACGACAAGGCCCAACCCAAGACCACCAAGGCCCCGGTCGCGGCCAAAGAGACGCTGCCGGGCGTGGAAGCAGACGACGACGGCGAGTTGGCGAGCGAGCCTCCAACCAAGAAGCTCAAGTCGCGTTCCGCAAGCGTCGACAAGGCCAAGTGAGTCATGCGCACGCCTCGGATCTCCGTTTATCTTCTTCATTTCGTTGTAGTCGAGTCCAGCACAGCCGTAGCACTAATTTTGCAGGTAAAATCAAATAAAAACATGAACTTGACATGCATATCCACCATTCTTGAGCTGCTCGTAAATCCATATCCACAATCACATGTTCTTCAGCTCAAGAACATCACCAACTACGCCAGCAGCAAATAGTCATCATCGACTAGGGCGTTAGCGTCCGCCAAACGCGTACTTCGACGAAGCTCCGGCAACCCCTTCTTCCTCCTGTCCGCTTGCTCAAAAGCGGTCACCAACGACGCATACTCTGGCATCAAAGCCTCCCTGGGCAGCCAGAACACCTCATACGTGCTGGTCATCGCCAGGTACTTCACGCCCTGACCGTCCTTCATCTTCACCACTATTTCCACGATGGGGGCTTCCACGCCCACAATAATAGTGTCCTCATTTCCTAGTGTCAACCGTTCCGCGTAGCTCGACGCAGGGAGGTCGGCCTCTTCCAACGGCCCCTCTTCTTCGTTTTCATCACTAGTGCCCAGATCCTCGGGCACTTCATCCATATAAGGCCGGGTCCACTTGCCACGATACCTTTTGAGCCTATTCACGTTCACGGTCACCGTTTTGCTAGGCTGAGTCGGGACGTCGACCCGATAAGCGTTCTCGCCGACCTTGGCTACGATCCGATAGGGACCGTGCCAAGCGAAGGCAAGCTACTTCGTGCGCACTTCGCCGCGTTTCGCCCTGAACACCTGGTAGACCCACACCGCGTCTCCTACTTCATAATTCACTTCGACTTGCCCTTCCAGGCGCTGCTCGTGCCGATCTTGCGCCTTCAACAACTGACGCTAAACCAAATGTCGCGAGGAACGGAGAGAGCTGTACAGCTCTCGCCTATACTGAGCCACTTCATTACTCCGCCACTTCTTGCCAAGATTGAGGAAGGCCACGTCCATCGGAAGCACTGGGTCGCGCCCGTACAGCGAGAAAAACGGCGAATCTCCCAGGGCCTCGTGGTAGGCCGTCCTGTAGGCAAAAAACACTCTAGGAAGATAAACATCCCAATCATCTTGAGCCTCACTCACATGCATTCGTAGCATTCCTATGAGCGTTCCGTTGAATCTCTCGACGAGTCCTTGAGTCTGAGGGTACCAAAGAGTTTCTTAATGCCCAACGTCTGATAGAAGGACTTGGTCACCTCAGACGTGAAGTTCGAGCCGTTGTCGCTCAGCAACCGCGACGGCACTCCGTGCCGAGACACCACACCGTTCACCATCACCTCCACGAACGGCATGGAGTCCAAGCGCTCCACGGCGAACGCCTCGGCCCAGCGAGTGAAGTAATCAACGAAAACTAAGATATAGCGATTGCCACGCTCGGTTTCGGGCAGAGGCCCCACGGCGTCCACCACGAGCAACGAGAACGGCCCCGTCAGATCCACGATGGGCATTCTCTGCATTCGACCAGCGCGTCACGGACGCGAACCCTTGCCACTTCCGCACTTATCACATTCGCGCAAATACTCCTCGGCGTCCTGTCATCACCCTGGCCAGTACGCGTGTCGCCTCACCTTCTCGAGCGTCTTCGTGAGGCCGAGGTGCGACGACAGTAGATCAGCGTGACAAAAATGTAAGACCGTTTCAACGAACGGAAGCGGTATCACGGGCACGGTCAGCGATCGAGTGGGCCCGACGCGCGCGGGGAGATTCACTCTGCGCATCAACAGCTCGTTCTCGACGGCGAACTTGGACGCGATCCTCACATCCTTCACTCGTAAGTTAGGGTCCAGCGGCAGCGCTCCACCCGTCAGGAACGCGATCAGGGCCATCACCCACGGGATCTTCCGCTGCTCCACCTTCAAACGCTCCATATCGAGTCCGAACAAGTCCACGGACGACGGAGGGACGTCCGTCGGCGCGGACTCGTCCTCGGTAGCGTCTTCCGGCAACGGGACCGCGGTCTCCGTGCTCGTCTCGCCGCCACCGTCTCCAGTCATCGGTTCGAGCGCCACGTTGGACGGCTTCCCGACTGAGTCGGAAGCCACGGCTCGATCGGACGGCTCCCCGACTGAGTCGTTGGCCACGGTCTCGGGCGAGTCGCCCGGGTTCAGCAAGTCGGCCATGCCCACAGGCGAGTCCCCCGGGTTCAGCAGGTCCGCCATGGTCAGCGCGTTCACACTCGCGGTGGGGAGGTGCGAAGCCGTCCACGTGCCCCATGCTCGTCCCGGGCTTGTGATGCACTCGGAATTGTAGATTGGACAGCTCGATCGCCCAGCGAGCGAGCTTAGCATTGGTCGTGCGGTTGACAGGACTGAAGATCCAGGTAAGCGCCTGATGGTCAGTGTAGAGATCAAACTTTCGCTTATCTAGGTAGCAGCGGAACTTTCGTGTAGACCAGACAATGCCCCAGCATTCAATTTCAGAGATTCCGTCTTGGTTGTTGATCCAGTTCTTCTGAGAGCCTGTCAGTAACTTGCTAGCATAGTCGACAGCACGGTCTCGACCGTCCACCTCCTGCATTAGACAAGCACCGACAGCATACTTTGACGAGTCGACGTAAAGCTTGAATCGTTTTTTCATGTCCGGGTAGACTAGGATAGGAGGAGTGGCTAGCACCCTCTTCAGCTGGCGGAACGCCACCTCACAGTCCTCGTTCCAGACGAACGGAGTGTCCTTCATTTTCAGGCGTTCCAGCGGCGTAGAGATCAGAGCGTACCCCGGGATATACCGGCGGAAGTAGCTCGTCAGCCCCCAAAATGAACAGATATCATGCACATCGCGCGGCCTCTGCACGTTCATGACGGCCTTCACCTTCTCGGGGTTCGGGAGGATGCCCATGGGTGTCACAATGTGCCCGAGAAAGGCGACCTGACTCCTGCCCCAGTGGCATTTCTTCATCTTCAGTTTGAAGCCGGCCTGTTGAAAGCGGGTCAGCACTTGCCGAAGGCGAACGAGGTGCGACGGGAAGTCTTCGCTGAAGATGACGCAGTCGTCCAAGTACACCAAGCACACGCGCCACTTGAGGTCGACAAGCACGGTCTCTATCAACCGTTCGATAGCAGGTACAGCATTGCATAGGCCAAAGGGCATGGCTAACCATTCGAATAGACCGTATTTGCATGTGAAAGCCGTTTTAGCAATACTGTCTTCATGCATGGGCACGTTCCAGTAGCCTGAGGCGATGCCCATGGTCGAGAACAGTTTGGCTCCACTCAGCACGTCCAGGATGTCGTCAATCAGCGGCATAGGATAGCAATCTTTGACCGTTACGGCGTTCACCTTGCGATAATCGATGCAGAAACGGATGCCACCGTCGGGCTTCCTGATCATCAACACGGGGCTGGCCCAGGGGCTGTTCGAGGGCCGGACGAAGCCCAGCTTCTGGTACTGCTGGATCTCCGCCTCCATAACCTCGCTTTCGGCGAACGACACGCGGTAGGGCTGTTGCTTCATCGGCTTGCTGTCCCCAGTATCAATCTGGAACTTCAGCAAGTCGGTCCTGCCGGGCGAGTTGGACGACTCCACGAACATGTCTCGGAAGCGCTCCAGCTCGCTGCGGAACAGCGACTTCTGCTCATCCGACAGCCTCGACTGGGAGAAGTCGGCCTCGAGCGCCACCTCCTTGTCCGGCGGCACATCGGGCCTCGACGCCCTCACAGTCTCGCCGAGATCCGGCCCCTTTACCTCTTCTTCACGACTGGCAGCAACGGTGGCCGCCCCGCTAGTCTCGGGCGGACGGCAGGGCGCCCCTTCGGACTTCTCCGCTGACGGCTGCTCAAAGCCAAACGCCGACTCGGGCATCACGGACGTCGAGGCCACCACCGTGCCCTTCTTGATCCAGAACTCTTCTGTCGATGCGTTGCAGATCTCCACGACGACTCGACCGTCGTCCACAGTACAGAGCGTTCTCGCCACGCAAAGCGAAGGCGGCAAGTTGAAAGAGCCCTCGACGAGGACGGTCGCGTTCGGGGCATCGCCCACCACATCCGCGACCACCAGGGCCTGTCCCCTAGGCGGCAAGCGGACGGACACGGCCATCGTGGCCATGAACGATTCGTGGACCACCATCACGCCCAACGATAAGTGCTCTTCAGCATGAGCGTTCGCTCAGCCACGTCAATCACTGCTCCGCGCGCCCAGCGCGTCGACGCCCAAGATAGCGTCCACATGCAACTTGTCGGCCACGAGCATCCGCATGGTCGCCCCGACCTTGCCCAGCATTAGGGGGAGAGTGATCCACCCCCGAATGCGCAGACGGTGTCCAGACGAACTGCGTACATGCCCGTCGTAAGCCTTCAGAGCTTCACCAGCTCGGCCCAGACGCTTCAGAACACGGAAGTCGACGAGACTGAGCGTCGCGCCCGTGTCCGCTAACATCTGCGAAGGCAGGCAGTCGATGTACCCGCACGACAGCGCCTCGAAGTTCCCCACAGTGCACACCACACGCCGACCACCGGCAACTACGCGTGGGAGCTCGGCTCCACACTCATCATCGTCCTCATCTGCACGGACGCCGAAGCCGTCCGGCAAGTTCACGGTTACCACCTCCACCAGTCCGGTCTTCCGTCCACGCTCCGGCGGTGGACGCTCGGGACGGACCACTTGCACGTAGTGCGTCGCGTCGTCGTCTTCTTCAGCACGGAGCTCCCCGTCCAGCGCCTCGGCCGAATCGCGGTACAACGCCGTGAAGTCAAAGCATACGGGCCGCCGCGAGCGACGCCGCAGCCGACGCTTCGCACTCGCCGAGTGGGCTTCTCGAACTCGATCTAGTAGCTTATTCCAAATATACGTAGCGTTCTCAGTGTAGTACTCGTTCGTCCATTTCTTCACATGTTCTCGCCAATCGATTTGGTCTTCATTTTCACCAGCAACTTGCTCACCATCGTGCACTAGGCGCACCCAGTCTAGATCAGGGGCTTATCACGAATCGGGGGGATCTCGACCGTGCCGCCTTCTTCTTCGCACGCAACATCTCGTCCTTGGTCTCCTTCAGCAAGAAGTACACGGCCTTGCGAGCCTCCGACCTCTCGCTCGGAGAAGCGCTCGAACTCGGTTCAGGAGCGTCCACGGGCGGGTCCACGCTTACCGCAGTGACCATCTCCTCGCTGTTCTCCTCACAGAAATCCACCGGGACCGCAATGTTCGCAGTCACGCTCTCCTCCATCACGGAGCCATCGACCGAGACGGTCGAGGCCTTCGGGTCCAGGTCGGACTCCGACAGGCCGAACGACTCGTACGTTGGCTCCTCGGTCGAGCGTTCTAGAGAGACGCAGCTGGCCAGTGACTGTTTGAAGTCACGGTTGGCTCGCTTGGCCTCCGCCGAGTTCTCCAGTGTGTTCCTGTACCAGTCCTCCCAGTACTCGGGCGAGGACGTGCCCTCGGGCGAGGCGTCCTTCATCTTGGTCAGCGCCTCGACCGGGACGCCCAGAAACTTCGACATCTCTTCCATGGACGGGTCCTTGGCCCTCTCCGCATTCTCCTTCACCTTGCGCATCAACTCCACTTCATCGAGGGGGTGGAGCCTGTCCTCCAGCTACTTGTCATACTCCTCGAGCTCCTCAGTGATGCCTGGAACGGAGGGTTTCGGCGCCTCGCACTCCATGGCGTCCAGCTCCTCGTCCGTGATGAGACGAGCGTGGCGGGGCGGCTCCTTAACGTCCTCGGCCGCCTCGACCACCTCGGAACTCTCGGGTACTTCCTTGCTCTCGGCGGTAGCGCCTCGGTCCTCCTAGGCGACAGCCAACTCGGTGGCGGGCCCTGCCACCGGCTCGGGCCCTACGACTACGTTGACGTTCTCCTCGGTGATGTGCTCGCCGTCCGACGATCCTCCGTCGTCGTTCCACTCGGCGAACAGTGTGTCCCCCACATCTACAGCGTCGCCCCACCCTTCGAAGGAGGGCCCCTCCGTCATCCAACGCGGACGGGGACCTTCCTTCTTCAGGATGCTTCGCAAAGGGGCCGCAGTCACTGACCTCGGCACCGCTCTCAACTCCGTCGGCGGCGGCACCTCCTCCGTGGGCACCTTGTAGGGTATGTTCGCGCTCGGAGGCGCAGCACAGAACGCTTCATCGTCCGCACTGGCCGCATAGAACACATCACCGTCGACTTCCTCTTCCTCGGAGTACGCCGACTACTCCGACCTCACGGACCGGTCCTCGTCGTACGCCGAGTCGACGGTCTCAGCCGCCGTCCCCTCTTCGTTGCCTACTCCACGCTCGGGGCTGCGGGCTGGGCCACTCGCGGGGTCTCCATCGCCCGCGGGGGCGTCCAGCTTGGTCGCCTCGGCCTCCTTAGTCTCTTCATCGTTACCATCGAGGGCGGCCCCATCATGGGCCCACGCCCCCTTCACCCTTGCACTCGGCTTGTCCTGCTCGGCGCTCTCCTCGGTCGCCGTCTTCCCCGCAGGGTACATCTTCTCCTTCTCGTCACTCGCAACGGCCCACGCCGCTTCTTCCTCGTAGCAATATGCAGGCTCTTCCGCCACGCTTTCCTCATTTTCGCCGTGCACAGACAACTCTGTCCAGCACTCAGCTTCACCTTCTTCCCGCACGGACAACACCGTCCGCCCCTGCTCTCGTTCATATTCTTCTTCGACGGAGACGCCGCTGGGTACAATCCACTCTTCCCGGGCCCCGGCAACCGTCTCAACTTCCACTTCCGCTCTTGGCGCATCTACGCGTTCCTCTTCGACGCTCCCTTCATTCACACTATTCTTCACAACCTTGTCCACCGTTTTCCTCGCCGTGACCGCAGAACGCCTTCGTCTCGCCTGCCTCCTACGATCACCCCCTGAGCCATCCTCTAGACTAGAGAAAGGAGTGGCTCCCTCCTCTCCTTCCTCCCGCCCCCGTCACTGTCGAGGGGTCGGATTGCTCTGGGCGGCCGCGTTCAACAAACTCGGAGTCGCATCACGAAGCGCGGCCAACACGGGGCACTGCATCACGGAGTGGCTCGCGTCTTGGCAGAGAACACAACCAGACGGAGCTTGAGTACCCCTAGCGGCTGCAGTCTGGCCTCCACCGTTCTGGGGCCTGTCACACTCGACTGCGATATGACCAAACGCGCCACAGCGCCGGCAGCTCATCGACGCGCGCTTGCACGTAGCGCGACCATGTCCCATGAAGTTACAGCGACCACACACAGGCGAACCATCCTGCGTGCGACTATCATCGCCCATCCGAATGCCTCGGAATGGCTGAGCGTTCCCTGGCCCACGACCGTTTCCATCGGGCTGAGTGGCAGGGGTGGCGGCCACTACCGGCGCTCGATTGCGAGGCGACCTAGGCGGCTGCCACTGGCGCTGCATAAGTTGCTGTTGCCACTGTTGTTGCTGTTCCATGAACGACCTCATCTGCTCAGCGAGGGCCTCTACCGCAGTCGTCGCGGGGGCCTCCTCCGACTTCTTGTTCTTCTTCTTGGACTCGCTGTCCGAGAACTCGTCGTCCTCCTCGATCGGACGGTGCATGTCCTTGAACATGAGCCACTCGCACGCCTCCGGAACGTCTGACGCGGGACTCGCGTCCAAGGTCGCCAGCATGCGCTTGTTCCGCAGTCCTCGGCGGAAGAGCTGGTACCGCATCTGCGGATTCGGGTAGTCGAGGGACTCGCACAGGTCCGAGACTACTCCTCCACAGACTCTCCGCGCTGCCTCTTCGTGTTCTCCAGCAGCTCCCACAGCTCGTCAGCCGTCCGGCTGAGGAACTGGTTATGGAACCGCACCTTGAGCGTCCTGAACGACTTGATCCTCGAGTTGTTCCACCACCGGTCAGCCTCGCGGCCTCGCAGCTTCTGACGGAACACCAGCAGTCTGGACCGGTCGGGGAAACCGTCCGTGTGGTCCTCGACGAGCTCCCAGAAGTCCAGTGCCTTCTCCACCGTGGCCGTGTCCGAATGGAACATCGGCAGCACCTTCACGGCGTGCGAGACTATCGTAGACAGGTTGTAGGCACTCGGCGAAAGTCCACTGGCACCGCGCCAACTCGTCGACGGTGCAGCCGTCGGAGCCGGCGGAGCCGTACCCGTTCCAGGCGTCCAACTTGCCGTAGGGCCCGTTGTAGGTTGCATGGGCATTCCGCCACCGACCGGCTTCGAGAACCCGGCCGGACCGCCGGCGAACTGCAACTTCTTCATCGGAGGGGGCGACTTGGTCGGCGACTTCACCGCGCTTCCGCTCCCCACTCCATCCTCCATACTCGGGGCCCTTCCCCGAACCATGTTGAGCGCTCCAGCTCCATCCGAAGGCAGGGCGATCCGTTCGGCGGGCCTTGGGACCCGTGTAGCGGGTGATGAACCCACTCGGGCCTCGCTGCGTCGGGACCGGCTCCTCCATCGCGTCGTGGTAGTCTTCCTCGTCGTCGGCGTACATCCCGTAGTCGTACCCATAGTCCGTCGGCTGAGCGTAGGGCTGCCCCACACTCGACCGTCCCATCGGACTCGAGACCGGTGGCTCCAGCGCGCCCTTCACGGTGGGCTCCGCCTTGACCTCCGCCACGGTCTCCGTCTTCATTCCAGCCGAGGTCACCGGCTGGACTCCAGTCGCGGTCTCCGTCTTGACCGCCTCCTTCTCTTCATAGTCTCGTCTTCATCATCTTCCCGGAGCTCACACATCACATCCGACACGGACGCTCACTCTTCAGCATACTCAGCGGTCTTCCTCCACTGCTCCAGACTCCTCAATTCCTCTTCAACCGGGCCCGGCGCGCCCGCTCCAGCCTGGCTGGGCGGCGGCGGGGCCCTCGGTCGCTGGGACGGCGGCGACGCTATCCCGATCATCGGCATCCCGGAAGCCGGTGTCGAGGGCCTCTGCCGATGTCGTTCGGCACGCTCATCTTCTGCTCGAGCGGCACGCTCTGCTTCGGTTCGAGCGGCACGCTCTGCTTCGGCCCGCGCGGCACGCTCTGAACGCGCTCTTTCTTCTTGTTCAGCCCGGCGGCGTGCTGCTTCCTCAGCGTTACCACCTCTTCCTCCTTGTCCTCCTGGCATCTTTTCTTCTCAGATTACCGTTCCTTGTTCACTCTCAGTTTACCGTTCCTTGTTCACTTGACCTCTTGCTCTTGACCCTGTACACTTGGCTCTTGTGTCTACGTTACCGTTCCCTTGTCCTACCGGCCTGGATCGCTCCTCTCACTGCTCCTCGACGCCGCTTTTCCCGCGCGGCGTGTACTCGTGTGCGGACTCCTGGGTCCTTCCCTGGCACACTTTAAACACGAGGAGGGGGGGGGGGTCACACGTCCAGTCACCAGGTCCAGACGCTCGGCTATTGACTCTGTTCACTTCCGGGCACAGGCTCTCAGCACTGTTCACTCCACAGTCGGCAACACTACCCTGCTTCTCCACCACGTGTCGCGAGTCGCTTGGTCGGACCGGTTTGGGGCCGGCCGCCGCTGTATTGGAGTAGTAAGTGCTGCCTGTGCTTATAGGTTTATGGGGCACAAATAGCAAGGAGATCACTAAGCAAAATGTGTGGTCCTTTTAAGCAAAATTCACGACTGACCTTCCTTCTACTCCTAACGCTTCCTCTCTACCTCTGCAGATCCTTGCGTTTCAGTGCCTTCGGGTGACTCCGTTCCCGCTCACCACCTCCCAAAGACTTGATCCGTTCACCTTGACGGCCCTCAAAGCCGTCCAACACGCCATCCGTCCCCGAAGTCCCGCCACGACACTGCGAGGCACATCATCCCTCCAAGATACCTCTAGGTAGCGGCCCACGGGTCTCCACCTTCGGTCCACGGCCCACTACTTCTCGCCCGCGGCCACAGCAAGTGGACGACCTTAGGCACTCATCGTCGCCCACGCAGAGTTGGAACGGTCCGAGCCGTTCCGACTCGGGACACGTGTTGCGGGCTAACTTACCTTTCTTACCTTCGTTGGTTGCGAGGTAGAAGCCAAAGCGGTCCATCGTCGCTGCTACACGTTTGCCGGAGGCATCCAAGAGAATGCTAGCCTCGACAAACTCAAGGCTAACCTTCTCCTCCTCCAACATCCGCTTGAATGCGGCGACGGCAGTATTCCGCGCCTTCTGCGTGTTCGTAGGAACGAAGGCAGCTAAGCTCATGCTGCTTCGTCTGCTACTGCTTGGTTCTTTTAATTGTGTGGTCAAACGCAAAGCCTACGTACTGGTTATCCTATCCACCGACCGGTTTCCTACCTTAGGAATAAACCTAGTTGTCAGAGCCATGACAATATTTAAAAAATATGTTAACTACTTGACATTTGTATGTACATATTCATTTTACTGTGTGGATTTCGACAAATATTTGTCGGAAAGTGTCGGAACCGGAAACCTACCCCTATTATCTCCTTTTTGCCAAAACTACACTATTGAAGCTCCGTGATTGGTCAAAACGCGAACTGATTAGGCCCAGTCACAATCCTGCCAGTCTCTCTGTCGGAAAGACCACTATATTCATCCATACAATAGCTACCAGAATCGATGATCTTTTTTTTGAGCTGATGATATGCTACTGTACAGTATCCAGTAATTCATGATGTGCTCGGTGAAAATATAGTTTACCGTAAATATCATTTAGATATGTGGCTTCTTTAAAAGTCACATATCTAAAGTTTATAACAGTTAACCTTACAGTTTATAACACCACTAAACATTTGACTTACAGTTGTAGTACTGGCTTTCTTCATTCGGAAATGTTTTAGTATTATTTGGAGTATTATCTTGCTCGCTGTTTATGCTAAAAATGCGATACCATATTGCATGATCCACATTAGCGTTCTCGTCATGGAGGATCGATGAAGCCGTCTTTATGGTGGCGACCTTGATCAGGGCGTCGGTCGTCCGTTGAACGTTACCTAGTGAATCTACAGTACAAGGCGAAACACGTCTACTTCAGATACTACAGTTGCAGCCTGACTGCGCTATCGATCAAAGGAAATGCACATAAATATCAAATCCGTACCCGGTGGCAGCCATGTGTCACCATCTTGAGGCAATCCAAACAAATAATCAACGAACAATCGCCAACTATAGTAACTTCAGTATAGGGATTTGTACTCCGGCGTAACCAGCTCGGCTTACCATTTCTCATAACAATTTTGATCAGCTCAATACAACGATACAACCAAACACGATGGTGTATCAACTTTTTTAACAGTGAAAGCGTAGCATGGGTTCGTTACACTGGTTCTGCCTGTTTGATTGGCTCAAATGTTCGCCCACTTCTCGCACGGCGGGCGCACAAGGGAACAGCATACCGTCGCTGCGATGGCTGCCTTCGTCGTCATGAACGCAGGCGCCAATCTAGGCGGGACAAGGTGGCAATTTGGGCAAGACCTCAAGCCGTCACAGCAGACCCTGTGGTCATGAAAACTACTTTATCAATCGGTAGACTCACTCAGTAGACTCGATGCTAACTGGTCTGAGCAGTGGCGGTCGTCCTGGTACTGGGGCCCAAGAGCTGCCACGCACGGCACTTGCAGTCATATGACCAAGATCGCGAGCGCGGATACGACGTCTTTGGTCTGCTCGCTGCTAGCAGCAGAGGCGGGCTGTGAACTTTCGTTGCGCTCAATTAAGACATATTATAGCAACAGCTTTGTATTTGAGGTTGTTGCACGCGCCATCTCGTGGTCCAGTCGCCGAGAAACGCCGACAGGAGCACGGGCTCGTCCGGAGTCCCAGAGCGGGAAGGCAATGCGAGCAGCAGGAGATGGACAAGGTGCCCAGCAGCGGCGTCTAAGTGCCCGCACCTGCTGGGGAGGAATTGCACCTAGTCCAGTGGTGGTAATATGTAGGAGAATGCACTTTTCAATACCTATTAAAATAGGTGTAGACGAAAAAACTAATGAGCGCTTTCAAGCTCCAGGACTCCTCGGTCCATAAGCCGCCGTCTGGCAAAAGCACTTCAAAGCCTTATTTTTGACCAATCACATACCTCTATCTATGCGTCACCTGGTCTGGTTACGGAATCTCGACACACTTTACAACTAGGGGTTCTCACGTAATAGGCCACTGGACACGATGGCTATTCCACAGAAAGAGGCACCAGCAGCCTCTGAGAGCTCTCCTATGAAGGTCTCCTTCGTCCGCAACGCGCGCTCCCCTCTGCTGGCTCTGATACTCATCGCCAGCGTCCTCGGTACGACCATCTATGTCAACACTATGCTCGCCACCAACGCCTCCGTCGGCCTCAGCAACAGCTTGGGAGTCAGCGCGTACAACCGCTCGCAGGTAGACTGGAAAATGGACACCACCGCGTTTAAAGACAGCGTCGCCAAGCCCTCACACCCGACGTCTGCCATCTACCGTCGAGGCGAGACGTTTGACAGGAGCGTCGGCCGCGAGCGTGGAATCATGGTGTGTCTGCACGACGCCATGCTCAACATGGGGTTGTCCCTCATCCGAGAACTGCGTTGCCTTGGTAACCGAGAGCTCATTCAAGTGTATCACTGTGGGAAGCAAGAGCTATCCCAGAAGTCCGTTGAGCTGCTCTTCCGTCTCGACAACCGCGTCGAACTTGTCGACGTGTGCACCGATCTCTCGACGCGCGGCGTCATCTCCACCAACATGACAGCCAAGTTTCGGAACTGGTGGATCAAGCCGCTCGCCATGTACCACACGGACGTGCGGCACGTGATGCTGCTGGACGTGGACGACGTGATCATGAAGGACCCGGCGGTTCTACGCAGTCTCGAAGGATACGTGAACACCGGCACAACGTTCTTCTACGACCGCGTCATCACCAACAAGAGGTTCCTCACAGGAAACGACACAGGGAAGGTGTACCTCCATAAACTACTGCACGAGTTTGACTACGCCCGATTCAATGTGCCCCGGGGATTCGGCCCGTCACGGCACATGTTCAACACGTTTGCCTTCAAGTCCAAGTCAATCCACGAGATGGATTCGTCCATGGTGCTTATTGACAAGGAGCGTGCCGGGAAGGCTGTCATGGACATCATGCTCTGGTTTATCACTGAGGAACGATTTCGGTTCACGTACTCGTGGGGAGACAAGGTACAGTAAGCTGATCTCTATTGTGTTCTATCGTGGTATGGGGCCTCACCATTTCTCTGTAGGAAACGTTCTGGTTAGCGTTCGAGCTGGCTCATGCACCGAATTTCTTCTCACCATGGGGAGTCAGTGGCGTGGACTCAATGCCCAACGAAGACCTAAAGAACCACCCGGATACCCTTTGCGGTAGCATTCTCCAGTATATGCCAGTGGAGGACACTGGAACGGACGGTCAGCCAGAAGTTCTCTACATGAACGGCAAAGCGCTTATCGACCCGTACCCCCAGGGCATCGGATTTATTCGTAAGGCCAAGCAGAACAATCTGCTCAACACGATCCCGACGCAGATGACGCCTCGCCAACGTCGTCGGGCAGTGAACATGTTCGCGCACCCTGGTAAGAAATTTAACACGGAGTGTCTCGTGGGTTTGGGCGCTACTCCGTTGCCGGATAATTTCTCTCAGAACCTCCTGCGTCGCCGTCTTCACTTTCTGGGCATCGCGATGGGCGTACTTGGGTCTTCAGAGAATTGTGAGACGTATAGCAGCTAGATTCTGAGCGATGTTCATGCTGTAGACGACATAATAGACGCGTAAATTAAGCTAGGTTGCAGGTTGACTAATTTTTCGCTGCCGGAGTTCTGCTGCTTTCTTTGCAAACCGGCGTAGGTGAAATTCTAGCTCGGCATAGCTAAAATCCGTGAACTCCTGCGTGTAGAAGTTTGGATTTTTGTGCAGCTCGCGGCCGCCGAAGCATCGCTGTATACCGGTGAGCTTATTGACCGAGACATGCTTCTCGATGATGTACTCGGAACGCGGGGAGGTGTCACGGAAGGAAACGAGGTGGGTCCAGATTTCAGGGTCCGGGTATCCGTTGTCTTGGGCGGTAGCTTGTGCAGCATTCTGAGGTACGGTTGCCAGCGCGCTTTTCAAGCGGGGATCAAAGTCTTGGAGCTTCGCCTCGCCTGTGAGCTTGAGTTGGTTCCGGTGTAGGAAGATAACGTCTCCACTGGGGTCGTGCTGGGCCATTGTCATCCCACAGAACAAGTCCCGCTTCAGCTCGCCTGCTACAGCAGGAGGAGTTTTGATCATGTGGAATGAGGCGCCAAGCTTCAGCCACGCGAAGCGATAGAGGTCCTTGTCGCCCCATGCCAAGTGGAGACGTCTGAAGTAGTTTGGCTGGTGGAAGGCGTAAAACGTCACAAGCGCAAGTGGAGCCGCATGCCGCTTGCGGTCGATGAGTAGCTGACCGCTCTCCTGCTCGAACATGTCGACGAATGGCATATCAAGCAGCTGCCAGACCAATGAAGACGGGTTGATAAAGAAAATAGTTTGGCCGGGGTGCCAGAAGTCGGGCCAGAAGACGGCGCCAGTCTTCACAAACTCGGGTGTCGAGAACAGATAGCTCGGATCTCGCACAGGCACGTTGTCAGCGTCCAGAAACAACACCTGCTCGAATTTGCTGTGGTAGATAGCGTAGATCTTGGAGTTGAACTGAAGCGCGTGCTGATGTCGAATCGCCTGGAAGGTGATCTCTCCGCCTGACTTGTTCCTAGCCAGATCCCAGAGCGGCTCGAGCACTCCAGGTACCTTGTTCATTTCATCACGGCGCAGCCAAATCTCAATCGGTAACGAGCAACCTAACTCGTCTCGAAGCGCGCGCACAGTGGCGTAAGTGCTGGCCACCAGCTCCGGATACACCACTATGACAATGCCTTGACGCAACTTCGGGTCCGTGCGGTTCGTGTTCGGCAATGCATATCCCGGGGCCAGCGCCTTGTCCACAGCTACCTGCGCATTTGCGCGGAAGTTGGCGAACCCCGGCGCGTCACTGCATCGAATTGAAGCTCCTCTGAACGTGTCGGCACAAGTCCGCTTCATCACCATGAACCTTTCGAGGGAGTCCAGGTCTTCGACTTCGCAGTAGCCCGACGAGCCCGGCGGTATTGACCTGTCGCAGTCTTCATCGTTTTCAGGTACTCGCCTTCCGCTCGGATTGCAGCCCGCTGTAGCTCTCCACCCGATGCACCTCAACCATCGAGTCTGCGAGATGTTCGACGGGAAATCCGCAACACCGCTGAGCTCCGCGGTGTTAGCAACCCGTTCACTGCCTTGAAGCAAACTATCGGCGGTTGCCTCGACCTCGCTAGCATTTTTTGACAGTTCGGACCCTTGCTTGTTGCGCTGGAATATGCTGGCGGCGGGTCTCCGTTGCATCGCGTCGGGGTCCCGCAGAGTCCAGCTCAGAATAAAGCTGGCATACAACAGACTGCTGAGCAACAGCACGGCCAACAGCGCCTGTTGCCAGCGTAGCCCCCTCGTCGACTTTGACTCGCGCCGTGGCTCCATCGTTGAGTGCAGAGCGAGAGGTCTGGACTGTCGACTCGACGGTGTGGCGTCGGGATAAGCTGGCTGCGAGTGAGCCGAAACTTTTTCGTAATTCCCGAATCAATCTAATGCCTGTGCTTGGGATAAAGCGTAGAGATGGTCAGGTTGCAACGAGAGTCCACCAGGAACAGCTGAAGCGTGCTGCAGGCACCATTGCATGCAGCGGAGTTCAGCTTTTGACAGCGAGGAATGCATTGTTTCCGAGCCGAGCGAGACGTACATTGCCCGATCTGGACAGGATCTGGCCGCTCGGGCCGACGGTGGAGGCTTTGGAGAAGTCGCAAGGAGGATGGCAACGGCATTTACTCTGCGGCAACGGCAGCCCAATACTGTATGCCCTGAGAAGGAATTCACAGTGCGATTGTTCTGTCCGAAGGCTCAAACGACGCAAATGATCGGCCCGTCCCCTACATGGAGCATGTGCTTTCAAAGCACTGCTTTGCCGCTCGTGGTCGTCACCACAATCCCGGGATCAAATGGATACAAATGCTGGATCAGGTGAGCGGGGGCTCATTATCGCAACTGACCGCAAATACATCAACATTTTCCAAACTGACCCTAAAAACATCAACTCTCTTCCTTAATTGGAGACGAAGTTCCCACTTATAATCATCTATCACTCCTCTTTACTCTATTTCTTACCTCTCTTTACTTACCTCTCTTAATCTGAGACATGAACGGTTAGGGTTTACATCTAGAATCGCTTCCCCGGGGCCAAAAATTGCGCAGAAAAACATGGTTGAAGAAGAACTCTCTCTAGATCCATTGAAGCGCCTTACTGCGTAAAAACTGGAGTGACCCCTTCTGAGAAGGGGTCGATGCCATTAAAGTGGGGAGACACGATTTAGCCTCGACGATAAACGCTAATCAAACAGGCAGAATCGCGGGTTTAGATAAATTGCTACACTTTAGATCGCACAGAGCGCAAAAAAAAACGCCACCAAGTCCTCGGCTTCACTCTGATTTAGAGTGCCAAGTCAGCGCTTGCATCCATTACTACGAGTGAGTTAGTGCTGGGAAGGGTGGAATTGCTGAAAGAGAGTGCACTTCAACTTGCCTGCATGGATATGTGCTACGCAGAGCTCACCATGTCCCAATACTCTAGCTCGTTTAGCGATAGCCTGTAGCCTACAGGATAGCTCCTGGCAGTGATGCAGGTGGCCTCCTTATACCCTGGGGCCCCACACCACGCACTAATTGTATATTAATACGCAACTAGCTCCAAGCCGCAACGACGCGCTGCCCTGCTGGTCGCTGGGCCCTACTACGCGGACATGCTTCACGGGCACCCCGCGCGGGTGTGCTTTGGCTCCTCGCAACCACTTGCTGCCGATAGAATAGATAATCTTGGGATAGTGTAACATTTTTAAATTGTGTAAAGTGATATGGTAGCACTAGAGAGGAAGTACGGCGGGCATCGGGAGCCGAGATGCTGTATTGATGAGTACGCTGGAAAATCGAAACTGAATATTATAGCTTTTAACAACAACTATCCCTTGCTACGTGTATTTGCTTTGGGCTGTCGGCTACCACTAATTGATCTTGAACCACTGGTGCTGCAGTTCACCCTTGCGGTTAACCGTGATCTAGGGTTTCGCGAGATATAGTCCAGCATCATTCGTGGCACTAATTTAGTGCTCTCTTGCTGCTGGTGTGTAATTGATCTCGCGGCAGAGAGTATTTGCCAGAGGTCCGAAAATACAGTACTATATTGAATTGAGTACGAGATCAGACCGTAATAAAAATTACAATTCAGCAAGGAGAAATAATAAAAATTGCCGCAATATAAATATACTGCTCTTCAATTTGAGGCATTTCTACAGAAGAGTAGAAATGAAATAAACCACTTTCTGTGCGTCATATGATTACAGAGTCGTTTAGAAACACTTTTTTGGGTGTTGCTTTAGAAATCTTTGCATGGTGGATGCTTAAACAACCTACCGGTAGTAATACGTGAGCGATATATATCTGGATCTTGCTATATATCGTTAATCTGGTGTAGTAGATTCCAGGGTTTCACCTTGGTATCACCGCAGTTAAGGGCTCGATAGCATGTCGCGGCGGTGACCCACGCCAGCCACAGGTAATGGGTTCACCGCATCATGACCAGTCAAGCTTCACACAGACACACTTCATAGTGTGTGCACCTGATATGACGTTACAGACTAAGCATTTTGTATGATCAACTGCTTCGCGGACCCACTTCGCTTTTTCTCCTACAATTGCCTCAAAAGGCGTACACACTATATCAAAACATAAAGCTCAAGTCCCTAGAAGATTGCCATCCGCTGCCGTCGCCTGATGTGATGTGTTCGGCGGGATTCACTACATCTGGACGTCATTGATGTTCTGACTTGCGTACATATTGGTTTCTAAAGATGTTGATTGCCCATTATGGCTTTTACTGCACCTTAATCGTTGCCTATGTAGACCTAACTATCATTTTATGACGTACTTTGCTATGTTTGGCGCCCGTGCAACCTTTTATCGTATTAATTGTCAATAATTGGTATAATACTGTATTGTATTGGAACCGTTGATCTCCAATAATAAAAATTAGTATTACAAACCCAATTATTTATTGGATCGCAATTATTATTTCGGACCTCTGGTATTTGCTGATAATGAAGACTTCATCATGCAGCTCCACCAGTGTTGCTAATTGCTTATTGGTTTGATGACCTGCATCGGTTAAACTGAGAATCTAAATTACAACGGTCGCGAACACGCCCGTAGCCCTAAGTTTGCTTGAAGCAAATTGCTTCACTACACTACAAAAAATGGTCATGGTGATTGATAAGAGTAATTGGATCAATTAGAGGGTCGGGACGTCGGCCTGAAGTGGAGATTCCACTGCAGGGTGTCGGCCCCCTAAGCAACTCTACGCAGCAATGCGACTGAGGTGCTCCATTACTAGTGTATGAAAACGGTAGTGAGCGGTTGCGAGGAGCGTAGCCGCAGCAAACCCGCGCGGGGTGCCCGCGAAGCAGGGCCGCGCGGTATTTGCGGAGGCGGGCCCAGCGACAAGCATTCCAGCGAACGGACCCGTTGCCGCAACTCGGAGTTAGTTTTCTTATAGCGGGGGTCTGGGGGTTGCACCCCCAGTAACTTACACAGAGTTGATGTTTTAGGGTCAGTTTGGAAAATGTTGATGTCAGTTGCGATAATAATCCGGTGAGCGGGGCGCGTGCACACCCAACTGAGACACGTTGAAAGTGCAGTGTTGCTGGTCTTGGTGGCATGACCTAGGATAGAAAGGATCGCGTTATACTAGGACGAGGTCACCGCCGTCTTCATTTCGGTATTCTCGGTCGTCTGCGACGACGCCCAGCAATACGTACTGAAGTGTGCGATTCGAAGACCAGCGATGCGTTCGCGTATGGATACAATAGAGGAGTCGAGAAGATGCATTTTATTCATCGTCTTAGTGCTCGTCGTCCTTCCCACAGTTCACGCAGTCACGGAGATCGACGACCTCCTCCTGGACAGCAACAACACTTTGTATCTCGAACCGAAGCGACTACCATCAGGGGAAACAGCTCGGCGCAGACTCCGATGCATTGGCTGGCGCGCCACTGCCAGCTGCACCCCCGATGGCCCGCGCGAGTCTCACAACGACAAGAGCTGTATCGACACTATCACTGGCGGTTCAGCGGATACTGCGAGGTTGAAGACTTGGACTCGGGCGAGCGCTTCCAAGTCATGCGCTCCCACTGCAGTGGGTTGCAGCGCAAGGTCTCTTTCCGTTGCTCGGAGGTCCCCTACTTCGCAAGTTTTCGCGCCGACGCCCATGCAGTCGTGAAGAAGGCATACGCCAAAGGGTTTTCGCTGCCATATGTTGCCAACAACAGCCAACGCTCCTCACGCGACGGCATTGTTATGGTCGTCTACCCTACAGTGCTCGCTAGTGCATACGCCAGCATCCAGGTGATTCGAGACGTGTTGGGGTGCCGCCTACCGATTGAAATCTGGTTCCACGTCGATGAAATTGGGAAAAACTTCGCGATGCTGGCATCACTGCAGCGGCTCGCCACCCAATGTCCAATCCACGAGCGAATGGGGCCTTGTCCAAGATCTTCGCAATCTACCACAGCGACTTTAACCGGGTGCTAGTCTTGGACGCGGACAACGTACCCGTGCGTGTCTTGAGTTCGAGACGACTGACGCGATATTCTGGCCGGACTTCTGGCACCCGAGACGGACGATCTTCAACGTGCATGCACAGTCGATGCTGTGGGAATTGCTGGACACCTCTTTCGTGGATATGTTCGAGCAGGAAGGAGGACAGCTGATCGTGGACCGTACTCGGCATGCAGCACCTTTGGAGCTGGTCTACTTTTACGCATTTCACGAACCTATTTACTTCTGGAAGCTGGAGCTTGTGTACGGTGGCAAAGATTTTCCGTTTGGCGTGGCTGAAGCTTCAGGCTCCGTTTCACATGATTGCGGCAGTCCCTGCAATGGCTGGGCTGTGAACAATGGATCGTTCTGTGGTATGACAATGGCGCAGCACGACGCGGATGGTGAAGTGCTGTTCCTGTACAGGAACCAGCACAAATTGACTGGCGAGCGCGATGAACGGTGGGAGGAGGCGGCGGCAGCGAAGTCAACATCGGAAAACGTGGAGATCCCATCGCCCGAGTCGGTAATGGCTCCGCAGTCGGCAGAGTACCCCGACCCAGCCATCTGGACGCATTAGATGTCGTTCCGGAAGAACACGAGTACATCGTTGTATGAGGTCGACGCGTATCGTGCTGAGCTTGAGTTCCCGCAGTGGCAACCATGCTACGGCAAACGATATGTGGACGATCCTTCGAAATACAGGAGGTCGCAGACCTGAGCTTCTCAGGCATCGAATTGGACTTGCGCCATTACGCGATGGAAGCTAGGAAGCACTGATGCAGCGGTAGTACGGTACTGTTGCGAGAACAAGCAGGTGAAGCAATAAGTCAAAACTTCGGGAGCCATTTCAGCCAATTCAACATGCATGTTTACAGTACCCGTGGTATCCGTTTTTATCAAATCCGTAAACTTCAGTTTGATCTGCATAAGACTCCAATCACCGATTCAAAACCTCAGTTATTCTCCGCAAAAGGTTGTTTAACATTAAAGAAGCACTTTACGAAGCTAATACGAGTATCTTAGTTCCTTCAAAGAGAAATAAAAGCTTCGGCTATATTGCAAGCTAGAGGCTCGTCTGCCGTCTGATTGCGAGTCATCTGTTGCAGTCTCATGCCGCAACAGGATGCCGGCCCGCTCTGCCGTGCGCTCGCCGCACTCGCATATCCGCCCGGCTCGGGACTCGAACACGTGGACGCAATGGCTGACTCGACCGCGAAGTTGCCCCTCGCTCCGCCGAAATGCCGGCCGGGTTTGCTGCGGCTGATGCTGGTGGGCAGCGTGCTCTACTCGCTGATGGTCCTGCTCTGGGTCGTCTCGAGCGTCCACGAAAGCTCGGGGACGCCTGAGAGTTTTCCGATGTCGATCGTCCACCTCTTCACAAACAGCAACCAACACGCTGCGACGCCCGAGGAATTGGCGGCCGAGGCCCACGCGTTGACGGTTCAGCCCCTTCCGGGTGGGACGACGGCCGAGCGTCAATTCCGATGCATCGGGTGGCGAGCCACCAGCGGCTGCAGTGCGGACGGGCCCCGAGACTTGGCCAACGACAAGGCGTGCAACCGCCTGGTGGAGGACGGGGCTTCGGGATACTGCGAGGTCGAGGACGTGGAATCGGGCGAGAGGTTCCGTGTGATGCGCCGCGGGTGCAGCACCGTCAAGAAAGGAGCCAAGTTCTACTGCTCGGACGCGCCGGACTTCGCAAATTTCGACTTCAAAGCGCGTCAGGCGGTGGCGAAAGCGGTGGCACCGGGGTTCAATTTGCCTAATGTAAAGGAGGACGGGCCACCCAAAGCGGGGATCGTCATGGTCGTGTACCCGAGCTTGTTGGCCAGCGCCTATGCTTCAGTGCGAACGTTGAGGGAGGTGCTCAAGTGTCGACTGCCTATTGAGATTTGGTACAGAACGGACGAGTTGAGGAGGGTGCCTGGAGCACTGGAACCACTCAAGGAGCTGGCGGAGAAGGATGGAGCAGACGGGATCACGTTTCGGGAGATTAAAGACAAGCGAGCTCTTCGCTTTGCAGCCAAAGTGCACGCAGTGTACAACAGCAACTTCGACCAGGTGCTGTTCCTGGATGCGGATAACGTTCCCGTGCGTGATCCGGCGTATCTGTTTGAATCGGCGGAGTTTGTGAGGACCGGCGCTGTCTTCTGGCCGGACTTTTGGCACCCGCAGTACACCATTTTCCACATCATGGGCGACTCATTGCTGTGGCAGCTGCTGGACATGCAGTACGTCAACATGTTCGAGCAGGAGAGCGGCCAACTGCTCATTGATCGTCGCCGCAATGCAGCTACGATGGAACTCGTGAATTTCTTCACGTTTCACAGTCCCAACCATTTCGAGCAGCTTAAACTCGTGTATGGCGACAAGGACCTCTTCCGATACGCGTGGATTAAGCTCAATGTCCCGTTCTCCATGATCCAAACAGCGCCTGCTGTGGCGGGCAAGGTCGTGAATGAGTCTTTCTGCGGTATGACAATGGTCCAGCATGACCCCAATGGCGACGTGCTGTTCCTTCACCGCAATTCCAACAAACTAACGGGCAAACTCAAGCGACAAGAGATCAACTACGACGTTGAAGCGCGCAAGCAGGCTCGACTGAAGCTGCTCGACAAAGGGGTCCCAGTTGTGCTGAACGACGAACTTGTACAAGTTGAACGCGAGATTTTGATGCGAACGCCTCCACCCACTTTGGAGCCACCAGAGCCCGACAACCTCCCTGACCCAGCCATGTGGACGCACTTGTGGTCGTTCCGCAACACCTCACGTCGCATCGACTACAGAATTCGCTCTTACAGTGCCGAGCCTGACTTTCCAGAGTGGCAGCGGTGCTACGGCCAGCGTGACATCAGCGGCAACGAACACTTCTACGCCCAGAAGATCGCCGGCTTCAGCTTTTCAGGGCTCGAGACCCACCTACGGCGTTTTGCAATGGAAGGGGCTCAACAGCTTGAAAAGTTTCAAGCCTCCATGAAGACCACGTAGCCCCGATTGAGAGCGCGTATGTAGAATAAATCTAAATTATGTAGACGGTAGATATCTCTATTGTCACTACAACTACACTGTTCGAGTGTTCAATCTCGCGTAACGTTTGTCGGCTGCCCTCCTACCCACGCGATGCTCTGAGCATGCCGAAGTCGAGCTGCTTCCATTGCAAATCGGCGAACGTCCGTCTCGATCCCGGCGAAACTCAAGTTCGCGATCTCCCGCAGCTCGAATAACTTCTGCTTCTCGACGTACCGTCGGCCATAGCACGGCTGCCACTCGGGGAATTGAGGATCGGCGCGATACGCGTCCACCGAGTAGAGTCTGCGGCTCGCGTCCTTGCGATACGACAGCAAGTGCGTCCAAATGACGGGATCCGGGTACCCTTCAGGCTGCGGAGCTCCGAACGCTTCTCCAGGAGGGACGACTTTGTTCTCCATTGCCTCTTTCTCCAGTTTCTCGTCACGCTCACCCGTTAGTTTGTGCTGGTTGCGGTGCAAGAAGAGGACCTCTCCTGCCGCATCGTGCTGCACCATAGTCATCCCGCAGAACGATCCGTTGATCGATCGCCCAGCCATGGCTGGCAGCGCTTCGATCATGTGGAACGGAGCCTTCAGCTTCATCCAGGCCAGACGGAACAGGTCCTTGTCGCCGTACACGACGTCCAGCTTTACGATGAAATTGGGCTCATGGAAGGCGTAGAAGTAGACGAGTTCCAATGGAGCAGCGTGCCGTGACCGGCCCACCAGAAGCTGGCCACTCTCCTGCTCGAACATGTCCACGAACGGGGTGTCCAGAAGCTCCCAGAGCATCGAGCGAGCGTGCAAGTTGAAGAGCGTGCGTATTGGGTGCCAGAAGTCGGGCCAGACGACCGCTCCGTTCGCCTCGAACTCGGCACTCGTGAACAGGAAGCTCGGGTCGCGCACTGGCACGTTGTCTGCGTCCAGGAAGAGCACGCGCTCGAAGTGGCTGGTGTAGATAGCGAACACCTTGGATAGAAACCCTTTGGCCCGCGGGTTGTACATCGGGTGGAACGAGACCTCACCGACCAAAATGGCGAGTTGCTGCAGCGGGGCCAGCAACGCGTAGTCGCTGCCGATCTCGTCGACGTGGAACCAAATCTCGATAGGCAGTCGACAGTTTAGGACGTCGCGAAGCGCCCGAACGGTAGCGCTGGCCAAGAGCTTTGGGTAGACAACCATGACGATGCCGTCACGAGAGGGTTCTCCCTTGTCAGTGGTGACGTGAGGCAGGGAGAAACCGGGGGCTAGAGCTTCTGCACTGCTGCGTGGCCGTCGAAGCGATAATTCACGAATGACGGAGCGTCCGAACAGCGGAACTTCACGTCGCCCTTCAAGCTGGTGCAGTGTCGCTGCATGACCTGGATCCGCTCCCCCGTGTCGATGTCCTCCACTTCACAAAAGCCGGACATGCCGTTGACGATGAAGTCGGAGCATTTCTTGTCGTTCTGGGGCTCGCGGGGTCCGTTGGGTCTGCACCGGCCTGTAGCTCTCCAGGCCACGCATTGAAGGCGCCGAGGTGCTGCTTCCCCCGATGGATAAGGCCTCGCTGGCACCCGTGACTCTTCTTGGACTGCAGAGGGCTGGGCATCGTCGATGGTCTTGTCCGAGTTGCTAGACGCCCACACGACCAACAACGACACGTAAACGAACGCGCCCAATGTGAGCAAAACGCGCGGCCACCGCTGCCAACACCGCACGACCGGCTCCGACAGTGCGCGAATGGGACTTCCAGGCGCGTCGATCAGCGGCTCCGTCTCCGTCGTCTGGCGCTGGGCTTGGCCGTAGACTTGGGGCAGCATCGGCGCCGCGGTTGCCATCGAGCCTCTGCGCCTTTACAGTCGAAATCTCGAGTGGGGCATGGCCTCGACCACCCCCTGCCGGTCCTCGCTATGCCAAAGTGAGGCGCGGCCAGGTGTGGATTTTCTCCATCTCGGGCTGCCAAGTTTTTCAGATGGCGTGGAAGGATCATCAGACCGCCAGTCCGACGCCGCGTCCACGCTTGTAAAAGCATCCGCGCAGAGTCTGCACCACGTTGCAGTCGCGGCCCGCGACTCGCACTAGTCCCGGCTGTATATTTTAATGTACCTCGCACAGGAAGTACAATAATCTGCCCGAGTAAGGAACGCCTGATATATATAAAAACGCAGAATATATCAATTGATGTTCAGTTGAGTATACTTTTCCAATGTACTGATTTAGTTATTTCAAAATGAACTGAAGAGCAGCTTTACCTACGAGTCCGGAATGATTCCAACAGTGGCGTATGGTCGAAGCACTAACCTTTGACCAGGCATCCTCGCACCACAACAGCGCTGTCAAATGGGTGGAGTGGGGGAGGAGGTGGGCTTGTGGGGCGAGGTGCAAAAGCAAAAGTGCGAGTCTACCACTACAGTACATGTAGTTTGAAGTCTAGTAAGATCGCTAAATGCGCGCCATTTTTCAAACGAGGGTGGAGAGCTGATGATTGGCACTGGATTTTTCACCTTAGTACCTCAGTACCTTGCAGTACCTTGTATCGCCACATCGACTGGAAAATAATATTAAATATGTGAGGCTATTAGTTGTACACCCGTTCCTTATTCGTGCAGAATTCTGTACAACAAGCTCTCAAGATTTGCGCGCTACTTCTGCAAACACATTGATTTAGATGAGTGTACAGCGAGACCTACTGCGACAAGTGGCACGATGCGGGAATACCTCCACCGTATTCTTGAGCTAAGCTTGTAGTAAGTCAGTACATACTCATTTATGTTCAGACCGCGTGAATCTTGTTGATTCGCAAACATCATAAGTACCACTGTGGCGAATAGGCCGGGGACGCCTGTGGTTGAGCGCTGCAATGGTGGCGTTCTGCCCCAGCACTGCTACATGTAATGTAGACTGCTGCAGGGGTTCGTCACTCTACGTTGAATATCCGACCTCGTTCCACTGCATTTAGCCAGCACTACCGGTTCGGACTGCTCTGCAGTCGCGGCCGTCAGTCAAACGCAGTGAGGTGATGATGCGACGATCAGCGCAGCACCTGGTAAACAAACGCACAGCATCGCATCATCGTGGAAGATCATGTACAGTAATGTGTCTCTTTAAAGAACGGGTGAAATCCTATATGATGCAAGAAGAAATAATCCCACTATGCGTCCGCATATCAGTCCAGGGTACTGGTCTAGTGTCACTAACAGCAAATCAGCACATCGATATTAGAATACATCCAATCAGAGGTCATAAATAAGAGAGATGGGCATACGTTTGTATATTAAATCAGTGAATACGACAGATGCATGTGACAAGACAAACCTCTCATTCAATATACACTCTTTCTCTTCATATATATCAGGCGTTCTTTGAGCAGACACATTACTGTAGCAAGGTGTACCTCATCGTGAGTCCACACATGAAGCCGGACAGAAAAATCGTTGGGGGGGGGGGGGGGGGCGAAGGCCCGAAGCTCTTGAAGCAGCTAAGAGGGCGGGGCGTTGGGGCAGACTGGCGGCAAATGGCTCGTTGTATCTCGTCAGAGTCGACTCGAGGTTTGCTTCCTGGACTGACACGAAGATGTGTGTGTCATGCCGAAGATTACCCGCAAGAAGAGCAAGTAGGGTGATCTCTTTCCGTTGCATCGTTGTACTGAAAAGCTGGCCTTATAACTTAATCTTCGCGTCTTATGTGGCTAACCAAGGTAACTTTGCATTACCACGGCGAATCCGCGCTGCCTCCATGGCAAACCGCCGAACGTGCGTCTCCAAGCCAGAAAAGCTCAGGTGGGCGAACTCCTGCATCTCGAAATACTTGGCTCTCTTATAGTCGCGTTCGCCATAGCACCGCTGTCTCTCCTTGAAATCTGGCGCCGCATAGTACGACTTGACCTTGTACTCATAACGGGGGGCATCTTTCCGGAAGGACAGCAAATGCGTCCAAATGGCTTGGTCTGCCATTCCGTCGGGTTCTGCCGGTTCAAGCCTTGGCGGTGGCGTCTTCCTTATCGTCCTGACCTCTCCTTCCACTTCCTCCACAGTGGGGATTCTGTGGATGCCCTGCTTGATCAACCTCGACCTGATGCGCTTCCTGGCCTCGATGTGATAGTTCACAGGCTTGTACAAAACCTCGCCCGTGAGCTTCTTGGCATTTCGGTGCAAGAATAACACATCGCCCTGAGCGTCATACTGGACCATGGTCATGCCACAAAATGAAGTCCCGTTGACTGCGCCGGCGACCCCAGGAGGCGTTTGAACCATGTAAAACGGCACGTTCAGCTTGATCCAGGCGAAGCGGAAGAGGTCCTTGTCTCCCCACAGCAGTTTAAGCTGCTCGATCGGATTCGGTTTGTAGAATGTGAAGAACCGCACGAGCTCCAATGGCGCGGCGTGCCGTCGTCGGTCAATCAGAAGCTGGCCGCTCTCCTGTTCAAACATGTCCACGTACGGCATGTCGAGAAGTTCCCACAGCAGCGAGTCCCCGTGCAGGTAGAAAATGGTGTACTGGGGATGCCAGTAGTCAGGCCAAAAGACAGCGCCCGTCCTCTCAAACTCGGGAGACTGGAACAAATACGTTGGATCTCGGACAGGCACATTGTCGGCATCGAGGAAGAGGATCCGATCGAAGTCGCTGTTGTAAAGTGCAAACACTTTGGCTCCGAAGCGAACAGCCTCCGAGTCGTTGATCTCGCGAAAGATGATGTCGCCCACGGTGTCGTTCTGCGCTAGCTGCTGCAGGGGGGTGAGCGCTCTCGGTACGCGATCGATTTCATCCTGCCGGAACCAAACCTCGATGGGCAACCGACAGCCCAAAACATCGCGCAGGGTGCGGATCGTGGCGTACGCGCTGGCAATGAGCTTGGGATACACAACCATGACAATTCCATCTTGAGCTTCTTCGTTTTGCGCGACATTGGGGGGAGCAGAACCCGCAGCGAGAGCGTCTCGAACGGCATTCATGGCCTCCACGTGGTAATTGGCGAACTGCGGAGCGTCAACACATCGAAACACTTGGGACTTCTTGTAACTCGCACACGTCCGACGCATGACACGGAAGGACTCGCCTGTGTTCGCGTCCTGAACCTCGCAGTAACCGGAGCTCCCCTCAGGAACTTCCTCCTCACAACTCGAGTCCTTCGCCACCACACGCGGACCGTCGGGTTTGCAGCCACTTGTGGCTCGCCAGCCAAGGCACGTGAGGTTCCTCCACTGCAATTGTCCGCCTGGCAGGTTCGGAACGGAGTCTGCGTGCGCCACCGCCTCCAGCTCCTCAGGCGAAGGCGTGCGTCGTATCTCCTCCACTGTGTCCTTGACCTTCTGCAGCACGTGAGTCATGGGTCGCTGCACCTGCTCCAAGACCGTCTCAAACTCCATCGACATGGAATTAGCCTGACTGCCGCTCGAGTGCATGTTGGTCATCGCCCAGCCCAGCACCAGCGCCGCGTACAGCATGCTGCCGAGCAGCAGCGTCTGAAGGAAGTGGGGTCTCCATCGTCGAGCCCAAGGCGCGGCCTCCATTGCTGCTTTAGCGGGCCAGGGACTCCGACAGACGCGCGACTCGACCGCAGCCACTGTAACTCACTCACCCACTCTCCGAAGGAGACACACTGCCACGACGCGACGTTGTGCGGTCTCTGCCAGCTCGGCCATCTGTTCGGGCAGGTTTCGACCTGATCATAATCATCCTCCGTGGTCATCCAGCGCCTCTGATTGCTACTGCTGGTTCTCAGTCGCCAACAGCTTGCAGTCGGAATTGCCCGCGCTTCTGAAGGTGCTTCTCCGTCGCGACCGCGTCCACTTTGGTCTGGTGGAGCTGACCCGCCTCCATCGCAAACCGCCGCAGCTCCGTCTCCAGCCCCGAGAAACTCAAGTCAGCGAACTCTTGCGCGTAGAAGTTCTCGTTGGCGTCCAGATAGCGCTGGCCGTAGCAGATCCGGTCCCTCGGGAACTCGGGCTCGACGTGGTAGCTCTGGATCTGGTACTCGGAGCGCGGTGAGGAGCTCCGGAAGGACAAAAGATGCGTCCAAATCGCTGCGTCGGGGTACTCCTCGGAGCTGGATGCGCTCCTGTCTTGGTCAACTGCAGGAGTTTCTCGTCTCATGGCCTTGAGCTTCTCGTCGGCTGGGTTCTTGATTCTGCCTCCGGTCAGCTTGTGCGAGTTTCGGTGCAGGAACAGCACCGCGCCTTCCGCGTCGTGTTGGACCATCGTCATCCCGCAAAATGACCGGTTGACAACTTTACCTGCTACAGCTGGAGGACGCTGGATCATGTGGAAGGAGGCACCCAGCTTCAGCCACGCTAAGCGGAACAAATCCTTGTCGCCCCACACGAGTTTGAGCTGGACGAACGGATTCGGTCGGTGGAAGGCGAAGAAGCGGAGCAATTCGATCGCAGCAGCGTGACGCCGACGATCGATGAGTAGCTGGCCACTCTCCTGCTCGGAACATGTCCACGAATGGCAAGTTCAGCAACTCCCACAGCAGCGAGTCTTCTCCAAGGTAGAACATGGTGTGCTGCGGATGCCAAAAGTCAGGCCAGAAGATGGCGCCGGTGTCCAGGAACTCTGGCGTCTGGAACAGGAAACTGGGGTCTCGCACCGGAACGTTGTCCGAGTCCAGGAACAGCACGCGATCGAAGGCGCTGTGGTAGATGGCAAACACTTTCGTCGCAAACTCGACAGCGAGAGGATCATTGATCTCTCGGAACGAGATGCCGCCTATCGAATCGCTTGCTGCCAGTTGATGAAGCGGGTCGATCGCCGCTGTCACCTTCCGCATCTCGTCGGGGCGGAACCAGATCTCGATCGGAAGTCGGCACTTGAGCAAGTCTCGAAGCACTCGAATGGTCGCGTAGGTGCTTGGCACCATCTTCGGGTACACCACCATTACAATTCCGTCCTGCGTTTCGTTGTCGTTCAGCTGTACGTTCGGTAGCGCGAATCCAGGCTCGAGTGCTTGTTTCACAGCCTCCTTCGCCAAAACATGAAAGTTCGCAAACCTCGGAGCCTCCAGACACCTGAAGAGAGCCGCCTTCCCCACCACATTGGCACCAGCGTCCTTCATCATCTGTAGTGTCTTCAGCGCATTTTGCGCGGCGATAGAGGATCGAGTAAACGCTTCGTAGCCACGCATCGCCTTCTCCCCGTCGCGCTGCTCTTTAGCGAGGTCGACTTGATGCTCCGTTGAGCTACGCTCCTCTGAGCTATCCCAACGCCGCTTGTTACCGGCAGATCCCTCCGCGTGTGTCTCTCTTGCGCTTGAGTCGCTCTCGATCGACCCCTCAAACCTTGACATCGGAGGCTGCCTTATATCCCTTCCACATGGTTACCTTCGACAATTGGTTGGGGCGAACCTGAAGCCAATCGTGGAGGTACAAAACATCAATTCGTCCATTGGAGTGGCTGATGAAATCTCTGTCGTTATGGCCAGTTTCCTGTACGTTACAGCGTACCGATTCGTCAGAGTCTTCTACATGTCCATAAGCTTTGAAGTGCTGTGCGCGACCGCCTTCTCTGGGTGAACATCTTGATAAGAGTCGAACCCGACATTTTTTTGCGAAATAATTCACCAGCCCTTAGGAATGGCTGGCCGCCTTACAGTAAAGCTTAGCTGAAATGCACCAGAGTACACGTAAGATACTTTGGCCGTAAAATCGTTTTAGCATCTAGCATCTCTAGGACTGTGCAGTCCCTGACAACTCAAATTATTAGTTTTGTGGGAAGCGAGACTCTACTTTTGTCCATGTTCGTTGAAGAGAGCAGAAGTCTCTGCGCTTTAACCTCCATCTTTATCGTTTCTTGGGTAATGTACTTCGTCTTGGTGAGTTGTTGGTGGGATGCCTGTACCGTACCTCAAATAACGCACCCCGACGTGCATTCTTGGGAAACCTTCCTTTTGACCATGTTGTGAGCCAGATCAACATCCCGACAGCCGATCCGCCTACATGAACATAAGCAACTGAAACTGAATAACCTACATTTTTCCATCCTGTTGAGGCGAGGAAACTTCAAAGTCCATGGCCACGCCACGTCCCCAACATTTGATTCACAACGAAACTATACGAATTGGATGTTCCAAGGTGTTGGAGCCTCGCCGATACTTGACTTCATTATGACAGAGATGTGACCAGGGTTTGATAGTAGATACTGTATCACTAATATTAGAATTTTTGTAATATTATTAAATAACGGTTAAATAATATTATTCTTCTATATTAGCTAGTAAAATTTTTCTCAGATGGGTGCATTCTACTATAGTAGATATTAGAATTTTTGCAGCCTCAAATAGTACTATCGGACTACTAGAGCACGCAGAGGTTCGACGGACAAGGATTGGTGCTTGTTCAGCTCGAAATATGCAGGGAATACACTGTTAGACGGCGCGCGCATGCGCAAACCGTCCTGCGGGGCGGTTCGTCGCACGGGACCGGTCTACAAGAGCGCTTGCGGTCCACAAGCTCTGGTGAGAGGTTGTAGCGCACTGTGTGGGCTCATTCAGCAATCATCCAGCAGCACGATACACCTCGTACTCGTCCGCTCAACTCAGCTCGACCGTGAAGTGCGCCAGCTCCAAGTGCTCCTGCGCCGACCTGACCACGACCGATCCGTGCCTGATGTGAGGCCGGGGCGTTCACCAAGGTTGAAGTGTGGATGGCTACATCAACGGACAGGCGGTTAAGTGCGGATCGAGGCAGCAGCGACAGGCTGCTAGGTGCGAACAGGTACAGCAGCCGCGAACTGCAGGGTGCTGAAGGAGACGGCAGCGGAGGGCTGCAGTAGTGCGGAAGGAGACAGCGAGGCGACAGGCGTAGCAGTGGCGACCGAGAACTCGGGAACGACGGACGCAGAGAAGCTGTTCACCCAGTTCATAGTGAGGTTCGTGCTCTAGGCACCTAGGTAACGGACGAGCTGACGGCGGCAAGCCGCCAGCACCTCAATGCACATCAGTTCGCAACTTACCTCCTTCCTCACACCCCGTTCACTGCTCAACAGGTTATGAGCCCAATACCCCACGACGACGCCGACGCTGTCCAAACTCCTGGAGTCGCTCCTGTCCCAGTGCCTGGCCAAGTCGCTGAACAAGTCGGAGATGACGCTGCCGGCGACCAATTCGACGCGTCGACCCGCGAGAGCGGACGTGGTGCTTCCGACTCGAGTGGTGACCGGCTTGATCGACTCGAGGGTCTCATCGAGGGTCTGGTGCGAGACGCCGCACGCGATCGGCTGGAGAAGGCCCAGCTGCAGCACGGAGTGTATGTGTCGAACTCATCGGCGGCCGGCTCGAGCGCCTTCAGCCAATTCCTGGCAGCTCGTCGGCAACGAGTGAGGGCCGACTCGCTCAGCGAAGCAATGGGCATCAGCCCGGCAATGCAGCAGCAACAGTTCGCGCCTGCTCAGCCACAGCCAGTGCCGTTCCAGTAGCATGCACCCGCGCCGGACCCGCGTCTGCAGCAGCAGCCGTTCGCGCCTCCGCGAGGCTTCGGGTTGAAGATCCCGTCCTTGATGGACATGAAGCTTCCGATCGAGAGATTCTCTGGCAAGGAGATGTACGAAGGCCTCGGCGCAGGCTTTAAAGATTGGGGGTCAGCTTCCTGGACGAACTTATCGCCGCGCAGGTGATTAGTGGCGGCGACTGTCCCGAGGACTTTAAGGCTCGTGCTTTGAACCGATACCTCGAGGGCCCAGCGCGCAAGTATTTTGACCGGATGAAGACAATTTGGTCGGCGGAGTCGCCAACGCTGGAGCATTTGATGAATCGGATGTTAGAAGTGTACGAAAAGGAGATCACGGTTGAGCAAGCAACTCGCATGATGTGAGCGCGCAAGCGTGCTGATCGTACCTGGACTGAGCAATATCAGTATTTGCTGGCAATCGCGAGTGCTGCAGACTGTTCGGATCGTTTTGTGCTGCAGTACATCTGCGAGTGTGCGTCGCCTGACGTCAAGAGGGCGATGCAAACGAGAATTGACCGTCGTCGCGCCGACCATCTACGACAAGCGTGGGAATTGGCGGACTTCGCTAGCACGCTCGAGGCGGATATGAATGGTGGAGGAAACGCGCACGGCAGAAAGTCGCAGCGGTGGCCACGGTGGCAACGGTGGCAGCGGTAATCTAGTCGCGAATGCTGTCAAGGATGCAGGCAGCGAAAGCATCGAGCGACGCTGCTGGCGATGCGGCGAACCGGGCCACCTGAAGAAAGACTGCACGGGCAAGAAGAAGGAAGGCTAGGCGATGTTCGCGCTCGCTGTGGGCAACAGCAACAGCAGCTCGTGGGTGCTTGACAGCGGAGCTAGTCGCCGCCTGGTGAAGGATGCCAGCCTGTTGATTGACCCTGTGGACTGTAGCGAGACATGCAAGGTTGCCGACGACCAGTCCATGTCGGTGACCAAGATGGGCAGCATCGTACTTCGTGCCGCGGTTGATGGCACTGAACACGACGTTGTGATAAGCAATGTGTACTTCGGTGAACGACTTGCGCAGAACTTGCTGTCGTACTGCAAGAACGAAGAAAAGGGCTTCGTATTGGTCTACAAGGGAAAGCGTCGGTACCTGGCGAGGGTTGCTGATCGCGCTCGCGTGTTCGAGGTGGAGAAGATGAATGATGTCCTGGTTGTGAACACGGTGAATGCGGCGAGCGCAGGAAACGCAGTGAATGTGGATCCGCGCGACGATAAGAGCAGCGAAGTGTATGCTGCGCTCAAGCAAGCTGAGAAGGACAGTCTGCAGTGCGCACCGGTGAAGTGCACGTTGATGGAGCTGCACGAACGCCTCGGGCACCTCATGTTCGACACGGTCGAGAGGATGGCCGACGCATCGGGATCTGGAATCGAGCTGACTGACAGGGCCCGGATTAATTGCCTCACATGCGCAAAAGGTAAACAGTCGAAGAACGCTCAGTCCAAGCAGGACTCGGGCAAGAACACGCCGATCGACAGGATTGGCGGTGTGATCTGTAGTGACCTCAAGGGACCAATGACTCCTACGGATCGCAACGGCAACAGGTACCTGATCAATTTCGTGGACCACCACACCAACTACTGCAGGGTGTTCGTGGCAAAAAGGAAGGACCTGGCCGCTAAGATGTTCGAGCGCTTCCTTGTGTACTTCGAGCGGCAGTTGAACTGCAAGGTGCACGTCTTGCGTACGGACGGAGGTGGCGAGTACCGCAACGTGGATTTGTTCTGTCAGTCAACGTGAGTGGTGAGGCAAGTAAGTGAGGCCAAGAATCAGGCTTCAAATGGAAAAGCTGAGCGCATGCACAGGACTGTCCTAAACATGGCGAGGTGCATGATCTTCGCAAGCGGACTAGCGTTGAATTTCTGGGGGGACGCAGTGCAGTATGCGGCGTGCATCCTGGATAGGACTCCGACGAGCGCGAACCCGAGCCGAGCGTCACCTCTCGAGATGTTGACGGGCGTGCAGCCGCAGTTGGCCGATATTGTGGTGTTCGGGAGCGCGTGCACGGCGTACCGGGACCCAGGCAAGAAGGCGTGGAAGCCTCGAGCTGAGGTCGGGATGATTATCGGAAAAGACGATGAGTCTAAAGGCTACAAGGTGTACCTGCCGCACGACCGCATCGTCATCGTGACGCAGCATGTACAGAATGTGGAGACGTTGAATGCGCCCGGCAATGAGCAACTGCAGGCGCAGCTTCGCCGAGAGGGGACCCCGAATTTGGTCGTGCTGTGCAGGAACGGGAGGAGGCTCTTCGTCGGAAGGAGAGAGTGGCTGCCCGCGGCAAGGGTAAAAAGAGGTCAAAGCGCAGCAAGAGGTCGAAGGCCAAGAGGTCAAAGAAGGCAATGAGACAATGGAAGGAGCACCCGAGGCGGAAGCGCAGCACCAAGAACATGTTCCCCATCCGCCAGCGGAACCAACTCGTATGCGAATGGGCAACATGGGGCGCAAGCATGTGCCGGTTGCCATGGCAAGCTTCTCGGAGAACCCGAAGAACTACACCGAAGCGATGAACTGTGACCGTGCCGCTGATTGGAGCAAGGCAATGACCGAAGAGATTAGTGCGTTGGAGGTAAACAACACGTGGGAAATCGTGGCGAAACCACGACACGCAAAGCTGCTACACTCGAAATGGGTGTTCAAAACTAAGAAGCATGTTGATGGTACTCTGGAAAGGTTCAAGGCCAGGCTTGTTGCTTGCGGCAATGAACCGGAATATGGCGTGGACTATGTGGACACGTTTAGCGCCGCGCTGGAGGGTCTCTCTGCTAGGATCGTGCTCGCGCTGTCGCGCAAGTACAACGTGCCTGCCAGGCACGGGGATGTACCCAACGCGTACGTGCGAGCTGAGAAGGAGCCGGACGTGGAGATCTTGTTGCATGTGCCGCGAGGCATGACGGTGAACAGTGAGACGCTGGCTGACCTGGGAGTTGCGAACGAAAGGCAGATAGCGCTGAGGCTGCGCAAAAGCTTGTACGGCCTGAAGCAGGCGGGTCGCCTGTGGGCTCTGCACCTACGGAAGACGCTGTTGAAGCTCGGCTTCGAGCAGTGCTACACCGACAGCTGTGTGTACAAGAGGGGCAACGGCTCGGACCTTACAGTCGCAGGAGAACACTTGGACGACTTGCTCGTGACGGGCACGAGCGTCGCCAATGTGGACAAGTTATTCGAAGACATGAAGGTGTTGGACGTCAAGGACTTGGGGCGTGTGTCCAAGTTTCTGGGTACTGGCATCGTGTACGATGAACTGCATGGCTACATGTTGAATCAACGCCAGGCGATCCTGGAGTTGTTGGAGCACTTTGGGCTCGCTGATGCTAACGCGGTGAGGGTACCAGTCGTGGACGACAAGGACGAAGGCGACGACAGCGCTTTGCTACCGGGCGATGTGAATGGTACACCGTCCCGCCCTACAGTTCAACTCTTTCAGTCACTTGTGGGGAGCCTACTGTGGATTGCGCGGTGCACAAAGCCCGATATTGTGTTCGCCGTGCACCGTGTGACCCGGCGTGCACATGCTCCTCGAAAGTCAGATTGGCGGAACGCCAAAAGGATCATGCGGTATCTGAAGGGTACTGTCGACGTCAAGCTGCGCCTGGAGATTGACGCCAGCTCAGTGCAGGGGGCCGAGGTGAGGCTCGAGGGCTACAGCGATACTGATTACGCGGCCGACCGAGTCGATCGCAAGTCTGTGAGCGGAGGGGTGCTATGCATCGATGGTATGGTGGTCGGCTGGTTTTGTAAGAAACATAACACCGTTGCACTCTCGACCATAGAGGCTGAGTTCGTAGCGGCCTCACAAGTTGCAAGTGAGCTGCTTGGGCTGAGCGAACTACTCGGTGAGCTTGTGGTCGTCATCCACGAGCCAATCCTCATGCATGTGGACAACCAGGCTGCTATTAAGCAGTTAGAGGGGGAGGACTCATCTGGAAAGGCAAAGCCCATTGATGTTCTGGTGAAATTCGTGAAAAACTTCGTTCAGAAGGGCGTCATCGTGGTGGAGTACTGCGAATCGCGTAAGATGCGGGCCGACCTCATGACCAAGTCATTCCCAGCACCACCCTCGGCGAGCTACGAGAGCTGGTCTCGCTTGAATGAGGACGTCCCGGGAAGGAGTGTTGAAGTGTGGATGGCTACATCAACGGACAGGCGGTTAAGTGCGGATCGAGGCAGCAACGACAGGCTGCTAGGTGCGAACAGGTACAGCAGCCGCGAACTGCTGGGTGCTGAAGGAGACGGCAGCGGCGGGCAGCAGCAGTGCGGAAGAAGACGGCAGCGGAGGGCTGCAGCAGTGCGGAAGGAGACAGCGAGGCGACAGGCGTAGCAGTGGCGACCGAGAACTCGGGAGCGACGGACGCAGAGAAGCTGTTCACCCAGTTCATAGTGAGGTTCGTGCTCTAGGCACCTAGGTAACGGACGAGCTGACGGCGCAAGCCGCCAGCACCTCAATGCACATCAGTTCTCAACTTACCTCCTTCCTCACACCCCGTTCACTGCTCAACAACCACATCCGCAGCAACGAGCTGTACGGTGCAGCAGCTTGTCGGAGCGTTTTTGGTGTGCTTCGAGCCTGTACCGGTGGAAGACAACGACATCGTCTCCTTCGATAACCCCGGACGGCGTTGCGTCATTGACTCATAGTCAGAGCTCGAACTCGCATCCGCTGCTGGTTCAATTGGCTCAGTCTGTTGAGGCCTAGTCGGCGGCATCGGTGGTGGATTTTACGATGGATTCGTCGCCCTCTACGCGGTTGTCGCCCTCTACGCGGTTGTCGCCTTCGCTGGCAACGGAGACCTGGTCAGCGCCACCAGGTGCTGTGGAAGCACAATAACAAGTAAACCCGTCGCATGGAGCTCGAAAACAAGGACGCCTGGTGGTCGACAAGGAGGATGCCTTGGTGGTCGATAATGGTAATTGGGGACGAAGTCCCCCCTTGCATTGATGCACTTACTTTTACTTAGCTTTTTCAAGGGTCCATACCTGCATTTACTTACCTCACATCAGTTTAGATGGAACGGGTTAGGGCTGACATTCTGATTGAGTCGCCCAGGGCCATTTTTGACCAAAAAATCCTGTGTTTACTGACATTTCCAGAATTCTGACGTGGATAGAATTTGAGATTTCAATGCATAAAGATGCGTCTTTTAGTGACCGTATGTCATTAAATCGGAGGTACACGATTTAGAGGGCATTTTCCAAACAGATAAATGCTAATCTGGCTCAGCAAAGGGACGACAGGTGCAACTTTAGCTAAAATGTTACTTTTTTTGGCTCTGATGATGTGCCTAGACGCCTCGTCGCATACGTTCGTACCCTGATTTAGAGTGGAGGGAACGCGATCAGCAAGCTTATATACGGGAGCGTCAGACTCAGTCTCCTACAGTTTATTTAAGAAAATAAGATTGGACAGACTCTCGCTTCGAGTTCGTGCATACCAACCAGAGCATCATTGACTGCAGTACTAGAAGCGGTAGTGAGTGGTTGCGAGGAGCGTAGCCGCGCAAACCCGCGCGGGGTGCCCGCGAAGCAGGGCCGCGCGGTATTTGCGTAGGCGGGCCCAGCGACGAGCATTCCAGCGAACAGACCCGTTGCCCCAACTCGGAGTTTGTTTTCCATTGCGGGGGTCTGGGGGTGGAACCTCCAGCAAGTAAAGCTCGCAAGGCACTTCTTGCATGCAATGACGAGTTCTTCATGCAGTTCTACGATAATAGTGTTCCTAATCGAAGATGTGATGTCGGATCGGAAGTTGCACCGATCTGCACGTGATGGCTGAGACCCAATTAATCAATAGCTTCATTAGATCCATTGGGTGGGCGGGGACGCCGGCCTGTAGTTGAGATTCTAAGCAACTCAACGGAGCAACGCGACTGAGATGTTCCGCTACTAGTATAAACTACTATAGTACTATTACTATAGTATCCTAGATTCTGAAAAACCGCTAATATTAGATAGTAGAATTCATCCGCGCTCCTACATTCTACTATAGTAGTTTAGGAAGAAAATCGTGATACTATCAAACCCTGGATGTGACTAAAACAACAGAGGAAGTCTCAAAAGAACTATGCTTGGTGAGTGCACCTTGTCAAGTTGTGCACTAGTCGAACGTCAAGGCGAGAAGACCGTTCGCTAATGACGACTCGCCACGCTCAGGTATCGTGCGGGACAGCTGCGCTTGCGGACGTGTCTGCAATGGTGACGTTCGATCAGAGCGAGAGTTGCCTCGGGCCCAGGCGTTCATATCAAGGCTGATACCTGTAATAAATATTGATACTGTATGGCCGGATACTTGTATCAGTATCACCTGATATTGGTGGTGGTGCTGTATCGAGATCCAATGATACTTCGGCATATAAATATCGATATCCTGCGACCTAGCGTAGATTTCACCAACCAGGTTATTTCCATGTGCGCTACCGCACATAGTTACTTGCATATAGCCACCTCCCCCAACAAGCTCACGGCAAGTACAAGTCTACTACTACCATCTCGGTTCGGTTGCGTGAGCGCTCTCTAGAGAATGGCCGACGAGGATACGTCGCCCAGTGATCGTGGCCGTAGAGATAAAGAAGGCGAAGTTGGAGTCGAGTTGGTATTCTACTATCTGTGCGTCACTCAAACCAGAACATGTTTGTTCTCGTCTGGGAGTTCATCCATGTACTTGCTACTCCGATTCCTGACACAAAGAAGAAAGGCACCCGTTGCTGCAACCAACTGAAAAATGTGTGACATGCTACGAGCACCCAGTCGTGACCAGCCATGACCAACAAGGCACCAACCATACCCTAGTAGCACCCATGCAGCACCCATCTGAACCCCAACTCGATAGAGCCAGTGCCGATAGGTATACACCTGAGCTGTATAGCCGGAAGGCGGTGCTTGCCGATCGCTACGAATGGACGACGGTGGACACGCAGCTTGATGACACGGCGCGTGTCCTGCAAACAAATCGAACTTACAGATACGAACTTACCTGCTTAAAACGCACTTACATGCTTGAATCGCACTTAGAGACTTGAAGCTGAAATCTAGATGTCACTTGGAGTGTGAGAGCACAAGTTGTTCTTCTTCAACCTCATAGACTCGCGAGCAGCCTTAGCACAAGTTGCAATGCACGAACCTCAGAGACCAGCAAGTACCTTGAGTAGCACGAACAAATACATTGATTCCAAACTTGTTATCATCTGTTAGATCCTGCTACCTTAATCTTGCAAGCACATACGTAGGTAGCGGTATTGCAGGCACTGCAGCGTCTTCTTGTCAAAGTGGCCCAGCGGTTCAGCTCCGCAAAAGATATCGAAAGCAATCAACACGTAGATACCACAGTTGTAGCTATCTGTTTGCACCCCGAGGCCCGACTCGTATGTCTGCACGCGCAAACTCATTCCAACGGTACTTGGTAGAAGGGGTATTAGCGGCTGCGCCACAGCACGAACACCAAGCAGGTATGAAGAAGAGCTAGAATCGTAGATGGAAACCTTGCCTTTGGTGAGGTTTATCATGATTGAGCACCAGTGGGTGTTGTTGCAGTTCACCGGAAAGAGCTCAACCTCCGTTGACAGCCCCCTCATCGTCCGCCGAATGCTTGCAGTGTCGGCACCGACACTGCCGTCCACGACAACGCCCAGCGCCGATGCGTCGAAAATGACGATGTTGGGATCAGGACCGAACTTCTTGAGCATCACCGTTCTCATCACTTCGTCCGTAATGCATTCCTTAGCAGTGAGGTCCAGTACTTGAGTCTGCATGTAAAAACAATTCACCACAATAGTCAGTAAATAACCATGGAAAATAACAGAGATAATGAGTGTACCTCGGTAGATAGAATTTCAATGGCTCTCAGCTTTTCCGGAAGCTCAGGGTCTTCTTCAACAGCAAAGCTCGGATTGGCGAGGCGAGAAAATTCTAGCTGCTTCAACCATTTCAACGTCTTCTCGATCTGCTTCAGGACGTCACACGCCCGGTGCCATTTCTTCATGAGTGCGATAGTAGAATTAGCAAACACCCCAACACCGAGGATCTCAAGCGCGATGTCAAGTTCGCGAACACCGGGATGCTTCCGCTGGTAGGCCGACACATTCGCCATGCACTTCTTGATCAGGTCCTTGGAGAACATGCGCACAATCTCTTCTGTCTCATCAACGGCTTGTTCGTGGGTAGCTTTGTAATTTCATGAGCAATAGGGGGTTTCTGCTTGCTCACGAAAACAAACAACTTGAATTGCAGTAGTTTTTCATGAGTCGAGTTGAACGTCGGGTTGTCTTCCAGTAGCTCGTACGCTGAACCAGGCTGAGGCCATTTTCGTGCATGTTGACATCCTCTTCGACCCTGGCAGCATTCTCGCTTCTCTTTGCCTTTACTGCTCGTGTCTTCTGCTTGGGTCGTCCTCGCTGTTTGGGTGGGCTTTCAAGCCAAAGTCACCTGTTGCTTCGCGAAGAGCCACTGCATGTTGTTATTTCTTCTTGGCTTGAACTGGAGGTGCAACCGCCACAGGTAAGGTGCTCTCGGCTTGGCTAGAATTGACTTCTTCGGAGGTGTCGAGGCCGTCTGGGTTTGTCGGATTTTCTTCAGAGACCAACTGGAACCCATCTGACCCCAGCTGTGACCCATATGACCCCAGTTGGGATCTATCCGTACCCAGCGGTGATCCATCCATACCCAACTGGGTGGTCTGCACACTAGCGGAGGAAGACACGTCAAGATCTTGCGCAACGTGGTGCTCAGCCGGTAGCTCCGTAAATTGCAGAGCATCTGCAGGTTCAGCCACGTCCGTCATCCTGGATATTGCCGTATATTCACCGTGCTTGAAACGCTTGGCCACATCTTGAAGAACTTTCATCGCCGTCCTGTACTCGCATACCCAGGCCGCTCAGCTGCTCGCTAATGGTAGAGGCGACTGCATTAGTCTCCCGGAACTTTCGATTCGAGTTCCAACTTGCCCTGGGCTCCGGCAGAACACTAGAAACAGCAAGAGGTGCCCCAGGCAACTGGGGTGCGTCGGTGCTTGAGCGCAGCGTCGTCAGCAACCACCTCGGGTGTAGCAGTTGGGTATGAATGATGCTCTCAAAGCCGAGAGCCTTCCGAAGATAGAAGACATGGCGGCATGGGAGCAGCCGTGACGTCATGAACATGCACGAGCACGTCCAGTCACGCTTCATCACCGAGTATTTACTCGTTGGTTCATCGAGCGCGTCCTCTTCGTCCGATACGTATTGCACCAAAAAGACACCAGGGACCGCCTCCTTGTACTTGTACTTGCCCCGTGTAGTCGCAAACACATACTGCTCATAGATGAGCTCACACGCATGCGAGCTGATCTAGTTCGAAAGCAACTGAATTTCGCGGTCATACTTGGGGTCGTGCACAACGGAAAGCTTGAACAAGCTGTCCATCAACTTCTTCTCCTCCTGGGCTCGGTAGTACATAATCGAAACAATACACTCATCAACTTCCATGAATGAGTCCACCAGATCTTTGAGTTGCTTCCACGATGCCTCAATCCGGTTTTTTGTGTTGTTAGCGAGCGTGACAGCGTTCTGACGCTCGAAAGCACACCACATACTCCGACACTTGTCCCAGTTTTTCACGAAGTACGCCTCAAATGGATGCTGCGGAGCATCATCATTGCTTTCTGCATCGGCACCCGACTCCGCACGGCCAGCCCCCAGCTCCGCGTTCAATTAAGCACCATCAGACTCCAACTCAGCACTGCCAGCACCCAACTCAGCACCACCAGCGCCCAACTCAGAACTACCCGGACCCAACTCGGTACGACCAGACGCACTTCGACGACCAATTCCCATGATGTAATGCATATAGTCCCGCAATCGCTTGTACTCTCGCTCCGTCTTCGCGTAGACGAGAAGCTGTACCAAGCCTTGTAGCTGCTGCTTCTGCCACGCGTTGAATCCATATTCTGCTGAAGCAATCTCCTCTCGGAGATACTTGATGACGTGAAACTGGCAAAGTAGCAGCACCGCGTCGGGAAAAGCCATCTTCACCACTGAGATCTCGGTAAAATCCTTGTCGATAAGGATACACCGAATCCGAGTCCAGGTCGGATTGTTGCGCTTGAACTCCTCTAGCGCTGTTAGCAACGTCGGCAGCCGCTCGTTTTGCGCCACGGCATGCTGAACGAACTGCCCTTTGCCGAATGCGTCGTGAGCCATAATCGAGAAGACCTTGTACTTGGAGGAATTGGTTCCATGGGTGGCATCAATCATCCATACTTCAGGGAGAAAGTCAAATAATTGACGCATGTGCGCCGTTTGGAGGGTAATGCAGGTAGCGATATTCTACAAGCAAATACAACGGATAGGTTAGATTAACACATGATCAATCAATACATCCCCAAACAAGCTCATACCTTATTTTGTACGGAGTCAACAAAAATTCCTGCAACATTGCCACTTTCTTCCGAGAATTCTTGCACCCACTGCTTGAGCCACTTTGCGCTGGTAGAGGCGGTGTGTTCACGCTTTTCCAGTCGTCTCACGAGGTTGTGCACGTCCTGGTTGGTGGGGGTGCATACGGAGTTCTCGTGAATGTACTGCTGGATTCGTTTCTTCGAGGCACCAGCCTTACGGAGCGTGTCCACTGTGGAAAGCACCTCCGGCTCCAACGCGTTCCTATTGCGTGGGTACTGGCCGAACGTGTGCTCACTTAACCCGTGGTTGTGGTACAGTCACCATGTAGTAAACCGAACAACAAACTCAAGAACCTCGGCGTCGTTGTTCACGACTTGGACGCAAGCATTTATCTACAAGATATCAGACCTCCAGCTCCCCCCACGAGCCAAACTCGCGTTTCGATAGAGGGGGGGGGGGGGGGGGGGGGGGCGACCTATGGCTCCTCTTCGTCAGCAACGCGCGGAGTACGCGGATGCCCTAAGGCTTCAGTCCGGCCTTACTTTGGCTGCGACGCGTGGCTGCTCGCCGAGCTCGCTGAGTCTTCCCACTCTTGTTCACTGCCGATGTCTGCTGGGGGGCAGTAGGAAGAATCACTGCCGTCGTCGCCGCTAACCCTGCGCGCTGCCTGGCGGACGGCGCTCCGGCGCGGCGCGCGCCACCGCTTTCACCGGCAGGTCGTGCACCATTCGCCGCTTGTTTCCAAATGGGTGGCGCGAGGGAGGGGGGGAATAAACTATACACTATACGCCGGACGGATACTTTCATGTCGCAAAAATCATTTAACCTATCCCTTCAGTTGGGTGCAATACTCATGTGGTGTAGTGGATGGAGATATTTTCGCGCGGATACCCAAGATCAACAAGATGGCCAAGATCGACAGTGTGGACCAAGATCGGCAAAGCGTGGCGACGCGTAGTCTGGCACGATAGTAACCAGCAAGAAGGTCAAGGGGGCAACATCAAGGTGAACAACATCTCTGTAGGTGCTTGAGAGCCAAACCCCGGCGTAATCGATCCAAGTCGACGATATCGATCTTGGCGGGGATGACGCGATCTTGGAGAAAGAGTGATGATCTCGACCGCACGGATTGCGCAGACACCGGGCAGAGAGCCGGCGACACTACCAACGTTCAAGGGAGCTAGAGAGCACGCGCACAGACCGCACGAGCGCAGGAGTGCAGGAGAACGATATGACAAGGACTTAGGACAAGCTAACATTTTAAACAGAGTTGATTTTACCTCCTTCTTCACAAGTGGTCTTCGCCTTCGCAATACCGGGCACAGGATATACTTTGGCCCACCCGACGCTACGCAAGTCGACTTACACCCCAAGATCAAGGAACCTCGGACGCCAGGATAGATTGGCCCAGCGTGAAAGGAAAGGAAGGTCACACACCGACCACAAGGCAACCCCAGGCCAAGATCACACCTGGCCGGCGAGTGTCGATCTAGACAACCCCAGATCGAAACCGCCACAACTACTCCGGCACAGCGTGAAGCATATCCGCGTTGCTGCCACAAGTTCCCGCTGTCCACCAGACAGTCCAAGACTCAACTCCAAGCGCGTCTTCTCGAGATCACCCGAAGAGCGATCCAGCCCACCGACGGGTACACAAGGTGAGGATCAGCAACTTCACGGAAGATCGGAGTACCCCCTCCGTTAGTCGGCAGTTCGGGCGCCGTGTGCAAGAGGACCCCCGCGATCTGCAAATTTCGCGGATCCACTTCGCCACACTCACTTCCAAGAAGAAAAGCAGCCACATCTGTCTCGTGTGGGCAGCACACACAAAAAGCACGGACCCGACCTCTTCTGGACGGAGATCATGCTTAATGCGGTAACAGACGACTGCTAACCCCAGGAAGCACATGCTCAGAACTCACAAGGATCATCCCTTTTCGGTTGAAAATAAGCTTGAGAATTTGTCTCGCCAAACCACTATCTACCGTGTGTCAAGAGCGATGTTTCAGTCTTAGTGACTATGTAGAGAACGAGTTGCGAACCCAGCTTGATAACGACCGGGCGGAGACGATGTGCTTGATGAAGACTAATTGGTCCGAGTACAAGGAAGTGCTGCAAAAGAATAGGAGACGGCGACATTAGCCAAATTACTGCAGGTATTGTGAAAACCGATTAGTTTGTCCTGTTGAATTAGCCGGTTAAACATCGCTCATAGCGGATTTGAAGACTAATAAATCGGGGATGTCTCAATTATAATTGGAGTATAAATCGCTCATGGGTCTCGTAATTATGTGCAGCCTAGCAATTTCGATCAACATGCATGTACCCTCGGCCCGAGACTCGCTACAGCACCGCGCTTAAACGCGTCGCCTGCATATCTCAGTTACATGCATTATAGCGTGCGGCTTTTCCTGCTTAGTTCTGATGTTAGTGTTGTAGCCTTGACTACATAGCCAAGAGCGACTGCAACGATTGTGTCTGACGGCTGATTTAGCCTACAACGAGCGAATGCCGGTTGCACATCGGACATTCCATCTGAATAGTAAGCAAATCAGCCGCCCCTGGCTTAATCGGCCGAATAGCAAATGTAAATCCGACTCATATGCTCTGACTCTGTAAGTCGTCCTAGGTAGTAATATTGAGTATAAACCGAGGTACCCCAGTCTAATTAGGAGGTCTTATTTATCAAATCAGGGGTCGTCGGTCTTATTAAGCCACTAAATCGGCGGATTAACAATCCAATAAGACATTTTAATCGTTTTTCACAATACTATTTTTATCAATATATGTATCCTTTTATTGATATGGTATTGATATTGGGGGGGGGTCGAACCTTGCTTACTTTTTGGGAGTTGCTCTGCTTACTTTTTGGGAAATTTTCTGCTCATTTCCGAAGTAAGCCACCTCCAGAGGTGGCTTATTTGTGAAATGAGCTGCTTATTTCTAAGTTCAAGTTCGACGTTGCGAAAGCATACTTAGCCCCCGACACCTTCTGGTCTCGGATCGGGGTGCTGCGAGCTCGCCTAGGTGAACCATAGCTCTCGTCCGCGACGCCATAGCCGCAGGCGGCCGCGGGCATGAACATGCAAGGTCTGTCCGTAGGTGTGTGCGCATTAGGTGTCGACTCGTAGACAGTGGAGCGCTCTCCAAGCTGTCTGCGAGGGCATGAAAGCTAGCTATACGAGACCCGCAGCATGAGTGTTGCGTATGTTCTGCTGTCGCGTGCTTACTTCGCTAGGCTCTCCCTAGCGGCCGCCAACACCACCTCCGATAATACCATCGAGGGCGCGCACGCTACTGCGGGTGTTTGCGCTGTGGATACTGCTCTAGCGCGCCCGAGCCGTAGCCCTTCCTGCTTCGCCCTCTCGGATTCGCCACCTAATCCCCATACAAAATCCTATATTAACCAAAACCCCTTACAAATGATACGAACTTGGACTTTGTATGGGGAGACAAAGCAACCCATGATTTCTCCACTCTACCTGGATCAGCTGTCCATAAGTTTTGTCACCTGGGCAGAACCAGTGATTTGTATGTGAGCTACCTGATGAAGCGCAAAAGCGCGCGTGCAGATCTTTATCAGCGTGTTCTGCAACTCTAGTCCAAACCGCACCTTAAAACGATAAAAAATGACAAAGTTACAGCCACTTTTGGTGGTGTCCATATCTTTTTGTCGTGGAGGGGGATAGCTTAGAGCCAGCATCATTTTTAGTCAGACCATCAGTTTAATACATTCGGTACTTTTTAATATGAACTAGAGTATCCAAAATATCATGGTATTACCGGTATAAAGCAGCGAAGCGCGATCGATGATTTTAACGGGGTTGGAATAAAACTTAAGCAAAAAATGCGCGGTTTAATTCACACGCAACATACTGTGCGAACTTCGGCGCTGTGCGACGTTGGCTAAACGGGGTGCGCACGGCGCGACAGTAGTGTATGTAGTGTTCTGGACGTCGCATCATATTGAGCTGCAATAGGTACAGAAGAAACATTCATTGATAGACGGACAAGCCACCTTCGTGGCCATTGTGGTGCACTTTAACCCTAAATGTGCCCGATTAGATGGGCGTGATGTTTGCTGCAGCAAGAACCTAACTAGAGCAATATGAACGCATAACAAAGCGAAATTAGCTTCATAACTGCGGTGACGTGTAAACTGCTCGTTCGTAAATAGAGATATCTTAACAGGTGCGGTTCGCGAAAAAGTCTCGTTGGATGACATCATACTGAGTTGCAACAACTCACGCACCATGGAGTAGACCTTGACAGTTTTTCTTCCTGGTCGTGGGGCGAGCAGAAAAAAGTTAATAACAGAAATAGCGATAACAACATCAGTAGCAAAGCTATTATTTAATAGCGGTTGCAGTAGCGGTGGCATTGACAGTAGGGCAGTTGCAGTGGTAGCGGGCAGTGATCTTGACGCAGGCGAACAATTCCAATAGCATTTTACTGAATAAGAAATATTAATACTTCGTATTGATATTACTTACGCAGCAATGCAAGTCACATATACTATTTAGAAAAAAAGAGAGTGATATACAAAGCCTAGACGACCGATAAGAAGTTAAGATCATCGGTAATGCTTGTGGGGACGGCGATGTTCAGACGGCATCTACTTGTAAATTTAGCTTGCGCCAGCCATGAGATGGCCAGTGATATTATGCAGCAATATATAATAGAAACATGAAGTGGATTTTGGCAGTCTTTCTCCGGCGTGAAGAAGAAAGCAGGGGAAATATCATTGAAATGTCATTATCATAGCTGATATCGTAGTTGTAGCGCAAATAACAGCGGTAACGGCAGTGCCAGCAGTGGCAGCAGATAATAAACAGTCGCAGTAGCGATAGCAGGAGATATGAACTTGCAACTTCAATGACAGCATTACTATGATATCATTAACAATAGTGAAATAGTAGTTTTAGTTGCAGTAGGGATAAACAGTACTTAGTAACAGTGACCAGTAGTAACGCCCGCCACAGTTAGCAATATCAAAAGCAATTTCTTTAACAATAGTGGAATTTCAGTAGTATAGCAATAGAAGTAGTAATGGGGTAGCAGTAGCAGTAGCAGCGGTAGTGACAGTGGCAGTGTCCAGTAGCAGTGACAGTAGCAGCCGCAGTAGCTGGCAGTGGCGGCGACAGTGGCAGTTGCAATCAATACCAATAGCAACATGATGATGTTGTCAACATCAATTATAACCGTGTTTGAGACCAACCGCCGGATATGCTCTTATAGCATCTCTAGTATGAGAATTAAAATATCTAGTGCAGTCATATGAAGCGTTACAGGCATAGTACTCACCAAAATAGTGGTGATAATGGTAATAACAATAACAAGTGCAGACAGCAGATATCTGCTGAGGCGCAGTGTGTCCTAGCCGTAAAAAACGCAAAATTGTTCGGGGCGTTTGCCTCCGCTTAGAGACCCGCACCCCAGTTCATTCGAAAGAAAATCATGCCCAGGTTTTCTTACCGCAATGGATAGTTCACCCTCACCGCCATTTCTACGACACCATTATTGTGATTGGCTGAAAGCCCGTGTGGGTCTAGGTAGCGAATTCCCTCCCTCCCTTTCCTCATTCCAGAATCGGCCGCCTCGAGAAAAGATGGTGAAGCTGTTCTGTGCGATCGTTGGTGCGGCGGGAAGCGCGTTCCCTGTGGACATCGATGGGGGCCAGTCGGTTGGAGACTTGAAGAAGGCGATCAAGGCGGAGAGTGAGGACATTACCATCCCGGCAAAGGACCTGAAGCTCTTCCTGGCGAAGACGGAGGGCGGCGCGTGGCTGAGGTCGAAGGATCTGCTCCGGATGCGGAAGGGGGAGATGCCCGATGAAGTTGAGAGTCACTACATGAAGGAGGAATTGGACGATCCAACGGACAAGATCTGCGAGAGGTTTCCCACAGTCTCCGACGGAACGATTCACGTGCTGGTGATGCTTCCGGAGCAAGAACACGCACAAACTGAATTGTGGCTTGTCACTGGATCCGTTGGCAACGCGCTGAACACGAAAGGGATTCGCTGCAGGCTGTACCGACTGGCGGGGTCATACCTTGGATACTACGATCCCAACCTTCGTGCTGGCGAAACCGACAAGGCGCTGTGGTATGATGAGGTGATGTTGCGGATCCATGTTCTTTTCAAAGAAGGTATGCATTTTGGTTATTGTAGAACTGTGCTGGTTGATGTCTCACAGATGTTGTACAGAGAGGGATGCTTTGCTATTTGAAAACGAACTGCAGACCGAAGGTATCAAGCAAACTTCCCCACTCGATGGCCACACGATCTCGACGACTGTGGCCCCAGTTTCTCGGGAGTTAAGCGAACTGCGACGCATCTTTGCCATGCATTATGTTCCAGATGATACCGAGTCCCCTCAAGTCTCAATGACGACTTTCTCGTCCAACACCTCGATCGTTGACGTAGCGACTGACGAATTTAAGTACCAGCGTATCGAGAGTGAAGAGTGGTTCGGGTCGGTGGGGAAGGCACAGAGCTGCCATGTGATGTCCAGAGAGCATTGCCTGAAGTATCCAAGCTACAAGAAGTATGACAACGACCCAAGCAATCGTCTTGCTCTTTCTGCAGAAATGCACGAGTGGTTTGATGCTCGGTCGTATGCGGTGCCGACGATAAAAATTTCCGTCGAGTCCACATCTGAAGGATTTGTAATCGGCAACAGATACAAGGTACGAGTAGTTTGAGTACGTGCTGAATACTACTTGTTCTAACATTATTTACGATGCCATAGGTCGATTTGGTTGTGCGCGCGTGGAATGCTGGATTCGCAAGACTTCTCTCGCTGCGTTTGAAAGAAGGCTTTGCTGTGTCGGATGATGGCTTGGAGATGCGAACATCCATCTACGTACAGAACAAGAAGGTGTTTTGCGACTGCATGGAGTGGAAGCGCAAAGAGATAGAGAAGAAGTGGAGAGAGCACGAGGATATGGCACCTGCTGTGGACTGACTGCACCACACGTAAGATCCTATTGCGGTTAAACGACTTCAATTTCAATTTGCTTTTCATCCTAATAAATATAAAGTTACTAATATACAACGATGGCGCCGCTACGCGTTACGTTAATGTTTTCGACCAATCGCAGGTGTTGGCGCCACCATTTTTGGACCATTTCGAACGAAAATGTGGCCGCGCCGGCAGCCGGCGCAGGCAGCTCCTGGTGGGGCTTCAAGCGCTGCAACCTCAGCTCCAGCAGATCGTCCATTGTCCTCTCGAGCACCACCATCTTCTGCGTCTTCAGGCACATCTGCACCTCTATTTGCGCCTCGTAGGAGCGCCGGGAAGGCCCCAAACCCCACTGTCAAAGCTCAAAAGACCTCTAGCTCCGGCACAGACGACGCTGCGTGGCTACTACGGGCTCTAGACAAGAAGAAAAAGAAGAAAGTCAAGCCTGATGCAAGCAAGAAGGTCACTAAGCCCTCAGAGCCCGAAAAAGCGGCGAAAAAGACGCAGCCGAAGCCGAAAAATGAGCGAAAAGGAGGTCCACTAGGCCTCTCCATGTCTGTACAGGAGCGCCAGCAATTGTGGCGCAGTGGAGCAGCTAAGAAGCCTGAAGATGAAGCAGCGGAACGGGCCAAGCAGCAGGAGAGAGAACGTCAAGAGACGGGCTTTGATCGTGTCTTCCAGGAGGTCTTCGGGGAGCAGCAGAAGGACAAGAAAGGAGGCGACGAGGAGGAGCTCAACAGTGTTTTATCCAGTGGAGATACAGGCGCCAATGCGTCGTCTTTAGGGCTGTCGGTGGTTGATGCAGAGACAGATAAAGACAAGGAGGTGACGAAGGTGTCGGGCAAACGTAAGGCTGCTCCGAGTGATGACGAGAAAGAAGAGGAGGCGTGGGGCTTCGCGACGGCTGGGAACAGTGGGTTCACTCTCGATGACTTCGACGCTCCATCTGACAGCAACGACGCGGGTTCCGGTGCTGTGGGTGATGCTCGGAAGGCTGCGGAGTTTGAGCGCTGGAAGGCCGAGGACGCCCAAAGTGCGGTGAGCGACAACTTCGTCAAGCTGAACATGCGTAAGAGATTCAAGGGCAGCTCTGGGCGCGCCAAGAAGCGACCGGCGTATCTGCGCGCACGTAATGAGAACCTGCTGGACGAAGCTACAGGTGAGAAATCTTCAGGCCTCGCTCCGGTGGTCAATGCGAACGGTACTCAACAGAGTAAGAAGGAGAAGTCGATGCTGGCTGACGACGGCGTGGACTTCACCGAGGAGTGTCTGGAAGCGCTGGCCAAAGCCGAGAAAGCGCGTGGTCTCTCTAGTCAAGAAAAATCGAAACCGAAGAAGGAGGCCGAGCCATTGACACCGCCGAGGTGTCATCATGCGTTGGTCTGTCAGAGCTTGGAGGTCAAGAAGAAGAACAAGAACCACGGCCGCAAGTTCTTCGCCTGCCCGCTGGGATTCGATGAAGGTCGCTGCGACTTCTTCCTCTGGGAAGACGACCACGTCCCGCTTGCACTGCAGACACTCTTCACGGCTTCTTCTTCCTCTGGCGGTGTTGCTGAATCCGCAGCAGAAGCGGAGGCCACTGAGTGCGTTCCTCTGGATATCGAAGCTACTGCAGAGGAGCAGCGAGAGGCAATGCTCACCAATCTGCGCCTGGTGTTTGGGCACGCTGACTTTCGTCCTGGCCAGCAGTGGGCGATCTCAAGGGTGCTGCGTCGTAAGGACACTCTCCTTGTGTTGCCCACGGGTGCAGGCAAGTCGCTGTGCTATCAATTCCCAGCGCTCTTCTTGCCTGGAATTACGCTCGTGATCTCGCCGCTTATTTCGCTGATGAACGACCAGTACGAGAGTCTCCCCGCCCCATTGAAGGCTCGCTCCGTGTGTCTTTCCGGCTCCGGCTCGGATTCAGGCTCGTCCAAGGCGAAGCATGCGGCTTTTGTGCGTGATCTGCTGGTGGACAAACTCTCTCTGATCTTCCTGTCGCCGGAGAAGGCGCTGGGTGCTGGAATGCAAGCGCTGCTCGCGTTGCCGCGGGTCCGTGCGCGCTTGGCGCTAGTGTGTGTCGACGAAGCGCATTGCGTCTCAGAGTGGTCCCACCACTTCCGTCCAAGCTACTTGCGGCTGGCAGAGGTCTTCCGCCACGCCCAGTGCGTTTTGTGTGTGACTGCCACAGCCTCGCGACGTGTTGTCCACGATGTATTGCATCAATTGCGCTCACGTCGGCAGCTTCAGAATCAAGGTGGCGAAAGCGAGAGCGACATGGTGCTGCAGATGCCATGGCAAAGGAAGAATCTGGCGCTGGAAGTTCGTTCCGTCCGGTCGAATGATGAGCGACTGCGGCATCTCATCCACATCCTCCCCGAGTTGAGCAAAGGATCATCACAGTCCTCCAAGGCTGGCGGTGGTGTTATCGTGTACGTTCACCAGCAACGGCAGACGGAGGAACTTGCAGCTCTGCTGCGTGAACAATTGCCCAACGCTTGGCGCACTGCTGGAAAGGTGGTGGCGTTTCATGCTGGCATGGCGCCTGAGGCGAAGGAAAAGGTCCGCACAGGTTTTGCGCGAGGCAGAGTGCGCGTTGTGGTGGCTACTATCGCATTTGGTATGGGCATTGACAAGAAGAATGTGCGGGCTGTTGTGCACTTCCACATGCCGTCGTCTGTCGAGGGATACGTGCAGCAGATTGGACGAGCTGGTCGTGACGGCAAGTCTGCGCGAGCGTTGCTGTATCTGCTGAATGAAGACGCGGTGCACTTCCGCTCGTTACTGTTTTCAACCGCATTACATCGCGACCAGCTTCGGAGGCTCATGGCTCTTGTCTTCCAGAGTCGGGAGAGCTTATCCCCAGCGAGCAAGAAGCATGTAGTGGCTGTGAAGTGCTCGGGAAGAGGTCAGAGAGCTGGCAGTGACCTGACGCTGGAGTCTCTCGAGCGAGATTGGCTGGAGCGCCACCTTGACCTGAAGGCGGCTTCGATCGAGACGTTCCTCACGTTGCTGGCCCTCGAGACGCAGCGTCAGAAGGACGACGAGCTGGGTTTACGCGTGACACTCCAACCTCTGAGCATGAGTCAATGTACACTGCAGCTGCTGGACACTCAAGCGAAGAAACTGGGACCGCAATCTACAGTTAAGTCACTGCTCGGAGCGGTGCAGCGCAAGGAATTGCCTAATGCACGCGTGACACATCGTAAGGACGGGTATCTGAGCTCTTGGGTTATCGACTGCCACCTGCACGAAGTAGCTCAATGGTACGGACGGACGACTGGTGCCAACAGCAATGGAGACCAAGCTGCAGCCCTGTTAGCAGCTTCCGACGCTCAGCAGGCGGGTGAAACCAATGCTGCTGCGGTCGCTGCCGCCACGAATGAGCGTCGGCTGCTTCAAGAATTGCGAGCGGCTCAACAGACTGGTCAGATCCAGCGCTTTTCGCTGTCACAGCCCGCATTCCAGCTGCAGTTGAGCTGGAGGACTGAACTGACTGACGAGATGAAGAGTGAAGTCGTGGACCGATGGACGAAGCTGTTGTACGCGAAGCACGAGCATCTCGAGTCGCGCCAGCTTGCTCGTCTCGCTCATTTGTATGGAGCGCTGTACGCGGCAGCTCTACCGGCGCCTTCTCCGACGTCAACCGCGCGTGATGGCGAAGATGAGGAAGACGAAGAAGATCTGGATAATAAGGCCCATGCTCTCGAGACCAAACTGGTACGTTACTTCGAAGACGACGACGATAAGGATGATGCTGCAGCCGGTGGAGACGACGTCGAAGGTGACGAGGATGAGCGTTTGCTGCAGAAAATGCTGCGGCCGCTGACCGAGTCTCTGATCGAGGCTATCGAGCGGGATACACGCTCACTCATTCAACTCCGTCTTGGCGGTGGAGGTCCGCTTGAGGGCAGTGATACTGAAGAGAGCAAGAGCAACGATGAAGGTATCAAATGGACGAGTTACGCTGTGGCCAAGGTATTTCACGGATTGACGACGCCGCAGCTTCCAACTCGGCAGTGGCGCGACCACGTCTGCTGGCGACGGTACTCTGACGTGGCCTTCGCCGGGAAGGGGCCATCGTATCTCTCTAAGTGCGATCTCACATTTATTGAGCAATTTCTGACTACCCCCGTATCGCTCAGGTTTGCTTATCTTTTGGTCATTTTCTTGCTCAGATATTGGGAATCCCTTGGCTTACTTTTTTTTCCAGGTTCGACTCCCCTATTTAGGGGAGTCGAACCTGGAAAATAGTATCAGTATCGCTGATATCAGCTTCGTCAGAAGGCCGAGATACCCGATACCAGCTAAACTCGCGCTGGTATGAACCCCTGCTCGGGCCTTCATGCCCCCTGGCAGCAACATCCGCGTCGTCCAAAAGAGACAGGTGCACTATCTGCTGCAGTAATGTTTTCGCTTGTTCGGTGAAACCAGAGCCAGCAAAGAGGAGCCGATTTCCCCATCTTCGACGAAATCTTGCCTAGGTGCCCAGGAACAGCTTGGTAAAGCGCGCATTGCTTGCGTTTGTAGCTGCCCTCATTGCCGACAGCGCACCAGTTCATTCTCGAAATCACCTGGACACGCGTTGACAAGCATGTTCCTCCCCAGACTCCTGGCGACGCTGTTGGCTCTCCCCGCGTTGGTTGTCAGCGCTGCCGACGATAACAGCTGCACGTTCGGCCCCTCGGAAAACTGCGGGATCGACTCGCTAACTGTGTCCACAAGCGATGGCAGCGCCCTCATTTACCCCGGAGGAGACACTCGCTGCGCCTTCGATGAATACAAGGACAACACGACGACGTTTGAGTCGATCTCCACGTACTTCTTCCAGGTATTCCCTAACGAGAAGAAGGACAAGTCCAAGGTTCTTCTCTACTTCCAGGGTGGCGGCGCCTGCGTCGACAAGTTCACATGCAACTTTGCGCTGCAGTGCCAGCTCGGTGCCAGCCCTCTTGTCAAGCCGAACGCGAGGGTTGACAACAGCGGCATCATGGCTCGCGGCTCTGCTGGTAATCCTTTCAACGACTGGAACATTGTCTTCCTCCCGTACTGCACGGGCGACCTTTTCGTCGGCAACACGGAAATCGAGGCCTCCGAAAGCCCGTACAACCAAGCTCTCGGCAACAAGCAGTGCCTCGGACAGAACCGCAGCATGCACCTCAACGGCTACAACAATGCCAAGGCCGTGCTGGACTGGGCTCTTGAGAACTTTCCCAACCCGGAGCAGCTAGTTCTCGGTGGCTACAGCGCCGGATCACTCGGTGCGCAGCTTTGGTCGGCCAAGGTCGCCAAAATGTGGGAGGTCGAGCAAAAGGGGACAAAGTTTCAGGTGCTGGCCGACAGCTACGTTGGTGTGTTCCCTGAGCACAAGACGACCGCAAGCTCGCTTGTCAACTACTACGGTGGCTGCGACGTGGACCTCAGCTTCCCTGCGCCACTGGCGGAGAAATGCAAGGCGAAAACGGCCACGGCCACGGAAATGGTCGATGCGCTGATCCAAGAGGCCCCCAAGAGCGAGTGGTTGTTCATCGACAGCACCGGAGACGCCACACAGCGCAAGTTTTACGAGCTGGCGCGACTGGGCATCGCAGGCTACCCGTTCACGACGCTGCTGGACGCGGGCGAGTTCTACGGCAACCTGACGCAGATAATCGACTCGCACGCGAAGCTGACGAGTGTGACGCGGTTCAACATCGACAGCGAGCAGCACGTGTGGCTCAAGTCGGAGGGCTACGCGACTGCCAAGAGTGTGGACGGCGCCGTGCTGGGCGACGTGCTCTCAAGCTGGCTGCAGGGATCGGCAGCAGCGAACAACGCGACCACTCCGAACGTCGGGACAGTGGCGCCTACGGTGGGCGGCCAGTAAGTAAGAAGATCGGAGCTGTCCAAACTAAATGGTTATTAGAAAACATGCGTGTGTCCACCTTCATGCGGCGTTTGCTACGTTGGTAAACTCGAGGAAAGTGGTTGAAGTGGGTTGACATCTGATTCGGACAGCGAGAGGACAACAGCATGACATACGGCAGGATTGCATTCCCCATCGCAGGTTGAAATCCAGCTGAACGGTTCAGTTCCTATCCGCTACTCGGCGACATGGCGCTCCACCGCAAGCAGCGTGGCGTGGCGGACGCGCAGTACGTACGCATCCCGACCTCGAGCGCGGGCTACTCGCTGCATGAGGCGCACCCTCGCGCGCAGCGGGTGTACGCCAAGCGCTACGCGGCGGGCGACCGCTCGCGCAAGATCAGCTCGCTGCAGCTGCGCGTGTGCTTCTTGCTGTGCGTGCTACTGTACTTTGGCGCCATCTACTTCGCGGACGACATCGCCAGCATCGGCCGAGTGGTGGGCTCCGAGCAGAGCAGCCAGAACTTCTTCGTGTACTCGCTGAGGCCGCGTGGCAGAGGCCACGTGCGCGTCGGCAGGGCTGTTGACGCCAAGAGGGCGGACGCGTCGCCGGCCCCCGTGTTGGCGTCTGTTGCACCCGTGGAGGAACAGCAGCAGCAACAGCAAGAACAGGAGCAGGACGACCCGCCAACGGAGTTGCCGGAGCTGGAAACCCAGTCGCCTGCGGATGAAGTCGCCGCGACTGCAGAAACAGAGGAGGCACAAGCGACGGAGCCACTGGAGCAGCCAGACACAGAGACGGAGGAGGAGACACAGCTTCAGGATGAGCACATGCATCCAGATAACGCCCCGGGAGACGAAGTCCATCCTGACGATCAAGGAGAAGATGTCGCTGCTCACCAAAGCGAACAACCTTCTCATCAGGAAGTCATTATTAATACAATGGATCATCCAGAAGACCGAGCAGCAACTCCGTCGACTATACGCGTAGAGCCAAGCCAAGATATTAATCTCAAGGCTCAAGGAGTGGGGCAGCAAGAGACGATCGCCACTCCAACTCCGACGAAGCACTCTGACATGGACGATCCTCAACCCACTGCTGCTCTTCGACAACCAGAAAAAGAGGCAATTGAGCCGGCAGTAGCTGTCGACCCGGTACTACCGGTCGCTGCGGTGCCTGCTGCAAGTCCTGCGCGTAGTAAGCAACAGGATGCCCAGATTAATGCGGACGACCAGCAGAGGCTCCCCAAGCAGCAAGCTAATCTAGATCGGAAGCCGGGTGATCAACCTGCTGCAGTCGATGGACGAGAGCAGTCTTCACGAACCGGCGGACAGGAGCACCAGCGAGAGGAGATCGACGGACAGCGCGCGGCGATCGATGGTCAGCACGACACTGCAGGCGGACAGCAGGAGCTTACGGCCGCCGATGGCCAGCACGGGGCGGTAGACGGACAGCAAGAGGAACAGCTTGTTGAGACGACGCAGCCCTCAGAGACACCCGCGCAGATGACCGAGCACATTTCGGATATTTAACTGGACAAACTTTAGATACATTGGACACAACTGAGTCAGTGCGGTGCTGGCAGGAGGCAACTCCGCTGATTTCAGGGAAGCCCCGCTGGTTTAGCGCCGGATCGGTTTGAAGGTCTCAGCATGTGTGCTTGCCAGATGATGCCCAGCGCGAAGCACACATCGGAGGCGACTGTCGATCGCTTGGAGCAGCTTTGGTTAAACTGCGCCCGAGTCGTCCGTACACAACGGAGATTGGAACAACGCCTGCCAGCCTATCCAAGCAGTTTGCGGACTGCGAGTTCCTACTGTTCGTAGAGGTACTGTAGCGCCCACCCACCCACGACAGCGACTTGAGCCGAGCAACGCGATCGGACAATGCTTGTGTCCATCTGAAAAACTCAAATCCGAAGCAGCCGTAACTGCAGATTAGGGCTAGGTGCTTATCATGAAGATCTTTGGCAGGGCTTCAGTATCAGCAGGTTTCGTTGCATACAAGTGTCTAGTTGTTTGGCCAAACTGCAGTATCAAGTCTCCCGGAGACGTTCCTCTCTCGCAGTCCCGCGATGGGGCAAGCACAGCACACTTGCTGCTCATATCGCGTGCCTGCAGGGTTAGCCCAGGCCACGTAGGCCAGTGCGCCATTTGATCTGCCAGGCCCCATGCGCCGCTCCGCTCTTCCGTCCTACGCGCTCGATGGTCGCCGCGCCGCGAACTTTGCGCCGTCCACAGCGGCGGCTGCTGCACCCGCCGGGCGACACACGCGCTGGTGGCTGCTGTTCTACGTGGTGCTGGGATTCTACGCGCTTACGGTGCTCGGCTCCTTCGTCGTGGGCTGGGCGCCGCAACCTCCGGCTCCGCAGCAGCAACAGCAAGTCCTGCTGCAACAGCAGCGGACGGTGGTGGACGCCGCGCCCGTCAAGGTGGGGACGACGGACTCCAACGAGCCGGAGGAAGGCTGGCCCGCGCAGGAGCTGAACGGGGGCGAGACGGAGGAGAGGGAGATGCAGCGAGAGCTGGAGCAGCAGCAAGAACAGCAGCAGGAGCCACAGCAGCAGGAAGGTGCGGCCGAGGATGAGAACGCTGCAGCGGAAGTGACTACTCCTGCGCTCAGTGAATTGGCGACTGCTACGCCTAGTCCGACTACGACGACCCCTGCTACCACGAGTCCGAGCACTCCGGAGGTGCAGATTCTTGCGGAGAAGAACGTCGAGATCCCCACGCGGCAGAATGACGTGGTGCTGGTTGCTGCGAACGAAGATGAGACGAGGCAGGAGCAACCCACCCCTGAACCAAGTGAAACGAAGGCTTCGAGTCAAGAAGGCGACGAGGTGAAGAACCCGAACCAGGCGGAGGCGGAGATGCAAGCCCCGCAAGAGGAGTGGGAGGTCGCGGACTCCAGCAAGGACGAGGCTGCCGAAACGCCTGGCCCGTTGGCGACACCCATGAACGCCGTGACCCGACCGCCGGTGCGTCGCTCGCACGAATTCCTGCAGGCCATGTACCTGGTGCATCTTCCTGAGACGAAGCCTCCGAACCCGTACTTCCACGTGTTCCCTGTCGGCAAGGATCTTCCTGGAGAGCAAGCTGCGTTGGTGGCTGGACTGCGAAACAACGCAGCGGATCGCGATACTTGGTCGGTGGAGGGCTACCAGCACGAGGTTGATCGACTCGAAGGTCTGAAGAACGAGGCTAAGGAGGAGACCGAGCGGTTGAAGCTGCTGATCGGTGCAACGGATAAACTTATTGCCGAGGAAAAGGATCGCCTGGAGGACAAGCGCGCAGCCAGCACTCTGGATATTCGCAAGCACCAGCCGAGAAAGATCCGAAACAGGCTGAAATGCATGGGCTGGCGCCAAACCGGACAGTGCGACCCATACGGCAAGCGCGAGCCAAATGCAGACCTTGCATGCAATCAGATTGCGCAGGGAGGTGTGTCTGGGTACTGCGAGGTGCTGGACGAGGACACCGGCGAGTTGTTCCGCGTCATGCAGCTCAACTGCTCCAGTGTGCGCGACCACGTCGTGTTTTCGTGCGCGGAGGCCGCTGACTTTGCGAATTTCGGCCTCATGGCCCAGGGCGTCTACGAAAATGCTTTGGCGCAGAACGAGTCGAATCCGGCCAAGCTGCTGGGCAACAACGGCACTGGCAACGGCATTGTCATGGTTGTGTACCCGAAGCTGCTGTCGAGTGTGTTCGCATCGATCAGCGTGCTACGGTCTTACAACTGCACGCTCCCTATCGAGCTGTGGATCTCGCAGCCGGAGGTGGTGCGCACTCCCAGCATGCGGCCAACCCTGGAAATGCTGCAGCAGCGGTTTGCAAATGTCACTGTGGAAACCATCATCGACCCGACAATCGCCGGGTTCTCTACCAAGATTCACGCAGTTCAGCACAGCAAGTTCGAAAACGTACTGTTTCTCGACGCCGACAATGTTCCTGTGCGCGACCCGACGTTCCTGTTCGAGAGCAACGAGTTCCTTGAGCACGGCGCTATCTTCTGGCCCGACTTCTGGCATCCCGAGAAGACGATCTTCAACATCCAGCGCGAGTCGCTGCTCTGGGAGCTTGTGGATTTGCCCTTCGTGGACATGTTCGAGCAGGAGAGCGGCCAGGTTCTCATCAACCGAAAGCGAGCCGCTCTCGCACTCGAAGTGTTGATGTTCTATGCATACCACCGCCCGAGCCACTTTGAGCGGCTGGTGTTGGCCCATGGCGACAAGGATCTCTTCCGCCTCGCGTGGATGAAGACTCATACACCTTACTACATGATGCCGTTCCCACCTGCGGCTGCAGGCGTGGAGCGTGGGACATACAAGAAGCAGTTCTGCGGTATGACCATGGTTCAGTTCGACGTCGATGGCAACGTGCTGTTTCTGCATCGCAATGCCAAAAAGCTTGATGGCAAGGTGGACAAGATGGACCCGAAGTACTGGACGCATCTCCAGTCGTTCAAATGGGAGCAAGAAGTCTCGGTTGGTGATGGCGAGGAAATTATGTTCCCAGCCAATCGGACGGCGGTGCAGCGTATGATGAGCTACGAGGACATCAAGAAAAAGTACCAGATCGGTATTCAGCCCAGCGGTGCGCTCTTTAAAGAATTCGAGTCGTGCTACGGCGCAGAGGCCAACGTCATCGGCAACTACAACTTGACCAAGTTCGAAGACTTGCCTTTCGCCAATTTAGAGCAGGAGCTGATCGACTATGCGCACGAAGGCGCTCTCCTGATGGCACAGGCGCAAGGCCGGATGGTCGTGCAGTAGACCCCACCCACGTCAAACTACGGGCCACCAACCATAGAAAATGTTCTAGACGTTATTTACTAAATCAAAGTGCCCATTGTTCGCTATGCATGGCAGTACTTGCAAATTCCAAGGTCGAATGAACCAGGACTACATGTATATGCCCACTGCTTCCAAAACCCACAAAGCTCAACAAAAGCAACGGTTTGTATTCGAAGCAAGTATTCCCCCCGCCGGTGAATGAGGTATCAAGACGGCATCGCCGGTTGCGTGCGCTCTCCACTGCGTTAAACAGATCGAAAACCACCGGGCCATGAAAACCGGCAGGTAGGCTTGCTCCTCGACAAAGCCCCAGCAAACGGTAGGCGTCAAATTGCACGGTAGAACACGTAGTGCTTGTTGTGACATCCATACGCGGACTTTCAAATGCACCACTCAGAACCGAGTCCAAGCGATACCCACGAACGTCAGGCGAACACAGAGAACACATCGTACTCCGGGATACTGTCACCACACGTCTGCCATATAACTCTAAGCTGTGTCCGTCATCCGCATACCCCCAGCCTTGAAAAACACCAACTTCCAATTTCAGTGTGTGAAAGTCCCAATAGAAACGTGATGGTCTGACTGCTCCGATAGCGCGGTGACTTGGACCGAAACATATATCTGAGTTCAGGAGCCCGAGCTGGCCTGCAGCCTGCAGCACCCCGTAGCAGAGAAGATGATTTTTCCCGTTTCCTGTCGCGTTCTGGATGTGAGCATTGATATCTTCAAGAAGGGCTCCATGTAAGGGGCACTTAAGCTCGACGATAAGGATTTTTCCGCCAGTCGACATCGCCGCCGAGGCGATAGGTTTGAGTATTCCGACTCCAGGTAGCTCCTCCAGTTGGCCAGAGTTGCAGCACACAGCTCGAACGGAGTGCCTTCGCCGCCACCGGGAGGATGCAGAGAGTTCTCGACTTGATGCCAATCAAGACGCCGGGTTGCGGCGTTGATCCTGCTTGCCGCCATGTTCCTGGTTTCTCTGCAACTAGTGATAGTCTGATAGTCTCATCCAGTAAGCCTTAGCCCCCTCCCAGCGCTACGCAAGACTTGGTGCTGTTATCAAGCATGCTGCCCTCCACTAAGTACGATCACCATCTGGCAGTTAGCTGCGACTTGAAACGAACAAGCGATACTGCGCATTATCTACCTCGGCCATGGTGCTGCTGCGCCTCCTCTCGCTGTTGCTGCTGTTGCTGCCGCTCGCCTCGGCGCAGCAGTGCGCACACTTCGCGCAGGACGATCTGCTTTCCCGCCTGGAGACGCGCGTGCCCAAGTGCCTCGGCGCCTGCGTCTCTTCTTCCGCGCTCTCGACGCTGACCGAGCGCTTCGTCGCCAACGACTTCGACCGGCGCCAGCCGCTGGCGCTCGTGCTCTTCTCCAACTCCAGCGATCTGCTGCACGCACTAGCAGGCGCCGTGGGCTCCTCGCTCTTCGGCACCTCTCGCTCGCCCCACACGGTGCAGCGCGTGGACTTCCGGGCGCTGCTGGAGCCAGCGCGAGCCTCCAACTACGACATCAAGCAGACGCTGCGCTCCGCGTTGACCGGGCCGCTGCGCGCCTGCCCCGAGCGCAGCCTCTTCGTGCTGGACAACGTGCAGGCGCTGGACGACTCCGCGTTGCCCGTGCTGGACGTGTTCCTTGACCCTTTGAACGGCAAGCGCGCGCAGTTCCAGCACTACGTGGAGGGCAAAGCCAGCCGCGTGTACGACTGCGCCAACTCCGTCTTCCTCTTCCTCTACAAGGTCACGGCCAGTCTGTCGCCCCTGGACGGAGGCGAAAGCGGGCCGGGCTCGACCAGCAAATGGCGCGAGTTCCTCATGCAGCAGTGGACGCGAGCCGAGGGAACGCTGGAGGAGTTCACACCGCAGGCGTTTGTCGGCCGACTCACGGACGCGCTGGCGGTGTTCCCACCTGAGAGCGAGGACTCCATCGATGAGAGCTACGAGGAGTTTAAGAAGACGCGCGAATGGCGCCAAATGTGCGAGCTGCAGACCATCGAGAAGGAGGACCGCGATGCCCAGGCGGACAGTAGCTCGGGAGACTTCGGAGGGGCTGCGATGTCACTTGTAGCGGAAAACGTTGCTGCGGCCGCACCAATGATTCCTGGAGCACTCGTCATGCTATCAATACCGGCGTATTTGCTGATTTTGACACGGGCCAAACGCTGGAACGGAGAAATCACGAAGCAACGCGAAAGGGGCACGATCCACCGCCGCAGCGGCGGCAGCAACAACCGACGGAAAAAGAGGAAAACGCGTAGTAAGTGAAGAAGAGGCGTCTGCGTAGGATTAGTGCTTCAAGAAGGCCGTAAAGAAGGTTTTACTACTGATGCAAGGCTGAAGTGTACCTTGGTGTCGAAGCAGCTCGTGTGAGTCGCACTATTACATTTCCATTAGCAGAGTGCTACACCATAACCACCCGCAGAGTATCACGCTGGTCACCTCTCCTGCCGGAATGAATATCAGGGTGTGAGCCCTTTGGAAACCGTACCCGAACGCAGCTACTTAAGTAATGGGTATTTGTACATGTGCATTGATGCTACCTAGTTCGGGTTTTGTACTTTGCGTTGACGGATCTGCTCTGCTTCGTGAGCAAACTTGCGAATATGCATCTCTAACTCAGGAAATGGCAGGTTTGCAAATTCTTGAGTGTAGAAATGCCGGTTCTTGCTTAACTCTCGCTGACCGTAGCAGCGTTGCCAATCCGGGAACTGCGGAGTAGCTCTGTAGGGCTGGATTTTGTAGAAGCCTCGCTGCGAAGTAGTGTTGAATGACAACAGGTGCGTCCACATAGCAGGATCTGGCAGTCCGTCGGGTTCGGGAGGTTCCATCGTAGGTGCTGGCGTCGAGCGAAGCCTTGCAATCTCTTCGTCTACTGCTTGTTGATCGGGAACGCGGTCGATGCCTTCCTTCAGCAGCTTCTCGCGGACGTTTTTGATGGCCTGCGGTCGGTAGTAAATAACCTCGCGCTTCACCTGCCCCGTAAGCTTGTTGGAATTGCGGTGCAAGAACAACACATCGCCCCTCGGATCGTGCTGCACTATAGTCATTCCACAAAAGGACCCATTGGTGACCTTGCCTGCCACGGCAGGGGGCGTCTGAATCATTGTGAACGGGATATCGAGCTTCATCCAGGCGAATCGGAACAAGTCCTTATCCCCGTAGGCAAGCTTGAGTCGCGTAAAAGGATTTGGGCGCCGAAAGGTGTAAAACTTCACCAGCTCTAGCGGAGCAGCGTGCCGTTTGCGGTCAATGAGAAGCTGCCCACTTTCTTGCTCAAAAGAGTTCACAAACGTCGTCCCCAGTACTTCCCAGAGGAGCGATTGGCCGTGGATATTGAAGATCGTGTGGCCTGGATGCCAGAAGTCCGGCCAGAAGACTGCCCCAGTGTCCACAAACTCTTGTGATTCGAACATGTAGGTTGGATCACGCGCAGGGACGTTATCCGCATCGAGGAACAGCACTCGCTCGAAGAAGCTGTTGTAGACGGCGAATACTTTGGCTCCAAACCCTGTGGCCCAGTGGTCAGTGATCTTGTGAAAAGAGATACCGCCTCCAGCGCCACTTGTATTCGCCAACTCCAGTAGCGGTGCAAGGGCTTCGGGGCCACCACGAATCTCGGCCTCTCGGTACCAGATTTCGATCGGAAGCTGGCATCCCAACACCGCCCGAAGCGCTCGAATAGTAGCGTAGGCACTGGGAATCAGCCTGGGATACACCACCATGACGATCCCGTCGCGCGGCTGGGTGGTTGATTCAACAACATTTGGAAGAGCAAAACCTGGCACAAGTGCCTTCTCGGCGGCCTCGAGAGACTCCAACTGGTAGTTGACCAGATTCGGAGCCTCACTACACCGGAAAGTTGCATCGTACCGCAAACTCGCGCAGTAGCGCTTCATCACGCGGAAGAGCTCACCCGTATCTTGATCCTCCACCTCGCAGTAGCCAGACAACGAGTTGGGGATGACTTTATAGCAGTCCTTGTCATTCTTTGGTTCACGGGGCCCGTGTGGAGTGCAAAGGCTGGTGGCGCGCCAGCCGACGCATTTCAATCGGCGCTTCTTGCTCTCGTTCGCTGGCAACATCTTCACTGAGCGCGCGTGCTCTTCGGCCTCTTGGATCGAAGCCTTCCATGTGCCCCCCCCCCCTCCACCTGGACCTTGGGTCGCTCTTCATGCACAGGCAGAGCAAGGCTCGCTACCTCATCTCCCGCTTCGTCCTCCTCTAGGCTTCCCGTCGCTGTCAACAGAAATTCCATGCGCATCAGCTGCAACTCCTTCGCTTCGTCGAAGCCTTCCATGTGCCCCCCCCCCCTCCACCTGGACCTTGGGTCGCTCTTCATGCACAGGCAGAGCAAGGCTCGCTACCTCATCTCCCGCTTCGTCCTCCTCTAGGCTTCCCGTCGCTGTCAACAGAAATTCCATGCGCATCAGCTGCAACTCCTTCGCTTCGCGAACGGCAGCGCGCATCGCAGAGCGGAGGGTGCTAGCAGCACGCGATCCATCGGAGCCATTCAGAAGCCCCGCGTGGCTTGCCGACCAGCACACCAAGAATGAGGCATAAAGCGCTGCATCGACCAGCAAACACTTCAGGAATCTTCTTCTTCTCGGTGCCGACGATGCAGGTGCAGGTACCGAAGAGGTGGCTGGCTGGCGCGAGTCGCTGCTTACTACCGCTGGAATCGCAGCAGCGTGGCTTGCTACGCGAGGCCGTAGTAGGCGGTCCGTCTCGTCCTGCGTCATGCCGGGCACGTTCAAGTTTGGTGATTCAGCTTGAGCTGATGCCGCGTCGGCGAGATACCATCGCCATGTCCACAAGACCCCCTTCTCAGGCACAAGGATACTTGGGGAATCCGCATGATTCCGGCTAATCATGGGAGCTTTGCGATCCATTCACTTGCGCCGGTCGTCACAGGCGAGATAGCGGACACCTTCACGTGGCGATGCTGTGTCATACAGCGTCGGATAATCGCATGGGATCAAGATGTTAACGTCGTCATAATTTATGTCTACAGGCTGCAGTCTGTGAACTCTGTGTTCTCTACTACGCTCGAGCATTCTGAGCCGCCTGCTCTGCTGCCTCCTTGGCAAACCGACGCAAGTCAGCTTCCAGTCCAGCGAAGCTCAGACTAGCGATCTCTCTGGCGTGGAAGTTCGGGTTCGAGCCGATGTGGCGCTGCCCGTAGCAGTGCTGCTCTTTCGGGAACTGTGGGTCCGCATTATACGCCTCGATCACGTAGTCTGCGCGTTCGGCGGTGCTATTGAAGGACAGCAAGTGCGTCCAGATCATCTCGTCCGGGTATTCGTCGGACTCGGGTGCTTCCAGCGTGGATGCCTGTGTCGTCGCTGCAATCTCGGCCTCTACTTCACTCCACTTGGGAGTCATTCGACTGTGGCCCGTCTTGGCCGTCACAGCCGCGAGCTTCTCCTGTGCTTTAGCTAGAGCTTCAGCACGAACGCCCTCGACTTCTTGTGTCCGCACACCCGTGAGCTTGTGCGAGTTCCGATGCAAAAAGAGAACCTCGCCCTGAACGTCGTGCTGCACCATCGTCATACCGCAGAAGTTGCCGTCGACCACTTTGCCAGCGACTGCAGGCGGCGCTTGCATCATGTGGAACGACGCGTTCTGGTGCATCCACGCGAAGCGGAAAAGGTCCTTGTCGCCGTGCGCGAGTTTGAAGTTGTCGAAGAGATTTGGGCGGTGGAAGGCGTAGAACGAGAGCACTTCCATGGGCGCAGTGTGGCGCCGTCGGTCGATGAGGAGCTGGCCACTTTCCTGCTCGAACATGTCCTGGAACGGGAGGTCGAGGAATTGCCACACGAGGGACTGGCGGTGGATGTTGAAGATGGTGTTGTCAGGGTGCCAAAAGTCTGGCCAGAAGACAGCGCCGGTCTCCAAGAACTCGGCAGACTGGAACAGGAAGCTCGGGTCCCGTACAGGAACATTGTCGGCGTCAAGGAACAACACCCGCTCGAAGAAACTGTGGTAAATGGCGTACACTTTCGCCCCGTAGCCGAATGCTCGAGCGTCGTTGATCTCGTGAAACGCGATGCCCCCAACCGACTCGGCCAGCTTCTTCAGCGGCACCAAACCTTTGCGCACAGATCTCATTTCGTCAGGACGGTACCAGAGCTCAATCGGCAGCTGGCAGCCCATCACGTCTCGTAGAGCTCGCACAGTAGCGTAGGCGCTCGCTAGTAGCCTTGGATATACAACCATGACAATTCCATCTTGGCCTCTGGATTGGTTCGAGTTCACACCAGGAACCTCGGGCACCACGTGCGGCAGTGCGTAACCAGGGGCTAGCGCTTTCTTCGCCACCTCCTTCGCTCTGATGGGGAACTTGACAAACTCGGCGGCGTCGAGGCAGCGGAACCTCGCGTCCTCTCTCACGCTGTTGCAGGCGCGCTTCACCACCTGGAAGACTTCACCCGTGTCTTTGTCCTCGAGTTCGCAGTACCCGGACTGATCGACGGGCACCGGTTTGCCGCAGGGCAAATCCAGCTCCGGCAGTCGCTCGCCGTCGGGGTTGCAGTCGCTCGTGGCCTTCCAGCCCCGACATCTCAAACGGGCGTCCACTTTCTTCTTGTCCTTCTTGTCCGTCGGCGCCATCTTAGCTTGCATCTCGGCCTCCTGCTGCCGAGCCACCGCTAGAGCAGCTCGAATCGAGATCTCCCTAGCCGACAGTTGTGCCGCTGGAGGTGTTGTCGGGGCTTTCGTTCCATCCACCGATGCGGTGAGCAGGTTACCAGAAGCGGCGCTGGAGCTTGAGAGGCCCAGGACTTCGAGCTGCCTGGCATTCCAGCAGACGAGCAACACAACGTAGAGCGCCCCCGTCAGCAGCAAGAGTCTCAGCAACCACAGTCGCCAGTAGCGCCGACCAGCGAGAGAAGCCGCTGGCGCGGCCACGACTGACTCCACCCCGTGGCGCGGCAGCAGCGCCGACTGACTGGCTGCCCTCGGTCGGAGCAGGCCCTGGTCCATCTCGAGCGAAGAAAGCCGAAGTGGTCGGCCCGGTCACCAGCGGAAGTGCTGCAGAGGACTTCGCATTGGAGATCGGTCCATTTCCTCTGATCCGGTGATAGGCAGGCACCATTGCGCAGAGACCGCACCCGCGGTCCGCCGCTTTTTCCTAGCGTTAGACACAGCTGGGTTATACCGCCGTCGTCAAGGCGCGGTAGACGAATTTCCCCAGCGCTGCCACATGCACGTTCGTTATGTGTAGACTTACAACTCCGGTGTATGTACATGTATCTCGATAAGTTAGGAACATCTCTCTCTACCTACCTACGACTGCTTGATCTCGACGGCCTCCGCGGCAAAGCGACGCAAGTGCGTTTCGAGGCCGGCGAAGGGCAGGTCGGCCACCTCCTGCGCGTAAAAGTACTCGTTCTTGCTCACGTTGCGCTGCCCGTAGCAGTTCTGCGACTTGGGGAACTCCGGGTCGGCGTTGAACGTCTCGATGTAGTAGTATTCCTGGCCCGTCGTGTTGCGGAACGACAGCAGGTGCGTCCACACCATCGAGTCCGGGTATCCGTCGGGCTCGGGCGGCTCCAATGTTGGCGCTGGCGTTTCTTCGGCCTGGACGAGCGCGTCCAGCTCCGACCAGCTCGGGATCTCCTTGCCCTCGTTCCGGTACCTCTGACGGATTTCTGCCTTCTTTCTCGACCGCGCGATAGCCCGAGACCGGTAGTCAACTTGAGCTCGCAGAGGTTCACCCGTCAGTTTGTGCGAGTTGCGGTGCATGAAGAGCACCTCTCCCTGCGCGTCATGCTGCACCATGGTCAAGCCGCAGAAACTGTCGTTGATGGTCTTGCCGGCCAAGGCTGGGACAGCCTTTATCATGTGGAACGGGGCGCCGAGCTTCATCCACGCAAACCGGAACAAGTCCTTGTCGCCGTGGGCGAGTTTCATGTAGTCGAAGTGGCTCGGCCGGTGGAAAGTGTAGAACTTGACGAGTTCTAGTGCCTCTGCGTGCCTCCGACGATCGATGAGCAGCTGGCCGCTTTCCTGTTCAAACATATTCACGAACGGCATGTCGAGCAGTTCCCAGAGCAGCGACTGGCTGTGGATGTTGAAAATGGTGCGTCCTGGGTGCCAGAAGTCCGGCCAAAACACGGCGCCATTCTCCACGAACTCCGGCGAATCAAACAGGAACGTCGGGTCTCGGGTGGGTACGTTGTCGGCGTCCAGGAATAAGATGCGCTCGAAGTAGCTGTTGTAGATCGCAAACACTTTCGTGCCGTAGCCCGCTGCGTGCCAGTCGGTGATCTCATGGAAGGTAATGACCGACGTCTCATTATCCGCTGCCAGCGCCATCAGAGGCTTCATTGAGTCCGGGTGGCCATTGATTTCGGCTCGACGAAACCAAATCTCAATGGGCAGGCGGCAGCCGAACACGTCGCGCAGCGTCTTGATCGTTGCGTAGGCGCTAGGGATCAGCTTCGGGTACACCACCATGACGATACCGTCACGAGCGGTCCGGTTGTCCTCCGTATCGTTCCCAGCCACATTGGGCAGCGTAAATCCTGGTGCACGCGCAACCTCAACAGCTTCGCTTGCCTTATAGCGGAAATTAACAAAGTTCGCCGCATCCGAGCAGCGGAAGCTCGTCTCCCACTTGGAGCTGCTGCAATAACGCCGCATAACCCTGAAGCGTTCGCCCGTCTCGGTATCTTCCACTTCGCAGTAGCCCGAGTGTCCGAACGGGACGAACTTGGTGCATGTGTAGTCCTTTTCAGGCTTGCGCGGTCCATACGGACTGCATCCTCCAGTAGATCGCCAACCCAAGCACTTGAGGCTGCGTGGGCGCGTCTCGCCCTTGGGCAGCAGAAGCACGTCGCGAGCTTGCTCCTCCGCTTCTTGCTGTCGCTTCTCCGCGTCAGACACCTGAGACCCCGAGTGAGTCGATTTAGAAGCCGAGCTGGAAGAGCTTACGGCCTCCATCTTTGCGACTACCCCCTCTCGGGCTAGACGCAGCGCTTCTCGCATGTCGGACGCTTCCATGGGCTGGTCAATCGCCGCCTGCGTGGGTATTGGCGTGGCCACGTACAGCGTTGCTTTCTCCTCCTCCTTCACTTCCTCTTTCGCTTTCTTCTCCATCTCCTCATTCACCTGCTGGTCCTGCTTCCCAACAGCCCCTCCCTCCACGTCCGTTTCCGGGTGGTTGGCCGCCTTCAAAATTGACGCCAGGTCCATGCCGTTGCTCTCCTGTGTTGGCGGCTCCGCTTGGCTAGACGCAGTCACGTAGGACGCTGCCGAGTCGGAGCCCGTGCGCACCGCGCTCAAGTTGTGTGAGGACCAGGCCAGCATCAGCACCGCGTACACTGCGCCGCCCAGCAACAGCAGCCGTGGCAGCCACGACCTGCCGCTCGACGGCAGCGCGTGCGTGGATGTCGGCGGTGACCCGCCCCCTTGGTGACGGGGCAGCAGCATCGCTCCAGGCTCCTCGGGCTCCGGGGCGCCCGCCGTGTTGGACCGCGGACGAAGCAGCGAGGACTGCTCCATCGTTCACCGTCCGCGTTGACGATTGCCTTCTGCTCGCTTGCGAGCTGGCCGACTCGTTCCGTTGTGGCATGGGAGGCTCGCAGATTGTGACGCACGTCGAAGGAGAACAGAGGGATTTTTTCGGCGGGATTTGTCTAGCACAGGCTGGCGGCGAAATGACCTGCGCCCGGTGTGCACGTGGCTTCCTCGACAAGCTTTGCGTTTGACTCCTCCCTGATATTTGTCTCGACTGACTGAGCCGTCATACTTGAACGCTACATCCATGATCTACAAATTAACACCCTGATGGGCTCACGAGGCGAGAGCTGAGCCTCAAATGAGCCGGGCGGCGGTGGAATCCGAGCTTCAGACTCTGAAGCACCAGCATTGCGCGGGCAACAGCCTGCACGCCCACTGTGATCTAAGCTGCTGGACTCTGCTCAGATCACGCGTTGAAGTCGTGGACGTTGGTTGCCAACGTCACAACCTACCGTCCCGTAATCCCGGCCTGCTCGTAGAAGCGAGCACCCTCCATCGCGAAGCGCCGCAGCTCCATCTCGAGCCCGCCGAAGCTGAGGTTGGCGAACTCGTGCGCGACAAAGTGCTGGCTCTGGTTCAGGTAGCGCTGTCCGTAGCAGTTCTGCCCCTTCTCGAAGTCCGGGTCCGCGTTGTACGTCCCGATGCGGTAGTCCGATCGACGCGACGAGTTCCGGAGCGAGACGAGGTGCGTCCAGATCGCCATGTCGGGGTATCCGTCCGGCTCGGGCGCTTCCAAGGTCGGCGACGGGGTTTCGTCCAGAGCAGTGCGTGCGGCTTCTTCACCGGTGAGAGTGACGCGATCGGCCTCCGCCATCTTCATGCGCAGCCGCTTGTTGCGCGCGCGACGGATGGCTGCTGCCTTCATGTTGACCGCCTTCCGCCGAGGCGTGCCCATGAGTTTGTGCGAGTTGCGGTGCAGAAAGAGAACGTCACCCTGCGCGTCGTATTGCACCATGGTCATGCCGCAGAAACTGTCGTTCACGACTTTGCCAGCGACAGCAGGGGGCGACTCGATCATGTGGAACGGAGCTCCAAGCTTGAGCCACGCAAACCGGAAGAGGTCCTTGTCACCGTGCGCCAACTTCATCTTGTCAAAATGGTTCGGGCGGTGGAAGGTGTAAAACTTCACGAGCTCCAGCGGGGCAGCATGCCGCCGTCGGTCGACAAGTAGCTGGCCGCTCTCCTGCTCGAACATGCTGACAAACGGCAAGTCCAGCAGCTCCCACACGAGTGAATGCGGCTGAATATTGAAGATGGTCTTCCCAGGATGCCAGAAGTCCGGCCAAAAGACCGCTCCCGTTTCTACAAACTCAGACGAATTGAATAGGAAGGTTGGGTCACGCACTGGCACGTTGTCGGCATCCAGGAACAGCACGCGCTCGAAAAAGCTGTGATAAATAGCAAAGACCTTGGTAGCAAAGCCCGTTACTCCGGGCTGGTCGATTTCTCGGAAGGTGATCGTGCCACTCCCTTCGCTCGACCACTCTTGCAGTTGTGCGAATGCTTCGGGGAAGTACTTCATCTCCTGTGATCGAAACCAAAGCTCAATGGGCAAGTCGCAGCCCAGCAGCTCCCGCAGTGCACGAATCGTAGCGTAGGCACTCGCTAACAATTTAGGATACACCACCATAACGATGCCATCACGAGGCTCTTGCTGGTCACCAGGCTTTTGGGCGATATTTGGCAGCATGAAATCTTGAGCTTGTGCCTTCCTCGCTGTGTCACGAGCTTTTTGCGGAAAAACGGCGAAGTCCCAGGATTCGGAGCAGCGGAATCTTGCCGTGTCCCGCACACTAGAGCAGTATCGGTGCATGACGCGGAAGCTTTCTCCAGTGTCTTTATCTTGGACTTCACAGTAACCTGACGAGCCAAAGGGGATCACCTTATTGCAGGGCTCGTCAAGGCTCGGCACCCGAGGTCCAAGGGGATTACACGCATCCGTTGCTCTCCAGCCAATGCAACGCACTCTCCTGATCTTGCTTTCCGACACTGGGTAAGTCTTCAGCGTCTTTGCGTGTGCCTCAGCTTCAGCGATTGCCTGCTCGTCCCTCTCGACCGACAAATTCTGGTGCAGGAACTCCATTTCCAGCTCTGCGAACGGGAACGCGGTGCGCAGCTCGCGGTCCTCGTGCAAATGTAGATACTCCATCTTGGCTTCATCCAGGTTTGCAGTAGATACGAAGTCACCTGCTGGCGTGTTCACTCCGTTGCCGCCTCTCGCGTTTATGCGGATGAGCCAAAGGACCACGAGCGACGAGTACAGCACGAAGCCCAGCAGCAGCAGTCGCTTCCGTCGACGCAGCGGTGATTGAGAAGGCGAGCGCGGTGGCAACGATCCTCTATAGCGAGGCAGCAACGGCGCCTCGGGTACGAGTGGGTCTCGGTTGTGGCTCGCGGCCCGCGGACGCAGCTCGGCGGTCATCGTGCGCGCTGCCTCTTTCAATGCTCCTCGGTGGCAGTTGAAAAGCATACGGCAGAGTGGGACGCTCGTCCCGCGCAGATGAATTGTGTACACCACATAGTTTACTGTAGAGCACATAACTTTCGTGTTCAAATAGGGTACGGCAACTTCAACCTACTTCCCGTGGATATGCTGCAGGTGGTTCACTAGGATCACGACGTCAGGCGCGACAAACCGGCAGTGGGGACACTGCTGCTTGTCGTCTGCAGCAGGCGGCGCTCCTGTGGGCGGTACATCGGGATTTTGTGCTGGGCTGGATGTCATCGCGACGACGGGCGCTGCCGGCTCCAAGCCGAATATCCTGCTGCCCCCCAGCACTGCAATCGTGTTGGGCTCATTCGTTTCGTGGACGTGGACGGATTCGACGTGTGCGACCATCAACACAGCGTCTTGACTTTTAAACGGGCAGTACGGACATCGATCTTCCTTTGACGTGGTCGACTTCACGCAGGCCGGGTGATAGGCGGCGCCTGCGACGGTAGTCTGGACTGGGTACTGCTCCAAATGCCTCGCGCTTTGGCCGCTCTTGCCTCGCCCGTGGCACCAGCGAGTACAGAGTGCAATCAGTATGAGCAGAATAATCACACTGCCTACGATGATGGCGACCAGCCACTCGGACCAGAAGGACTTGCCGTTCGAGGCAGCCGCTGACCCGGAAGTGGAGCCGATGGCGCTGGACGATGCAACGAACGCAAACTTCTGCGCATCTGCCAGCAGTACACTGCGCCCATAGACCACCGCTTCCACCATAATCTCCCCGTCGTCGCCGAGCGCCACATGATCGGATGTGTCGCCACTGCTACTGGAGTTACCACCGGCAGCGGCGAGTAGGTCCGCGTAGGAGACCAGCACCATTTCAACGTTGTTCTTGGAATCTCTTCCCGTCCTTGAGTCGGCGGTTAAGGGCCCGAATGTATGCGTGCCATTGCGGACACGCACAATAAGGTCCAGATCGTGCTGTAGCTGCGACGTCGCCTGGGTGGACCCTGGTGGGTCAGTCCACACGACTGTAGCGCGCAAATCAACACCTCGTGCCACTGTAAACGAGATGATCATCTCTCCCCCGTGGGCCACTGATGGCTCGCTGCTTTCGGAGGAGTTTGGCAAAAAATACAGTGACGGTAGAGCATCGGTACCATTGCTGCTGCTGCTTCCACTTGATCCGCTGAAGTAGATAATGTTGGTAAGATTAGGCTTCCCGTAGCCTTGGTAGACGTCCGGGAATTCAACGTCAGTGACGTCTGAGGTCAGGCTTGTGCACGATGCAATACCACTGGAAGGCAATGCGCCCATACGCTGTTGAAGCGAGTCGCCACTGTGAATAATCAATGCCTTGAGCAACGAAGCGGGAATATTGTTCATGGCGTACGCTGAATCCTTTTTGCCGCTCTTCCACCAACCATCGCGGAGCCATTCGTACAGAAGTACGGCGACACCTGTGACGACTGGTGTGGCCTGCGATGTCCCTTGCAGCGAGCAAGTGGCCGAGCTCTCATTAGTAGACCCTGGCGCCTCGGACTGGCTTGAGATAAGACTCATACCCGGGGCCACAACGTCAGGCTTCAGTCTTCCATCGGTCGTAGGCCCTGCCGACGAGAACGCTGCGATTGTACGCTCGTTGAAAATATTAGGACAGCCAAACTGCGAGAATGTTGATGCCGAGTTGAGCGATGCACCGACTGAAATGACGTTTTTAGCACCAGAAGGAGACGAAATAGTGCGTTGCCCAGTGATGGTCGACTCGCCACTGTTCCCTGCAGCCACAACCACCAGCACATCCGGGTTTTCGTTGATAAAAGCATCCAAATCACTGGCTTGAGAGCTGTAGTCGGATCCAGGCGTTCCCCATGAAAACGAGAATATTTTTGCGCCTGCGTCCATTTGACTTTTGAGCAGATCACCGGCATCTGCAGGTGTAGAGAGGGATACAGCACAGTTAAGCTGACCTGCACAGGCTTCGCTTTGTGTCCCGATGTCCATGAACGCTATTCGCGACTTGTCAGCAATGCCCAGATTGGCATGCTTTCCGCTAAATGAGCTTCCTGCCAGAAGTCCTGCAACGTGGGTACCGTGACCGCAGGTGATTGTCTCGGCTTCGTCTTCCTTATTCGCCCAGGCGTTGTACATCACCACTTTTCGAGCCGACATCACCATACCGGAGAAAATGTCGCGCTCATCCTGGTCGAACTGGTCATGGTAAAGGTAAAGTCCCGTATCTGTAATTCCCACAACTACGTCGTTGCCTCGAATACCCGCCTCCCGAGCCGGGTCGACACCAACTAGGTTCGGAACATATTCATCGAGTCGTCTATGGGCTTGCATTCTCGTCCAGCGCTCCTGGTCTTCTCCACGCAGTAGGTTCTGCGTAAGTTCGTGGCGTTCATCCAGCCACTCGACAGAACTCTCCACTATAGCCAGCGCTAAAATATTCATCCACGTCCTTAAGTCCCGCAGCGGCTTCGTAAAAATCGATCGCGGCCAGTTTTCTCTAGTTTCGAAAACGTTCAGCAGTCCAAACTGTTCATACGCTCGCTGTTCCAGGGAAGTCAACACAGAATCCAGGGCAGCCCCCTGAACCAATCGTATCTCCATCGCGGGCACCGCTACGGACACGTTCCCCTTTGCACTCTGCATCATCCTGCCACTCAGCTGCGCGGCACTTCGGGCGAAAGGCATCAACTTCAGAATTGCCGGTAGGTTCAGCATAACATCCACGCACTCCAGAGCCCGAATCTGCTCCGCCACGGACTTGTTGGCATGCACCAACAGCACCGTGTTCTCTCCAAGCCTGTCGCCCCTTCTAGTCAGCAGCGGCGTTTCATTTTCCTCGTCTTGCGCCCAGACGCTTCTCACGGCAGCGACGCACGCTCTCTCTTGGTCTCCCTCCTGTCCTGTGAGTAGTTTCACTAATCTCGGCTTGCGCTCCGCCTTCTCCTCCTGCTCCGAGTCGTCGTCCTGCACCTTGGGCAGGAGTTTATCCTGTAGGAAAGCTAGTTGGCAGGCGTCGGCCGTGATGCTGTCGCCGCCCAACATGGCGTCGTACGCCTGGAAAAAGGCGTCGTGGAGGCCCTGAAACACCTGCGCGCTGTCCGCCGCCGACAGCGTCAGCGAAAACGCGAGCGTCGACGCATTCTGCTCCACGCTGTTACATGAGATGACGTCGATCTGCTGGTCACTGGTGTTGGCTGCAGCGGCTTCGAGCGCGCGCCCGCGCCCACAAAGCGGCGGCGAGCACTGAGAACTGGGCGAGAGGAGGGTCGGAGAGCAGTGGTAGGCGCAGAGCGCGGCGGCGTCTGCGAACTGCAGCCCCTGCGCGTCATGCAGCGCCGCGGAGCAGCGTCCGAGCAGCCCCAGCGAGAGCAGCAGCCCCCGTATCACGCGCATGAGGGGGCAGTGCTGCGGTCGGTTTTCACTCCGAGGCAACTTGCACAGTGGTTTTCGTCTCTTCTCTTTTCTGTTCGAGGAAGGCAACTGTCGCGTCGTAATGTGCCGTTTCAATACAAATTCCAAGTGCGGGCCGAGTCAAAACAATCGCGCCCGCCAAGTGCTGCCCAGGACGAAGACCGAGATCCGGACCCCGCCTCTGCTACGTCGATCGATGGTCTCCGCAGGAACTTCCTGCCGTCTCGCCGTGCGCGTTCTGGTTGCGCCTTCGTCCTTATGGAGCTCACTCGGATAGCGGGCGGTTGCAGTGGCTGCTGCGGCAGCCGGCGCTTATGGAGGACGCACAGTTCAGCGCCACCCATTAGTTCCGACCTCGAACTTTAGGAGCACAATTTATTTTACAGTGTGGCCTCTACCTAGTGCGGCGAGGAAGAGATTCCTGCCTGCACGCGTGCCGACGACGGATGTGGCTCGTTACTCCACTTCCCGGTAAGCAGCGTCGGTTCGCTCCCCCAAGCCAGCTTTGTGTCGCGGTGTGTGCACCAGATGCTGGGTAGGGAGGGACGCGCTGTCATGGCCGAAACTACGGTTCAATTTTCGACAGCTGAATATCATTTTTGAAAGGGAAAACACACTAGAAACCATGAAAACTACTCTACTTTGATTGCTTTTGTATTTAGTACGGGTTTTTCAGCAAAATACAAACACCGGTATTTCGGGGTCCAATATGTAGCGAGATGATCAAAACGCAAGCAGTACTGCCTCACTGCCACAGCAATCTCTGCCGACGCAGGCGGCCACGCTGACAACCACGCCACGGCCCATTTCCAGCCCCCCCCCCCCCTCCCAGTGTGCTGTAACCCTAACAAGACGTAGCGCCGATCGTCCTCGCACATTCGTGTTGCGCCATATATACTACTGCATTGTATGCAATAGTGAAATGAAGTAAGAATCAAAGGATATGTTTTAGGGCTACTGATTGGATAATACAAAGGGCATTAAGAGAGTACTGACTAAGTAGATTGACCCGATTTGCCAAAACGTAAGTAGGTATGTGCCACTCCGTAAGTATAAAATAAAGATAAAATAGCACTACAGATTTAGAATCCCACCAGTTCTATTTTTGAGAAGTCGTATTTTTACAGTTATTTTTTTACGACCTTTTTTTAACGATTTGCAGTTTTCTACGACTAGTTTTGTTTTACGACTAGTGTTGTAAGACTCATGCTTGGAGCAAGTTGTAGAGTTAACGAGTCGTACAATTTACAGTCCTGGACACCATCGAGCCCCCCTGAGTGACCTATCACTATTTTTACATGGACAGATAGAGGTAAAAACAGCAAAAAAAGTAAGAAGAGTTTGGCATCAGCACACTTCTAGAAGACGAGTTACAGTTTTTAGTATCGCCGTTCCTGTTTCAGCAAGTTCAGATTTGACGTTCTGCTTGTCCATTTTATTGTCCGACAAGTATGTCCCGTTTCTTCAATTTTGGGTCTGATATCACCCAATTTAGCTATTTTGGGTGGTCTTGAGGCGGTTATGACCGGACAGAAGCGTCTAATGAAAAAAATGTTGTGCTTCTTTTTATAGCCGTTAGTGCTCGGATTAAGACGAGGCGAAGACCGCTTGAAAGAGCTCGAAAACAGCAGCAAACTAGTCTTTACCGCATGTAAATCGGATAATTAGAAGTCTCTCAAATGGTATTTGGGGGCTCGATGATGTCCGGGACTGTTAAGAGTAGTAGGAATTAAAGTGAGGTAGCGTTTTAAGTTTTACGAGATAGCAACACGCGAGAATGTACGACTTTTATTTTAACGGCGCCGCTGTACACACTAATAGCATTGAAGGCGTCCCATACGTAGGTTTCGGATGACTATCTTTTGCGCCCCCCATCATGGCGGCCGTGCGCTTGGCCTCCTCGGCTTCGCGCCTCCAAGTGGACCTGGTAGACGCCAGTCTTGGTCCGCGCTCGCAAGATGCAGCTGCTTCTCTTTTCCAGTACGACGGCTTTCGCTGACGCTACCTTGAACCTCGACGACGACGTCGCTGACGTCCTTACGGCTACCCTGTTCATGCATTACCCCGACATGTTAGTGTTCTGCCCAAGCAGCCCGCTCATCACGAAGATACGTGAGTTCCTAGCACTACGAGCCATCGGTGAGCCCGAGCTGCTCGCGTGGAGCGTGACAACTAGCCAGGCATTCGCGACGCCTCCTGAGTCGAAGGCGTCTGCTAGTGGTGGCGAGGAGCCGTCGCCAGCGTTGATTGATCTCATCAAGCGCCAGTCCGAGCAGATCGATGTTTAATCCTACAGAACAAATGACTCGACGAGCGCATATCAGCTGTTAAAGCACACCTTCAAGCACTTACCAACACAGCCGCAACTCAATCAGCAAACACCGACGCCACGCTTCCTGCTCCCGAGCAACCACCGCCAATAGGAGCTACGACGACACGCCCGAAGAAGAAGGGAGCCCAGTCGTTGCCGGCAATCTGGTTCGAGTGGTTTACAGCGGAGCCTCGTGTGTATGTGTCGCGTTCTGTAAAGAAGACAGCGTTGTACGAGTACAGGCACATCGCAGGGTATCTCATGCTCTTCTTACCTGAAGGTTTCGCGCTTGACACTTCGTCGCCTGCATACAAAAGCGAGGTCCTGGAGCTACGTGATAAAGCGCAGCAGAACGCACTCACCTTCTTGAAATCGCACGGCTCCTCCGCGGTTGCAGCAGGCTCGGCGTTGAAGGCTCTTCGTCAGATGCAGAAGCTTGGTAAGCTCGACGCGCTCATCGCCCAGTTCCATGAACGCGTTGACCATGGTATCATTGTCGATACGACGCCACCTTCAGCACTTCCATCATTCATTCGACTGACGCCCGCACAAGGTTGATCTGCTACTGTACCACATAGCAAAATGCACTAAAAAAACTCAAAGGTTAAAGCGACCCACCGCACACCAGTCTCGCTGATCAAGGAACAATACCACCGACATCACATGAATGCATGAAGAACATCATAATTTGGGTAAACCTCTTCGTGTATTTTCTTGCACTTGTTCATTACTACGTTATAAACCGCACTGCACAAAACATAACGTTAGAATAGGACATTCACAGTGATGACAGGGCATAGAGTGTTTACCTTGAGTCTTGCGGGGCCATCACCCTGCACAATACCAGCCAGCCGGCAGTGTCGCTGCAGCCGCACTCACTGATCCTGTTGTTGCTGCTGATGCTGGCCCCGCCAGCCATCACCCCGCGCGAGGCCCAGCCACTGTCGCCATCGCCACACTGCTCCTGGTGCTGCTGACCTCAGCGGCCATCACCCCGCCCGAGGCCGAGCGCTCACCCACGTAGCCGCCCTCGCCGTCGCCCGCGTCGTGGCCCTGCTACTGATGCTGCTGGCCTCGGCGGCCGTCACCCCGCGCGAGGCCAAGCCACTGTCGCAGTCGCAGCCCCTGCTCCTGGTGTTGCTGACCTCAGCGGCCATCACCCCGCCCGAGGCCCAGCCATAGTCCACGTCGCCGCCCTCGCCCTCGCCCGCGTCGCCCTGCTACTGATGCTGCTGGCCTCGAGCTCCATCACCCCGCCCGAGGCCGAGCACTTGTCCATCTCGCTGCCGACGCCCGTCTTGCTCTCGGTGCTGCAGGCCGGGGGCCTTCTCCACGCGCTCCGATGTGAACGAATGAATGAACGGATTTAGTTAGGATGTCATTAAAATAAAATAGATGTCATTGAAATGATTTGCTGTAGTAACGGTACAGGTTGGACACCTTGGTCGGACAGTTGGAATTTTGACGGTATGGAAGTATCCCATAATCCCGTACAGTACATATATCCAGCGGTCGGCGACAAAACCGCTTCTCTTCCTTCCTAGAAAGTCGATCAGAAGCGCTACCTATGTTTACGATTCTTGTGGTGCTTGCAGCTCAAAACGTCATCTCCTGTCGCTTCAAACTCGTCGTCGAAGATACCAGCTAAGTATGACTACATTCAGTTTTGGGCTGCAACCAAGGCCCATTTTTTCTTCTTAAAGACGTGTATTTTCACTTGTTACTAGTAGCATACCATTGACCCGTCGAACCTCAGCGCTGTTCTTCTTCGAACTAAACGGTCACGCCGCCTTTATTATAGTGAATTCATGCAAAAACAGAAATTTCTGCACGTAGATACAGGTTTATGCTAGCTGCGCAGATTTGGACGAACAGTAGACCACCGGTTGAAAACGTGAAATATTCGCGAGTTATTACTGTGCAACTTAGATATGAGTGCTATTTCCTGGACAATTCTGGCTGTTGCGAACACTTGAGTTATTGCAAGATTTCGACATAATTATTCTAAACAGTGATATTTTCGACTCTAACTCAGTCACCTTCAGTGCAGCTGACGTGCATCAGCACATGCCAGAAAAACGGAATAAATATGAACTATTTCGCAAAATCTCCGGCTGAACTTAGTGATGCGCATTCTAATCCATATATAATACAATAGTTCGCTAAATGTTAGTGCAGTCACTCGAAATTATTCAAGCCTGGAGCCCGCTCGGCATGTTCTAGTGGTTTGTGTTGAATTCGTTATCATGAAAAACCTGGGGTTTGATAGCGTCGCGCATGCTGTCGACCTCCAGAAGAAGTAAATGGTCACACAACTGATGGACAAATCCCTTCGAATTATATATGTTTAGGAGGCTGGATGTGTTTTCACAATCCTTACAATCCTACGGCATGAGGCGGAGCTGTGATTTGTTCCGAGACAGATATTTATTCGAATAGACTCTTGGAGTGTGCCCTACATTCACTATTTTAGATAGTACACAAATCTATAGAAAATATACCTGAACTTGGTTTAAAGTAGAGCTTTTGCAAGACTGAGCATCATCCGACTTTTTGCGACTGTTAACTAGTAGATACACTAATAGATTTGTCTATCGCAAACAAAATCGCTGCACAAAATACGGCTGGCTCACAGTCGTGGCTGCATCGAGCAGATCCAAGCTATCAAGGGAAGTCATTGTGATATTTTCAAGAGTGCAAGGACAAGACCGAGGAATGGCTAAGAATCAGCAGCCCAACAGAATACTGAAGCTTTTACCTGTCACCGCGGTGTCTGAGCGACGCTGCATGCGCCTCTTGCTGGGCATACTGACGCTGGGCACAGTCTTGGGGTGGTTTCTCGTGATTTCATCAGCCGGCAGTATCGAGTATCTCCGATTCTTTCGCTCTCATGGCAACGCACCTTTCCACGATTGCGACTTTGGCAGGTCAAACGCAAGCGACGGAAGTTCACATACCGAAGAACCAAGTATCAGAACCGACGCAGCAGAAGTCATGCCCATGGATCTACCGTCCAGTCCTACGGCAATGCGGGTCTTCAGGTGTCTGGGGTGGAGAGCAACAGGAGACTGCAGCCCCGACGGTACCCGGAAGCCAGACGCCGACCTCAACTGCAACAGTTTAATACCGTAGGAACCCTCTGGCTACTGCGAAGTGGAAGATATCAATTCGCACGAGACTTTTCGTGTCATGAAGCGGACGTGCGCGAAAACCAAAGGCGGGGCCAAACTTCGCTGTGACGATGCTCCTGGATTCGCCAACTTCCGTGCAAAAGCGCAGCTATAAGTGCAGCAGGCCCAACGGCCGAATTTTGCGCTTCCAAATGTCGCGAACGGCCCCCATGGTTCACCACGAGGCGTTGTGATGGTGGTGTATCCCAAGTTGGTTGTGAGTGCGTATGCCACGATCCGCGTTCTCCGCGATGTCGTTCACTACCCATTACCTATCGAGATCTAGTATTCCCCCGACGAGAAGCAAGAGGCCCCCGGATCACTGACGCCGCTACAGGAATTGGCTTAGAACTCGTCCGCGGCTCAAACTACTTTTCGGGAAATCAGATTGAAAGGCCGAGGCATCCGCTTCAACGCCAAAATATACGCCATATTCAACAGCTTTTTAGAGCAAGTGCTGTTCCTGGACGCCGACAACGCTCCCGTGAGAGACCCGAGCTTTCTCTTCGAGACACCCGAGTTTGTGGAAAGGGCGCTGTCCTCTGGCCAGACTACTGGCACCCGAAGAACACCATGTTTTACATCGACCAGGACTCGCTCGTGTGGCAATTGCTGGACATGGCATGCCGTTCGTGGACATGTTTGAGCAGAAGAGCGGCCAGCTCGTGATCGATCGCCGTCGACACGCCACACCCATGGCGCTCGTGAGTTTCAACGCCTTCCACCGGCCCGGCAGCGGTGCTATGGACCCCGTCGTTTCGACAAGAACTTTGATGTCCAGGTTTGCGGATAGATTTGAACTGCTGCAACGCAAGCTTGCACTTAATTAGATCGGGCTTCCTTTAAGGAAGTTCCTTAAACGCGAAATATTTCCTCTTCCTCTTGGTCGTACGTTTCACAAGTCTGTAGTGAGCCTATGACGTCCATGGCAACTCCAAGGAAATGCAGTCGGCGGCGTAAAAGGTTGTGAGAGAACGAGTCCGGCAGTGGAGTGGCTCCCAAGCCCACAAGACACTCAATGTTGAACTTCTCGTGCGGATGCGTCGTCAGGTTGACTTCTCTCCTCCGCTGACGAGGGGTCATGTGCGTCGGAAGCATGTTGAATAAATTGTTCGGCTTGGCCTTTCGAATGTACGCGACGCCCTGGGGGTACGGATCGATAAGCGCCTTGCCGTTGACATACAGGACCTCGGTCTCGTTGTTGTCCACCGGAACAAACTGTAAGATACTTCCGCAGAGCGTGTCAGAATGTCGCTGCATGTCTTCATTGGGCACCGAATCCACCACGCTGACCCCCCAAGGCGAGAAGAAGTACGGCACGTGCGCCAGCTCAAACGCTAGCCAGAAGGTCTCCTACAGCACGGAATGTTAGAATCTATAATACACTCGACGGAAAAAAAAACCAGTACAACACGCAGCGCACCTTGTCCCCCCAAGAATATTTAAACCGGAAGCGCTCCTCGGTAATGAACCAGAGCATAATGTCCATGACGGTCTGGCCCGCTCGCTCCTTGTCGATTAGCACCATGGATGAATCCATCTCGTGGCACGACTTCCCCTTGAAAGCGAACGTGTTTGTCACGTGGTCGGACGGAGCGAGCCCCACGGACAAATTGAACCTGTCGTAGTCGAACTGCCGCAGCAGTTTCCGTAGATAATACTTCCCTCCGTCGTTCCCGTTGAGGAACTTCTTCTTACGTACGACGCGGTCATAGAAGAACGTGGTGCCTGTCTCCACGTAGCCATCGAGCTGTCGAAGCACCGCAGGGTCCTTCATGATCATATCGTCCACGTCCAGCAGCATGACGTGGCGCACGTCTGTGTGGTACATTGCGAGGGGTTTGATCCACCAACTGCGGAACTTTGTAGCCATCTTGGGGGAGACCACGCCTCGAGTCGACAGATCCGAGCACACGTCCACGAGCTCCACGCGCTTGTCGAGTCTAAAAATGAGGTCCATCGACCTCTTGGACAGCTCCTCCTGCCCACAGTGATACACCTGAACGAGCTCCTGGTTGCCAAGACACCGCAGCTCGCGGATGAGCGACAGCCCTATGTCCAGCACCCCGTCGTGCATGCAGACCAGGACACCACGCTGGCGACTCACACCCCAGTCGAAATTCTCCCCACGCTGGTAGAACGGCGAAATCGGATGCAAGGGCCTGGCAATGCTGTTGTAGTTGTAGTTTTCCGATTGAGTCCGGAGGTTGTACGTTCTACTGCGGAAGGCATCGAAGCTGTCGCTGACGCCGATCGACGAGTTCCCGACGAGTCTCGAGTTGATGTAGACGGTGGACGCGAGGATACTCGCGATGCTAAGAGCGATCAGCAGCGGCAAGCGCGCGCTGCGCTGGATGGCGAGCGGCATTAGCCGAGGCACTGATGGAATGGAGCTGGTAGTGCGTACTATAGAACTCGCCGGCGATAGCATGGGATTCGATAACGGACAACCGTTGGTTGCAACAGTCGTTGCTGAAGATATTCATGTCGAAGTGAAGCGGCAAGTCTTTATTGGTGTGTTGTGGTGCTTGGACACTGCATTAGCCAGCATAACAGATTTCTGTAGTACGAAGTGCTATTCACTCGACTGGTGCAATGACAACGGGGGGGGGCTGCACGTGCAGAATGTGCCGCACAAAATGAACCTACAATATAAAACAGGGTTGCCACCAACGTGTGCCATGGCCACTAGACCAAGTGATGTGTTTCTGCTCCGCTTGTATCTGATGATGCAACGCCCCTGGATTCCGTACGCAGCAGTGTTCATCAGCATATGTGTCGACACTTTCGAGGGAAGCAAGAACCTGATCTGTGTGACTCAATCGGCTGTGATCCTGATAGCAAAACTGCGGTTTGCCGATGCTGGTGCCGAGGGTGATGTGCGTTTGCTGCTGCAGCGATGGAACCGGGACGATTGCTGGAATACCTTACGCACTCGCAAAGTCGCCTCCACACGGCCATTCCCAAGCAGCGGGCCCTCTACCATGAACACTCGTGCCAACCCCACGTCAAGCGCAGTATCCGCCAGGACAGAGCGAGAGCGACGGTGGAGACCACTGCTGCTTGGGCTACTGCTGCTCTGCAACCTCTTGTACGTTGGACTGGGTGTCGCCTTGACAATGCAAAACCCAGACAAGGTGCATCTTCACGAGGACATTCTCCTTGAGGACTTGATGATCTCCAGCACCTACTCGGGCAAGCCTACTTCACAACCAACGGCAGCGGCCAACGGGTCGCAAGTTGCTGCTGACATTCCATCGAACTCGTCGCACGTACGGCGTCTGGCATGTCGTGGATGGAGAGCAACAGGAGGGTGCAGCCCCGATGGAGAGCGCAAGCCCGAGCAGGATACAGACTGCACCAGCAAAATCCCTCACGGCGCATCAGGTCGAAGACAAAGAGACCCACGAAGTGTTCCGTGTCATGAAGCGCTCGTGTGTCAGAGGGAAGCCGGGCGTTGCATTCCGCTGCATCGACGCTCCAGGCTTCGCCAATTTCAGAGCGGAAGCGCAGCAAGTCATCGACAAAATCTCTGTGCCTGGGTATCCGCTACAGTAGCGACAATACTCAAGGTATCGTCATGGTGGTGTACCCAGAGCTCATCGCGAGCGCGTACACCACAATTCGCACGCTTCGAGACATTTTCAACTGCCGCCTTCCAATTGAGATCTGGTTTCACCCCGACGAGATTCGTCGCGTGCCTGGAGCACTCGAGCCATTGAAGGAATTGGCTGCAAACGACAGCTCAAGATTAAACACCTTCAAAGAGATCAGAGATCCTCGCGCTGTTCCATATGGAGCCAAGATTCACGCGATATACCACAGCGGATTCGAGCAACTGCTATTTCTAGACGCCGACACTGTTCCAGTCAAAGACCCAGCCTACCTCTTCAACACACCGGATTTCACCAGCACTGGAGCGGTCTTTTGGCCGGATTACTGGCATCCGCAGCACTCAATCTTCTTCCTCAACGAGCACTCCCTGGTGTGGGAGCTGCTCGATCTCCCATTTGTCGACATGTTTGAGCAAGAAAGCGGCCAACTGCTGATCGACCGACGGCGGCATGCAGGGCCCATCGAACTGTTGGTGTTCTACGCGAAGCATCGACCCGATTATTTCAGCTGACTTGGTCTTGCATGGGGCGACAAGGATCTCTTTCGCTTCGTGTGGCTGAAGCTGGGTTCCCCCTTTCACATGATCCAGTTCCCTCCTTCAGTAGCTGGAAAGCTCTACGGCGAGTCGTTTTGCGGGATGACGATGGTGCAACACGACCCCAAGGGGGAAGTTGTTTTTCTGCATCGGAACCAGCTCAAGCTGACAGGAAACTCTACCGTCGAAAAACCTGCAGCAACTCCCCAAAACCACACAAACTACGTCGACGACTACCCTGACCCCGCGATGTGGACGCACTTGCTATCCTTCCGCAGCTCGTCGTCACGTTCCAGTTTCACTATTCAGGCCCACTGGGAGCCGCAGTTCTCCGACAAGCGCCGTTGCTTTGGCCGCAGCAATCTCAAAGGAGATGCTAACTTTTACGCGCAAAAGTTTACCGATCTGAGCTATTCGAGTCTAGAGACATACTTGCGTAAGTTTGCAATGGAGGCGACACAGATGCGTAGTCCGAAGCCCTAGGCGGCTGTAAAGTCAAAAATCATGTCATTTATGTTAAATTTTAGGACTGACCTCGCAGTTTTTCGGCTGCTTCCTTAGCAAAATGCCTCAAGTCGGTCTCGAGACCATCAAATGGAAAATCTGCAAACTCCTGAACGTGGAACTGCAGGCTCTTCGACAGCGACCGCCTTCCGAAGCATTTCTGCTTGATAGTGAAGTCCAACGGAGTCGCAAACGCCTCGATGACGTATTGATCACGGCTCGAATTCCGGTCGAAAGACATCAAGTGCCTCCAAATCGCCGGGTCTGGATAGCCGCCGACTTCCACATCGTGCACGCTCCGGTCAAATGCAACCGAAGTCGAGTCCACTTCGTGTTCCGTCTCCGAGTCTTCCTCGTCAGGGATAGTAGCGTCGTTGGTCCCGGTGAGCTTGTGCTTGTTGCGATGCAGGAACAGCACTTCCCCATTCGCATCGTGCTGTACCATTGTCATGCCACAGAATGCTGAGGTGTTGGTTACCACTCCCGCCATCGCTGGTGGCGTCTTGATCATGTGAAATGTGGCTTTCAGCTTGAGCCACGCGAGCCGGAACAAGTCCTTGTCCCCCCACGCCAGTCGGTAGTGAACCAGAAAGTTGGGGTTGTGCGTGGCGTAAAACATTACGAGCTCGAGTGGGGCCGCATGCCTGCGTCGATCCACCACCAATTGACCGCTCTCTTGCTCGAACATGTCGACGAAGGGCATGTCCAGCAGTTCCCACAGTAGGGACTTGTTGTGGAGGCCGAACATGGTGGAGCTCGGGTGCCAGAAGTCGGGCCAAAAGACGGCACCAGTCCGCTCGAATTCGCGCGAGTCGAACAGAAACCTCGGATCACGTACCGGCACATTGTCAGCATCGAGAAACAGCACCCGATCGAAGGAACTGTGATAGATGGCGTAGATTTTTGCCACAAAGCGCTTGGCTTCAGGGTCCGTGATCGGGTGGAAGGATATATCTCCGACTGACGTGTTCTGTGCTAGATGCTGAAGAGGGGCGAGTGCTTCAGGAGCGAGCTCCATCTCGTCAGGTCGAAGCCAGATTTCGATTGGAAGCGAGCAGTGTAGAATGTCACGAAGCGCTCGAATGGTAGCATACGCACTCGGGGCCAGCTTCGGATAGACCACCATAACGATTCCGTCACGTGGAGGCTGCGTAGAGACAGCAACGTTGGGGAGTCGGAAGTCGGGAGTTGGTAGCGCTTGGTGTGCCTGGACGCGGAATCGAGCGAAGGCGGGGGCATTGATGCAGCGAAATGGCACGCGATTACGCAGGACGTTGCATGAGTGCCGCATAACACGAAAGCGTTCGCCAGACTTGGTATCTTCCACCTCGCAGTATCCTGACGCGTTGTTGGGCACGAAGTCGTAGCACGTCAGATCTTTGTGCGGTTCTCGTGGGCCGTCGGGATTGCAGTCGCCAGTATTTCTCCATCCGATGCACCTGAGTGAGCGCGTTTTAGTCTCCCCTGACGGTAGGACATGTACCGAACGAGCGTGTGCTTCAGCTTCCGCTCTTATATTGGCTTCGGGATCACTCGAGTCTAAAGGCATTGCGTCAGAAGACGGCGCCTTTTTCCATTCAGAGCCCGCACTCATGCCAGATTCGGGTAGAAGTTCGCTTGCAGCACCCATGGACGTCGAGGTAGTAGCCATTCTCTTCTGACTTACGGAAGGGATAGGATCGTCGTCAATGTTTATACGAAGCAGCTGCATAGCGTTTCCGTTAAAAGAGCGGCCGATCGCTCCTAGTAGCGCTCGTTGATGAGCAATGATGGGGCGCTCAAAAGGTGAGAGTTTATGTTGTCTCGGGCGCAAGTTGAAGAGCACAATTCCGTACATTCCGACGCTGAAAAGGATCAAGCGTGTCAGCCATCGTTGCAGTGGTGGTGGAGTTCTGCGAGGGCCCCGAAGTCCGTGCTGGCCTACCATGACGATAATTCTGAAGTGCTCATGAGCCCTAGGTGCTTTTGCCGTGAATAGTCTCCATGCCAGCAGTCGTTTCACTAAGCAGTGCACGTTCCCGAAAGGGGTTTCGCTCATTATCCCAAGAACAACAACACGTTGAGAAGGGATCATGCCGCTTTTGAGAAACAGAAAAATGTACCATTATTATTTTCTCACCATATTTGTTTCATCTTAAAATTTGTCAACAGTTTGTACTTGAAGGTAATGCGGTTCAAGAAGCCGGTTCACGGATTGCTGAGCTTCTGTTGCCGCCGAGTCGCTGCCTCCATTGCATACCGGCGCAACTCAGTTTCCAGTCCTGAAAAAGCCAAATCTGCAAACTTTTGTACGTAGAAGTTGGGATCCTTTCCCAGCTCACGCTGGCCATAGCAGTTTTGCTCCTTTGAGAACTCTGGCTCACCATTGTACGTCTCGATAATGTAGCGTGAGCGGCGTGATGTGTTCTTGAAGGAAAGCAGGTGGGTCCAAATAACTGGATCAGGATACCCATCTAGCTCCGGTGCTTCCATCGTTTTGCCTGGAATTGCCTCGATCGCTTTCAACTCGGCCTGGACCTCTTTGAACTTGGGCGTCTTACGACCCTCAGGATTCTTGCTCACTAGCTTTGTTGTCGCGCGTCGGACAGCTTCGGCCATGTTATCGCCATCTCGCCGTCTCGCCACACCACTGAGGTTGTTTGAATTCCGGTGCAGGAAGAGCACATTTCCCTCCGTGTCGTGCTGCACCATCGTCATCCCGCAAAAGCTCTCATTGATCACTTTTCCTGCCACGGCGGGGGGATACCGGACCTTGTGAAATGGTGAGAGCTGCTTGAGCCACGCGAGTCGGAAGAGGTCCTTGTCTCCATGCACAAGTTTCATTCTGTCGAAAATGCCCGAGCGTTGAAAAGCGTAGTGACGCACGAGCTCCAGTCTAGCGGCGTGCCTCCTCCTATCGACCACCAATTGTCCACTCTCCTGCTCGAACATATTCGCAAACGGGATATCGAGCAGCTCCCAGATGAGCGACTGGCTGTGGATATTGAAGATCGAGTTCGACGGGTGCCAGAAATCCGGCCAAAACACTGCGCCAGTCTCCTTGAACTCTTCAGATCGAACAGAAATGCCGGATCGCGCACGGGAACATTGTCAGCATCCAGAAACAGCAGTCGGTCGAAGTGGCTGTTGTAGATCGCGTGAACCTTCCGAAACCCCGTAGCGTGGAAATCATTAACTTGGTGAAACGAAATGTCCCCCATTCCATCAGCGCGAGCAAGTTTCTGCAGCGTCTTCATGTCTGCAGGGTGGTTCCTCATCTCTCTAGGGACAAACCAGAGCTTCAGGGGCAGTTTACAGTCCAAGCCGCGCAGTACGCGAATCGTAGCGCAGACACTTGCCATAAGCTTGGGATAAATCACCATCACGATGCCGTCTCGAGATTCCGACGTGCTGTCACCAATATTCGGCAGCCTAAATCCGGACTCCAGCCACTTGTGTAACGCTTCAGTGGCTTGCGCTGGGAAGTTGGCAAAACCCACCGCGTCTGAGCAGCGAAGACGGCCTCCAGTCTGAGACTGTTGCAAAAGCGCCTCCCGACTCGGAATCTCTCGCCCGAGTCCGTGCCTTCCACTTCGCAGTAGCCAGACTCGCCAGCCGGCACTCGGGTCATGCACGAATGGTCCTTTTCCGGGACCCGGGGTCCGATCGGACTGCAGTCTCCAGTCGCCTTCCAGCCAACACAGCGCAAATTACACGGTCTGGTCTCACCCCTCGGGAAGTTTTTGACCGTCTTCGCGTGGTTTTCAGCCTCCTCCTGCTTCTCCTTCACCTCTCTCTCCTGCGCTATCGCTGGGTCTTTGGTTTCAATTGGGATCTGGGTCAGGGTCTCGTTTCGGTGGTCGGACTGCGTTCGGGCCTTGAGCTCCTCTTCCCTATTCCGGATGGCTACACGCCCCTGGGGGGACAGAACGAGTTTCGGCCGCTGCTTCTTGCGCTCGGGCATAGGTTTCCTCGTGACGACCTCCACTTCCCCGAACCTCGGGCGGTAGGTTCGACCATCGATAGCCGACGTCCGGGTCCGAGTCAGATCCGCCAGTTCACTATTGTACCACAGCAGCACGAAAGCCCCGTAGACAATGCCCGCCAGCAGCAGCGAGCGCAGCAGGCGTCTGCGTTGGCACACCGCCGGCGGAGATGATGCCATTGTCTGCGGATCCGGAGCAGCCGGCTACTGCCACGGGATAGCGCAACAGCTCCGATGCTGGTCATCCGCGCGGATTGAGACGGGGTATGTACCAAAAGCATGGTACTAATGGTGCCGACGCTATCACGTGTGACGTGTGACACTCAAGGTTCAACTGGGATGTCGTGCGGACAGGAGCCGCATATCTGCCATTCCGCTTCTCGCTCTGCACGCCCCTCGCCGCGTACCCGTTCGTATAATGCAGCAGAGCTTGCCCATTGCCGGTCGGTGGCTGGCCCGTGGGCTGGCCGTCACCATCTTCCTCTATGGGTTGCTGCTGCTGGTGCTGTGGTCCGACTCACCGCATGGAGGTCTCTCGGTCTCGATATCAACGGCAGCCGCAACAACAATGAAGGAGCCGCTTCAGTTGATTCGCAGCGACGTTATCGCTGGTGATGGGTCCATCTCCGTCAACTCGTCGCAGCTTAACAGTTCGTCCTCCGCTCGATGTCCTCCAAGACGATGTTGAAGACGTTCCTCGACAGCAATGGGCTGTCCACCCTGGGTGTCCCCCAGTTCTCGTGCCTCGGGTGGCGTTAGACCGGTGGCTGCAGCCCCGACGGCCCGCGCGAGCCAGACAACGACGCCGACTGCGGCAAGAACATCAAGGCCGGCGCCTCCGGCTACTGCCTGCTCAAGAACGAGGCCACGGGGGAGGAGGTGCAGGCCATGCGCGTCAACTGCTCCACTATGAGGGAGGAGGTGCGCTTCAACTGCCGCCAAGCAGCTGACTTCGCCCGTGTTGCGCCTCAGATCGACCTGTTGATATCTGCCAAGCGACAGGAGGAGGAAGGGGAGCAGACTGCAATGAAGACGCAAGGAGAGGTGCAGCTCGAGCCCAAGAACGGCGTCCTCATGGTCATGTACCCGAAGCTACTCCCCAGCGTCTACTCGAACTTGAGGCTGCTCCGCTCGTACAACTGCTCGCTGCCGGTGGAGCTCTGGTATCTGCAAAGTGAAATGGGTGTTAACCCGCTGAACGGGTCAAAGTTGTTGCAGTCTTTGGTGGACGAATATGGGCCCATTTCGCTACGTGGTATTGCGGACACTGAGGTGGGCGGATTCAACTCCAAAGTGTTCGCTCTGGCCAATTCCGACCTGGATCAAGTGCTGTTTGTGACAGGCCACTGTCACACAGGCGCCACCGTGTGTGCGCGGTGGTCAATCAGAGCCCACCATAGGTTTAATGGCTGGGACGGTCTCGAGTGCCGAGACCGTCTCGGCACTTAATACCAGAGTTCAATTTGCCTACTACTTCCTCTGCTTGTGTAACCACGTAACGGGCTGTAGTTAGCCCGTTACACCTGGTAGCACTTCGCTAATCCGTCCAACGCCCAAGATCGTGATGAACATGAACGACACGTCGATGCCTGACGCGTCCCGGACGACTGCCACTGTACTGGAGCACGCCAGCTTTCCTCACCTGTCGGCGATCGAGTGGGAGGCGCTACACCGCCTCGCAGCGGTGTCTGGTGACGCTGTGATCAAGACACTACTGACGGCGGGAACCGAGGAACAACAAGGCCTGGCCGCCCAGGAGTTCATGGCGCGTGAACTCGCTGACCTCCGTCAGCGAGTGTCGACTCCCACGCAGACCAAGAACAAGTCCGACATCGTGAAGCTCGATGTCTCCACGTACAGCGGTGAAGGCGAGGGCCACCTTCACCTGAACCACTGGTTCTGCGAGGTGGACATCGCGATCGAAGCTCGGCAGCTGTCTACCGATCTCGCGCGCACGCGCTTTCTCCTGTCCAAGCTGGCGGGGAAGGCGAAGGAGTGGGCGCTCGGCAAGCTCGTGGCCGACGCTTCCTGCTTCCCGACCATGGCATCGATGAAGGCAGACTTGCGGCTCCCGTTCGAGCCGCCCCAAGATGAAAGCGTTCTGCGCTCCGCCTTCCTGGCGTTGAAGCAAGGACGCATGTCCATGCTCGTGTACATCCAGCGCGCACGACACCTTGTGTCGTGCATCACGACGCATCCCGTAGACATGGCGACCCAAGTCCACGTCTTCATCTCCGGCATGAGCGCTGGCAACCAGCGCTTCTACCTGACCCGGAAGACCCCACCGACACTCGAAGAGGCCTTCGCTGTTGCGCTCCGTGAAGACTACAGTGTGGCGGCGTCGCAGGCTTTCCGGGCTCCGGTGCCCGAGCCGGAGCCGATGGAGGTGGATGCGATTCAACAGTTCGGTGGACGTCGGGTGCCGACGTCATCAGCAAGGCCGCCAACGGCCTCGTCAACGCACAGTCCCCGCCCGATGCGCTGCTACCGCTGTGGGAAACCTGGACATCGCGCGGCTATTTGCCGCGCTCCGGCGCCGATGCAGGCGAACGTCACGGTCGCGAACGACGTCGCCGCTGCAAAAAACGGCGACAACCAGTAGGTGCGGGGCGTCCTACTGGTCGTGGAAGGAGCGATGGTTCTCTGGTGGCAGAACCTCCTCCTAGCCCTCCCGTGCTTCATGCACAACTCTTTGCCACCACCTCCGGCGGTGACACGAGGCTGATTGTGCTTAGCCTCCACGTTGACGGCGCGACGCGCCCTCTTCGCGCGCTGCTGGAGTCGGGCGCAACGAACAACTTCGTTCGCGCCGAGAGCTTGTCGGTGTTACCGGTGGACTTGACCATTCGCGACGGGCCTGGCGACATGATCGTGAAGTACGCTGATGGGAAGCCGCGGCGGACGCCGCGGCGCTCGGCGACCTTCGCGTACGAGTTCGACGGGTTCCGCAGTTCCGAGAAGTTCTTGGTGATCGAGCTGAGCGGCTCGTTCGACTGTGTCTTCGGCATCCCGTGGCTCACTCGCCACCAGCCTGAGATCAACTGGCTGACTGGCACAGTCCGCCCCCGGGACATTGATGTGAATGCAGTATTGGCGTTCCTGTGCGGAACGCCTAACCAGTGGCCGCATGTTGCCGTCATGGACCCCGACTCCATGACCCTTGCTGCGCACGAAGCGAGCGATGGCCCTTCGTGTGCGGTGTGCGAACTCGCAACCTGCGCCGGTCCTGAGCAGGAGCCTCAGGACGTGTCTGACGTGGTCGAGCATGGGTTCCCACGTCCCGACGAGCAGCGGTTCTCGGAAGCGGACAATGACGTGGTCGAGCCACGTCAGGACGAGCAGCGCCTCTCCAACGTTGAAGAGCGAGAAGATGTGGTTGAGCGTGGCCTCCCACACGCGGTCGAGCATGGGTTCCCGCGTGTGGTCGAGCGGGAGCTCCCTGATGAAGTCGACGCGGTCGTGTCCAATGACCCGCGTCCACGTCCAACGTTGTGTCACGGCGCCCCAGTTCAGCGGCCGTGATCGAGCATGGGCTCTCATCGGCAGCTTCGGACAACAATCCACGTCCGGTTCGACGTCACGGACGTCGCAACCCGCGCCGTCCTCGTACGCCTTCGGCGGACTCAGTTGAGGCTGAGGCTGAAGTGATCTCAGTCCTGGTGGGGGACGACGCGGAGGCGCCTCCGCGTATACGCAACGTCGAAGTCGCACGTCCACCGTGCGACGCCGCCGAGATCACTCGGCTGCCTGGGCTCTCGTGGAAACACTTCCTCCGTGACCTGAAGAAGGGCGAGATCAAGCAGGTGTGGATGATCGTCGCCGAAGACGCCGAGTCAATTGCGGCCGTCGCAACCAGTGCGTCGGACCCAGCTTCCGACGCCAGGACGCGCCCAAAAGGAGCCGAGCCGAAGAACGCCCGTCAAGCCCGCTACGCAGCTCAGTCGTTGCCGGCGCTCGAAGCGGCCGGCAACCCAGTCGCTCCGCTCGTGCGCGAGTTCATGGAGATTTTCCCGGACAAGGTTCCAGCCGTTCTTCCACCCGACCGCGGTGTTCGACACGAGATTAACCTCGTGCCCGGTGCGAAGTACTGCGTGACGCGGCAGTGGCCGCTTCCTCGCGACCAAGTCTAAACCATTGACGCCTTCTTCGAGAGTCGCCGGCAAGCCGGCCACGTTCGTGAGAGTCTCTCGCCGCACTCCAGTCCGACGTTCTGCGTGAAGAAAGCAACCGGCGGCTGGAGAATCGTCCACGCCTCCAACAAGCTCAACGAGGCCACCATACCTGCGCAAACGCCGATCCCGAGGAAGGACATGGTGCTGAACACCTTGTCCGGCAGCACGAAGTACAGTGCCATTGATCTGATGGATGGCTTCTATCAGATCTTGATGCGCGAAGACAATGTGCCGCTGACAGCGGTCAGCACGCCCAGCGGGATGTTGTGGGAATGGCTCGTGATGCTGCAGGGGCTCGAGAACGACCCCGCCACCTTCAACCGGATGGTGTCCAACTTGCTTCGGCCGTACCGAGACTTCGCGTCCATCTACTTCGACGACACCTTCATTCACAGTCGTGCCGAGGACGGCATGATGGACGTTGAGGTCCACCTACAGCACCTGCGCAAGGTGTTCGAGGTGATGAAGGAGAACAAGCTGTACGCCAACTTGAAGAAGTGCATCTTCTGCGCTCCCGAGATCCCTGTGCTCGGGAGCTACGTCAGCAAGGACGGTGTCCGCGCCGACCCCGAGAAGATCGAGGCAATCTGCGCGTGGCCGACGCCGCAGGACCAGAAGCAGCTCCGGCAGTGGCTGGGGCTCGCCACGCATCTTCACCATTACTCGAAGAACTTCGCTTCGACGATCCGCCCGCTATCTCAACTCCTCAAGGCAGACGCCACGTGGTCGTGGCGTCCCGAGCACCAAGCTGCCTCGACGCGGTGAAGTCGAGCTTGTCCACCGCGCCTGTGCTCATGCTTCCAGACACTCGAAGCCCTTCCATGTTGTGTGCGACGCGAGCGACTACGCGATCGGATGCGCCTTGATGCAGTTCGATGACGAAGGACGCGAGCGGGTCATCAGCTACCAGTCGCGTCAGCTGAAGCCGGCGGAACGGAATTATCCGGTCCTTGATAAGGGGCTACTGGCCATACGCTACGCCCTCATCAAGTTCCGCGTGTATCTCCTCGGCGAACAGACCTTCGCGATCTACACCGATCACGCGTCGTTGAGGACAGCGACGAAGAGCCCCCACTTGTCCCAGCGCATGGCGCGCTGGTTGTCCCTGTTCTCCGAGTACAACTTCGTCATGCACTACAAGCCGGGCAAGACCAACATCCTTGCCGACGCGTTATCACGTCGGCCTGACTACGTGCAGTCAGGTCGCCACGCAGTTGGCGACGAGGACGACGACGAATGCGCCGTATGTACTGCCGAAGACGTCGCTGCTGTTGAGGTTGCAGCGACCAGTCCGCTTCATGACTTGATCGTGGACGCGTACAAGGAGGACGCGTCCTGCTTGGAGCTGATCCAGTTCCTGCGAGACCCTGGTGCCGTGGCGAAGCGCAAGCTGTTTCAACGCAGCCGCTCCCGCGTCGACCGCTACTCGCTGGACGGCGAGTTGCTCACGTACCGCGTCGACCGTGAAGATCCCCCGCGCATCGTCGTTACTCTGGACGACGATCTCCGAGCTCGGCTGATCCACGAGTTCCATGACACGCCGAGCGGCGGCCATCTCGGACGCGAGAAGACGTTCGCGTCGCTGTCCAGAGACTGCTACTGGCCGCATATGTACAAGTGGGTTCGGAAATGGGTACGCTCCTGCGAAACGTGCCAACGCGTGAAGCCGAATCCGTCCAAGCAGGCTCCGCTTCGACCTCTCCCAGTCGCCACAGACGCATGGGCGTCAGTCAGCATGGACTTCGTCTTTGGGCTGCCCCGAGACACTCAAGGGCGCACTGGCGTGCTTGTCTTCGTTGATCGGTTCAGCAAGATGCTCCATCTTGCTCCTGTTGCTGCCAGCATCACGGCGAAGCAAACCACCGCGATCTTCGTGGACGTGGTGTACCGCCACCACGGGCTTCCGTCCTCCATCGTATCGGATCGCGACCCTCGCTTTACGTCTGCTTTCTGGCGAGAGCTTTTTTCAGTTGCTGGGGACGCGGTTGTGCATGTCCACCGCGTCGCATCCGGAGACAGACGGCCAAACTGAGCGCGCCAACCGTGTTGTTGAAGACATACTACGCAGCTTCGCTACGTCGTTCAAGTCGTGGAGCACCTTCCTGCCCCTGGTCGAATTCGCCCTCACAACGCTGTCAACGCATCGACCGGGCTGTCCCGGTTCTTCGTCAACTTCGGTCGCCATCCTCGTGTTTCAGCGCTCCTTGGTGCGGAGCGCTCTGAGACTCCAGCTGGTCGCGCTGCTGAAGACGCGGGCGATCTCGCGCCACTCGTTCCGGATGAAGACATTGCTGTAGACCCCGAACCAGGCCAAGCTGAGCGTCGTGGCCCCGTACCCGACGCTGTCTCCGCGTTGTTACATGGCGTCACCACTCGTCGAGGCTCTAACGCTCCAGCAGTCGGAGTGCGCACACGTGCCGCCACGCGGGCGGCACACGAGAGACCACGCGCCAACCCCGAACGAGCCTAGCGCACACGTGCCGCTAGGAGGGCGGCACCTTCGGACATCGCAGCTTGGACTTCGCGCACGCTGATTGACCCGATACCACGTCGGGCCGTCGAGCACCTGCCGCGCCGGTTCCTGCCAACTTCGATCCGCTCCCAGCGACGCAGCCCCAAGACACTGCGGCTGTCCGCGACTTCCTGCAGAAACGTGAGTCGGTTGTGCGTTATGTACGCGACACCATCGCGGCGGCGGTGGACCGGCAAAAGGAATATGCCGATCGACGAGGGCGACGACATCTGGAGACGTTCGCCATGAGCGATCGGGTACTGCTCTCTACGACGGGCATGTCGCCAAGTTTGGTGACGAACTTGGGCGCGAACAAGCTCGCGCCCCGATTTATTGGACCTTTTAAAGTGACGAAGGTACTCGGCGACGCCTACACGCTGCAGCTCCCTACGGCACTCCGGCTGCACCCTACGTTCTACGTTGGCCGACTGCGACGATACCATCCCGCCGCCATTCCCGGTGGCGCCGATGACCATGCCCAAGTCGATCAAGACGCTGCGCCATCGCAGCGTCAGCCCGAGGTTCGCGCATCTGCATTCCAGCGCGACGGTCCTGCTCCCCTAGTGGACGCTGCTGGGAGCCAGCGTCACATTGTCGAAGCCATTCTCAACCACGACGACCACCGAGATGCACCGCAGCGCGCACGCATGGATCGCGGCACTCGTCGCCGCGATGGAGAGATACCTTCGCACCGCCGGTATTTGGTTCGATGGCTTGGCCCGATGGACGACAGCTGGGAGCCACGCGAGGTCCTACTCGCAGATGTCCCCGACTGCATGGCGGCGTACGAGACGTCGCTTGCAGAGGGCGCGGCGGCGAGCCGTGCCTAACTCAACGAGAGCCTCGCAAGAACGGACAGCCCAGCGGCGATGCTCGACTTCAGACGACGGACGACCTTCGGTGTTCCAGGATTCGCGGCGACCTGACCCACGGTGGAGTCACGGTGCGTACCACCGCGACGGACTCGCTTCATGCCACGCCAGCGCCAGACCAGCTGCACCAAGATCACTCCGTTGAAGCCCACGCTGCTGCTGCGGTCGCGCTGCAGCCGGCCCTTGATGACGTCCGAGACACTGCTGCGCTGCTTCACTCACTTCGCGCGCGCTGTCGGCCCGCGCCTGCCAAGTAGCATCACATCCGCCTCGCGCAGCTCTGCAGTTCCTTTCTAGAGTTTAGATATGTGTATGTTCCAATCTTGAGTAGGGGGTGGTGTGACAGGCCACTGTCACACAGGCGCCACCGTGTGTGCGCGGTGGCCAATCAGAGCCCACCATAGGTTTAATGGCTGGGACGGTCTCGAGTGACGAGACCGTCTCGGCACTTAATACCAGAGTTCAATTTGCCTACTACTTCTTCTGCTTGTGTAACCACGCAACGGGCTGCAGTTAGCCCGTTACAGTTCCTGGACGCGAACAACTCGCCCGTGAAGGATCCGACCTACTTGTTCTCGACGCCCGAGTTTGTGCAGACTGGAGCCGTCTTCTGGCCGGACTTCTGGCACCCAGTCAACACGATCTTCAACGTCAACAAGGAGTCGTTGCTGTGGGAGCTGGTGGGTACACTTTACGTGGACATGTTCGAACAGGAGAGCGGTCAGTTGCTGATTGATCGACGCAAAGCTGCAGTGGTCCTGGAGATCGTCCAGTTCTTGGCGTTGCGCACTCCGAACAACTTCGAGCGCTTCAAGCTGCTTCACGGCGATAAGGACCTTTTCCGGTTGGCGTGGCTCAAGACGAACACGTCCTTTCACATGATCCAGACCCCTCCGGCCGCTGCGGGATTGGTGAAGACCAAGCATTTCTGCGGTATGACCATGGTGCAACATGACCCACAAGGAGACGTGATCTTCCTGCACCACAACGGCAAAAAGCTCATGGGTGAGGAGGAGACGAGCAAAACTCGCGTGTGGACCCATCTCCAGTCGTTCGTGTTTCCTGAAAATCTAGCTTCAGCGAACGCGAATGCTGCGGAACGGTACGAGTACATGACCACCAACTACCGCACGTGGTAGTTGGTGGAGGCATTTTCCGGAATTTCCCTATGTGCTACGGCGACAACAAGAGTCGAAGCACTACAAAACAACTCCATGGGAAGAGCTGCCCTTTGGGGACCTCGAGGACCGACTGCACGGCTTCGCCCAGGAGGCAGCCGCACTGTAGCGAAACTCGGTAGACTACTATTAGTGTATTCTTATTTATTTGTTATAAAACGTATTCCAGTCTCAATCTCTTTGCCTCGCTCTGGTGAAAAAAACAACTACTAGGCTCAAGTGATGGTGGGTCCAGTCGGGTGTGTTTTCTCACGTGAAGCTTCATCATTAAGCTTAAATCTTGGGTTCTTCAGATTTACTGTAAATCCACTGGTCATGTCATAATACGTCGGTCACTTCATTTCTACAATCGGCCACTTGCGATTTTGCAGTAAGCCAGAGAGATGGTGAGGTTGGTGCTTCTGTGTGCATTCATGCGCATGCCGGGGCGAGGGGTATTTCTCGTGAAGATCGGCGATCAGCAGCTTGGAGCTCAACTATATGAAGCTGTCAAGGAGAAGCTTCCCGAAAGCGATTGCCCCGCAGACACGCTCAAACTTTATCTCGCACAGGACAGTGAGGGCAAGTGGATCGAGTGCACTGATGAATTGGTAGTGGCCGTGAGGAAAGGCGACGAATTGAGCCGATTTCACCCGGGAGGCCTAATTAACCCGCCAAGCATTTGCAGATATACCTCTCGAGGGCGGAACGAGCGGGGGTGCTTCATGTAGCAGTGCTGCTCCCAGATCATGTTCGCGAGACAGTGAAGGACACCCACGGTACCAGGCCAATGATGCCGATATTCGACAACGGAGCCACGTCCAGGTGGTTGGAGAAGTTCAGGGGGCAGCGAGTATCGACTGAGGACTTGCCTCCTGTCAGCGAGCTCGAACAATTCCTTCAAGGTCCACTACCTGTAAAGATTGGGGCACCTGAGGCGCTGCTTGACGTCTGGATCTGGTCACTCAAAATCGACACGAAAGTGCTGAACAAGACGTTCGAAATCTCCAATTCCGAGCCCTGTGTTGGCTTTCTGGATCGAGTTTGGCATCACTCGGCCGATGTTCCGTCAATTTCATCCTGCGACACGAAATTTGGATATATTTCGCTTTGGGACGGAGCAATTCACCATATCCTCGAGTTCGTCTTGCGTGGCAGCAACAGGTGGAGTAGCCGATACTCGATTGATGGTGTTCCGGACTACACCTTCTTCATCGACTCCATTTGCGTGCTTCGAGGTGAAGAAGAGGGTCCAACAGTCCGTCCTGTGGACTCGCTTCCTCGCGCGCCGTTCAAACAGGTTCGATGGTTTCATGGCGACGTGCCTTATTTGTTTGGGTATGCGGCGGATCTCCATTCCATAAGCTTGTATGCGCTCACACGCGCAGAGGACGAGTCGAATGCTATTCGAACAGTTCGCACTGGAGGATATAACCTGCAAAATCCGCGTTCGCGTTTCCGGTTGCTGCTTGCAGTGCTGAACATGGCTCGATTGCTACAAAGCATCGCGGATCTGTGTCCTGCAAGCGGGGCTGCTAAATACGCGGTGCTCCATCGGCCTGACGACGTAAAAATCCTGCTCGAGCCCACGCACGTGACCAAGACCTTTCTTTCACAACCTTTCCTACAAGCAGCACTGGTCTACACTGTTCTGGAAGATCGTGGGGTGCCTGCCACACACTGAACGTGTGGCGTCTGTGAATGAAGACGAGAGGAGCCTGGTGTTTACCCCTCGTGGAATTCGTGTTGAACCGGACTCCAGCGATGATTTGTTCCAGGCCATCCACGATATTCCGGAGGCTCTGATTAAGCATGCACCGAGACATTCCTTGGTCTAACGTGATGAAATCCCGCGACGGCTCGTGGTTCCTGATCGACTTCTTGCATGCTGTATTAAGTCGTGCCGACAATTCAAGCGGAAAGCATTTGAATTGTGAGAACCATGCCCCTGAGATGTTCGTCAAGAAGAGCACACACTCTACAGCAGTGGACATTTGGTCGGTTGGCCTGTTGCTGGAAGAGTGCAGCGATATGTGGGACGATGGAGGCGAGAGAACTGCATTCAAGCCGACACCAAAAGTGGCTCTTCAGAGACTGAATCAACTTTGGCAGAAATCGAGGAACTGTGGCACGCACTATTGGTAGGACGCGTGTTGGTTTTGATAAACCTTTATCCTTTTTTGGTTGGGGTTGGGGTGACGCCCTCCCCCGGAACGCGTGGACGGCGGCGAATGCCGCTCACGGGCTTCCGGCAGGCGCTCTCGGGCGTCTGCAAGTCCCTTGCGAGTCTCTCCCTTTGGCAGCCACCTTCACCAGCAGTACTACCCGTCACAACCCCCCTTCCGTATCGTTCTAACCACACTGACAGCACTAACCGCCTTAGAATAGGCTCGTTCAATGTGCCGTCCCTAGGTTCGCTATACAAGCAGTTTGAAACGCTTCCCCCAGACCTGCGCCGCTACCAGATCGATATCCTTGGCCTCCAAGAGACCAAGCTGTATGAGCTGGGGCGCTTTGAGGTCGGAGACTACTTACTACTAACGTTGCCGGCACAGGAAGAGCGCTACGGAGTTGGATTTACCATATCTCCTCGCGTTACTCCTTACCTCCGTCGGTGCTGGGCTCACAGCGACCGTATCGGCATCTTGCAGATGCGGCTACCTAACACAGGACCCATCAACATCGTCACGGCCTACGCTCCATACAGCGGGCGCCCACTAACTGAAGTAGATGCTTTCTACGCAGACCTTCGAGCAGCCATGGACCAATTCCCCCGCAGAGATATCACCATGATTACCGGAGACTTTAACCGGAGAAACGTTTCTCGGGCCTCATGCACGAGGCACGCGTAACAGGAACGGCCACCTCATGGCTGCCTTTTGTGATACTTATTAACTCTTTGCTACCAATACAGCCTTTTCCAAGCGAGCGGAAAACAAGACCACCTGGAGCCAGCGCAAGCGGACACACTGTGTCTACAATCAAATCGACTACGTACTCTGCCCTCAGAGTTGTAGACGGTTCTGTCTAGATACCCAGTCCTGGGGTGGGGCCATCACCCCGTCCGACCACAAGATCGTCACCGCGGACTTTGAGCTCAAGCACATCCGTCGCCTCCGGTTTCCGTCGCGTCGCACAAGCGGCACAACTGTTCACCTCGCACGCATCGTGTTAGTTCACAACGACGACTCCAGAACCGCTTACGCATCAGCCGTTAAACGGATCCTACCCCCCCCCCCCCCCCAGACGCTGACGATGGATCCACTATCAACCTGCAATGGGAGGACACTTTTGCTACACGAAGCAGCATCGCAGACCATCGGGTTTTCTTCGCCGGATCAACGACGCTGCCGCAGCTACGACGATCCGCTGCTCGCCGCGCTGTCCGAGCAACAACGCCAGCTCCGGCTCCGCATTTACAACGACACATCGGCCAACACAGCGCTGCTGCGCTCTCAGCGAAACAAGATCCTACACCAGATCCGCACTCGCTGCTGTGACCTCGCTAACATGGCCCTCGACGAAAAGGTTTCACGCATCGAGGCTTCAAGCGACTCTCACAAAATGTTCGTTGCCGTCCGCGATCTCGCCCGCAAACCGACACAGCAGCTTCTAATTCAAGACTCATCAGGTAAGTATATACTTCACAGAAACACAGCTAACAAATTGTCCGAGATCACTTCCAAGAACAGTTTCTAAATCCAGATCAAGCTCAAGTATCGCCAGACCCAACAGCTCAACCCCTCGACTGCCCAATCACGCCGGACGAAGTCCGTGGTGCCCTCCTTCGACTGAACAACGGTCGTGCTGCTGGCCCCGATGCTATTCCTGGTGAACTACTCAAGTATGCCGCTGCTGACGTTGCTCCACGACTCGCACATCTACTAAACCGCAGCTTCGAACGCGGTGAACCCATCCCACTGGGCCAAGGTATCCTGCTGTGTCTCCAGAAGCCGAACAAGCCACGAGGGCAGTACGCCCGATAGTTCTCCTGAACACTATTCGCAAAGCGGTGTCACTCATCGTTCTCCGCCGCATCACACCCGCGGTCGACAAGTTTCTCTCAGGCCACCAAAGTGGCTTCCGCAAGAGCCGCAGTACGGCTGACGCGGTGTGGGCCCACAAGTGGCTGTGCGCACGGGTACAAAAGTATCGCGAAATCGTTCATGTACTGGGTATCGACTTCTCGCGCGCGTTCGACACGATCGACCGTGCCAAACGCCTCAACATTCTACAGCAGTTTCTACACGACGACGAAATCCGGCTGATTCGACTCTAACTATCCGACACAACGCTTTCAGTCCGCATCGGCCACCAGATCCAGCAACCATTCGGCAGCAACACAGGTACGCCACAGGGCGACTCACTCTCACCAGTATTATTTGTTATCTACCTAGAAGCAGCACTTAGAGATCTAGCTAGTCACCCTGCAATGCCGCCGGACCTGCTCCAGCAAATGATCGTGTATGCGGACGATGCCGACTTTATCTGTCGGGACCCCGCCCTCGTCGAGCTCATCCAGACCCATGCCCCGGAAGTATTCGCGCTGATCGCTTCAAATGAACGCGGCAAAGACGGAACACACAATTCTCCGCCGCTGCCTGACACCTGCCAGTGCCGACCCCCACGCTCGTGCAGTGGAAGGAGCATGGAGGTCTACGCGGAAGCTTGGCTCGTTGCTCGGAGATGCCGATGATGTATCGCGTCGGAAAATACTCGCTGCGGCTGCTCTTCGGCGGCTCTGGACGGTCTGGCTGAGATCGCACCGTATCACAGACACGACACGAATTCGCCTCTACAACTGCTACGTACTGCCGATACTACTCTACAACTGCGGGACCTGGGCGCTTACACCAACGGAGCTTCACCGACTCGAAAGCTTTCACCGTCGCCAGCTACGGTCTGTCCTCAATGTGCGTTACCCGTACCACATCTCCAACGCTGATCTCTACGCAACGTGCGACGAGCGGCCGCTCCGTCACCGGATCACATCTGCGAGGTGGGGGCTTCTCGGGCACATTCTACGGCGACTACAAGATATCCCGGCGTTTATCCAGATGAAGGCGTATTTCTCTTCCTCCGACAGCAGCAAGTGGAGAGGTAGGCCCCGCACCACACTGCCTCTCGTCCTCGACCCGGACCTTGATGCTAGTGGGTGTGGCTACCGCCTCCGCACCAGCTTAGACTTGGAGAGACTTCGACTGCTTGCCCAAGACCGACGTAAATGGAAGGCCCTCATGACTACCATTGCTGACTCTGCCAGCCAAAGGAGACTCGACGTATGCGGACACCACACTATGCCGCCGACTAGCTAAACTGAGACTAGCGCAGGTGTAATTTGGCTACGCGAACACGTAAATCATTGCATTGCAAACCTTTATCCGTTCGGACGTTGGCGTCAGCGATTATCCTTCCACAGGATAATCAACAGCTGCAGTAACGCATCCAGTGAATTCACATAACGACAAAAGTGATGACGATCCAAACGCTTTTGTGCGTCACGTTTCCTTTCATAGCTCGGAACAAAAAGTTGGGAGGGATGGCTCCATGCCGTTTCCCTTTAATCGTGCTCGTATCCGCTTGTTCCGTTCCCGACACCATCCACAGCATGCATATCCGATGATTCCACGCGTGCTTCGAAGGATTTCAATCCTACATGTAGACACTACACTGTAGAGTGACTAAAAATCATTTGACATCGCAAATTCGGATCGGCAAATGTACAGTCGACAGGCGTGGAATGACCAGTTGCGGAAGATATGCAAGCTTGCTGCGGTTGGCCAACCCCAACGGGGCTCAACGGTCTCTCTCACTTTTATTCTGCCATCGTCCTGTTTCGCCGTCAACCAAACATCAAATTCCCACGCGCCCCAATGCGCCAGTCCCCGTTAGGACGCCGGGTCGCCAAGCCATTGCTCCTGATCTTTGCGTTCTGCCACGTATTGATACTCTCCGTCTGGATGGGCTCGCAACGACCAGAGCCCTTGAAAAGGGGCCATCAACAGGTTCAGCTACGTCAGTCTCATGGTACCGATGCAGTTTCCGACGCAGCAGCAATGCCGAATTCCAGACTGAAACCTCTGGTAGATCCCCAGAATGACAGCCAACCACCGGCCAGATTGACGAAAAGTTTTGAGTCTGTCGCCAAAGCAATTTCTTCGGTGCACTCAAGTCGTCCCGAGATTGCTGGAGGCGGTCCGCTCGCCACCGATTGGCCAACTCGAAGGCCAAACATCTCTGCTAGTGACATGCTGAGCATCCCGGAGTTTTCGTGTCTTGGATGGCGGGAAACCGATGGCTGCACACTTGGACCACCCAGCGGCCTCAATCGAGTCGTGGGCTGTGATACGGGCATAAAGGCCGGTGCGTCGGGGTACTGTTTGCTGCAAAATCAAGCTACGGGTGAAGAAGTTCGAGCGATGCAGGTGAATTGCTCATCACTGCGTAGCGAGGTGGAGTTCAACTGCACACAAGCAGCAGACTTCGCACTAGTCACGTCGCAGTTGAACATGCTCGTAGATACGATCAAAGCCGAGCACGACCAACCCCAGGTGCAAGGATCAACAGAAGCGAAGAACGGCGTGCTCATGGTCATTTACCCGAAGCTGCTGTCGAGTGTGTACGCCACGATCCGAGTGTTGCGCTCGTACAACTGCTCGCTGCCGGTCGAGCTCTGGTTTCTAGAGAACGAAATGGGTTCAAACCCTCTCGCAAACAACCGGTTGCTCCAGTCACTGGAAAACGAATATGGACCAATATCGCTGCATGGAATTTCCGGGGAAAACGTCGACGGATTTAACACCAAGATCCTCGCTCTCGCCCACTCGAACCTCGACCAAGTTTTGTTTCTAGACGCCGACAACACGCCTGTCAAAGACCCCACATACATCTTCACGGCGCCAGAGTTCATCGAAAGTGGAGCGATCTTTTGGCCGGATTTTTGGCACCCTGCCAACACGATCTTTAATATCCACAACGAGACGCTGCTCTGGGAACTGGTGGATATGCCCTTCGTGGACATGTTTGAGCAGGAGAGCGGCCAGCTGCTGATTGATCGACGCAGAGCAGCAGCAGCCCTGAGAGTACTTCAATTCTTAGCGCTGCGCCAGCCGAACCCCCTCCAGCAATTGAAACTCGTCCACGGCGACAAGGACCTCTTCCGGATAGCGTGGCTTAAGACCAACACCTCATTCCACATGATCGAGACGCCTGCAGCAGTCGCGGGCATACTAAACAACGGTGGGTTTTGCGGTATTACAATGGTCCAGCACGACCCCGAAGGAAAAGTCCTCTTCCTGCACCACAACGGCAAGAAAGTAATCGGCGATGACCAGACTCGAACGTGGACCCACCTCCAGTCCTTCGTATTTCCCGACCAGCTGGCACTCCATCGATCCAACGCCTCAGATCGATACGCTTACTTGGCGGACAACTACCGCGTTGGTATATACGGGACCAGCGATGCATTTCCAGGACTGCTGATGTGCTACAGACTCACAACCGAGCACTATCGCTTAACGTCGTGGACAGAATTATTACACCACGACCTTGAAGATCGACTCCGAGACTTCGTCCAGGAAGCTACAGAGCTTGGGAATTAAAACCCAGTCGAGATTATCCTGCTTATTCCCGATTCATAATTTAGTCACTAGTGTCTCGTGTCACCGCAGGTTCTGTGTCGTTCGCATGGGCACGAACTAACAGAGCAGCCTCCATCGCAAACCGCCGTAGCTGCGTCTCCAGTCCTCCAAAACTCAAGTTCTCAAATGCTTGGAAGTAAAAGTGGTCGTTCCTTTCCAGCATGTCAGCCACACCGTAACAGGTCTGGCCTTTCGTGAATCCATCGAGGGTAGGATGCACGTCAATCTTGTAGTGTATCCTTCTGGAAGTGTTTCGGAACGAGAGCAAGTGCGTCCAGTAGATAGCATCGGGGTAGCCATCAGCTTCAGGCGCGTCTAGAGTTGGCGAGGGCGTCGTGACACCATTTCGTATCTCCTCTTCGATCTCTTGCTGCGTAGGTTTTGTACGCCCGCCAGGGTGCGTCAATTGCAACTTTTCTTTCGCACGGAGAGCAGCAACCGCCTCAAGCTTCACGTGCTGCAGCTTGGGCTCACCGACGAGTTTACGAGTGTTACGGTGCAGAAAGAGCACTTCGCCGTTGGCATCATGCTGAACCATGGTCATGCCGCAGAACGAGTGGTTAAATGCCTTACCAGCGACGGCAGGTGGCACATCGACCATGTGAAACGGCGACTTGAGCTTAAGCCACGCCAATCGGAAAAGGTCCTTGTCGCCGTGCACCAACTTGAAGGTTTTGAAGAAATTTGGCGAGTGAAAAGTGTAGAATTTCACCAGCTCCAGTGGCACAGCGTGGCGTCGTCGATCTATCACCAGCTGCCCACTCTCCTGTTCGAACATATTCACAAACCGCTGGTCCAGCAGCTCCCAGAGCAACGACTGGCCGTGGATGTTGAAAATGGTGTTTCTCGGGTGCCAAAAGTCCGGCCAGAAGACGGCCCCCGTCTCGGCAAACTCCTTCGTGTCGAACAAAAAGCTCGGATCCCTCACCGGAACGTTATCCGAGTCCAGGAACAAGACCTTGTCGAAGAAACTGTGATAAATCGCAAACACCTTGGCGCCAAACCCCGTCGCCTTCTTGTCGTCAATCTCGTGGAACGAAATCCCCCTACTCACCTGAGCAAGCTGCTGCAGTGGCACCATCGACCCCGGTACCCCCTCCATCTCCTTCTTGCGGTACCACAGCTCGATCGACAGCTGACACTTCAAGATCTCCTTCAACGCTCTAATCGACGCGTAGGCGCTCGGAACCATCTTCGGATACACCACCATGACCATCCCCTTGGTCCCCTCTCTATCAGCTTCCATGTGAGGCAGCTTAAAACCCGGCACCAACGCCTTACTAACCGCCTGCTTCGCTTCTAAGGGGAAATTGACGAAATCCTGCGCGTCAAAACACCGAAACTGTCCTTCCTGTCGGACGCTTTTGCAGTATCGTCGCATGACGCGGAACCTCTCCTTGGTCTTCCGGTCCTCCACTTCGCAGTACCCTGACTGCGCGGGCGACACCATCATGTGGCACGGCTTGTCCAGATGCGGCAGTCTCGGGCCGTGCGGACTGCAGCCGTCGGTGGCTCTCCAGCCGACGCAGCGCAGCTCGCGGCGCTTGTCTCCGCCCTGTGGGAGCATCTTGACGTTGCGTGCGTGCTCCTCCGCCCGCTCAATCGCGGCGGCGTCTGATTGGGAGCTGGAGGAAGACTGGAAGGACTCGGGCTCCTGCTCTGGTGGCGGATCATTGGAATGAGCAGTGGGTCGGCTGTACGCGATGAAGAGCACGAGGCCCAGGACGTAGACCACGCCGCAGAGGAGCAGCAGACGCGGCCAGCGGCTGGATCCTCTAGAGACGGGTCTGGAGTGATGGGGCAGAAGCGAAGACTGCGACGCGGCAATTGAGACTGAAGCTGGAGCTGCGGGCCCCGCGCGGAGTCGGGCGGAGCCTTCCATAATTGCAGTGCCTGACGATCGTCCAGCAGAGAATTAACCGCTATCGCTTTATGGCTAATGAAATGACGATGATAAAGGTTATGTAGCCTGTGCATCAGCCAATGAGGAGTTGAGCACCAGGAGATTTAACCTATCTTGTGATTGGCTGCGCTACATATCGAGTCAGACGTAGCCAGCCTCGGTAACTGCAGCACCAGAATGGAATGGCGATCTTCTGCGCGCTCCAAAGTCTCAGCTCGTTCTAATGGAGCGACACCGCGTCGTTCTTCATCCGGTCGCTGGCTGCTCTCCCTGCTGCTGCTGAGCCTGGCCTCGTACTCGGCGCTGCTGCTGGCGTGGTCCAGCGCCTCGCTCTCCCCGTTCCGCAGCCCCCTCACAGACGCCAACGACTCAAACTCGACGCAGGTGGGAACACTTATAGCTCTGCCAATGGGCGACACGATGGAGAGGAGTTTGCGCTGCATTGGCTGGCGTGCCACGCTGGACTGCACCCCGTTCGGGCCTCGAGACCCGCAGCGAGACCAGCCGTGCGGGAGGACGGTGCACAATTCCAACGCCGGCTACTGCGAGGTGCAGGACACGTGCACCGGCGAGCACTTCCGCGTCATGAGGAGGCACTGCTCAAGCCTCTTCCCTGCTTCCCGTCTGCGCTGCGACGACGCGCTGGCCTTCGTGGACTTCCGGGTGAAAGCGAGGAAGGCCGTCGCGAAGGCGCTCGTTCCAGGCTTCGCATTGCCGAACGTTGTGGAGGGTGGAAGTGATAAACCCAGAGATGGGATCGTCATTGTGGTGTATCCGAAGCTGGTGGCGAGCGCATCTGCACTGATTCGTACTCTTCGAGAATCAGGTTGCAAATTGCCGATCCAGTTGTGGTATTGCCCCCAAGAACTCTACAGCTTCCCCGGTCCCCTCACGCCGCTGCATCACTTGGCCGACTCTGACGATCAGATAAGCTTCCACAAGATCGACGACACGCGCGCCATGGGATTCGGGGCGAAGGTGTACTCCATCTACCACAGCACTCTGGATCGCGTGCTGTTTCTCGACGCCGATAACTTCCCAGTTCGGGACCCCAGCTCACTCTTCCACTCCAGTGAATTTGAGCGCACGGGTGCTGTGATCTGGCCGGACTATTGGCACCCGAACCACACGATCTTTAACATCCACGAGAAGTCGATGCTCTGGGAGCTCCTGGACATGCCGTACGCCGACATGTTTGAGCAGGAGAGTGGGCAACTGCTCATCGACCGTCGCCGACATGCAGCACCGATGAAGCTGGCGTTCTTCTACATGTTTCACCGGCCAAACTTCTTCCAGGAGCTCAAGGTGGCGCACGGTGACAAAGACCTCTTCAGATTCGCATGGCTCAAGCTTGAAGCCCCGTTCCACATGGCCCAGACACCACCAGCAGTGGCGGGGGAAATCATTGACGACCTGTTCTGTGGCATGACGATGGCGCAGCACGACCTTGAGGGCAACGTGCTCTTTCTTCATCGCAACCAGTTCAAACTCACGGGTAAACTCGCAGGTCTGAAGAAAAGAGAGGCGCCGGTGGCCGATGGGCGGTCATCTGGACGCATCTGCTGTCTTTCAACCGCTCGTTCGAAGTCGAGCACTACGTGATCGACACGTACAGAGCTGAGCCAGCATTTCCAAAGTCGCAGAGCTGCTTTGGCAAGCGGAAGCTCGAGAGGGACCCACATTTTGTGGCGCAAGCATTTACCAATCTGAGCTTTGCTGACTTGGAGAACAAAGTACGTAGAATCGCGGTGGATGCTGTTCGTCTGCTACCAGCCACTCACTATCCGTCAGCGAGTTGCTGGATAATTCATGAAATCGAACTAGAATAATGTCGTCAAGAAAAGGTAGTAGTAGTAGTAGTACAGTAAAGCTAGACTGTCGCTCAAGTATATTTACACGTTCTGCAATCTAAACACTAGACATACAACCCATGTTCTAGTTCTAACTACTGATACCGAAGTGGTTCGCTGCTTCCATGGCAAACCTTCTCAGATGTGTCTCGATCCCGGCGAAGCTTAAATCCTCAACAGCGCGAGAGTAAAAGTGAGCGCTTTTGTCCAGAAATTGCCGGCCGAAGCAGCGCCGTTCCTTCGAGAATCGATGATCCGTGTGCGCCTGAATCACGTAGTCCGAACGTGCAGATTTATCACGGAACGACACCAGCGTTGACCACATCGCAGGGTCTGGGTACTCGTCCGCACTGTTCTTCAGCTCATCAGAGAGGTCGGGTCTGACTGTACCCGTCAGCTTCATCTGGTTCCGATGCATGAACAGAACTTCACCGCCCGCGTCGTGTTGCGCCATGGTCATGCCACAGAACGACTCCCCGAACATTCTCCCAGCAACAGACGGAGGCGTCTGGATCATGTGGAAGGGAATGTTCAGCTTCAGCCACGCAAACCGGAACAGATCCTTGTCACCCCACGCGAGCTTCATGCGATTGACGTAGTTGGGCTCATGGAAACCGTAGAATTTGACCAGCTCCAGCGGTGCAGCGTGGCGTCTTCTATCCACCAGAATTTGGCCGCTTTCTTGCTCGAACATGTCGACGAACGGCATATCCAGCAGCTGCCAGACCAACGAGTCCGCGTTTAAGTAGAAGATGGTGTTGCCAGGGTGCCAATAGTCTGGCCAGAACACCGTCCCGGTCTTGACAAATTCCGGCGTCTCAAAGAGGTACGTGGGGTCTTTGACTGGCACGTTGTCCGCGTCTAGGAACAGCAGTTTATCAAACGTGCTGTGGTAGATGGCGTAGATCTTGGTGTTGAAGCGAATAGCCTTGGTGTCGTTGATCTCCCGGAACGTCAATCCTTCACCAGTATCGCTCCGGCTCAGACTCGTCAGCGGCTCGAGGCCCTCAGGGGACTTACGCATTTCATCGGGTCGAAACCAAATCTCAATCGGTAGTCGACACCCCAACACATCTCGAAGAGTTCGAATGGTAGCGTAGGCGCTAGCAACCAGCTTGGGGTAAACCACCATAGCGATTCCTCGACGTGCGTGCTGCTGACTGCTGTTCACGTTGGGTAGCGCAAACCCCGGAGCAAGGGCCTTTTCAACCGCATCCTTTGCTTCCACCCGGAAGTTGTCGAAACCTGGAGCGTCCGCGCATTGGAATACGGATCCGGCTTTGGCCTTGGCGCACGTTCGCTTCATGACCCGGAACCGTTCGTGTGTATCCTCGTCTTCGACCTCGCAGTAGCCTGATGAGCCGTAGGATACTTTGCTGGTACAGCTGCGGTCTTTCTGCGGCATGCGATCTCCATCCGGACTGCAAGATGTTGTAGCTCTCCATCCGAGACACTTAAGCCGTCGTGCCTTCACTGTGTTGGGCGGTAAATCGGGTAGTAGTGACGGAGGTGTCGAGTTGGTTTGGACTTGATCAGCTTCCTCTGATGACTTGTCGTGACGGGACTCGGCCGCTCGAAAGCCTGCTCGTAGCGTGTTGGGCGATCGCGCAATGATCATGCCGACGTAGAGCAGGTTGCTGAGGAGGAGTGCACCGAGCAGGAAATGTTTCCAGCTTCGCGTTTTTGCAGCTGCATCAGGTACGCCTTTCATTTTTGCCGTGGGGTCTATAGTGCGAGAGGTGAGTCGAACACGAGGGCTTCTTCGTGCTACGACGAGACTTTGGGAATGGCTGACAGCGAGACCATTGCCAGCGGAGTCCAACGCCTGGAAGCCCCGGCTCACTCCCTAATGGCAACGGCCCACGATAAGATAACTGACCAAATGGGTCAATGTCAAAGAGACGTGATCATTTTTTCTGTCCGGTGCAACTGAACAGGCGGCTTTTTGAGCCGGGCAACCACAGATTTAGTTTCGTGCATTTCGATGGATGCGCGACGTTGCGATGAGTAACCAGCATTTAAACCATTGGCTGTAGCACAGAGAGAGAATCCATGAAGAAGGTGTAAGACACGGGTGGCGTTGTTGGCGTGTGTTAGACTTTCTCCCGAGCTTAAAAAATTCGGTGTCATAGATACTAATTTGAGGCCATGAACAAGATTTTTACTGCTGACTTCGAAATTGTCGTGGTAAGTTGCGCACCTGTGTGTACGTTCGTATTATTAGTCGTGTTTTGGTAGGATGGATGGTGGGATCGGTTTTGAGTCAAACGCGAACGCAAGATTGTGCAAAGTGTTAGCCCTCATCCTCAACGAACATTTCTGGTTTCATCTCGCAATAGGCAGAAGCCCGACGCTCCGGCGTTGACGATACCTCCACAGTTCATATCTTTCGCGGACTCTCTGGGTCCGTCAGGGGAACAGTCCCTCGTCTGTCTCCACCCTACGCACTTGTAGTCCGGGATGTGGTGGCGCCTGTGCAGCTCCAGCAGCTCCGGGGTCGACGCGCCGATGCCCCTCGCGAAAGTCTCGAGTAACGCATCAGCAGGTGAACTGCCGGTAGTGGCGCTCTCCGCGTAGAGTTCTGTATTGGTGCTGGGTAGAACGACACTACTCCAGCGTGAGACCTGCAAGCGGTTGGCATCTCCGCGCATAAAGAGCCACCAGAAGAGCAGGCAGCTGGAGTAGAGCGCGATACCCGTGTACATGACTGCCGGGTTGACGCAGGTAGAACGCGGAGTAGAACGGGGTGACGAGGACGATGAGCGACGCCTGGCTAGAGGCTTCTGTTCCATGCGCAGCATTGGCGGCGCGGAGTAATAGCGCGGGCCTCATGACGATGTCCGCGGTGCCGGAGGCATCACGAAAAATGCAAAATGGGTCAGGTGTCGTACGGTGATAAGAGCGGGTAGGGGAATTCAGATACGCAGAGCACCGAACTTTGAGCACAGCCAAAATTGGTCTTACCGCTGAGACGAGGGCGGTACAAATTGAATAAATAGCTACATTTTACGCTAAAAACACCTACACGGCCACTTCAACTTGCCTCCTCGCGGTCGCTTTGCACAATGTGCTCCACTGCCGACGGCGGCAGCAGCGCCACAGCTTCACCCGCGTACTGCAGTAGATCTCGCTCCACCAGTGGAAATGCCGTGTCTTCCCATGCAATGGTCTTGTACCTGGGCGCCGTGAGCTGCGACTGGCCGTAGCACCACTGGGTCTCGTCGAACTCGGGGGCTCCGTTGAAGATCTGGACCGAGTACTTTTGGCGCAGGAACTTGTACGGCATGTTCAGGTTTCCTACGGACACGCGCCCACTGTCGACCTTGTCGTGGGGCGGTAGCGTCGGTTTGGAGGCCTCGAAGGCCGCCTCCACCTCCAGCGCGTGAGGAGACGCAGCCCGATACCGGAAGCGCTGCAGGTGCGTCCAAATCTTCTCGTCGGGCTTGCAACTTGCGCTCAGACCGCCCGTCAGCTTCTTCGCGTTGCGGTGTAGGAAGACCACTTCCCCATCCGTGTCGAACTGCACCATCGACATGCCGCAGAACTTGGTACCGCGCACTGTGCCTGCAATTCCAGGCGGGTTGGCGACCATGTGGAACGGGGTCTTGGTCTTGAGCCACGCGAGACGGAAGAGGTCCTTGTCTCCGTGCGCCAACTTGTACCGCGAGAAGAGGTTGGGGTCGTGGAAGGCGAAGAGCGCCAGCATCCGCAAGGCTGCTGAGCTCCGTGTCTTGTCGATCACTAGCTGGCCGCTCTCCTGTTCGAACATGTCCACATGCTCCATACCCAGCAGCTCCCACAACAATGAATCGTTGTTGATGTTGAAAATCGTGTGGGCTGGATGCCAGAAGTCTGGCCAGAAGACAGCACCAGTCTGCTTGAACTCGGGCGTCGTGAACAGATAGCTCGGGTCCCTCACAGGAACGTTGTCTGCGTCCAGAAACAGCACGTGGTCAAGCTCGGTGTGCGTAATTGCGTACACCTTCGAGTTGAAGCCAGCTACTCTCGGGTCTGTGATCGGGTGCAGTGTCAGCGGGCCATACGCTTCTTGCAGTTTCTTGGGAACATCATCCAGCAGTGCGACCCCAGATGTCATTTCCGACTCAATGTACCACAACTCCACCGGAAGAGTGCAATTCACCGCACGCAACGCTCGAATCGATGCATACGCGCTCACAAGCAGTTTGGGGTAAATCACCATCACAATTCCCTCTTTCGGGGCCGCAGCAGTCGAGCCAGCAGCACTGTCTCCGCTATCTTCCGCCTCCTTCTCCCGTTTAATCGCCGCCGCCAATTTCGCCACTTCCCACTGGAAATCCACAAAGTCTCCGGCATGTCGACAACTGAGCATCACGCTCGAGTGCAGCGTATCACACGCCGTGTGCATGACCTGGATCTGCTGGCCTGTAGCCTCGTCCTCCATGAGGCAATAGCCGCCCACTCCGCCGCGCACGAACTGGTCGCAGCCTCTGTTCTTCGTGGGCACTTCTGTCTCCTGGAGGTCGCAACTGTCCGTCTGTCTCCAGCCCACGCAGCGCAAGTCCGGCGGTCTGCTGCCGGCGTCCAGTAGCTGCTCCATCCAGTGCGTGTCCGTCGCGATGTCGGCGATCTGATTGCCGTTCTCTGCCCTCTGTCGCCGCCTCAGTTGCCTGACCAGCAGCGGACTCAGTCGCACGTCCGCGCCATTGTCCGAGTCCGAGGACGACAGTGCGACGCTGAAGGAGCCGCTCACACTCAAGCCCCAGACCACGAAGCCCAAGGCGTAGAGGCCAATGGCCGAGAAGAGCACCAATGCGCCCACGCGAGGCCCGTTTCGAGGAGAATTGGGCGGCGTTATGGTGGACGCGCGGCGCTTGCTCTGGCCGGCGGGGCGAGCGTGCAACGGGGACGCACGTGCCATCGAGGAGCCCAAATGCTAAATGGTCAGTCCTGACGTGGGAGCGATGGCCTCCTCATAAGTGTTGACCTATTTTGTGTGTAATGTTCTGTGTCGTTGAAGTGGGGCACATAAAGGCAACTTTCCGACCGTCACTCCGGTGGTGCCTGCTATATTGGTGTACGATTGCCATCTTCTGCGTAGCCATCAGTAAGACCAAACACTAGAGCGCTCTCTCGATGGAGGCTCCGATTGCCGCGTTTGACATCTCGGAGGCGGATCGAGAGGAGTATGCGGGCAAGAAGGCGAGTCTGGCGCTGCAGCGCGCGCTCAACGGGGCTGGGGCGTGGATGGTCACGACTGTGCGGGATCAGCGCAAATGCGACCACGCGCTGCTGCCCGCCGAGATGCCGGCCAGCATCCGAGAGAAAGTCGCGAGGATCCTGCAGGACAGAGGCGTCAAGGAGCAGGTCCCCGCTGAAGCCCCCGACCCGAAGGCGCCGTGGCACCAGCAGCTCGAGCAGCACGTGGCTCGACTGATGCAGCAAATGCGCGGTCAGCCGCATCAGTTCCGGCAGATGCTCTTGATGGCTGCGTCGGATCCAAGCGCCGACTGCGTCGTCACCTCCAGCTCCTCCCAAGCTTTCGTGGATTCCCGCAGAGCTTATCGTCGACTACGACGAGCTGCGATGGCCTTGGGTGAGGAGATTTATCACTTGGTGCGAGCTTTCGTCCGTCGCAGTGAAGCCAACGGCGTTCTTCCCCAAGAAGCTCAGGCTGTGCGGTTAGCTTCACTGTATAAACTGGAGCTACGGCGGCACGTCACGATCAGCGCAGTGATGGAGTGTATTCACCAGGCAGATAGCGAACCCTGTGTACCTATGGCCAAGGTTCACGGCGTCAGTAAGCCGGGCTTCTGTGTGATCAAGAAAGTGCCTCACAAGCACCCATTGCTCCGCAGGAAGGTGAAGAGTGCGGGCATCACGAGCCGCAGGCCGAGCGATCTTGATGTCGCACTGTCCCCTCGGGCGGCGAGTGCTCCCACTGAAGCTCCAGGTCGTGGAAGTCAGAACCAGCAAACGGCCGAGCCAGACAAGGTCAAGTCAGTACACGCCTTCAAGCTGCAGGCACTGGAACGACTTCTTGCCAAGACTTGGCAGGGCAGTCGATCTGCAAGCATGCGCTCGTTACAGGCGGCACCCGTCACGCCGGCAAAGCTTTCGGACGAGACCTTGACTCAAATCCAAGAACGCGTGACCGCGTTCCTGTACCACCGAAGCCGCGAGAATTACCCCTTGTGGAGCGAGCCTCCGCTGTCCAGGGAAGAAACCGTTAGACACTTGCGCACATTCGTTGCGACTCTTTTGACGACGCCGCTGCTGCAGAGTCTGAGCATCGAGCAGCTTCTAGAAGTGAGCAGAGCTGCAAGGTGGCAGATGCTGGCCCCTGGCGACACTCTATGCGTCCGAAACACGGAGATTGATTCGCTCATCGTTGTAATGGACGGATCCTTGACCTCTACGACCGCTTCAGAATCACCTTCAGGACCTAACAGTCCACCTCCAAGTGGCGGTGTTGTTATTCCAGCTCCAGCGTGTCTAGGAGAGCTTGGCATGGTTCGAAACGCAGAACGCTGGCCACGAACTCTCGCAGCCCAGTCGTCCGAAGGTGCTAAGGCCTTGATACTGCCGAAGCTCACGTTTGAGGCCCTCTTGCACCGATTCTTCAATGTCTCAAAGGCATTACCGCCAGCGCTTGCAGCGGTCGCAAACCTCTTACAACCGCGACGGCCGTCTTCGTCTCCAGCAGTGGTGGCGAGGCGGCTCGCACGAACTTTCCGCAATTCTCTGTCGGCGCGACGTCCATCCACAGCTGCGCCGACGACTGCAACTGAGATCAACATTGCAAGATGGCACGAGGTTCGCGACGAAAAGCTTCGTGACTATCGAGCAGGCGTCGAGGCCGAGCAGCGAGCTGCAGCGCTTGAGGCACTGCAACGAGCAATGGAGGATTTGTCGTCCGAATGCGCTGAGAATGATGATCGAGACTTCTTACAGGATGCGTCTGCGCAGTCTCCCCAGAAAATACCATGGTCTCGGCACGAGTACTATCCGAACTATGATCCAGAATCAGGTTTGCCATTGCCAGAGCAAAATCTTGACGAGGTGGTCAACCAACTTGGGTCTGTTGACTCAAACTCCCCTCAAACCAGTGGATCGCCACACGAAGCGAACCAAGAGGAAGAGCAAAAGACTTCGGGAGTAGAAGAAGTACCCACCGCTCCAGAGTCAGCTACGGATGTAGCCGATCAACTGCGGGAATTCTACCGATCTCTAAACGCTCGACGATCTGTCATGCGAGCGCGACTTGCTTCAGCCGTACCCTCAGATCAAATGGTCCAACAAAGCCCTGAGCGAAAGAAAAGTATTGTCAGTCCAAACAACGCAAACAGCGCAGCCGCTGTCTCCGAAACAACGTGGTGGGTGGATGAGGGAAACGCTGAAAGCTGGGGTGCTCCATCTGAAGACGGGTTCGGATCGCCGCGTGGTGTTGGCGTCGCTGGTTCACCGTTTCAGGGTCGACGTCGGAGTTCTTCCTTTTCACTACCAAGGACCAGTCGCTCCCCGTCATCTTCGCCGTCTCGAGACAGTCTCGTCGCGCCTTCACCACTGCACTCGCCATTGAAATCTTTAGTTTCGTCGCCTTTGCAAAGTCCTCAGCAACACCAAGGCAGCAACAGAGGAGTTTTAAGCAGAGACGATAGCAATATTTGGCTTTCAGGCCAGGATTGCTGTGCTGTTCCAGAGACTAATGAAGGTGATGGAGAAGCTGATGAAGAAGCGGAAGCCTCCCAACTCGAGTCACCGTCCAAAAACCAAGTCGAGGATTCTCGAGCTACAGAGGCTCGCAAGTCCGCTCTGAACATCATGCTGACGAGGCAGTCGACAGCTACTATGGCCCGCCACAGCAAGTTGCTAGACAAAGATGCAGCGCAGCAAGTCCTCATCCAGAAGCACTTCGCCGATAGCTCAGCTGGAGGCGGACCGCTGGGATCAGCAAGTCCTGGTCGACCTCAGTCTGGCCGACCTCAGTCCGGCCACCACTCCGAGACGTCAACATCCGAGCCAAATCCGAGTCACAGTCAGGCACCGCTGCCACTCCGCGCGGATCTTCAGCGTCGATTGGATTCCGTGCTCAACGATCTACTCATGCCACCGAAAAACAAGCTGGACCTGGTGCTCAGATACACACAAGCCGATGAATACGACAAGTTTCCAATGGCGGTACAGCTCTGGGAGCGAGTTCAAACCACCGTGTCTTGGCGAGAGCGTGTCATGAAATCGTTGTGGGACTTCGAGATGTTTGCAAGTGATCCACGCCGCCACTTTCGCTCGATCTCCACGCATCGGCTACGCGAGGAGAAGGAGCGGGACGCACTCTTCTCGAAACTCAACCAGGCATCCAACGCCTGTGTCGAAGCCATGGACGAACTGTTCCGATGCTGCGGGGACACTGTGTGCCTGGGTGATCGGCCTTATCGCGATAAAATGAAGAAGGACTACACGGAGTTGCTGTTCGAAGTGGAGCAGGAGCGGCTTCGTATCATCTATGACGGTGTTCGACCTCATGTGGCCCCGGCCGTGGATGAGTATGACGATGAAAACGCACCATGTCGTGATGAAGACGAGAGCGTGCACGGACGTCCCTCATCAGGACGCACACTAATCAATGTGCGGGTTCCGTCGGCCGTGACCATACCACGAAGTCTTGTACCACGTCGCCCCATTAACAGGAGGGACGGCACTTCTCCCAATATTGTGGTCCCTTCAGTTGCCTCCTATAAACTGGATGAAGAGAAACCCGAGTTGCTCGGTAGTGCCCATGACAATCAAAACCAGGAGCACGCCGACACGGACGTTCACTCTCCTAATCTTGAGGTCGAAGGCGATAATGCTGATCCGAATAGCACGCGCCACCGTCTAGCAACGCCTCGTGAATCCATCTTCGTCCCTGTCGCCTCCCTGGACAATAAGCCAGAACCCACAGCGCCATTTAAACCGGGGCAGCACCACATCCGACGGGCGTCACGAGTCACAGTCCAAGTTCAGCAACAACGCCAAGCTGAACTCGATGCACTAACCAAGCAGACAGAGGAGAAACTCATCGAGCCAAGCATTGCTCTAGCACCGTCAACTCAGATCGTTCGACCCGCAGAGAAAACGTTTGTGGCCCCAGCAGCAGACGCAATGAAGTCAGCGGCGCGATCGAAGCAGCAACAAGAGCGAGCTTCCCTCCGCGAATTATTTCAGCAGTTTATCACCCGCTCCATTAAGTAGCAGCATAGTATCTAGGGCGATCGTGGGTAGCGGACATGGCCGCCAAACGGCTCACGACTCTGAGGATGCGAAGTCATTGCTAGACGACCCAGTTGGGTTTCCACGAGCTCTAAATTGTGCTCGTACGCCTCCCCACGCCGCGCGAACCAGTCCAAAAAGCGCGTGCTAAGCTCGACGTGCTGTTGCAACTTCTCACACCGCGAGCGCAGCTCCTTAACTCTCGACGCGAGGGTTTTGTGCGCCGAATCCGGAGCTTTCGTGGCCACTTGACGCCTCAAATCCGCGAATTGAGCGTCAACTTCTTGTCGTGGGGCCTTTTCGCCAATAATTTGCTGTAAGTTATGAATCAACGACACGGATATCGTAGCGTTAGATCGGCAAACATCCGAGTTGTATCTTAAAATTCGATTCCGCGTACCTCAAAGTGATGATACTGCTGCTCAAGCTGCGCGGCGAAAGCCGCAGCACTCGAATGGAACTTGGCCGAAAGCGTGCGCAGTGCCGCCTCGCTCGTAGCCGCAGCCGTTTTGGCTTGATCCAGCGCCTGTTGCAACTGCTCCGTCGAGTCATCGAGCCGCTGGATCTGCGGAACCACCGCTCGTCGGTGGCGATCTTCAGCCTCGTCCAGCATCTGCTGCTGCTCGTCCGCGTGTTGCCGGATCGCTTCCAGCTCGTCGCTCGCGGCGTCGAGACGAGCGACCGAGCGCTCGAGCTTGCTCTGCTGCGTCCGCACTTCTTCTATCTGCGCCGACAGCTGCGCGGCCAGCGGTCGGAAGCCGTGGATCTGCACCAAGACGCCGTCGAGCCGCGCAGATTCCGACTGGATAATACGTACGTATTAACAACACACAATGATCACCAGCCCCCAGCAGGTTACAATTACAAGCACTCGGCGGCTGCAACTTCAACGTGAAAAGTTAAACAGACCTTGTCCATCTTGGCGGCCAACCGTCTGTCAACCGTCTCCAACCGCTCGTGCAGCTCGCTCTGCTCGGTCTGCAGACACTGCACCAGTTGCAGGCTGGCGAGCTCGCTGCGGAGCTCCTTGGCGGTCTGTTCCGAGCGCGTTTTGGCTCGGATCTCCGCGTCTTGGAGCTCCTGGCGGTCGGCCTTGGTCTCCAGCTGGAGGCGGATCGCTTGCAGTTGCTGCTGGGCGACAGCCTTGAATTGTCGCAACGTAGCGACGTCGCTCTCCGTCGCTTGCACGCGCGGATGGAGCGGCGACACGGCGGCGCGTAGCTCGCTGCAGCCGGCCTGCGTCTGGCGCTGCGTGGCCTGCACAACACGTAGCGCTTCCTGCAGTTCGCGGATCTGCGCGGCCTGGGCATTGAGCACAGCCACGAGGCGGTGGATCGGGGCCTCGGCGGCCTGCGCGTCGAAGAGGTCGGCGACCTGCAGCAGCGCAGCCATGATCTAGCAAATCTTTCAATGGTCGCTCCTGCGCATAAATGGCTACACCTGTCATTGCGACATGGCTACATTGTGGACGCGGTTGACCACAGCGAGTACGGTTCGGCGTGTTTGGCCCACGCGGTTCCTTGTTGCAGTCAGACCTACGGAGACAGCCTGTTGCGGAAACAAGCGGCGAGCACCTGGGGTTGCAAGCCAAATACTACCTGGTAGTAGTACATGTACTCACCGTAGGTAATCAAGATGTATGGTTTTCTAAAAGATGTATGGGGTTAGTGACAGCATGGAGACCATGATGGTCCGCTTGGCGGTGGCCAGCAGCATCAGGCGTGAGCAATCGGAGCCGCTGAAGCGTTCGAGAGCCCAGCTGGGCCGCGAGGGTAACGTCGGTCAGGCGAGGGCCTAGGGATCGGACCACGGAGCTGATGAAGCCGTAGAGGCCCTCTCTGGCAGCGTTGCCGCGCGCGTGGCACCGGAGGGGTTCTGACCAGAAAGATAGAGCCACGCTCTAATACGTTAGTGCCAGAAGCGCCGCCCGCCACGTTGGCTCTCGGCGATACCAGGCTATCAGCGCTGGACTGCTCGCGGTTGTCCAGCACTTGCATTGCGGAGACCGCAGCGCTGCGTGTGCGGCGTCCGTGCCGATGGCCAGCGCGCCAGCTTGAAGCGAGGAGCTCGGAGGTTGACAACAAATACGGCGCGCTTGGACCGAAAGCCTTGGTCTCTCTTGCCCTGATTCGGGGAGGGACCCGCTGCAGTAATAGTGCGACTCGAGTATCCAGGACCCCTCGAACGAAAGTACACTTGCACCGATCTGTTTTGGCTGAAACGCGCGACTCGCAATCCGGTGGGCACAATTTTGGTGGGGTCTCGTGGTGGACAGCCACGCCGCGGCGAGACCGTATCGGCCTATCCCCGCTGGATTGACCTCGAAGGTGTCGGCGAGAGCGAGGCGATCACAGGAGCCCGCTTGCTGGAACTTCCAGCCTGCGAGTCGCAGACACCGCTTTGACTTGGGTCCACTATCGACGCTGACGCATCCCACAGCTGCGACTGCCAGCCGGTTTTGACCAATCCCGCCGATCCGGCCCGTCGCTGCACCTCTTTCTGCGTTTCTGTAGAGCTGACTAACTTGAACTCGCTCGGTTCAGGTCAGGCCGGCGAGCGGACGCGGCGGCTCATTCCCCAATTCGCTCGCTGCAGCGCAGAGCTCCTCCGTTGATCGATCGCATCTCCGCCATGGTGACCGCCGCGCCCCGATCCAAGTGCATGTCCATGGACGTCTCCAGCGCGCAGAGCCCGCCCGACCTGAGCACGCTGCAGGTCAAGGTGGGCGAGCTGCGCCTCTCGGCCGACGGCACGTGGCTCTACCTGCTGCAGGTGGCCTGCGGCCGCGCGCGCTGGCAGGTGGCCAAGCGCTACCGCGAGATCCGCGCGCTGTGGGTCGAGCTCAGCAAGGCGCTAGCCGAGACCGACGCGCACCAGTCGTGCACCGAGCGCTGCCACTTCCTCGCCGGCTTCGAGCAGGACAAGTTCCCCAAGAAGCACCTGCTGCTCACGCAGCACAAGCTCGAGGCCCGCGCGAGCGAGCTCGACCAGTTCTTCCTCAAGCTGGCCATGCGCCTCAACCTGTGCAACCCCATCGAGCTGCAGACCTGCCAGCTGCGCGGCTGCCCGCTGCTCACGCTCGTCGCGCGCTTCTTCGAGGTGGACGCCGAGCCGGCCAAGAATACCCGCGCCGCCATGGGCTTCTCGCGCAGCATCTCCATGCAGCGCGAGGTGCGCCGCCACGACCAGCAGTTCACCACCACCAAGCGACGCAGCAGCATGAGCGTCAGCATGGGCGTGGGCGTAGTAGGCCGCCGCTTCTCCTTCGGCTACCAGGACGGACACAGCGCGGTCGCAGCGCTCGCCCAGTGAGAGAAAACGCCCGGCCACGCCGTTATTTTATTGCAGACGTTCATGATCTAGACCCCGAAACGGCCGACCAGGCCCCACTATTTAGCGCTAACTCAACACGCGCCCTCATTTTCGTTGCGTTATTGCATGCTTGTTAACTTGTTGGCCTTGAGTCCGGTGGGCTGGATTTTGCGCTTCTTGACCGGAGACAAATCCGTGTGACTCGGGCGGCCGTAATGGTGGGGGCCAGCAATCGCTGAACCAACTGCCTCGCCTTCAAGGCACTCACACACGTCGCACCGTCAAGTTCATGGCGGCAATGTGCATGTGCTGCATGTACATGCAAATGAGATCTATGTTTTGCAGGAACAAATGGCTACATGTTCTACGAATTTACGGCGTCTCGAGCTGCTGCAGCAGGTGGTTCTGCTCGTCCACCACCAGCGCGTCTACGATCTCGTCCAGCAGCTCGCCGTTCAACATGCGCTCGATGCCGAACACCGTCACGTTCACGCGGTGGTCGCTCACGCGGCTCTGCGGGAAGTTGTACGTGCGCACACGCTCCGAGCGGTCTCCGGAGCCCACCTGCGAGTTGCGCATGGTCTGGCGCTCGGCGTCGCGCTTCCGGCGGATGCCGTCGAAGACGCGCGCACGCAGAATCTTCAGCGCCTTGGCCTTGTTCTGGTGCTGCGAGCGCTCGTCCTGCACGGCGGCCACGATGCCGGTGGGGATATGCGTGATGCGCACGGCGCTTTCCGTGGTGTTCACGTGCTGGCCGCCGGCGCCAGACGCGCGGTACACGTCAATGCGAAGGTCCTTGGGGTCGATCTCCACCTCCACCTCCTCGGCCTCGGGCAGCACCACCACCGACACGGCACTCGTGTGCACGCGCACATCATTCACCGGCACGCGCTGCACGCGGTGCACTCCACTCTCGAACTTCATGCGACCGTAAGCGCCGCGTCCTGTTAACGAGCACACGCACTCCTTGCATCCACCGAGGTCCGTCTCAGAAATGCTCATGATCTCGAACTTCCAGCCCTTGGCCAGCGCCACCTTCTGGTACATCTTGAGGATGTCCGCAGCGAACAGGCAGGCCTCGTCACCTCCCGTGCCGGCACGGATCTCCAAGATGGAGCTCTTGTCGTCGGCTTCGTCGCGAGGCAGCATGAGACGCACGACCTCGCCCTCGAGACGGGCGATGGACTCCTGCAGCTCGCGACGCTCGTCCTTTGCCATTTGACGCAGCTCGACAGCGTCCGGGTCGTCGCTGCCCTCCTGCTCTGCAATCATCTCGTCCAGCTCCTCCACCGCATTCTGCTGGCTCTGCAGCTCCCTCACCGCCATCACCTTGGGCTCCAGCTCCGCCATCTCAATGGACAGGTTCGTGATCTTGTCCGACGACAAGCTGCCGTCGTTGCTGCAAAAAGGTGACACACAACACCAACCTCGTCAGCCTTTTTATAGAGGCAGCCTTTACTACCGAAAGCGCAGCGAGAATATCAATGGCCAGCCACTTACTGCGACAGTTCGTGCGCCAACTCGTCGTAGCGGCGGCCGATCAGGTCCATCTGACTCAAAATGGCTGCAGGCATGGCGAAACCTCGCGTCTGCAGCGCATTTTGCTGCCACAGCTTCGCAACAGCAGGCAATCGAGTCTGCACAAGTTGCTGCGGTCGGGTCGCGCCTCCCACCAGCGCCAGCACGCGCCTCTGTCGACGCAGCCACTGCAGTCCGGAGCCCAGCATAAGCGAGCGGTTTGATGCTGCTGTGTGGTGCACACCGCACCAACGTAAAAAAAAACTGTGTGCCGTACATAGCGGCATCATGGGTGGGTATCCATTTCATCGAAGAAATGGCACGCAGCTATCGCCTCGGCGACACCTGGTTCGTCGTGTCCTGCAACTGGTGGCAGCGCGTGGTGGAGCGCGGCGACTCGCGCAGTGACGACCGCATCCGCAACGCCGACATCGTGGACACGAAGCGCAGTTGCCGCTGCTGCAGTCGCTCCATCCTGACGCCCGGACTGCTTGAAGACGTGGACTACCGACTGGTGAGCGAGCGCATGTGGAGCGCGTTGTCCATGGAGTTCGGCTACGACTGGGCCGTCCGTCGGGAGGTGGTGAACATGGGTCGACGTCTGGCGGTGGACGTGTATCCCGCCGGGCTGGAGGAGCGAGCGACTGGCCACGGCCACATCCCGACGTCTGCGTCGGTTGACGCATCGGCTGCAACGCCGCCGTCGTCCCCTGAGAAGGAGGAGAAGGACTTGTCGCCCGAAGCTCTGGAACAGTGGCGAGCGGATCTCAAGGTCGGGCAAATGGTGGACGCTCTGGATACCGACAGCAAGTGGTACGAAGCCACGATCGTGGGCATCACCGAGGGCCAAGCCAAGGTGCACTACCGCGGCTGGAGCACCAAATGGGACGAGTGGCTGGCCCGCACGTCGCCCAGACTCATGCCACTGCACTCGAAGGTGCGCGATTGGCGGCGCTTCCGCGTGAACGACGAGGTGCAGGTGGGTGATGAGCGGCCGGGCAAGAAGCGCATGCTCTGGCGCGACGCCCGGGTGCTGGCCACGGCCAAGTCGCTCATGGTGCAGCTCCAGATCGACAACGACGTGCGCTGGATGGACGCGCAGGACGAGCGCCTCTGTCCTCCTGGGACCCATCGAGCGGCCAACGCCGGCGTCACGTACCAAGACGCTGCGGCACTGTCGTCCCCAACAAGCGTCACTACAGTCGGCAGCAGCAGCGGCGGCGGCACCCCCACCAACGTCCGTCGGAAGCGTCTCAAAACGTCCTCCAGCCCCTACATGTTCGACGACTGACGGCCGAACCCTCTCTTGTATATATTCCGACCCTGTCACTACAGCGTCCAAATCAACTTTTTGCTGCAACACGTTGAAGTGCATTATTTTCCATTTTCGCCCAATCAGCGCGCGTCCAGCACAATTCAAATTCCCAAAAGCTCCGATCAAGCAACGCACACTGGCGATGGCATCGCTCGAGGCCGACGCGGAGGACGACAGAGGCGACGCGGGCGCGTCCTGGACGCTGCCGGACTGGGAGGAGTACAGCGACCGCGCCACCAGCAGCTTCGCCGGCGACTGGAGCGACGTGGAGGCCGACGTGAGCTTGGACACGGCCAGCAGCGTGGCCAGCACGGAGCACCAGCGCGTATACCGCATACAGCGCGCCAGAGGCGAGCTGAAGGACATCCACTCGCTGTATACACGGCGCCGGTTGGAGGAGAGCTCCCAGGGCGTCACTAGCGTCCGCGGCAGCGCCAATTGGCTGCGACCGACGCCCTGTGCGTCTCCTCGAGCGCCGGAGGAGAAGCCGCTGACCCCAGTGACACAACAGAGAGAGAAGCAGGTGGAGAGGGAGCTCCTGGCCCAGCAGAGCGAGATCAGCGCGGAGCTGCAGGCGGTGAGGCGGCAGCTGAGCGAGTTCCAGGACAAGTGGAAGAAGACGGTGGAGAGCAGAGCCGATGACGAGAGCTCGGGGGCTCCGACGGTGGCGAGCTCGTGGTCGTCTCCACTTCCTAGGGATAGAGGGAGGCAAATGGTGGGGGAGACGGTGGCAGTTCAGACGGGGAGGGATGAGAGGGAAGACGCAGTGAAGCAGTGGATACTGCTGATCACGCAGAAGCTCGAGACGCTGACGAGGAAATACTCGCACGAGCCGACGATTAGCTTTCAGGCGGCGATGGCACACCTTGCTGGGCTTCAGAGCTCTGGCAATGACGCAAATGGCGTGTCAAAGGAGTCTGCGTCGATTAATGAAGCGGGTGGTGATGAGTCATCGCTTTCTTCGTGGCACGTGGGCCGTGCACTCAAGACGGCAGTGCCCCTGGAGATCGCTGAGCAGTTTCTGGCGCTGGAACATGCTATTGCGAGTATGAGTGCTGCGGTTGAGGAGCATGAGCGGCGTCAGATGACCAACCTTGATCGAGCTGTGCAGCAGGTGCAGGGATATCATCACGAGCGCATGCAGCGGGTGGTGGACGAGTCTCTTGTGGAGTTGAAGCTCATTAGAGGAAGGTACAAGAAAAAGGAGGCACAGCTGGAGGACGAGCTACGCGCTGCGAATAAAGAGATCGAGCAGTGGAAGCATACAGCAGCAGAGGCTGAACACCGGAAGAAACTGGACCGAGAAACTTTGGAATTCCAGCTTTCATCCGCGAAGGAACAGGTGCGGTAGCTTGCGCTGTATTTGTGTCTGCAAGCAATGAGGATATTTGTTTCTCACATGCCTGGATGCTTGTGGAACGATTCAGTATGAACAGGCTTGCCGGCGCTATGAAGGCGATGTAGCACAGTTAAAAGCGCAGCTTCACACAGTGCGAGCAGAGCGAAAGCAAGTCGTTAGCCAGCACAGGGATACCCATGAGGTCATTGCGCAAGCAAAGGAGGGAGCTATCGCACTTGAGAGGCAATGCCAGGCACTAAAGAAGCAACAGGAGCGTACGAAGGAACTGCACGACAGAGAGGTGCGAGTACTGCAAGACACAATCCGACAGCTGCGTGAGGGAAGTGACGAAATGGAAATGCAGCACGCCAAGGAGAAGCAAGGACTAGCGGATGCACTCAAAAAGCTGGAATCATTGCAGCAGACAGACAGAGAAGAGTTTGAAGCGCGAATACGTGATGAGGCCACACAGCGAGTGCTAGAGGAGCTTCTTCCTGAAAAGCTAGCAGATTTGAAGAAGGACCATGAAGAAGCTATCAGCGCGATGAAGGCCGAGCACAAGCGTCAGCTAGCACAATTAGCTGAACAACTTGACGGGACAAAACACATGACGCCACCGAGCGTCCGTGCAATTGAGACACAAACAGATCCCCCAGTAGCTAAAGAAGGTTCTGCAGAGGGAAGCACTCGAGGAAAAGATGACAATCAAGCACAGGAACAGATCGAAGAGCTCACTCGCCGCTGCCGAGCTTTGGAGACGCTACTGGACAAAAAGTTTGAGAACACGCCAAGCTCATTATCAACTAGCCGTCGGTGCGAGTCCTGCCATTCGGACGATGGCATGTCGACAAGCAGTGCTCTCGGCGACCGACTTGGTCTTAATGCCAGTCGGAGCAGTAGCATTCTCAGCGACAGCAGCTTTCGCCCACGCGTGAGTGGGAAGAGCCGAGCTCTGGCCCGGGCTCTTCTTGGTTCGTCTCGTGCGTCCGTCAATAGTGCAACTTCAGAAAGCAAGGCGCCGCTCATCAACGAGACGACACTGGTGACTGATGAAGCAACGTTGGGCGCGCACGAGATGTGGGATTCCGCGTCGTTCACGTCCATCGATACGGTAGACGACCTGTCTTCGTTTGCTTCCCAGCGGACGACACCGCGCCAAAAGATGCGATCGACGCAGGAAATTCTCACCCTGGTTCGTCAGATCAAGCAAGCAGCAGCACCGCTAGACTTAAGTCGAAGAGAGCGACGTGAGCCCGATCCAGAAGTGAACTGGGCGACGCCCAAACAAAAGTACGCGGTGTCTGCATCAAGAAGCACGCCGCCGTCGGTAGAGAAATCCTCAGCGAAGGGCTCTGCACCAAAGTTTGTGGCTACAGCTTCAGCAACTCCGGGAACATCCGTTTTTGACGATTTACTTTGCTGAATGTAGCCACATACATACATGTAGCTCGTGAATAGAGAAACCAACTTGCTCAGTGTTCGTTTGTACTGGAGATTCGGAAGCATGTGTGTTTGTTGCAACTTTCAACCCACTGGCGGCAGATTTGGTGCAGCCATAACCGAGTTGCTCTCTCAATCGGGCTACCCGTACTGTACCAGCAAGTGCCCTACCTGTACGACATCACATCAGTTCTCACGCCAAGACGCTGCGCATCAATGATCACTCAGCTGGTCGTTGAAGTTATCGAAATTTCATTCTGCAATCTGCCACCTAGCACTCAACCGCCCTAAACCCTCCACCGCCATCGTTTAATGATGCATCTGAGCTACGTCCTGCTTGCGGCTGCCCTCCTGGCCAGTGGTAACAGCGTTTCGGCAGCCACAGCATCGACCTCCCAAGCGGCCACCACGGGCCGGATTCAGTCCACCGACGCGGTTAGTGAGAACTACGGCCCGCGGAATCTGCGAACGGCCCGATTCGCAGATGTTGACGACGATGACAGCGAAGAAAGCGACGATGACGACAGCGAGGAGACCACCAAGGAAGAGTGTAGGAACTTCTCGGATTCCCAGATTTCCAAGATGCTGAAGGACACCAGCTACATGAACAAGAAGTTCGAGAAGTGGAATGAAGGCGGCTGGAGCTACTTCGACGTATCTAAGAAAATAAAGGACGCTGGGCTGCTGCCAATACCTAGGAATCTCAGACAGATAAGCCAGACGTTATGCAGGCTCGAATGAGAGACAACCATCCTCTCATCTTGGCTCCAGCTGCAATTTCCGCTATAGTGAATCCGTCCCATCTAAGTGCCGCAGTAGGTGAATACTTCGAAGTATAACAACAATGTTCTCCTTTTTGTCTTTTTAGTACGGCGATGTATTCCGTCAGTGTATTCGCGAACGCTGAAGAGGTCGTCGATGTTGCCGAACTTGCCTCATCAATGCAGAGTCTGCAGGTCTTCTTCTCCAAGCTGAAGCTGTTGCGCATTTGGCAACAGGTTTTTCAAAACCCTGCTCTGTGATTGGCTCAATCACTTCAACATAGCACTAAAATTATCAGCTCCTTATCGCCCATTCACTCTAATGATGGCATTTCAATAAGGACGGCCAAGCTGTACGGATTGTCGATAACTCGAGCGAATTATAAAACCTCGAGCTGCATGAAGGACACTGAAGCTCTCGTCTACGTCTTTTTGAATATGAGTACCGGAACCATACGGTAACTGTCGTATCACCTTGCCATTCTTCGTACGTACATATTATAAGGACCTTAATGTCAGGTAGGTAGTGGTTGAAAGCCAAGGAACAAGCAATATGTTGTAGGTGCTTGGTTAATATGGCTAGGAACCCCCACAAGATCAACGGTGGCGATACATCACGTAGTTCCTCAGACTGCCCGCAAGCTCCAAAGTTCCAACAATTAATTACGCACGACCAGCAGCGAAGGCATGGGCAAAGAAAATAGCTTTTGCAAAGTGACTCAACGCCGAACAAAGAGCAGGAATGCAGCACCCTCGAGACTCTCGAGGGTGATGCATTCCGTTCACGACCAAGGTTCATGCTCCATTTTAATGGTATGTGCCGAGTCGAGACAGCCCATTTTCTCAGAATCGACAAGTCGATTCCTTGATGTCAATGCTGAGTTTTTCACTGCACTCCATGCACGCTGCAATGGAGCCCAGTCACTGGGCTCCAGTGCACTGCAGCTTCCGTGCGGACCCAAAGCAAATCTCAACCTTCGCCTCACAATTTCTGCTTGGTTCTTTGCGTCGTCGGACACAAACGAGCCCAGGCGCCACGGACGAGAAGCAGATTCAGCGTCGCCCACGCGCACCACCGCTTTCTCCGCCGTCACGCTGTGCTCGTGGGCCACTGTAGCGCAGTGCACACCACGTCTTGTTGCTGGTTGCACAGGTCGCTATTTCATCACCAGCTCACGAGGACTTTTGGCAATGATCTCACCTTGAAGGTTTTAACTGAGACCGTAGACGAACGGCACGATCCAAGGAGCTGCGCACCAACTTGGTGCCACCAAGCAGAAATTCGCGATGTGTGATGAGCCCAGAGCCGTGGCGGGCCGCTGCAACCGCGCGCCGAGCGCCAGTCACCGCTCGGTTGTCGGGTGCGGACGTCCTTGGGATGAGTGCGTCGCCGGGGTGACGTCTCCAGACTGTCTTCTCTAACAAACACATCAGGGTGCGCTAATCCGCCGGTCGTCACTCGGTTCCAGTATGTAAAACTTGCGTATCTATGCTTCAATTACGATTTGAAGTGCGCTGTTACTGGCCACAGTGTGGACACCCTCATTTAGCGACGCGCAATACCCGCGGGCTCCATTCGCCGCAGACGCAATGTGCACGTCGACTTCTTCTCCACGCTCAGCCCCCACGACCGCAGCTTCATCTCCCCACCACCTGCCTTGAACCAGCAGCACTGCAACCAGCTCCGTTGCCCAGTGGAGTCGAGTCCAGAGCCGTCAATGATCGTGGACACCCCCATCCAGCAACCGGTGCATGACCACGGGACACTCTTTGTGCATCCAACAACCGCCGGGCACAGGCCACGGTGCGTCATTCCGACATTTTCGCCCGGCAGCGCACAGGTCTCCGTCCTCCTCGTGCTCCTTCGTCCCCCTCCACCCCCATAACACCACAATGCTGCGCTCGCTGTCGTCCAAGCTGCCGCTGCACAAGCTGGCCGGCGCGCGCGCCTTCTCGGCGTCCGTGGCCGACTCGCACCTGCTGGTGATCAACGCCGGCAGCTCATCGCTCAAGTACTCGCTGTTCGACCTGCAGCCCGAGGGCGTGGGCGCCGCCGTGTTCACGGGCCTCGTGGAGCTGTCCACGCCCAGCAGCAAGAACGGCCGCATCACGCACAAGACGCTGGCCACGGGCAAGAAGGAGCAGATCGAGCTGCCGCTCGACACGCACCGCACGGCGCTCGAGACGGCCGTGGGCAAGTTCTTCGGCTCGGACCTCGACGGCATCAAGGCCGTGGGCCACCGCGTCGTGCACGGCGGCGAGGCCTTCAGCAAGGCCTCGCTCGTGGACACGCAGGTGATCGAGGCCATCAAGGCCAACATCAAGCTCGCGCCGCTGCACAACCCCGGCAACCTGCTGGGCATTGAGGTGGCCACGGAGGTCTTCGGCCCGTGCCCGCAGGTCGTGGTCTTCGACACGGCCTTCCACGCCACGATGCCGCCCAAGGCCTACACGTACGGCATCCCGCACAAGCTCTACGAGGACTTTGGCGTGCGCCGCTACGGCTTCCACGGCACGAGCCACCAGTTCGTGGCCAAGAAGGCCGCGGCCATGCTCGGCAAGCCCGTGGAGGACTGCAACTTCGTCACGTGCCACCTGGGCAACGGATCCAGCATCGCCGCCATCCACAAGGGCCGCTGCATTGACACAAGCATGGGCATGACCCCGCTCGAGGGCCTCGTCATGGGCACGCGCTGCGGCGACGTGGACCCGGCCCTGCACGCCTTCCTCTGCAAGGAGCTCGACATGACCATCCAGGACGTGGACAAGATGCTCAACAAGCAGAGCGGCCTGCTCGGCATCTGCGACGAGAGCGACATCCGCGTCATCCAGGACCGTGTGCGCGCCGGCAACGACCCCGCGGCCTCTTTGGCGCTGGACGTGTTCGCCCACCGCGTGCGCAAGTACCTGGGCGCCTACGCGCTGGAGCTGGGTGGCGACCTGGACGCCCTCATCTTCACGGCCGGCATCGGCGAGAGCTCGGCCATGATCCGCGAGCGCGTGTGCCGCAACCTCGGCTTCCTGGGCATCGAGCTCAACGAGGACAAGAACGCCGTGTCCATGATGGGCTCGGGCCCCGTCGAGATCCAGGCCGACAACGCCAAGACCAAGGTGATGGTCGTCAACACGGACGAGGAGCGCAGCATCGCCGAGCAGACATACGAGATCGCGCTCAAGCAGTAAATCTGACCGTCGCTGGCGTATCATTCGTTCCTCGCTCTATCACTTTTCGTTGTCGCCTCCTGCTTCTGGAATTATACAGAGCAGTACCGAGCCACAGCGAATATGCTTGTTCCTCACACCCTAGCGTTAGCATTGGCTTGTTCCACACACGAATCCTACAACTGACCCTCCAGCTCCGAGACGAGGTAGTACGTGTAGCGCTTGCCGTCGTTGTGGCGCAATTCGAAGCCCTCCGAGCCCTGCTTGGCTTCATTATCGAGACGCTTCTTGGTCTTCTTGACTCCCTCCAGGATGCGCTTCTTCTCAAAGAAGACGTAGGCCTTGCGGTACACCACATTGGCCGCACCAGAGCCAGCGCCGCGCTTCATGCTCATGAAGCTGCGCAGGCTGTTGGCCACGTTGCCCAGAGCTTTGAGGAACGCGGTTTGAGTCACGATATTCTCGCCCAGGAAGACGCTGATCTTCTTGCGGATCTCGTCGCAGTCGTCGAACACTGGCGGGTAGCCACACTCGCCCTCGTCTTCCAGTTCGGTCTCCTCAATCCGCTTGAGTAGGTCGGCGCCGTCTTTGGCCTTTTTGGCCTTCTCCTCTCGCTGTTCAGTGACTTTGCGCTTCTTGTCACCTGCCTTCTGCTTCTTCTTGTCCAGTTTGGCTCTCCGTTCACGGCGGTAGAAGAACTCGGAGGCACCGAGGTACGTAGTGTTGGAACAGCCTCCATCGGGGCCCTTGAGGTTCATAAACCGGTAGTAGGGGCCCGGGTTGACTCGGCACTCTTGAGGAAGTCCTTGAGCGACATCTCCTTGGTGCCCAGGAACTTGCGGATCCGCGCGCGGATCTGGTTGCAATTGGACTTGAGGTCCTGCGAGTCGAAGCCGTCGTCGCTGTACTCTTCCTCCTCATCGGCAGCCACCGGTGCATTGATTGGCGTAGATCCACTAGCCGGAATCGAAGCGGCAGTAGAAGGGAGGCTGCCAGTGGCAGCAGCCACCGCCTCCGATGTCTCCTGTAGCATCTGCGCGATGTTGTCCATTGCCTCCCTCCGTTTGTCGCGAGTCGGTTTTGATGGTTTGAATTCTACGCGCGTAAAACGTTGGGAACAGTGATGTCACGCCATAATGCTGCACGAGCGCCATGAACTCTGGTTGAATCGTGAATTGAAGAATATAAATGCGTTGATTGCAAGTGGGTTACGCAGCTACATGGAAGTTGAGCTTAAAGCCCCCAGTTCGGGTTATCCCTCTCTTCACTCAGCTACTCCTTCCCCACGAAGACCCAGCGCATGCCGTTGTCGTGGCGCAGCGGGAATCCGGCAGGGCCCTGCTTGACCTCGTTCTCCAGACGCTTCTTGGTCTTCTTGCCGCCCTCGAGGATGCGTTTCTTCTCGAAGAAGGCGTAGGCTGTGCGGTAGACGACGTTGGCCGCGCCAGAGCCAGCGCCGCGCTTCATGTTCATGAAGGTGCGCAGGCTGTTGCTGTTGACGTCTCCAAGCGCGCGCAGGAACGCGGCCTTGGTCACGCTCTTCTCGCCCAGGAAGTAGTTGATCTTCTTGCGGATCTCGTCGCAGTCGTCGTACACGGGGACGGCGCCGTCCTCGTCCGCGTCGGGCAACTCCACGTCCAGAATCTTCTGGAGCAAGTCTTGACCTGTCTTGGACTTTTTGGGCTTCTTCTCCTTCTCTTCCGTGGCCTTGCGCTTCCTCTCATTAGGCTTCATGGCCTTGAGTTTGGCCTTCTCCTCGGCCTCCTTCTTCTCCCGGCGGTAGAAGAAAATGGCCGCAAACTCGTACGTCTGGTTGTCGCAGCCGCCGTACGGGCCCTTGAGGTTCATGAAGCGGTAGTACGAGTTGGAGTTGATGTCGCACTGCTTCAGGAACGCCGTCTGCGTCATCTCCTTGGTGCCCAGGAAGTTGCGGATCTTGGTGCGGATCTGCTGGCAGTTCCACTTGGCCCACTCGGGGTTCTCCTCGTCGAACTCTTCCTCGCTCTCGTTGTCGTCGTTAACGGGGATTTCGATGGCCGGCGGCCGGGCGATGGCCAGAGGCCTGTGCGTTGTTGTGGAGCTGGGCACGATGAAGCTGCTGAGCGCCGGAAGCTGGCCATTCGCACTTGACACACCTTCACTCGCGGCCACGGCGCTGGCCGCCTCGGCCACCGACGAGGCCGTCTCGCTGAGCAATGTAGCCATGTCCATGGTCATTTTTGACTTGAGCTTTTGGCGGCAAATCGAGGTTTGATTCGCAGCTCCTACCCGCGCTTTCACTGACCCATGTAGTTGCATATCGCATTTCAACTATGAAGTTACATAGTGTCATTGATTGGCTGGCCAAAACGTGTAGCGGACACTATTGGAGCTGCAGTCGCCAAAATGGCCAAGGAGGGCAAGAAGAGCGCTGCGCCCGCGGCGGCGCGCGGCGCGTCCAAGCAGGACAAGAAGCATGTGGCCGGCAAGCAGACGCCCGTGGCCAACTCTACGCACAAGAACCAGTCGAAGAAGTTTTCTAACGACGGAGATAAGCCCGCTCAAACCTTGAACTCGGGCAACTTGAGCCAGCTCGTGACGCTGCTGGGCGAGGGCGTGGCCTGGTACGACGCCGAGCCCAAGATCAAGCCGCGCCTCAGGAACAAGAGCGAGGCCGAGCCGCTCAAGGCCACGGACGAGCTGGTGCTGACGCTCAAGAAGCAGGCGCAGCAGCTGCTGGAGGCCGAGGTGGCCCGCTTCGACGCGCACAAGAGCGGCAAGATGTCGAGCGACGACAAGTACCTGGCCACCATGATGAAGTCCGGTACACTGTCCGATAGGGTGGCCGCTCTCACGCTCACGTCGCAGGGCTCGCCGCTGCACTCGTTGCTGCGGATCGGCCAGCTCATCACCATGGCCAGCAAGAAGGCGCGGCGCGAGAGCCTCATGGCCGTGGACTCGCTCAAGGACCTGTTCCTCAACAACCTGCTGCCGGACGAGGCCAAGCTGCGCTTCTTCCACCAGCACCCGATGCAGGCGGCCAAGGACTCGCCCGCGCACCTGGTGCTCTGGTTCTTTGAGCACTGCCTCAAGACGGCCTACGCGCAGCTCACGAGCGTGCTGGCGTCCGGCATGGACGACGCCGTGGACAGCCACAAGCGCGCGTGCCTGCGTGCGGCTAACGCGCTGCTGCGCGCCAAGCCCGAGCAGGAGGCCGTGCTGCTGGCCATGCTCGTCAACAAGCTCGGTGACCCGGACCGCAAGATCGCCGCCTACCTGCACCGCATACTGCAGGAGCTGCTGCGCGAGCACCCGGCCATGAAGCGCGTCGTGGTGGACGAGGTTGAGCGCCTGCTCACGCGTCCCAAGGTGTCGGACCGTGCCAAGTACAACGCTGTGCTCTTCCTGAACCAGATCTACCTCGAGGGCGACGTCGACGCCGACTTGGCTGGCCACTTGATCTCAGTGTACTTCGGCCTATTCTCGAAGGAGGTGCACCGTCATGACGAGCAGAAGGAGAAGATCAAGAAGGACCCAAAGGAGGCCAAGAACAGCAAGAAGGCCAAGAAGGGCAAGAAGAAGACGGCGGCTCCGGCCTCGGAGGAAGCCATGGACCGTAAGCTGCTTAGTGCGCTGCTGGTCGGCGTGAACCGCGCGTTCCCGTACGCGAACGCAACGTCGGCCAACTTCACTCAGGAGATCGACTCGCTGTTCCAGGTCGTGCACCGCGCCCACCACAGCACCAGCGTGCAGGCGCTTATGCTGCTGTTCCAGGTTATGAGCAGCACCAACTCGGTCTCTGACCGGTTCTACACTGCGCTCTACGGCAAGCTCATCGACCCCAAGGTGCGCGAGACGTCCAAGCACACGCTGTTCCTGAACCTGATCTTCCGCGCCATGAAGGCCGACGTATCGCCTGCACGCGCTGGCGCCTTCACCAAGCGTCTGCTGCAGCTGGCCAGTGTGATGCCCCCGGCTTTCGCTTGTGCCGTGCTATTCCTGCTGTCCGAGCTGCTTAAGGTGAAGCCCCAGCTGCGCACGCTGCTCGACCAGCCTGAAGCTGGATCGGCCAGTGGCAATGCTGCCGACGACGAGCACTTTGAGGATGCCAAGACGGACGAGGAAGCCCCTGCGTTCGAGCTGGAGAAGGAGGAGTCTGACGATGAAGATGATGACACCACGGAGGACGCCGGCTCCAGCAAGTTGAACGATGGTCTGACGGACGCAGAGCGCTCGGCTAAGGTCCTGGCGCAGATGTTTGGCAAGCCTGAGAAGGAGTCCAAGAAGTCCAAGGAGGCTGCTGTGGTGAGCTTCGACGACGAGCCGGCTGCTAAGACCACGTCTAACAAGAAGGCAGGCGCGGACAAGGAAGAGGGAGGCTACGATGCCAGCAAGCGTAACCCGCTGTTCGCTGGCGCCGAGACGTCGTGCGCCTGGGAGATTCAGATGCTTGCGCACCACTACCACCCGTCCGTGCAGAGCTTCACCCGTCAGCTTCTTGACAACAAGGACACGGGCATCCAGTACGCTGGTGATCCGCTTGTGGACTTTACGATGCACGCTTTCTTCGAGAAATTCGTTAACAAGAAGCCGCGCCACAAGGTGGCGGAGGGTAGCGGCAACAACGGCGCCAAGGCGAAGAACTGGACGTTCGCTCCCATTAACTCGGAGGCCGTGCTGCAGGAGAATGAGGCCAACGTGGACGCAAGCGACCAGTTCTTCTACAAGTTCTTCAAGGAGCGTGCGTCGCGGGACGCTGATAACCCTCGGCGTAAGAAGAAGAGCAAGAACGACCGCGACGCCGACGCCTTCTCGGACATGGAAGATGGCGACGAGGACGACGAAGAGATCGACGCGTACGCTCAGGAGCTGGCTGAAGGCATCATGGAAGACGGCAACCACGACGATGAAGACCCGGACATGGCTGACTGGAGCGACTCCGATGGCGAGGAGGAGCCGACGCTGGAGGGCGAGGACGAAGAGATGGAGGAAGCCGCGACGTTCGATGCCGATGAGGACGACGACGAGGAAGGAGAAGATGCTGCTGACCATGAGCAACAGGAGGAGGGCGATGACGAAGACGACGACGTCGAGGAAGATGACGAAGAGGATGACGAGGATGCCTTCGACTTCTCCGTCATGGGCGGCATGGACGACGACGACGAAGTCCTCCAGGAGGAGTTGCAGGCACTCGAGGCCAAGAGGAAGAAACAGACACCGCCTAAGGCTGGTGACAAGCGCAAGTCGATGTTCGCAAGCGCCGACGACTACGATCAGATTGTGAAGGAGGCGATGGCCAAGCAGGCCAAGGGCGGCAAGCAAGCAGGCGGCAAGAAGTCAAAGAAGCCGAGGCGGTCGTAATCTCCCCGAGTCGTAGAGTGAAGGATAGGAAGCTGCATCAACAAACAAATTAGAGACGTGTTTCATTTCATCCCAACTTGCCCTCGCAATCTCCTCAAAGTACGTGGAGTTTACCGTGTCACTTGATGAATTGAACCATTAACCTACTACGCTGCAGTTGACCTCGTCTACAAGTCTAGATCGATGCTGCTTCGTGCGAGATGCGCCGCTTCTTGCGCTTGCTGCAATGCGTTCGCCGAGCGGAAGTAGCGCGTCAACTGCTCGCGGAGACTGTGGTCCTGAGTGCGCAGCCGAGTGATCGCAGCAGTGGAGACGTCACCAGCCGTCCCCTGGTTCAGCACGGCCGAGGTCGAGTCCAGCAGTGCGTCGATGAGGTTGTAAGGGATCCACGGGAGCTCGGGCGGACCAACTCTCGGCTCCTTCTGAGACTGGAAGCTGAAGGCGGACTTGGCGTTTCCCCCGAGCATAGCGGTAGCGTCCGGTAGAAGACCCTCCACCAGCTGCAGCGCCTCGAGCAGCAGTCCGTGCTTCAAGTACAGAGTCAGGAGCTTGGCCGGGCTTCCCGACGTGGGGCTTGCCAGCCGCTTGTACAGCCACTCGGGCAGTGTGAGCTTGTGGCCCTGCTGCTGCCAGAAGTCCAACACGGTCTCGGCCGCCACCTCGTACTGCTCGAGCTTGGTCGCGTTCTCCAGCAAGTTCTCGAGCAGGTCCCACAACAGGTCGCTGTCAGAGCGCGAGATGGAGGACGACACGGCCGGGTGCTCGCTGGCCACGCAGTAGCGCGCGAGAGACTTCGTCAGGTTCGTCAAACTTGCGCCAGAGCTTCTGCCGGCAATGTCAGCAGCGATTTCGATGGAAAGCAGCCCCGCTCTCCGTCGCTCGGCCAGCGTCGTGTTCCCAGTGTTGTTGCAGCTGCTGTTCACGGCGTCCACCAGCAGCGCGATCACCTCGTCGCTGTCCATCGTGCTCAGTAGCACGCTCTCCGAGTGGCCAAGCGCCAGCAGCCGAAGCTTGCCGTCCAGCACCGACAACTCACGACGCATATCCTCCAGCGTCACCACACTCAGAGAAGGCGCCGACTTGCTGCCTTCAGATGCATCCAGAGCCGGCCGCTTGAGCTCCTCCGTGTGCAGCTTGCGTACAACCCAGCGGTTCTCGACTGGGAGAGCTCGCAGCGCGTTACAAGCCGCGTTCAGAGCGTTGCGCTGAGCCTCCAGAGCCGCCGTGGACGTCGACACCGCCAGGTGCAGCCGCAGTGCAAGCGCGTAGAGCGAAGACGCAGCGTTGGCCGGCTGCTGCTTGCGCATGTAGAAGGTGAACAGCAAGTTGTAGTAGCGGATCGCGCCCGCATCGAGACCGTCACCGTGGACGACGGTGGCATTGGCCGCCTGCCAGAGGATGTACTTCTCCACGTGAGACTCGAGAGACCCCCACTGCAGCTCGCAGATGAGGTCGAGGTGGCCGTAACGGTACAGCTCCTTCACCAGGTAGTTGACGCACTCGCTCGCCGTTCCTTCAGCGTCCGAGGCAGACTCCGACCCACCCAGAGCTGCCGACAACTCCGCCGTGTGCATGAGCGCGAGATGCGCGTCGCGGAAGAGTCGCTCCTCGACGGAATACTTGAACACATTCACCCAAATAAACGACTGCAGTGCAAAGCTCCGCTCGCCGCCATCGTGGTGGGCCAAGTGGCTCAGCGCCTGCGTGACCACTGTCCACAGGAAGCTCAGCAGTTGGTCGTAGAATCCTCGAGGCACCGTCTCCTTCAACAAGCCCACAACGTCGTAGATGAACTGCTCAAGGGCCTTCTCCGACCGCGAGGAGCGCGGCTTCCGTTCAGCGAAGAAGTTCGACAGGCAGATGCTGAAGCAGCGGATGGCCTGTTGGAAGCACCAGCGCGCGTGATCGCGGGCGTCCTCCTCATTGTGAGCACGCGCAGCAGCCTCCTGACCCTCGCAAGCCAGACACTCGCCAATGGAGCGCACGTACTGATGAACCTGCTCGCTGTGCTGCGAGCTCGCGGCCTCGCCCTTCCTGGAGCCGTGCAGACTGACGTCACTGAGGTTGCAGCAGAACATGGCGCGCAGGAGTCGGAACTGCTGGCGCTTGTGCAGGAATCGCACGAGCGAGTCGTTGGGCTGGGAGACGAACTGCAAGATCTCGCGCGTGAACGTGGCCAGCACGCCGTGCGCTTCCTCACTGCGGACGTTGTTGCTGGCGCTTGCGAGCTGCAGCACCGACAGCGCACGCTTGAAACTTCCCGAACGGTTCAGCTTCCTGTTGACGTCCAGGAGGAACATCTGCAGCAGCGGCGGCATCAACGTGGCCGACGACGTAATGGCCGGGTCTGCGTCTGCGAGGGGCTGCGTGATGCCTTGGCTGGCAACCCATCGGCTGAGCCGCCAACGCTGGTACACAGTGATAGACCTGGGCAAGTACACTTGCACGATTTTGCTCAGCGTGGCCGAGCTCAGGAACGCAGGGCGCGTGTCCACCAGATACGCGAGGAAGAGCACCACGCGCAGCGACTGGTTGCACATTTCATCGATCGTACGCGAGGCCACCTGGTCGAGCGCGAAGCACATTTCGTGGCCAGCGAAGAAGGCACGACGAGTGGTCGAGTAGTAGTCGGCAGGGGCCGTGGCGTCCGCCATCGTGAAATCCTCCGAGGCGTTGGTCATCTCCTCGTCGTCATCGCTGGAGGGGGACGAGGACTTGTACGCGCCCGAACCACGTGACAGCTCAAACGGGAACAGGAGCTCCACCAGGTCGTGGAACACTTGGTCCTGGAAGCCAGCGTCGCCGCCCAGCAGTTTACTGAGGCGGAGGATGGAGCGCGCGAGCATCAGCTCAGCGCTGATCGTTTGGCCAGTGACTGGAGCACTAGCGACGAAGTCCGGGTTCAGGCCAAGACGAACGCAGTGACGGGCCAACGCCACAAAGGACTCGACCTTCCAGTCCGAGACCACGTCCGCTACCTCGCGGTGGATGAACGACTGAAAACTCTGGCTTGGGAACGCGTCGAACACCGGGAGGACCTCCGACACCAGGTCCGCCACGCACTCGGCAGTGCTGGAGCCCTGCTCCGCTTGGGGCACGAAGGCCGCAGTAATCGACGGAGCCGAGGGGAACAGCAACGACACGCGGTTACGACGCAGCATCACAGGCGCGCCAGGCAGCAGCGCGTTCGTTGTAGTAGCGAAACCAATCGGCACATTCTCGCACCGCCAGTGCTTGGTGCACAGAGCGATGAGCTCCTTCCAGATGCGGATCCGCAACACACTGGGGGCGGTGCCATTGCGGACTGCAGCAGCTCCAGCAGCATCCACGCACCGACTGGACACGAGACGCACCAGGACGTCCTTGTACTTGGGCAACCGGTGCGCGAACGGAGACTGCGAGGAAAATCCGCCCAGCGCTCCGTTCTGCGCTTCCTCGATAGCATTGGACAGATTCTGCCGCGAAAATCTACCCGGCAACAAGATCCGCTCGGCGAAAAAGTCGTCGATCAAGGTCATCACGCCCTCCTCCTTCAGGTCGAAGAGCCACTCGCTGTCTTCCTCCTCGTACTTTTGCATCTGCACGTCCAGACTGCTCACCGGCTGGCCCTGGATCCGCTTGGGACCGGTGAGAGCCATCGGGTTCGGGTGGATGTACACTTCGTCTCCGTCCAGCGACCGCCACGACGAGAAGAGGAAGTTTTTATCCACGGCAAAATCCACCATCTTCAATCCCCTCTTGGATTTTTGCTCGACGGACTGCACGGTGAACACCCTGGCCGTATCCAGCGCAAGTTCCTCGCCTCCCGCTCCGGCACTCGAAGCCGCAACAGGGTGCACGTCTCCTCTAAGCAGGAAAATCTCCGTGGAGTGGGCCGCCGTTGTGTCAAAATGCACCAGTAGCCGGCAATTATCCGATTCCGTAGGCGATAATGCAACAACCTTGGCGTGGGTGGCGTACACTCCCAAGGTATTAACACCATCGTCTCCGTCCAAGTCCTCGTTTTCCCACCTAGCCTCGTCACTGTCCTCCTCGTCTTTAAGCTGTGGCGTAACCAGAGACCGCAACTGTTGCCGTCCCAGACACGACTGCGAGCCGAAGCTCCAGGCGCGCAACACGCAGTCGGCGGAGACCGTGATGACGCAAACATCCTTCTCGCCATTTCCACTCTCTTCGTTTTCGTCCTCCGCGTCAATTTGGAAACACGTTATGGCAACAATTGCCGCCCCCACGTCCCTCCTCTCGCCGTCCTCGGCAACACCCTTAAACTTTGCCGCCGTGGTTTTAATCAGTCCGTTCCACAGCCAGCTCACGACCGACTCGTCGCTAAACACAAACTCCTGCATCTTCTTGGCGTCACTGGGCAGTCCGAAGTTCACACCAAGCACCCGGCCCGAGTCCGTACCTAACACGAGGTTGTACTCGTTCACCCACAGCGCAACACTTAAAATCTCGTCGCTGTTTAACACTTGCAACACGTCGCAACGCGTGCGAGTTGCCGGTTTCGGCTCGGGGAAAGCTTTTGCATCAGCCTGGGAGAAGATACTGAGGTTGTTGTCACTGGGGACGGCGTAAGTGAAGCGGTGGATGGTGCCCGCGTGAGTCACCACGTTGATAGTGACGGCGTCATCCTCCCAGCTCTCCACGGCGAACACGCCAGTGTTAACCACGGGGGCGGGGAACTCTAACCGCACGCCGTTTTGCCGCAACGTAGTGTTTAAACTCCACTCGCGCAACACCACCACGTTCTTGAGCACGCGCCAGCACACGAAGCGATCACGTAAACTCTCGTTCTGGAAGTAGAAGCTGCCAGACCCGCTGCACTCCAACGCGCGCACTGGAATTTTAAGTGATAAACAAGAATCCGTGGTTAGCACTATCATAACGGGCAACAACATCCAACTGGTTAGGTAGTGCTAACCTCGCGCGAAACTCTTGGGCGGCTGAGAGCGAACCGCCGGGCTAGACACCACGAAGCTCGGCAGGGACGTCACATCCGAGCTCGTCACCCCCTCGTCGTCCTCGAAGCACGCGAACTGCGCCTCCTGCAGCAGCGGACGCATGGCAACCGGTTAGGCTAGTGCTAAAAGCTTTTGCCGCTTGTCCTTTTTGTATGGCCGCGGGCAAGATCCCGTCTAAGTTCGACGGACTACCCGAGTAACCCAGGTTATCCGTTCGAACTTAAGCTAAAGTACGCTGTCCTGAAGGGGCGGATCTATCCGTGGACATCACCATCGGAGCTCTTCAACCCAAGCCAAGCACCATGATGGACGCACTGCGCGCGCAGAAGCAGAAGCTGCTGGACCCGGAGAGCGGCCAGCCAGCGGACGGCTCGCCCGGCTCCAACAGCAGCAGTAGCAACAGCTTCTGGCTGTGCCCGAGTCTGTCGTACCAGGAGCGCGTCATCGGCTGCGTCACATGCTTCATGCTGGGCTTCGTGCTGTCGCTGGGCTCGACCTTCCGCCTGGCCAAGCTGGTGCACGGCAACCCGGCGCCCTTCGCCATCGCGTACACCATCGGCAACGTCCTGTCCATCGGCTGCACCACCTTCTTCGTGGGGCCCTGGAAGCAGGTGCAGACCATGTTCCACTCCAAGCGGCGCTACTCGGCGCTCGTGTACGTCGTCTTCATCTTCGTGACGCTGCTGCTCTGCTTCTCGCCGCACATCCACCACCGGATGCTGCTCGTGCTGCTCTCGGTGATCGTGCAGTTCCTGGCGCTCGTCTGGTACACGCTGTCCTACGTGCCCTACGGCCGCAGCATCGCGCTCAGCTGCTGCAAACGCGTCTGCGGGCTGGCGACGGACGACGACGTGTGAAGATGGAGGAGTTTAAGGGATATTATGTGCTGTAGCCCTCCCTAGTGGGGGCGTGTATGAGTCAATGAAAACAACAACAGAAAGTTGAATTGGTATCTTACTTCCGCCTCGGAGGCGAGGTTGTAGTATTAAGCTTAGTCCGTCTTGGGTCTTGTATTGGAGTCGGCCTGTTGCTTGCTGTTGCCGTTGCCGTTGCCGTTGCCGTTGCCGTCGCCGACCTGCGTGTGCTTGAGGTTGTTGGCCTCGATGATGAACCAGTTGATGGAGCCCGCGAGCCCCACGACGAGGAACAGCAGCACGAACACGTGGTACGAGTCCTCCAGCTCCGTGTACACGACCGCCAGCATCACGAAGAACAGCAGCGCCAGCACCACGTTCAGCACGACCACGAACTCGCGGCTGCCCGGCCGCAGCACGTTCTGCAGCGCGCTCCCCATGACGTCGATCAGTTGCCTCTGGCCAAGATGCGCAAATGCGGTTTCGGAGGGTGCTATATGCGACCCGAGAGGTCTAGTACGTGATGTGGGCCACATCAACGCCTCCCACTGATTGATTCGCATTTGAAAAGCGCGCCAAAGAATGAACCTGGCGGAGCTGCTCAACGATGCGCCCGCGGAGGCGCCTACTACCGCGGCCATCGACCCCGCAACTCCGCCGCCTTCGATGCTCCCCTACTTCGGTGTTACGCCCACCGCCAACGCACTCGCCAACCGGCCGCCGGAGCCGCTGCAGTTCCCCCAAGAGCACATCGAGAACGAGTTCGACGCTGTGAACCCCGAGTGGCGCCAATGGAGTTGCCGGGACGTCCGCCTCAAGATCCGCAGCTTCCTGGGCTCGAGCCAGATGACGCAAGCGGCGTTCCTCAAGGTTATCGACGTGGATGCAAGTTTGTATCGGAGGTTCATGGCTCTGAAGGGACCGGACGAGGGGGATAGCAATCCTACGTACAAAGGTGCAGCCATCTTCTTCTCCAGACGAGAACAACAGGAGAAGAAAGAGGAGGCAATGAAAAGAACGCAACACACTTCACGTTCAGACGAGAGGGAAGAGTCAGTGACGCGAAAGAAAAGGGCGGTGAATGCGAAGAAGAGGAAGGCCCCAACCAGAGAGGAGAAAGAAGAGAAGACGAAGAAGACGAGGGACGGCAAGGAGCTGCTCAGGAGAATTGAAGCGGTTAAGCTGCCGAACCTGAACGAGAATGGCTGCGTGCCTGTGTACGATGACTGCGACGAGGTCCGCCGCAAGATAAATGTCTTTTTGGGCGAGGGGCTGGTGACCAAAGCAACTTTTCTACGCGCATTGGGCAATGTGAACTCCAACAGTTTGCGGAGATTCATGAGTCTGAGAGGAGCAGGGGCCGGTGCAGCGAATGAGGCGTACCGCAAAGCCTTCGCTTTCTTCGAGAAGAAGCGTATTTTGGATGGCGAGGAGAAAACGGCAGAGCGCCTGAAAAACGAGTACATGCAAGGCCCTGAAGGTTTCCCGCGCTTCGGCGTCAGCGAGTACTGCATCGATAGGTATATTGAAAGTCGCAAGAAAGAACTGGAGAAAGAGGGCAGCGGGAAGTCAAGTCCATGCAGCGCGTCGTAGTGATATTGCACAAACGTTAGCTTCATTAATATTTAATGGGTTCGAAAAAACTTGCTCATGCTGAATTGCGAATTGGTAAACTCTATTAAAATAGCGTAGTTGTGTTGATGCGTGTATTTCCGTGACTTTCAAAACACCATTTCCCTATTAGTGGTAGTCAATTACGCAGCAACAAGAAGATTTTTTATTTTCCAGCGCTTGAGCAAAACTAGCAGAAGCCAATCATATCATGGCCAATTGACTACACCCCAAATCAAAGTTTCAGCAACAACAAACTTTTTTATATTGCCAAGCTTTTGCCAGCAATGATAACTAGTATGCCAAGCACTGTCGTCTCTAGCATGAAGCACAGTGCTTCAAAGAGTGATGGTTAATCTCACTTCCACCAGAACTCGCCATCTAAACGCCGCAGTGGAGCCACCACCAGAAAGACACGGCCATTATAGGCATTAGAGTGTGTAGTAGTCATAGACCTCACCTAGTACTACTTACTTTGAAAACAAGTTGTTTTGTGGTGAAAAGAAAAAAAAACGCGTGCTGGTTACCCCCCCCCCACTTCCGTTCGGTTCATCACTTACGGTTCGAACTTGAGTCTTGCAAGTTCAGCATCTTCCTTCGGCAATTTGCCGTTCTTCGCCAATTTATCCACCAACTGCGCGCGGCGTACGATGGTGATCATTTCCGTGCGACCCCCTAACTTCAGCATCTCAACCGCGTCGTCGTACGAAACCTGATCGAGTACCGAGCAACATTTGGTCACTTCCTCAGCAATGATACAGACTTTCTCCCCTTCAGCTACCAACCTACCCATATGCGATAACGCATGCTCTCCGACCATTTTTGATCATGCACCGTGTTAGCCTTCATCTTGTACGCGTAGTATTGGGATAATCTTTATTTAGAGTAATGTTCGGGGGATATGCAAGTAAGATGCAAATATGGCGGCAGATCGAGTAAGATGCAGTTACAAGGATGTTGGGCAAGTAGTGCAGGTGAAACTACGAGTAAGAGAAATACTTGTTAGAATCGAAGCCTTTCTAGGGCACAAGCAATACCAGTGGTAGCAATTGGGACAAACAATGAATACTGTGCGAGTGAGGATGAATTCCACGGAAAGCACCTTATTGAGAATGCCGTACAACTCCGATCTCAATGCAGTAGTATTATACACTACTTGTATATATTTTATATCAATGGCAATATATGTCTAAAGACACGAGTCAAAAGCTGTTGTCTTTTTTATCGGAGAACCATGGTGCACTGTCCTACACTATAATCGCCTCGAATAATACAAATAAATAATAACACTGCGTAGATGTCGGATACATGTAAATGTATCTACACCACCAACTTCATGTATCTACACCACCAACTTCTGAAGCGTGGCATACCAAGTGGCTACGAAATTATTTTGGCACGAACGCAGGGAGCACTGCGTCGTAGCTGGCGTGCAAGCTTTTATTTAGCTAACAAGGTTAGTAGGAGGAGCATAGTTTTAGCGTGATAGATTGGTGGCGCTGAATAAATTGTTGGTGACACCGGATGGACATTGATCGGATGGTACCATCATTGATATAGCGCTACATACTGGTGTTGATATACGTCCTTATACCGTGGCGCTTGCTCGATCGCTCCTAGTATGAGCCTCTCATCCCTCAATAACGTATCTTTTTGTCTGGATCACGGATGGACAAAACCATAAGCCCGTCGTGACACATTATTACGCCAGACGTTTCTCCAGGATCCACCCACATGGGCTTATTAATTTGTCTTGATATCCGATATGAAAAATGTTACTTGGACTTCCATCATTTCACATTCTTACTTGCATATCGACCATTCGTTACTCGAACTAAATCCGCACCCCGTAGTATTGGAGACTCCAAACTCCAATTTGGAGTTTCTTGCCCTTGTCATTCTTAAAGCTCAGTTTTCCCAGACCAATTTTGAGCTGTGCGTCAACCTGTAAACCCACTGGTTAGTATTGAGCAGATGACAAAAATGATCACCACATTGTCAGTCGAAATGCTCAACTTACTCCTCCTTCTTCGATGACCTCGCGCCACGCTGCCCTGTGAATGGTCTCGCCTTCGTCCCAGCCCCCCTTAGGCAGCAGCCAGTCCTTCTTCGTAGGATTCGAGCTGGAAATCAAGAGCACGTTCCCGCCGCCTTCCTTGGCAGATCGCGACACCACGCTGCACGACAGCAAACGAGTGCCGTCCTTGGCGTAGAGTTGATCCTCACGCCCCGTATGCGACGTCAATATTGGCGCAGGGAATGGTTCAATGTCCCTGTGCATGCCATCCTTGGTCTTCTTGGTCATTTTGGCGAACACCGCGACATCTTTCAGCCTCTGCTCTTCAGCTGCTTCACCGTTGCGGTGCTCAAGCCCCTCGGGTACTTTTGCACAGCAGCTTCTACCTTAGCTGCGACGCCATTCGTGAGTTTTTCGATGCTCAAACCGTTTGGAAACTTTGGAGGCTTGTGAACAACGATCGCGAGAGTGTCGTCGACTTTGTCTGCCACCTTCTCGATACCCCTCTCTTCATCATTGTCGGCGAAGGAGCCTCTTGGTTGGGTGAGCATGGTCAGATTCAAGATTGCGAGGCCAGGCTTCAATGTCAATGTCCGTGTTGACCTGTGTGACGCTGGTTTTGTCCGAGATCGTGGTAGACGAGGCCCCGTAGACCGAAGAAGTGCCATCACAGCCCATAGCGATAGAAAACGCATAGCCGAATTGCGAGTGAGAGCGTAAAAGGCAAAATGAGCTTTGTTCAGGCTTGCTTGAAATCGTGGCGACGAATGCCACGTTCCGTGTTCTCTGGAAATGATCACGTTTCAGATGGGCTCCGCAGCTTTCGTGTTGATGCGTTGGTTGTTTACTCCAGGGGCACTTCAGAGGCATGCATGAGCGTGGCACCTCTCGGAAAGTTGTTGAGTTGGCACTGAGCTCAAACTGACCAGAGCCACGATAACCGTCATTTACGGTACAGCAGATCGATCAGGGAGAGGCCACGATTTCCCCAATGGATAAATTCCGTGTATTCGTGTTACATTAGGGTGGCTGTCCAGAATGCTGGAAAGTGGTGCTTTACGGTAGTTCCTGCTTTCGTTCTACAGCTTGGGTATGATGCGCGGTGGCGATTCAGAACGGTGCGACTCTCTCAGAGCACGGCACCGTGATCCTTCAATTTCGCTCACGGCACACTATCAGCAAATGTAGCCATGATTCTCTTAAACCTCTACACCTTTTCAACTTCAAAACTGCAAATTGTAAGTTCAAAATACAGCAAAATGTAAGATCAAAACAACAATACTCTATAAACACATATTATAAACTGTATGATAAATATCATCAGACGTGATTTTAGAGTGTAATTTGCCTATATTGACTAGATATACTGGGTACCAACCAATGAGCTGTGTATAAAAGTACGAGACTAGCTTGGTCTCTGCTCGTGCGGTTTTGAACTTACCTTTTGCAGAATTGAACTTGGAATTTGCAGTTTTGAAGTTGAAAAGGTGTAGTAAAAATGTACCAAGAGATTTCAGATAAGCTTAATCTTACTGTAAACCCATGAATCTCTTTTTAAGAGAATCATTTTCAAAAGCTTTTAAGAAACAAGCTCTAGTAAATTTGTTAGGGTTTTTCAGTAATCATGTAAGGTTGAAGAGGATCTTCTAGTGTCAGAGATTATTTCTGTATTGAAACACTATACAGTACCAATTTTGGAACACGACAGAATCTATAGTTTTGTACTATTTCTAAACTGAGAACCAAATCTGTATGTTTCAGATTTTATTGCCTGAAGTATCAAATCAAACAAGCCCGCGAAAATCACGCTTCAAATTCATTCGCGCCAAAGGATGGACATGTCGAAGCTGCTCAACAGCACCCCGGTGGAGGCGCCGACCGCCGTCGAAACGCCACCCACAGCACCAGCTAACAACCCACCGTTCGGTGGCTTTGTCACTGCAATGCCGACGCCCAGCGGCTTATTGGCGCCGAGTTACGCTCCGCCGACGTTCTCCTTCTCCGCGTCCAAGCCTGTCTCCTTTAATGCCGCGTCCATCGCCAACGCACTCGCCAACCGGCCGCCGGAGCCGCTGCAGTTCCCCCAAGAACACATTGAAAACGAGTTCGACGCTGTGGACCCCGAGTGGCGCCAATGGAGTTGCCGGGACGTCCGCCTCAAGATCCGCGCTTTTCTAGGCTCGAGGAAGATGACGCAAGCGGCGTTCCTCAAGGTCATCGACGTGGATGCAAGCTTGTATCGGAGGTTCATGGCTCTAAAGGGGCCGGACGAGGGGGGTAGCAATCCTACGTACAAAGGTGCAGCCATCTTCTTCTACAGACGAGAGCAACAGGAGAAGAAAGAGGAGGCGATGAAGCCCAAGGAGACGAAACGCACAGCTGCTGAGGTGAATCAAGCGAAGCAGAGACTGAAGGTGAAACCGAAGGAGAAGAAGCGCAAGACTGCAGGGGAGAGAGAAGAAAAGGCCAAGAAGGCCAGAGACGGCAAGGAACTGCTCCGGAGGGTTGAGGACGTGGAGCTGCCAGACGTGGACGAAGAGGGCTGCGTACCTGTGTACGACGACTGCGACGAGATCCGCAGGAAGATTGACGAGTTCCTGGTTGAAGGGATGGTGACCAAAGCGGCTTTCCTGCGCGCATTGGGCAACGTCAATTCCAACAGTATGCGGAGGTTCATGAGTCTGAACCGTGGAGCTGGCGCGGCGAATGAGGTGTACCGGAAAGCCTACGCCTTCTTCGAGAAGAAGCGGATATTGGATGGGGAGGAGAAGACCGTGCAGCGGCTGGCAAACGAGGACTTGCAAGGCCCTGAAGGGTTTCCGCGCCACGGCGTTAACATGTATTTCATCGAGAAGGTTCTCGACCACTGAAAGCTCAAATATATTTGGCATACACAGATCAACCCATACTTTCTCTTGAAGAGATTCAACCGTCTGCGCTCGTGGCAAGCACTCAGTTCAATGTTGGATCGACGGTCGGCTCAGCGCACGGAAGAAAAATAAGTCGTCCAATTTTTATCGAGTGAGGACAAATCCCTAAGGAAGTCAAGAGCGTAATGCGAACATGACATGTTAATATCTGTACTTACTTAGTACACTGTTAGTACATGTAAGACCATCACAAAGGAACTCGCAGTGTTGCATCAGACGCGCGCGATAAAAGCGAAACATGAAAAGCTTCGTCTAACGTTAGAGTAAAATCTGGGGATATGCAAGTTTTGTTACCGGGATGTTGCGCAAGTAGTGCAGGTGAAACTGCGAGTAAGGGAAATGCTCGCTAGAACCGAAGTCCTTCAAAGACACAAGCGAAACCAACGGTGGCAATAGGGGAAAACAATAAATACACTGGGAGCGTGGACGCATTCCAATCGGAATCCACCTTATTGAGAATGCCCGTACATGTAATAGTGGTTCTCACGGTTGCATTCTTGCTCGCATATTGGCCATTCGCTGCTCGAACTAAATCGGTACCAAGCGAGGTAGAGAGCCTCAACAGGGAGTTGAGTCATTGCCTGGTCTTCTTATACCCGGCGAAACGGCGCGTTGAGCCCCAATTAAACCCGTTGTATTAGCCCTGGCTTACGGTAATTGCAAGCCTTCCGTTGCCAGTGGCAACTTGCCACCACCAACATTATTGACTTGCCATCATTTCGTACTGGGGGCTTGTAGACACTACACGTGGTGTGTATACATAGAGTAATACGCGTACAAACCCGACGACAATCGTTGCAACATCTCAAAAATGTGATCCGAACGTCCATTCCATGCCATGCCCCAATAGCTACGGTACCATCAGAAAAGTTGCTCGCACGAGAAATGGCTCTCTCAGCTGACCACCACCACCAGTGCTGTCCGACTCCTCTTCCAGTAGACCAGACCGGCCATCACTTCGCAACTTACTCGCTAGCACTCACAGCCCAGAGGTCCGAAATAATAATTGCGATTCAATAAATAATTGGGTTTTACAATACTATTTTTTATTATTGGAGATCAACGATTCCAATACAATACAGTATTGTACCCATTATTGACAATTAATATGAAAAAAGGTTGCACGGCGCCAAACATAGCAAAGTACGTCATAAAATGATAGTTAGGTCTACATACGCAACGATTAAGGAGTTGTAAAAGCCATAATGGGCAATCAACATCTTTAGAATCCAACGTGTACGCAAGTCAGACTATCAATGACGTCCAGATGTAGTGAATCCCGCCGAACACATCACATCAGGGGACGGCAGCGGATGGCAATCCACTATGGACTTGAGCTTAATGTTTTGATATAGTGATTACGCCTTTGAGGCAATTGTAGGAGAAAAAGCGAAGTGGGTCCGCGAAGCAGTTGGTCATACAAAATGCTTAGTCTCTAACCTCATACCAGGTGCACACACTATGAAGTGTGTCTGTGTGAAGCTTGACTGGTCATGATGCGGTGAACCCATTACCTGTGGCTCGCGTGGGTCACCGCCGCGACATGCTATCGAGCCCTTAACTGCGGTGATACCAAGGTGATACCCTGGAATCCACTACACCAGATTTACGATATATAGCAAGATCCAGATATATCTGCTCATGTATTACTACCGGTAGGTTGTTTAAGCATCCACCATGCAAAGTTTTCTAAAGCAACACCCCAAAAAGTGTTTCTAAACGACTCTGTAAATTACAGACTGTAATCATATGACGCACATAAAGTGGTTTATTTCTTCTGTAGAAATGCCTCAAATTGAAGAGCAGTATATTTATATTGCGGCAATTTTTATTATTTCTCCTTGCTGAATTGTAATTTTTATTAGGGTCTGATCTCGTACTCAATTCAATATAGTACTGTATTTTCGGACCTCTGTGACACAGCCCCCTAGGCTCTACAAGTCAACAAGGCGTCTGAGTTACGTCCTCGTAGTAGCTGCGACTACCCTTCTCGCGACCTGTGACGCTCCTACTTAAAAGTCCCCTTGATCAGCAGTTTGCAGCAATTCAACTCCTCAGCAATGGGCGGGTTTCTTCACCGCTTCAATTGTCTCGGATAGTTGCGACAGCTACGGTAGTGCAGTGCTTAGTGTACTCCGCAAACATGTTAGTGATTTTCACAACACACGTGCTTACTGTTAGTGATGTTTACAAACGCGTTTGTATGTTTGCTGCTCTATCACTAGCAGATCAAATTAATGGCTACTGTTACCCGTTGTCGATGGGCCATCCTTACTTTTGAGTACATTTCGCGGACTTCCAAGTAATGAGTAATGTGCTCGGACTTCCGAGTACGTAAGCTCATTTAAATCCGTGCGCTGCGTCACCTTGAAACTATTGACTAAACTCTAAAGACGTTGCTTGTTGGGATGACATTCACGAACACAAATGTGCTACAAACCCTTTAGGGCAACTTATCTTTTGTTTTCTGCTAGATGACGCTTGAATTCTCTATTAGCTTACTCACGCCCGCATAAGTGGATCGATGCGTTACTTCCCATATGCACTCACATTGTATCCTCCTCGAAGGTGGCGAATGCCGGACGTGGCATCTTCCTAAGTCACATTATGTGGAATTACTCAGAAGTCAGTGAAGCGTACTCACAATTAAGTAGCACCCGTTGTCGAGCCCACAATCCATGTACGCACCACGGGGTAGCAAGAGTAATCTACCGGATAGTGCTGCTTAGTTTGAAGAAATCATGGTTGGTGTAAAGACGAAGACCTTCGCGTACAAACCAGCTTCCGACAAGTGAAAAGAGCTTCAACTTTTTTTAGTTCAGATAAATAGTTAAAAAGTGTCTAACTCCACAAACATGTAAGCCAGATTCACAACACACTAACAAACAATTTGCAAACACTACTGTTAGCTATACAGTTAGTGTTTGTGCGAACACTGCCAGTGCTGTACCTGTGTTGCACGAACGTCGTGTGAAAGTCGTTCGATGATAAACTCGCCTGGGCCACCTAACGACAGTTCTTCGAATTCGAACTGCGAATTCGTTGACGGCGAACCGAACGTACGCTTCATGAACTTTTCGTTTTTCAGCATCTGCTTAACATGGGCCTTGTCGAAAGTTACACGTAGACGCGCCCCCCTTTCCTCGTCGTCGATAGCAGGACTGTGGAAAATATGATTGCGATTGTAATATTGTCAAGATTGTCAATCACAATAATTGATTGCTCCGTGATCTCAATCGACAATCCCGTTCCCATATTGTCCCTTTACTGATTTTGAGCCTTTGCCAGTGATCCGGTAGAGCAATATGCAACACCAAGCACATGGAACCGATCCTAGACTCATCAAAGCCTTTCTGTGTCTTCTGCTACTTCGAAATGCGGAAATGAGGGGTCATTAGGTGCCCGAACGGGGTACACGCTCAACATGATGAATACAAGACCCAACATTGCTTTTTGCCAAGGCTTTTGAAGGTTAACACGTATGCAATCGAATAAGCAAAGATCTTAGGGCGATAGCGCCGCCAAACGAGTAAAAATATGAACCTAGCAGAGGAAATTCAAGCGAGAACTTAGATTGCAATCTTTTGTTTTTGGGATTGTCAAGATTGCAATAATTGATTGTTTCAGTCTGAGTTGCCAATCAATAAACAATCTATATTTCCACAGCCCTGGGAAGTGTTTTACCGTTACTTATACTTTGAGGCACACTACCAGGGCAGATGCTGCGGCTGCGAAGCAGGCGCAGAAGATGCTTGCGGATACGTACTAAATGATATTTTGTTGTCGGAATTCATATATATCTGCATGTATTAAATCGCTCCTAAGAACTGCGACCCCCCCCCCCCTCCGACCACCAGTCCAGGTAGCCCAATTTAGGATAGGTTCTGTAAAGTGTAGGTTATCTCCCCGGGCGTTTGTCGATTTATTATGGTCTGGGTCTAGGATCGGGGTCTAAGAAGTGCAAGTTATTTATAATTAACCTAGATTTGCCGCATAGACCCGACCCGCAGAGGACCCGACAAAAAGGTAATCCATGAGTACATGGATATACGTGGTGACAGATGCGAGGAGAGCTGCCAGAGTCGTCCTGTGAAATCGCCGCTACAAAATATGGCACTTCGTCGGTGCACTACGGACTGAGGTTCCCTATGCTAGAAACTGCTTTTCTCGTACCCTGGCCGTTAACCATGCACTTACTAAGTAGTGTACGATTTCCGGCGAACGTCTCGGGCAGAAGACTTGAGCGGAGATCTCCATTCGCAACGTTACAAAAGTCACGAGAGACCAACAAGCTTTTCTTTTCAAAAACAGAGGGGGGAAAGTTATTTTGCACCTCCTACTGTACGCTGGGACTACACGCTGCATGTTTGAACTTGCTTGAACCGTTCAGGTGTTATTGCTTCGCAATCTTGAGCCCCTGTCGGCGCAAGCAGATTGCAATAACTACGTTCGACCACCCTGCCCTGAGTCAGGCCAGGCCAAGGCACGGTTGAAAGCTTGAAGTTTACGCTGAGACCGCTAGCGAAATACAACTGTTTTTGCTTATCATGTTTGTCTGCATCAACCATGAGTCATGGTCCATGACCATGGAGGTCCGGGAATGATGAGCTCAGCCGTGCTTATGCTTTTAGGCGCACTCGCTGTCACAAACAGTAGTTGCAATTGCCTCACGTACGTGTCATCAGCCTCGGATTTGCTCACTTCCGAATTTGCCGCTTCAACGTCAAGCCACCCTCCAGTTCCCCCGTCAAAGAGACCTCCACGATGCTCCAAGACCGCCAATTCCCTCATGGTTTCCTGTGGGGCGCCGCTACCGCCGCGTACCAGATCGAGGGCGGAGCTCAAGAGGGCGGACGCGGTGCGAGCATCTGGGACGCGTTCGCGCACACGCCGGGCAAGACGTACCAGGGCCACACGGGTGATGTGGCGATCGACCACTTCCACCGCTACAAGGAGGACGTGGCGCTCATGAAGCAGATCGGGCTGAAAGCGTACCGGTTCTCGCTCTCCTGGTCGCGGATCATCCCCGCCGGAGTGGGGGAGGTGAACGAGGAGGGCGTGGCCTTCTACAACCGACTGATTGACGAGCTGCTGGCCAACGGGATCACGCCGTTCGTGACGCTGTACCATTGGGACCTGCCCCTGGCCCTGCAGACGGAGTTCGACGGCTGGCTGGGCGCAGGGTCGCAGATCCATGATGCGTTTGTGGCCTACGCGCGCGTGTGCTTCCAGCGCTTCGGAGACCGCGTGAAGAACTGGATCACGCTCAATGAGCCGTGGGTGCACAGCGTCATGGGTCTCGCGCTGGGGGTGCACGCCCCAGGACGCAAACACAACGCCCACATCGAGCCGTACAGATGCGGCCACAACCTGCTCATTGCTCACTCCCGAGCCGTGGATGTCTACCGCAAGGAGTTCCAGGAGCTGCAGGGCGGGCAGATCGGAATCACGCTCAGCGCAGACTGGCGCGTACCGGGACCCACCGAGGACCCCGCGGAGATGAAGGAGAACATCAAGGCGGCCGAGCGCTCGATCGCCTTCCACCTCGGCTGGTTCGCGGACCCGGTGTACAAAGGCGACTACCCGCAGATCATGAAGGACCGACTGGGAGACCGCCTGCCCAAGTTCACGGCCGACCAGAAGAAGCTTCTGAAAGGCAGCTCGGACTTCTTCGGGCTCAACAACTACAGCTCGTCGTTCGCCAAGCCTTCGGACTCGTACAAACCCAATGAACTGCCCCCGAGCGACAGTACGGGGTCGTTCTTCCAGGACGAGGGTGTGACCGCCTTTGAGGACCCTTCGTGGGAACAAACCGCGGCAATGTGGAACTTCGTCACCCCCTGGGGACTCAAGGAGCTCTGCAAGCACATCAGCAAGACGTACCAGCCCAAGAACGGCATCATCATCACGGAAAACGGTTCGTCGTGGCCGGACCAGTCCAAGGACGAAGGTGTCAAGGATGTCAAGCGCATCGACTTCTTCGAGCAGTACCTCAGCGGAGTGCACGAAGCCATTGCGGAGGGGGCCGACGTCCGAGGATACTTCACCTGGTCGCTCTTCGACAACTACGAGTGGGCCGGGGGCTTCAACATCCGCTTCGGACTCGTCTGGGTGGACTACGACACCCTGGAGCGCACGCCCAAGGATTCGGCCTCCTGGTACCACGACACGATCGTGAAGAACGGCTTCCAGTCCAAGTACACGGGCATCAGTGTTACGACCCCGTAGTTGCTACTGCTAGCACCAGAAAGAGCTGTGCCCGCCTGTGATCGCCGCTATTTTAACCATCACCCATTCTTGTCTTGTCGATCAACTCTACTGGCACTTGAAAATAGTCCCTCTCCTTCTTCCACTTGCCTTGAGCTCTTCTCCAGTGGAAGTCTCGTCAACCAGCTATGGCAACGGAGCCGAAAGCTTCTCGGGATGGTGGCTTCAGCGACCCGAGCTTCGTGTCGGTGGGTGACCCGTACATCCAGAAGAAGCCCAAGGAGCGGGGCCTCGGTGGTGACTTGAAGCCGTTCCTCACGTGTCCACCCAAGAAGGGCCAGCTCGCAGCAACATTCGGCCCCGGCTTCCCGAAGTATGACCCCCTCGGCGGCGAATACGCGGAGCAGTACAAATTCGAGGCCCGCCGTCGACTCGAGAACACGAAGAAGTTTGTCAAGCCCAACGGATTCACGTACTCGAACCCCACACAGAACCACACGGGGTCAGGCGACTACTACGGCGCATTCGGCAAGTTCGAGCGCGAAGAGGACGACATCAAGAAGGCGAAGGAGGAAAATGCGGCTCCGAGGCCCAACCCGAAAGACAAACAGTTCGAGAAGAAGAACGTGCTGACGAACCCTGGACGTCGCGGCACCTTCGGGTACGCAGGAACGCTGATCGGAGGGAACCTTGCTGCTATGGGGGCCGACTATGGATCCGAACGGCGGGCGGCGCAGGCCCTGGAAGCGAAGCACAAGGCAGCGATCGGAGACCGCAAGCCCTTCAAGTCCACCACAGAAGGAGTCGACTACTTCGACAGTCACGAGCACGTCGCGGCCTCGCGCGTCATGGGCTGGGACGACCAGTGTCTGGCCAAACCCCCAGGTGCACAAGAGCTCATGAACCCCAAGGAACGAGCTGCCGCGCGCGCCCCAACCTATAAGCCGTGGAAGCCCAACAACCCTATCAAAGATGGCGAAGAAGGCGTCTTCGAGAAGTTCCCAGAGAGACTGCCTGAACCCTACGACGAAGCCATGGTGAACCGTGCCATGCTGCCCAACCGCCGCAACCCCGTCAAGCTGGCGACCAAAGACTTACCCGACGCGTTGCGCGAACGCAAGACCTTCAAGCCCAGCAGCGGCCCCAAGACCAAGCTCACGCGAGGCACCTGTCTGTTAGGCATCTCCAAGCACCACCTTTGATAAGTTCTCTCAACCCCCTTTGCGATATCTCTTTGTTACGTTGTTCTTACCCTTCCGAACATCACCCAGTCTTGGCCGCCAATGCAGCCGAGCACAGTCTGGCCACAAGTCCGTGGATCTGCAGCAGCGTCGACACGCCGTCCGCGATGCACATGTGCGTGGCGCCGATGAGCTTGATGAACTCGAGCTTGAGCTTCTCGTCCTCCATGGGCAGGGCCTTGCACACCCTGAAAATGGTGCCGATGATGTCCAGCGACGAGTAGCCGCTCTTCCAGAGCTCCACCGCCTGCTTCTCCGCGCCGTCCAGCTCGCCCTTGGCGCACTGGTTGAGGATCTCTCGCACCACCGCCGGGTGCGGCTGGTCGCACACCTTGAACACGTTCTCGTCGCTCACGAAACCGAAGCCGCTGGCGGTGGCCTGCAGGTTGTTGAGCGCGTTGCGCATGTCCCCCTCGGCCGTGAAGATGAGTGCGGCCAGTCCTTCTTCCTTGTAGCCGACCTTCTCCTCCTGGCAGACCGTGAGCAGCCGACGCAGCAGCATCTCGTCGGGCAGCCGCGTGTAGCGCAGGATGGCGCAGCGGCTCTGGATGGGCTCGATGATCTTGGTCGAGTTGTTGCAGGCCAGCGCGAACCGCGTCGTGGCCGAGAAGATCTCCATGGTGCGGCGCAGCGCCTGCTGGGCCGCGGCCGTCATCGAGTCGGCCTCGTCCAGGATCACGATCTTGTGGCGGCCCGGGGGCAGCGTCACCTTCTGCTGCGCGAACATCTTGATCTTGCTGCGCACCGTGTCGATGCCGCGGTCGTCCGACGCGTTGAGCTCCAGCACCGCCTGCTTCATGCTCGCGCCCAGCAGCTCGCGCGCCAGACACAGGATGCTCGTGGTCTTGCCCGTGCCCGGCGGGCCCGACAGGATCAGGTTCGTCATGTTGCCCGCCTGCGCCATGGCCTGCAGACTCGCCACCGTGTCGCGGTTGCCCACCACGTCCGCCAGCACGCGCGGCCGGTACTTCTCCACCCACGGTGCCTCGAAGTCGTCCGCCATCGCAGCTCCAGTATCCTACAGCAAGCTTGACAGTGTTGTTGGCGCGCAAAGTGGCGGGCGCTTTTTGGCCAATCGCTGCGCGGCTATCGATAGTTTTTCATGTGCGTCACACCTCTTATCCGTTTTCCATGTGCGCCACATCGACTTTGGTCCCGACTTGAAGTTTGTAAGGCGCGCTGCTTCAAGCAGAATCTGAAGAAACGGCTCGGCGTTGCTGCTGCGCAGTCCGTGCTACCTTAGCGGAGACAACACCACACCATGACGCGCGCGGCGAAGGGCTCGCGCGCCAAGCAGCTGCACCCGCACCAGCGCCGCCGCCTGTCGGAGGAGGGCAAGAGGCTGCTGCGCAATGCGCTGGCGGCCGGCAGCGAGGGCGAGGACGGCTCCATCGACTACAGCATCATCTCCAACTGCGACGACTCGTCCATCGAGTCGGAGCTCGAGGGCGCGCTGCAGTGGGAGCAGCTGCAACAGCAGCAGCAACAATCAGGAGGAGGAGGAGGCGGAGGCGGACGCAAGGGCCGCGGCGAGAAGTGGAAGGACGAGGACGAGCAGGAGGATGCAGAGGACGACGACCTGGAGGGCGCCATGGAGCAGCTCACGGAGAAGAGGGACAGCACCAAGGTCGCGGCGCTGGAGAAGATCCTAGACATGCTGCGCGCTGAGGTCATGAGCGACAGGGCGCAGTCGGCCAAGGTGACGCTGACGTCGCACACACTCGGCTGCCTCAAGAAGAGAGCTAAGGAGTCCGGCAGCCTGGCGCTGCGTGTGCTGAGCATGGTGGCCATCACGCTCGGGGCCGACGAGCAGGAGTTCTTCGACGACATCCTGTCGCCTCTGCGGAGGATCTTCACGGACAGGGGAGACAGCGCTCTACGTGTGGAGGCCGTGTATGCGCTCAGCATCGCGTGCTTCGTCTGCTGTCCGGACGACGAGCCCAAGTGGGAGCTACTGGAGGTGTTCGGAAGCTTCCTCGTCGCGGCCAAGGACGCTGAGGATGATGGCCACGACGAAAAGGAGTTCCCGGAGGCTCTGACGATCGCAGTGATGGAGTGCTGGGCCTTCCTGGTCAGCTTTTTCCACCCGTCGGTCATGATCAGCAAGGTATACAACGCACAGTCCATCGTCCATGGTCATGTAGCGGCGCTGGCTGCGTTTGTTCGAAGCGGAACGAATGCGACGGTGCGAGCCTCAGCGTGTGAAGTGCTGGCGCTGCTGGTGCAGTTTAAGTACAAGTCCGCAGCTGCGGATTGGACGTACTCGCATGAGCCCACTGGGAGTCCCATCGGCGGTCTCGACTCACGCATCGAGGCGTACATGCGCGAGTCTGGGAAGAGTATTGGTAAGAAGAACCGCAAGGCACAGAGGTCGATGTTGAAGGAGGTGCTGGAGACGCTGCAGACAGGCGAAGGACCCATCAAGGAGCTACAGGCGGACGGCGAGACGCTCACGGTGTCTACTTGGAGCCGCTTCTTCCAGGCGCACGTCTTCCGCCGTGCATTGCAGTCTGGATTTCAGACGCACCTCGTGGAGAACGAGGTGCTGCGCGATGTGTTTGAAGTGACAGAGAATGCCAACGCGAAGATCGGTTTGGTTTCCACTGTTAAGCGTCGCGCTGACCTCAAGGCCAAGGCAGTCCACAAGCGGAACGACATGTCCCGCAAAGATCAAGCACAGAACGCCTTCCTTTATGATGAGTAGCATGTACGCTCTGTTAGCTACTTTAGAAATTGTTATTACCAGCACGCAATAGCAGGCTCCAATAAGTAGACATCACCCACCCACCGGCTCGACGCAGAGGGCGATACAAGACAGAACAACTCGTGCACAGGCTACCAGATACCCCACCCCAATGGAAAGAGTAGGGTTCCTTCGTTTAAGTCCTGCTTCACGTTCTGAAGCAGCTCGGGTTCCTCTCATGCCACGTGAGCGGGTTGCCTACTTGCCGAGCAGCTGGCGCAGAGCATCCTGTTCCTCCTTGGACTCAGCCGAAAGGATCTGTCGGTTGTCGACGATCTTGAGCAGCTCGCCGGTCTTGGTTACCTGCACGATGAGGTACACGTACTCGTTCTTCTTCATGTCCTGGTTCACCTCAGCAAACACGTAGGCGTGGCCCGTGGGGCCCTTGATGTTGTACTTGATGCGAAGACGCGGGGTGCCGTCCTTGGCCTTGAGGTTCACATGCTCGATGCGGTTACGGCGGCCTTCGCGGTGGCCACCGTGGTCGTGGCCGTAGCCGTGGATCGGCAGGCCCAGACGCGACGTCACCTGTAGCAACCAATTAATAACGTCAGTCCGTAGAAAGCGACACTGCTTCATCCTTTGCGTCAACGTACGTCCGTGTTCTCCGACAGGAAGTCCAGCGACTCGCTGAAGAGGCCGTTGGGGCTCATACGGCTGTGCACACCACCGGAATCATCTGTCAGCACCTCTCCAAAATCCCCCCACAACTTCAACAAATGTCCACGTACTTGGGCAGCAGTTCACGGGCCACGAAGTACACGCCGACAGCGCCCAGACCGATGAGGCCGAGCCAGAAGCCGCCAGTGGCGGTGGCCGTCACCTTCTCATAGGGCGTGAGCACCAGCGCGTCCGGGGCCTTCTGTCCCTCCGGAGTCGCCTGCGGGCCCGGCTGCAGTCACCACCAGCAGCAACATATTGCAATAACGCCACCAAATACCACGTTAGACCTCAATTATAGCCTTGAAAATCATGAATGCACTTGATGCGCCACCTTCTCAGCGTTCAGGCGCGAGCGCGTGGACGTGAAGCTGCGCGTGGGCGCCGCCGGACGACGCGCTACGATCTGCAGGGCACGCGAACGCTGCTGCAGCGTGGACTTCTGCGCGGCGCGGGCGACGGGGGCGGACAGGAAGCGCAGCATTTCTCACTCTTGCTTGGTGCTCGATTTGTGATGGAGGATCAGTCAGGTAGACGATTGGCTGAAAACTGGGATTTTTGGACTACCGCAACGCTAGCAAATCAGTGTACGCGTGACGAACAGGCATCCATAGAAGTGTTTGCCATGGTCAAGTTGACTTTGGGCGAGGCTTGCAACCAGCGCCGCCGGCGAGCACGAGGCAGGCGGTGCCAGGGAAGACGGAGAGCAGGTTCGTGGTGACGGACCAGAGCAGAGCGAAGCTGAAGATGGCGACCGTGGCGACGCCGCCCCAGAACCACGAGCGAGCCTGGCGCTTGAGCTCTTGGGTCTCGCGCTTCTGGCGCGGAAGGAGAGGCAGCCACGCGAGAGACAGCAGCTTCATGATGTACGCGATCACGAAGGTCCACGTGACTTGCCAGCGCACATGCGTCGAATCGCGGATGATGTCAGCCACGCCCACGTCGAAGAGCGCGTTGACGTTCTTGGAGATGCACGAGGCAAAGGGACTCGACAGGTTGCTCACGGTCGTCAGGAGACCGTACACAGCCGCCTCGTTGCCGAGCTCGGCCAGCTCCACCACGACAAACGTCGATACGAGGAAACCCATGGCCTGCGGGAGCTCCTCGAGTATGGGCGTGCCAAGCCAGAACCACTGACTGCGCACAACATCCCAAATGGTCAACATCCCCACGGTGGCATCCAGCGCGATCACAGAGACAGTCGTCCAGGCGACCACGCGGCGCCAGTTCCAGCCCAGCCCAATGCGCTTCGTCATGTACAGCGCCACGCTGAAGACGACCAGCCCAACCACGGAGAACAAACTTTCGTTGAGAGGGTGCACGCGAGCCCAGTAGCGCTGGATCGGGTCGCTTGCCGTGACCGTGAAGCCATCGAAGATGCCGCTGAAGAACCGATACGCAAGCACCTGCACCATGGCGGAGTTCTGGACGAGCATCCACAGTGCACTCATGTACGCGCCAAACTGAGGTGCGTCGCCACCGATCGGGGGTTCTTGAATCAGCCACAACGCCGCTGGGATCGCCACGAGACTCAGCAGTGAGAAGATCAGCATCAGCTGACTCATGGAGAACGACCACGAGAACGACCCGCCGTAGTCTTCACCGTTTAGTCCAAACCCAACCAGAAGCGCCGACAGGATCATGGCAATACTGCGGACCAAGTAGACTGTGGACTGGATGTTACCGCGAATGCTTTCCGGTTCACGCTGAGCAAACTCCACCACAAGTCCGTCGGACGCGACGTCAGCGATCATGTAGCCCAAGCTCGATAGCATCATCAGCACGACGTACAAAGAGCCCGAGCTCGGTGCGTCCCAATTCACGCGACCATCGAGATCGCTGCGGGGTATATTCGAGAGATCCTTGCCCCGTAGCGTTGGGTCCATGTAAAACGGAGACTCCTGGTTCACGAACACGAGAATGAGCAGCATGGCCGAGCAGACCAACCACCCCAGAACCATGTACGCTCGGCGGCGGGAGCGACAGATGGGGAAGCAGTCGGAGGCAATCCCAATCATCACTTTGAACGACCAAGGCAGCGAGAGCAGCACACGCGCCGACAGCGTTTGGTAGCCGTTCAGATGCAGGTAGTTGTTCAAGAAGGGGTACACGGTGCGTGGCAGGCCTCCGTACAACACGCCCACGACTGCGTACTGCACGAGCAGACCAATGTACCGCCAATGGTACAGGTTCGGCACGTCGCCGGAGCGGAGCGGCATGCCCGCTTGCAGTCCGTCCTCCTCCTCATCCGGAGCTTTCCCCGTCGGAGTGACGCTCACCGTCGACTCCTTGTCCCTCTCTCCTTCTTCAGCAGAGCGAATGTAAGACAGCCGCTCCAGGCGCTGAGCCCCACGCGCAGTATCCACGCCACCAAGATCCATCGCGACCAACGCTTTCGACTTTCGACTCCAAGACTAAAACTCCAACGGGATTTGAGTCACAAGCGAGCCCCGTCCCACACATCAACAACAAACAAACAGCAACGACATCAACAACAAAACATCCCGCCAGCATGTAGTCAATGCGAGAGCTGCTCTCAACCACGTAGCATTGGGCTCTGCAGCCAGGAGATCGTTCTCAGCCTCTGGTGGTCAAGTTGCAGGCAAGTTGAAGTGAAAATCCATTGCTACCTCTCACGAATGATTGTAGCCTCTCATCTTGCATACTATCCTCTCTCTATTCGCATACTGAGTCAGAGTCGTCGCCCAATAAAATCCGCTCACATTTCCCAACAAGCCAAAGAGGAGGAAGCTGGAAGCTCCTCTAGTGTCTACTGTACTCCCCCTTCCTGCAAGCACCATGGCGTCCATGTGGTCGTCCTTCACCTACGTCCTGCTGCCGCCTGCGGTGGTTCTGTACGTGCAACTCGCGCTGCGTTTTCGCCAAGATTCCGCTCGTCTAACTTTTGAGTTTGCTCTCTAACTGTATGTAGGCTGCTCTTGATGACGATCCCGTTCCCGGGCGTCATGTTGAACCGCGGCATCGTCAACTTCGGCGACGTGGTGTTCAACATCCGCGTCGGCACGCTCAGCGTCTTCTCCGTGATCACGGCCGTGTCCTTCGTCGTGCTGGTGGCGCAGACCATCGACCTGCAGAAGCGCTACTCGCTGCCGCACGACCAGCACATCGAGGCGCACTACTCGGCCGACCTGCAGGTCCGTGAACCTGGATTTGGGAACCTGAACAAAATCAAGGGTAAATCTGATTAATGCTCTTAAACTGTATGTTTCTCTGGAACACCTAGAAAAAAGCCTCGCGGTGGCGATCCGAGCGCAACTGGTGGATCAGCGCTCTCACCTTCACGATCTACTGGTGCGTTGAGGGCTCCGAAGGAGGAAAATGGGTTTTAGCAGAGAAAATCTGATGGATATTTGTGTTGGCGCGGATTTGTTTTAGGATGCTGCTGCGCTTCCACGCCATGAAGAAGAAGCTGCTCAAGGCGCAGCGTCACGAGGATTAAGAAGGGCCCCGGCACATTGTGCATACTAAATGTGGCCGAACGTCTAGCAGCAGCTTAGGTGCTGCGTGGAAGGACGGAGGTGTCCTCGCTTCGGGACCCAAACCAGTGAGTTTGCCTAAAAAAAAGTAGTCGAATTTGAATTCCACATCAAAATCCAAGTTGCCGAAGTAGATATTACTACAGTTTACCATAGCTAGCAACACGGCATGTCAAAAAATAGTGAATCAACTTCTTTTTCGTACGAAAACATCATGGCTGTGGTGTGATGATAGTGCAGCATTGTAATGCAAGCATCACCTACACCTCAGCAACATCGGGGATCAATGATAGGATTGACGCTTTGCCGACGACAAGTGCAAGTTCAACAGCAACCTCAACCTCAGCTCGCCCCCAGGGCATGTCGGCTTCGGCCGATGAGTTTAGCTCTTGATATATTTCATTCTCAATTTTACCAGCTAAGTAACACATCAACACGACCTTCCTAGTGAATCGAGTCTCACTCGCCCAAGTGCGTGACAAGCATTCACCCTGGAACCGGTGCGCTCACGCTGAGCGAGAAGAACTATGTGCGCGTTCACGTTCCGGTCGAGGGGATCCAATGAACGACAGCTTCGCCAAATGTCGACACACCAGTGATAGGCAATTTTCCATGGTGATGCGTGAAGAGCAGGGAATGAGTAATTACACTATGTCTGAGCGTACGTTGTACTCTTCTCTGAAATTTATTTCAGAGCTAAGGATGGATCCGGGTGAAGGTCTGATTTTGCCATTGATTGATGTCTGGTAATTTATATATTCGATGTGGTATTCATAAAGTAGTTGATGGGGATACAGTGTCACTTTCCATAATTAATACCCGAAAAAAATCATAAATTACGTGAATGTTGCCTGTATCGTCGCCCCCTCCGCTTATGTCCGATGTTGATGTTGCGTGAAAATGTGTTGAAGCCATCGCAGCATTATCCGGATACAGCATTCGACGCAAGTCAGTTGCCGTGAAGGCTAGCTACGTATGAATGAGAACGCTGGAAATATGGTAGTCCACACCAGCAAGAACGTTATGTGGTTGCCGATGACTACTGTGCTCACGTTATTGTTTGGTATCTGGTTCGTTTACAGTATAATACTCACCTTCGATGGGAGAACGGCACCGCTCACTTTGCTAGGCTTCGACTCGCAGCTACAGTACTCTTCAGCTCAGTAGTGAGGTGCTCGCAGCACAACCGGTTATTCTTGTCGCTCTGTAACGAGTCTCTGGTCACCTGCTCGCCGGTGGGTCCGTACTGCTCACAGTGCTGCTGCGGTACGTGCTCAGAGTCCGTTAGAGCCGTTAACGAAACAATAAACACCGTACATGCCACGTCAGTAGCCGGACTCGCGTCCTATTTATTTCTTCAACTTCAAAGCTCATCATGTCTAATACTCTGTGAAGCTCGTTTAGCTACAGCCTGTAGCCTACAGGATAGCCCTCCTTATACCCTGGGGGCTCACACCACGCGCTATTAATACGCAACTAGCTCCAAGCCGCAACGACGGGTTCGTTCACTGCCCACTGGTCCTACGCGGACATGCTTCATGGGCACCCCGCGCGGGTTTGCTTTGGCTATGCACCTCGCAGCCACTTGCTGCCGATAGAATAGAGAATATTGCGAAATGATTGGTGATGATGAAGACTTCATCATGCGCCCGACCAGTGTTGCTAATTGCTTTTTGGTTCGACGACCTGCATGGGTTAAACGGAGACTACTACACTACAAAAAAATGGTCATGGTGATTGATAGAGTTACTGGATCAATTAGAGGGTGGGGACGTCGGCCTGAAGTGGAGACTCCAACACCCTCCAGTGTCGCCCCCCTAAGCAACTCAACTGAGCAACGCGACTGAGGTGCTCCATAACTAGTGTTAAAATACAGACATAAGTATATCTTTATGAACACGTATATAACGCTCAATATAACCCTTCTTTGTCGAGTTTTTCACGGGTCCCGAAGCGACCCCCATGTTGTTATATTGTTTTAGTGTCGTATCAAGCACATGATCTGGGTTCGGCAAAACCCATGTTTTCAGATTTGTCCGGGTGGGTTTGATAAGACCCGTGGGTGGGTGGGTTTAGGTTTTGGTTTTCTTAGGACCCGATGACGTCATGGCTGCTTACCGGGAACCGGGCTAGGTGAGACCGTCCTCGATACTGTTTCCTTTATGAAATCCTGTCAAACACTCTAAACCGCGGTTTGCCGTAGCTCGCTCTCCATTTCTCACGCAAATTTGCATACTAGCGCTCTCTCCAAGCCTTAACTATACCGTCTCAAGTCCTAAGGATAGAAGGAGCGGGCAAGCCTTTGGCTTTGTAGGCTCAATTTTCAATTAGAACACTTCCATCACCTCTCCCGCCCAAGCCCCTCCCCTCGACATGAGTTTCTCGTCGGCCATCGACCTAGCCACAACCTCTTCACCTCCGCCCCGTGGCCCCCGTCCTTTGGCCACCTCGCCCCCCATACAGCTGGCTCAAGTTGATCATGGCGGTTGCGATATGGAAGCGCAGGCAATTTCGGCTGTCGCATCTTCGGGGCACAGAAAGCACCGCCTGGTAAGTACGAAGCCTTTGTCGAGCCCTGCTAAGCGCGGAAGACGCAAGGATCCCGTCTGGAACGCGTAGTCGTGGCGGACGATGTCGTGTCGTGTAAGAAGTGCGAGCGCATCATCCACCTGCTGGGAGAGACGCATGTCGAACGCGTCCGCGATCACTTCAAGCGCAAGTGCTCCAGGCGACCAGTGACGAAGCCAATTACAGCGTGCTTTCCTCCGGCCCTAAGCCCTGCGAAGCTGACGGCTTTCCAACGGCAGTTTGCGCTGTGGTTCTATTCCACGGGTATGGCCTTCAACAAGGTCAATCACGCAAAGCTGGTGCAGGCGATGGCTATCCTCAACCCTGGTGCTGTCCTTTCCACCCCGCGCGAGCTTGCGACCACCTTGCTGTGCGGATCGTACGGCGAATTGAAGCTGGTCATGGTGCATCGTGTGGCAGGAAAGAAGCGCACTCTTGCCACAGATGCTTGGACGGACATCAACGGCAAGAGTGTTATCAACTACATGTTGATATGCGAGGATGAAACCTACTTCTTGGGCTTCGTTTATACCGGTTCCACGTCGCACAGTGCCACCTTCCTCGCAGCTGATATTAAGCGTGTGATTGAGACGTTGAAGTTCGCTACATTTGCTGCGGCGGTCACCGACAACACCAGCACAAACCAGTTGGTGTGGCAAACGCTGCAGAAGGATTTCCCGCATGCGTTCTTCCATGGCTGTATCTCTCCCGTCATCCATCTGATCGTGAATGACCTCGTCGCCAGTCTGCCTTGGCTCCAGAAGCTCGAAGAGAGCTGCAGGAAGCTGGTGCGATTCTTCAAGAAGAACCAAATGCTGTGGGCAGATTTGTGCCGGCTGCAGAAGCTGGAAGGCAAGATCGCACTCGTCCTCCCAGCGGACACAGCGTGGGGAACAATCGAGAAGTGTTTCGTGTCTGTGCTGCAGTCGGAAGCGATTCTACATGCGTTCGTTAGCGGAAGAGACTTTCTCAAGGCCAAGATGAAGGAGCAGAAGGCCAAGCGGCGCATGGCGTTCGACGTGGTTCGCGGTAAGGATTTTGTTCCCACTTGGAGAAGGCAATTGCCTTGCTGAGTGAACTCTCGCGCTTCCAGAAGGTTTTCGAGAGAAACAGCCGCCCATGCCTACAGGATGTTTCTGGACCTGCCGAACACGTTGGATAAGCTGGCGATGCCCATCTCGGATTTTGGGGTCATTACGGACGTGATCCACCAGCGGTTCGACTTCGTGTACGACGACGCACATGGTGTGTCGTACCTGCTCGACCCGCGCTACGCTGGACAAGGTATGGACCAAGAAACACGGGACTGCGTGGTGGACATCATTGCAAAGTGGAACGGCCCCGAAAACGAAGATGCGACGATGGTGGAGCTGTTGAAGTCCCAAACAAACTCGCCAATTCCAGCTTGTTTTGGACAAGCGTATTACGGTAAGCGAGTTTTGGAGCGACGTACACGGCTTCCCGTTGTTGCAAAACATCGCGACGACGGTTTTCGCCTCTGCCTGTTCCAGTGCAGCCGCCGAAAGGAATTTCTCGGCGCACAAGTTTGTGCACTCGCAACTTCGCAATCGCTTGAAGGAAACAAACCTCTAGAAGCTGGTGTTCATCTTCTTCAACACGAAGAATCTCCAGCACGAAGATGTGGACATGTTGAACCTTCTTGAAGATTTAGTCGAGACCGACAACGAGGACACCATCAACAACAGTAACCAGGACAGTGACTTCGAGTATTACTAAGCTTTAATACAAAGAATCATTACATCTTCAAAGTTTGACTTCATTTTTTATCGCATAGATTTTCGTGTAGCCAAAACGGGGACCACCCTGGCCCTCAGTCATAACGGTGACCACCCTGGCCCTCAGCCAAACCAGGGACCACCCTGGCCCCATGCTAAAATGGTGACCACCCTGACCCTCAGCCAGACTGGAAACCAACCTCACTCTATCCATCTCGCTCTATGCATCTGCGCAAATGAAGTTCTTACGCTGAAATTCTTATCTGATCTGGGCCCAAATACCATTTGTCTGCAAAAAACCACAATGCACTAAAATTATTGGCTTAAAGTATTTGATAAGAAAAATAATCAATTGTCAATATGTGATTATGCTACTTCAACTATTCGTCCGCATAATCACTCAGGTCGTCGTCTGACGCATCTGAGTCATTGGGATACCACCAGTCTTCGTCTGCAGGCGGAGCACGTCGATACGTCGGTACGTGGTAACGCTGGCGCTCTTGCAAGGCGCGCAGTGCCGCCGGGAAAACCGGGTGACGGCACATAGGGCACGTCGCGCGAATCCCGCGCAAGTCGATGTGTGCATTAATGCGCGTACGGCAAAAGACGTTGCCGCACCGCCCGCAGTTCCTTGGTTCAACCACGGACCCCCAGCATATGGGGCACCTGTTGTCTTGCTGGCCTTGTTCGCCCACGTGCTGGGGGTCCTGGGCCGGGGTCGCCACGGCTTCCTGATCTGAGACTTGAGGAGCCGTCTGTTGAAGAGGTGGTTGGAGTTGATTGCGCCCCGTTGTGAATGCCTGATGTTCAGGCTGAGCAGCCGGCTGCGCGACACGCTACGGCTCTTCTTGCCGTTCAACGCGTCTTTCGCGACGACGCTGGTTGCGTTGGCCTCGGCGTATGGCTGCAACCAGGTCGGAAAACTGGCGGGCGAAGCAGATGGGGGCCCCAATGTGACGTCTGAGGGACGCCGCATGTCGAAAGGGGACCATCCTCCGGGGGCAGATGAACGCCATTTAGGAAATGAAGTAGGTAGGCTGTCTTGAAGACGCGTCGAGGTAAGTCATCGTTTCTTAGGACCCCTTAAATAGTCTTCAGTACTCATTCTATTTAAAATTCCAGAGAGAGGAAAGGTAGTCGATTTAACGTTAGTCATTAGCTTCCTTGTATAATCTCAGTCGGTTTATTTAGCGCCATCTCCTTTTGGTGGAGCCATGGTGCCGGAGGTGGAGTGGTTTCAGCTGCGCGGGGGGCTTCGCCGTTCATCGCGTTGAAGCAGTCAATGCTGAGCGTTAGATATAGTCCTTGAATTATTGACGCTAGGCGCCCGCTTTCTTTCTTCGCCAACTGCGTGCAGTGGCGAAGACACGTAGCCCACATACTTTCAACCTGCCGATGTGCCGTCAATTGGACTCCTTCGTGTACTACCTGGTTTCGAATCTGCCAGAGCAGCGTACGTCCAATGCTGCATAGTGCCCACCATATCCGCCTGAGAGACTCCTCGTGCTCCTGATCCCAATGTCCGTACATTGCTGTTAGTCGACACTGGATTCTTTTACTGACTGGCGGTGCCTGCCGGGCAGAGAGATAATGCTTGTAGTTGGCCAGGCGCCGTGGAGTCATCTCGCAGCCTAGCCAATGTTGCAGCACCTTCGTCCAAAACGCTTGTGCTCTTGTGCATGACCACGCTATATGCGTGATAGAAAATGCCCCCCCCCCCCCCCCCCGACGCAGCTGCTGTCAAGGGGCAGGACTCCTGATTATGGTATTTTTATTTATGGATGATCCATCTGGCTCATAAATAATGGCATCAACCCCTGAACTCAACTCGCTTTTTGTATTGAAGCCTCTACATTTAGAGAAATATTTTCAAGGAACAGCTATTTCTAGGCCCTTCAGACATAAATAATTTATGGATGAGCTCAACCGGCTGCCATAAATAATCAATAACAAAATATTGACATTATTGTTTTATTGTTGCGTTGCCATCCATGACCCACACTTGATAGTCCGTAAGCATGTTTCGGTGCGCCCAAAGTTGTTTGGGGGTTTGGCTCTAGTGGCCGCGGACCCAGGTATCTGTGGCTTGCTTCGCGTTCCATTGCGATAGAATCTTGCTCAGGTTAGTCGTTTCTTGCCGCTGAAACCACCGTCTCAGTTGTTGCTTCAGTTTGTGCATGATCCACTTGTTCCTGGTGAGGGCTGGAACGTGCCAAGGGAACCCGTGAACGAGAGGGTTGATCACGAAGACAATCCCTTCACTGTAGTTCATCAGCGTCCTCGCATCTGTCCCTGCAGTCATAACTTGGTCGATCGTCCAGTTGATGCCATTGGGTTGTTGTCGTAGTGGAATCGTCGTCGAGTCTGTCACCCCGGTCCCAACTATTAACCCATCGCCAACCCATGACCATGTGTACGTCTGACTCAAAGTAGGCGACCGGCGTAGCTGCAGCGGGGGGAATGCTCCAAGCACTGCTCCGATGTTGAGGCGTGGAGAACAGAGGAGGATAACCAACAGCCACCTCTGTAGTTTCGCTGCAGTATGGCCCGCCTCTTTGTCGTAAGCAGTCGGACGTCGGACCGTATAGGTGTCGACTCCTGTCCGGGTGATCTCTGAGCTGCGAAGCGATGTGACTTCAATTCGGTCATACTTCCGTCGTTGTAGGGTAGGCGCATTGCTATCTGGGATCCAGGGGTTGTCCACCCACGCAAACGTGCCCCAAAAAGCGTGTAGTTCCGCGTTGAGGGGTTGGAGCAGTGGAATACCATCGAGCCGTACCTTGACTTCGAGTAGCTCGCGGAAGGTCGGTTGATAGGTGGGCTGGGGTAGTTGCGACGCTGCCTGGGCCGCCAAGACGGGGAGTGCCCGGCTGATCAGGCGGATCCGTTCGTCGCGCTCGGCTTCCGAGGGGGCAAGTAGACCCCCAATATCGCTTTGAAACGTCTTGCGTCTGTCTGACCAGTAGCTCGGGCGGCATCGTTGAGATCGTCGCCTGCGTGACACTGCAGGATCAATCGTCTGTGTCCGGTGAAAGCCACTCCATATTCTCCATGCTTCCGAGTAGATATCATCTTTGCCTATGAGCCACATCATTGCATCTTTCACACGTTGTGCTTGAATCGCCACTGGTAGTGCTATCACCCCCAGACCCCAGCGTCTCTGGGCATAAAAATCAGATCGGGAGAAATTTTGTGGCGGCATGAATCGTCCACTACCTGCCGGTGCCATAGAAATCGTTTTTGCATTCCAACGAGTTGCTTGAGAACCTGAGGCGACGGAGGAAAGCACTTTGCCGTGAACAAGATTGCCGGAAGGACGACAACATTCAGTAGATCGACTCGGTCCCTCACCGTCGTTGCAGCGGACTCGGCCGTTGCCAAACGGCGTTTTATGCTGCGAATGCGCTTCGCCCAGTTTTGCTTCTGCATATTGCCACACCCCACTTCATAGCCGAGGTATCTGACGGACTCGTCGGGAGCAAACACCGGAATGCCATGCCAATCTCGCCTGACAATGGCTTTGTTGAGATAAATGTACTTGCTCTTCACTGGTTGGACATGGAGGCCAGATATGCGGCCGAATTCCTTCACGATTTCTAGTGCCCTTGGTAACTGGCGGCTCTCAGCTAGAAATATAGTCGAGTCATCAACAAATGCTGAGAACTTGTGGTCATGACGGAGCGAGGGTATCGATCCCGGCAATGGTTTGCCTTGGAGGAGTTCGTCTTGGGCAAGAGCTAGTCCCAACAACTCGGCTGCTAAGATGAATAACAACGGTGCCAGCGGACAGCTTTGTCGAATTCCAGAAACTACTTGCAGAGGTGCCATTCACGAGAAATTCTGCAGTAGTGTTTTCATGCAGCCGCTGAATCAAGTCGATGAAGTCATCGGAGAATCCGAACAAACGCAGTACTTCCAATAAATAGGTCCGATCCATCGTATAATACGCTTTGGCGAAGTCTAGCAGTAGGATACCAGCACTGTCATTTTCATCCATCATTGTATCGAAAATAGCCGATTCCAACTGAGTCAGCATCATGACGACTGATCGTTGCATTTGACGGCCATGAACAAAGCCTTGTTGTGTATGACCGATCAATTTCCCCAGAAAGCTTTGAAGTCGTGTCGCTAAGACCTTTGCGAACAGATTATAACTGGTCTGCAGGAGAGATATAGGCCGGTAGTCCAATGCATTTGGCGAATCTCCCTTCTTGCGCAGCGGCACAATAATCGCTTTCATAAACGATTCTAGCGGGCGGTGACCTTGGAGCATCTCATTACCGACATCCACTAGCCGGTGTGCGCTTAGCCGGATCCCGCAAGTGTAACGTGACTTCGGCATGGTCCGACTCCACTGGAGGCAGTTTAACATCTACCCACTGGAGCCATGAACTGATGGACGCTGATATGTAGAACCGATCAATCCGGCTTGCGGTATTGCCCTTCCAGTATGTAAAGTGCTCGTGGGGTGCTAGCTCCAGGTCTTCAAGAGCGGATCCTAGTAGTGTTCTCGTATCTTCCAGTCCTTTAGAGCGGATCAACCGAGTAAGGGCTTCACTTTATGTTCGTTCGGGACGGTCTCCTCCAAGTCTGTCTGTCACGGGGTCTTCGACACAATTGAAGTCTCCTGCCAGGATAGGGTTGTCGACCGAAGAGAGGTGCCAAGCACTGAGATTAACAAAAAAACTGCTCCCGTTTCTGCTTCTTCGACGACGGAGCGTAGAGATTGAGCACATGAAGCTCATTTAGCTGCACACCTAGTGTCCGCGTGGACCAGAGATGCCGATTCCATGGACGGACGGACTGCTGGTAGTCTGGGAAGACCAGGACGCCAACGCCTCCCTCTTTGTGTGAGCCCACGCTCCAGTATGATAGTGGTGATGCGCTCTCTGGTTGACCCCACAGCAACTGCCACCGTTGAATCAACTCATCTCGCTCCGCTTCCGTTTGCATGTGCGTCTCTTGCAAAATGATAAGTGCTGGGTGATGCATCATCGGGATGCCTCTCCAAGCAGCTAGCCACTCCCACATGTCGCTTTTGCGAAAGCCCCGTACGTTTTGAGTAATGATACGGACGTCTTTCCGGTGAGTTGCTGGGCGAACGTCCTTTTCCTCGTCAATGTGGTAGTCGAACATCCGACTTTGAATACTTCGACAGTACGCATCGAGCCCCACGTCGACCGTGCTCTGTTTCCTCAATGTGGACTGAGAGCCCACTGAGAGGTGCCTTTAGTGCTGATGGGGGTGGACAACTATTTTAAATCCCAAATTGCCATTTTGATTCAACGGGTGGGCGGGTGTTCTGAAAAACCCAAAACCCAAAAAACCTTTATCCCAATTTTCGAACCCTGCACATGATGGCGGGCGTACCGACGCTGTGGCGGGCGACGGGGACGCTGCCAGCAGGCGCCGAGCTGCTCACACGTGTGCTGACCTACCTCGACGTTGCGAGCCTATCAAGGCTGCTGCAAGTGGAGAAACGCAGTCGTAGCAACGCGCGGAAACTTTTCGCTGCCTCCCAGAGAGCTCGGACGCACATGGCATTGGCGTCGCTGTGCTTTTCTCGCCTGCGCGTGGAGTTCCAAGCGTATTACCAGGAGCTGGAGACGCAAAACATCCCGCGATCCAGCGATCCGCGCGTACCACCACGTGTGGTCTCCATTTGGACCGAGAGAGGACAGGTGCGTGGCGCAGCCTGAGGCTGTGGAGGACAAGTAAACAGATCCAGCGCAGAGGACTAAAGCGTTGTCTGGTTCTGCGCCGTGCAGGTCGATGGCGGGTCTGTGACATTGAAGCCCATCGAGTTACCAAACGTTCACAAAGACGGTATCACAACCCGTTTCGTAGCGGACGCCAACGCTGCGGGGAAGCGGCCGATGCTGACGAATGTGGTGCAGCGGAACCGTCGGATATACACTATGATCACTGTCAAGTTGCTGCGATCGGGCAGTGCTAATGACACCAGAGAAAATGCCGCCGGTGATGGTTTGGTGCTGCGCAGTTACTCATACCTGAAGGAGTTTGGGGAGTGGAAGACGCCGACGTTGCCCGAGAAACGGATGCTGGCGGTGGCCAGCGTTGGAAGTCGTCGTGGCAGATTCGACCTGTGCTCGCAGGATGGGAGTATGGTTCTGGAGTTGGAGGTGCCGACCGGTACAGATGCGCAGACGGATTATTACCTCGTGAAGCAAGCGTCGGTGTCGATTCATATGCAAGAGCTCCTGCAGCAGCACTTTCACTCGCTGCGGCCGATTCGATCGCTTCCTGAACCTTCTCGACGAGAATCGTGCAACATTTCAATCGCATTTCGCTCAATGGATGGCGCCCTCGTTACTGGGTGCTGCATATCTGGGTATATTACGGTTGAGCGGCAGGATAGTGGGGAGGACGAAGCAGCTCAAGACGGTCAAGAGCGACCAAGACAACGTACCGGGATCGAGAAATTTGAAATTGTCACGTGCCGACACGATGACGATTCAGAGCGCAGCGTCAAGATGGTGCTGCCTACTGACCCAGGCTACACATGGATTGAAGTACGCGGTACAGACGAAGGAGCTCCATCCAGGCGACCCAGGCTGTACTTTTACGCGGTGGCACTTCACTACGGTTCGCGACAGGTACCAGAGCAACGCGACCTGCGCGTGATGCAGCTCAATTGGCTGCCTGGCGTTCTCGAGTCGTTCCCCACGCTTGAATCTCGACGCCGACGATGTCTAAAGGGCAACCTCCGAATGGTAACTTCGTCGCACGCTGGCACACTGCAAGAGCTAACGCTAGTAGCCCAGCGATTGCCGGCGGTTAGGCTAGAGAGATACGCCGCGCGGATCGAGTCCTACACGCGACACGAGCCATGAGCAAAGGAATAGTCCGACGTCGGCTGCGTGCTTCGTACCACGAGGAGGAATCAGACCAAGCCACGTACAACGCACTTCTCCGCCAACGCTGCATTTCAATGGAATAGAGCGCCGGCACTAATTTTCAAGCGAGGCGCTGCTGCATCTACTTCCACACATCCATGATGCTCACAGCCGATGCAACTCACGCGGTTGAGTTGCTATAATAGAGAAGCAAGCATTCTCGAGACTGAAAAAAAAAGCTTTGCGTACGGCAACGAGTTCAGATCCTTGAAAAATCCGCCACGTACCCCTGACGTCTTAAGTGCGAAATACATCGGCCAAAACATTCATTCTCCCAGCGCTTCAACCTGACGCTCAAGATCTCACGTAGCTGTGCTCGCTCATTCCTGCTTTCGCTCCATCCAAGGCACCGCACCGACCGCGTCCCCAGTAGAAGACACAGCTGAGCCATGTCCAAGCAGCTGAAGTTCCCCGACGGCTTCCTCTGGGGCACGGCCACCGCCTCGTACCAAGTGGAGGGCGCCGTGGACGAAGGCGGACGAGGCGACAGCATCTGGGACGCCTTCTCTCGCACGCCCGGCAAGGTCGTGAACGGCGACACGGGGGAGAAGGCCGTGGACCACTACCACCGCTACAAGGAGGACGTGCAGCTCATGAAGAAGATGGGGCTCAAGGCCTACCGCCTCTCCATCGCCTGGCCGCGCATCATCCCTGCGGGTGTCGGCAAAGTGAACGAGGAGGGCGTCGAGTTCTACAACAACCTCATCGACGAGCTGCTGGCCAACGACATCACGCCCCTCGTGACGCTCTACCACTGGGACCTGCCCCTGCCGCTGCAGACCGAGTTCGACGGCTGGCTCGGCGGCAAGTTCATCCAGGACGCCTTCGCGCAGTACGCGCGCGTGTGCTTCCAGCGATTCGGAGACCGCGTCAAGAACTGGCTGACGCTCAACGAGCCGTGGTGCTCGGCCTTCCTGGGCTACGGGATCGGTATCCACGCGCCAGGACGCAAGTGCAAGCCGCAGACGGAGGCCTATCTGTCGGCGCACAACCTGCTGCTGGCCCACGCACGAGCTGTGGAGGCGTACCGCAACGAGTTCCAGGCGGTGCAGAGGGGAAGGATCGGGATCACGCTCAACTGCGACTGGCGCGAGCCGGCGCCGACGAGCGACCCGGAGCAGAAGAAGAAGAACGAGGAGGCTGCCGAGCGCTCGCTACTCTTTGCGCTGGGCTGGTTCGCTGACCCCGTGTACAAGGGCGACTACCCGCAGGTGATGAAGGACCGCTGTGGACTGCGCCTGCCCAAGTTCACTGAAGAGGAGAAGAAGTTGCTGAAAGGGAGCTCGGACTTCTTCGGACTCAACCACTACGGAACCAACTATGTCGAGCCATCCGCCGAGTACGAGGCCAAGATCCCGCCGCCTAATGATTCCACTGGTGGCTATGGCCCCGACGAAGGCACGAAGCTGACGTCAGATGACTCTTGGAGACACACGGACATGGGCTGGAATGCTGTGGGCTGGGGCTTCCAGAAGCTGCTGGTGTGGATCCAGAAGCGCTACGCAGTCCCGAACGGCATCTTGGTCACGGAGAATGGATGCGCGTGGCCTGACCGCACCAAGGAGGAGGCCCAGAACGATGACTTCCGCGTGGGCTTCTACCAAGAGTACCTCACGGGCCTGCACAATGCCATCGCCGAGGGCGCGGATGTCCGCGGGTACTTCGCCTGGTCCTTCGTGGACAACTACGAGTGGGCCGAGGGCTACACCAAGCGCTTCGGTCTGCACTGGGTCAACTACGAGACTATGGAGCGCACGCCCAAGAAGTCGGCGCTCTGGTACGGTGACGTCGTGCGCAAAAACGGATTCAGCACCTCCGCGTAGACGGCGGGGCGGAAGCGAATAACGAATCGGCAGGGAAAAGATCAAGCCGAGCTGCTTGAATCAAGCCTTGATGGGAAGCGTGCTGTACAGTACTGTACCAGCGGGAACGCTCCCTACCTCCGAAGTCAGGACAAGAAGAGAGGAGAGTTGCCTCGCACGAATAGGTAGCAGAAAACATCATCATATTTGAGTGAGTTTTTGCCTTTAAGTTTGACTTGAGTTCAAATCGTCAAAGTTCAACAGAAGCAAGGCAGCTTCAACCACGCTGAAAAGTGAGCCATTTTCACCAGCTGTGGTTGTGCTTCATCATCCTACATTAGGGATGACACCCCTCCCTAACCTGTGCAATGATTCATTGCAGAGATAATAGCAAGACAACCAGACGTGAATGGAAGTCACTAATCCAACGATCTCCACGACGATCACATAGCAGTGACGTCAGCCGACTCGGGACCTCATTAATCAATTCCACCGGATCCGCACAAGCTCCGCAACTTCGACGCTCGACCTCGCCATGGCCAAGGAGATCCGCTTTCCCAACAACTTCCTGTGGGGTGCCGCCACCGCCTCGTACCAAGTGGAGGGCGCCGTGAAGGAGGGAGGTCGCGGGGCGAGCATCTGGGACGCCTTCTCGCACACTCCGGGCAAGACCAAGAACGGCGAGACGGGCGACGTGGCCATCGACCACTACCACCGCTACAAGGAGGACGTGCAGCTCATGAAGAGCATGGGGCTCAAGGCCTACCGCTTCTCCATCGCCTGGCCGCGCATCATCCCGGCCGGCGTGGGCGACGTCAACGAGGAGGGCGTCCAGTTCTACAATAACCTCATCAACGAGCTGCTGGCCAACGGAATTGAGCCCATGGCCACGCTCTACCACTGGGACCTGCCGCTGGCGCTACAGACCGAGTTCGACGGGTTCCTGGGCGAGCAGATCCACGACCACTTCGCGCAGTACGCGCGCGTGTGCTTCGAGCGCTTCGGCGACCGAGTCAAGAACTGGATCACCATGAACGAGCCGTGGGTGGCCAACTACATGGGCTTCGGCACGGGCATGATGGCGCCTGGACGCAAGCACAACAAGCACTTCGAGCCGTACGTGGCCGGCCACAACATGCTGCTGGCCCACGCGCGCGCCGTGGAGGTCTACCGACAGGAATTCCAGGAAACACAGGGTGGTCAGATCGGCATCACGCTGAGCGCCGAGTGGAAGGAACCAGGCCCCACCGACGACCCGGAGCAGAAGAAGAAGAACATTGCGGCTGCGGAGCGCGCCATGGCGTGGAGCTTCGGTTGGTTTGCTGAGCCGGTTTACTACGGAGACTACCCGCAGATCATGAAGGACCGTTGCGGTGATCGCTTGCCGAAGTTCACCGAGGAACAGAAGAAGCTGCTGAAGGGCAGCTCCGACTTCTTTGGCCTAAACAACTACAGCTCCTGCTACGTCAAGCCGTCGCCCGAGTTCGACGCGGGTATTGCGCCTCCGAACGACAACACGGGTGGACTCGAGGCCGACGAAGGTGTTACCGGGTACCAGGACCCGACTTGGGTGCAGACCGGAGCTCCGTGGAATTATGTCACGCCGTGGGGGCTCAAGAAGCTGTGCGTGTACATCCACGAGAAGTACCAGCCGAAGAACGGCATCTACATCACGGAGAACGGCTCGGCGTGGCCGGACGTGACCAAGGAGGAGGCGCAGCAAGACACACAGCGCGAAGACTGCTACCGGCAGTACATTGCCAACGTCCACGAGGCTATCACGGAGGGGGCTGATGTGCGTGGCTACTTCGCGTGGTCGTTCTTCGACAACTACGAGTGGTCCATGGGTTACGGCATCCGGTTCGGCATGGTCTGGGTCGACTACGAGACCCAGGAGCGCGTGCCGAAGAAGTCGTCGTACTGGTACAAGCAAACCATTGCCAACAACGGATTCAGCATTTGAACGATGACAGCAGGTGCAGTTTAAACGGTCGTCTTGAAGTATACCTCAATTTTGCTGTTGATATTGTTTGTCGAGGCCATTGATGAATCACTGCATCGATATCATCCGTTCATGCTCCTTTCTCCACGTTAGCGAAGGTCCAGTCTTCAATCCCACATTCGTGCAATGTCTGCTGGAGGTGTTTGCATCCGGAGCTCCACCGCACCCGCTATGATCAAGCGCATGCGTTCTCGTGGTACTTCGTCGTCTGTGAAGACCAGTTGCACCAGCCTCTTCAGGTGCGGAGTCTTGTCAGCATCACACAAAGCTGTCGAAATTGAAGCTGGGGGAGCGCGCTGCTTGTCGTACAGCGACAGCATCAAGTCGCTGTTCTCACACGTGGAAGCCTCAGCAAAAGCCTTGCCCCTCAGCTCATCGGAGATGCGCGTGTCGTGGCACAGCAAAGCCACGACTTCCGCGTGACCAGCATTTGCTGCACGAACAAGCGCCTCGCCCAGCACCTCGCCTGGTATGCGGCTATCCTCGTGCAAGAGCTTCACGATCTCAGTCCGATTGGCATCGAAGGTGAACCTCCAGTACTGCAGTCCCCAGCCAGAAGCTTCTTCTTTTTGGTGAGGTACATTGCAGTCGTTTAGTCTTTGCTAACAACTCAGCCAATGTCCGTCCAGCAGAAGCCTACACATCTTCTGCTAGCTTGCTAACTACTTGTGGGTGCTAGCACATGCGCACCTATCTTGCGCGCCTGCGAGTATGGGCCGGTCCGTGGCGTTTGCGCCGTCGCATGAGTCCGGGTGTGCGGTTAACCATTGGTCGATGTCCCCTGGAAGGGACTCGACTATGGGTGACCAGAGAGAAGGCAGTACCCCAAAATCTGCCTCCAGAACCTGCGTACTTGTCCTGGTGCCCATGGCGATATTAGCCAGTGCGCGCAGATGTTGTGTCCATGAGATGATCTGGAGTTGGTCAGCAAGAGCACGGCATTGCTCGTAGATATGGCGGAGGTGCGGGGCCTTCGGCGTCCGTCTCCGTGAGAGGTGCGTAATGATTAGCTTGCTGTCGCCGACGACGTGCAGGCCACGAAGCCGGTAACGTGCAGCCTGGCGAAGCCCATTCAGTAGCCCTCGGTATTCCGCAACATTGTTCGTGGTGGAGGCAGAAGCATACGATACGCTTGCCATCCACTCGATGACTGGATACTCAGCGCCACCGCCGAGTCGTATTATGATTGAGCCTGATCCCCCCGGCCCGGATTACCCCGTGAACCGCCGTCGAAGAAGAGCCCAGCCAGAAGCTTTCTCAAACGCAGCAACGATCGCCTCGTCGGAGATGCGCTCGTTCTCGTAGAGGAACTTCACGAGTTCGGCGTTCGTTGCATCTACGAACGCTCTGTCAACAGAAGACGGGGTCACATGGCTCGTACCACAGAGAAACTTCATCGTGTCGGTGTTGTTCCGCAAGGAGGTAGCCGCAGCCTGCATGGCCTCGCTAAACGTGGCCGGCAACAGTCGATTGGTTCCGAGTAGAAACTCCACCGTGGCTGTGAATCCTCGCTTTGCGGCGCTGACAAATGCGTCGTTGACTGCATCGGGATCATTTCCGCCGTGGTTGTACAAATACTTGACGGCGTTGGCCCAGCCGTCACACCACGTCAGCTGAACTAATAGAGGGTAATTTTTGTATCTTGTATACGGGAATGTCTCGAGACAAACGCTGAGCAAGAGCATCTTGACCAGCTTCGACTGCCGCGACGTAGACCCCTGCCAAGTCCCACCAAGCTCCGTCCAGCGCAAGCAAGAACTCGACCACGTCCGCGTGTCGCCCCGAAATCGCGCGACTCAGAGCGTCCGATTCCTTCATATACGGCGTATAGTGCGGGGCCCTGCGTCCTGCACTACGAACTTGACCACGTCGAGATGCCCATTCCCTGCTGCGTCGCTTAAAACCGCTCGAGCTGTGCTGAAGTCCTTCTACTTCACCGGGTTGAACGTCCCGCAGAGCCGCTGCAATACGTTGAGGTCCGTCCTGCCACTCGCGGCAACGACTGCGCGCTGCAATTCCCTCCATTCAGCGACCTGTTCGCGGCAGATCTGGTTTAGGACGATGCCTTGGATTGTTTCTTCGCCGAAAAACTTGTTCAGCAAGGCGTCAACGCACTCCAGGTGGCCGTTCGCAGCAGCAGGCACCAGTGCATTGGGCACACAGCACTTGTGACGTGGACGTCCGTCTGCCAATGAGATGGCAGAGGACTCCCACGTCAAGTGCTGCTGCACAGCACTTCAGTTTACGCTGTCCAGCGTCCAGCGTCCAGCGTAATACGGGGATGCATGGTTTATATTCATTATATGCTATCCTATTGGCTGGTGTCAAAAGTAAACTTGATTATGGGACGCGTAAACATGGACATTCGCACGACCTCATTGGCTGTAAATCCTTGAGATGTGCAACAATCAAGTTTTCCAGCCGGACTTTTGATTATGGGACGCAAGTCACAAATTTTGGCCAAACTACGAATAGGATTAGTAGTTTTTCATTGGTAGATAAGGATTGATCTAGGATTTGAGATTGATAGACTTTAGGATGGGACCTGGATACTTGTTTGCGTGTCCTGGTCGCCAAGAACTACTGGTTGCGCGGCGGCGGCGCGCCGACGCTAAACTAACGGATCAATCAATCACTTTTCAACTTTCCAACTTCCTCTCAAGTGTTCTTCGAGCGCTCGCCACTGCGCTCATCAAGCTTCGGGTCTTCGCATCGGCTTGTGTGACATAGTAGCACTTGTTGGTCAAGCTTCGGTTCAAGTTCAAGACTAGGTTGCTCGTGGGGATACCTTCCGAAGCGAGTTTACCTGAGACTATTGGAGATAGCCACATAGTGGGACGCTCTAGGTTGCAAACGTGCAGTTTTCTGTGGGAGCACACTTCGAAGAAGTGGGTACATCACGCCGTGGGTAGGTGGAAATACCGCATTGGGGCTTGGCCCACGCCTAGACCGGATGGTACCTAACCTTCGGGGTTGTGTTGGACTCTTACTAGAAGTCGGTTCAGTAACAGGGCGCCTGCTTTGTGTCTGCTAACGCGGAACATTGAAGAAGTATAACGGTCCCTGGTTACCCGGTAGTACGGTAGTAGTCCCTTGCCTCTTTCGATCTTTGGAGTCGGTCCATGGCCCGGTACAAAAAGGTTCATAACCATAGCAGTAAGAGGGAGCACCAAAAGCGTGTGACGATAAAGTATCATCAACGTCTACGCCGGCTCTTCCTCCTGTTACGGCTATTGAAACCGATCTCTTCTTCTCGCATTTCGAAGTAGCAGAAGACACAGAATGGCTTTGATGAGTCTAGAATCGGTTCCATGGGCTTGGTGTTGCAAATTGCTCTACCGGATCACTGGCAAATGCTCAAAATCAGTAAAGGGACAATATGGGAACGGGATTGTCGATTGAGATCACGGAACAATCAATTATTGAGATTGACAATCTTGACAATATTACAATCGCAATAATATTTCCCACAGCGCTGGGCGGACGTGGTCGAGTTTTTGCTTGGGCTGGACGGAGCTTGGTGGGACTTGGCGGGGGTCTACGTCGTGGCAGTCGAAGCTGGTCAAGATGCTCTTGTGGATCGAGTGCTCAGCGTTTGTCTCGAGACATTCCCGTATACAAGATACAAAAATTACCCTCTATTAGTTCAGCTGACGTGGTGTGACGGCTGGGCCAACGCCGTCAAGTATTTGTACAACCACGGCGGAAATGATCCCGATGCAGTCAACGACGCATTTGTCAGCGCCGCAAAGCGAGGATTCACAGCCACGGTGGAGTTTCTACTCGGAACCAATCGACTGTTGCCGGCCACGTTTAGCGAGGCCATGTAGGATGCGGCTACCTCTGCAGCGGGCCTGCCGTAGCTCCTTGCGTAGAGGAAGACTTTACGACTCGAAGAGCTCTACAGGGTCCTATCCGAGGACCCACGAAAACAAGTCAGAGACTTCTTGCAAAAGGCAAACTGTATTTATTCTCTTATCTGCGGCTCCACCGCCTACGGTGCAAATACCTGAACTTACTATCGACATAACTAACTCTAGTTCATTCTCAATGACTGGCCAGTGGCCCAGGGAGTAACCCTTGGTGTATCGCACACCAAAAGGGTAACCTACGTGTAACCCCGTTCACTCTCCCCCATCAAGACGGCGAACACGCCAGCTTCAAAGCACGGACCATTCCGATCTTCCAGTTAGGGTCCAGACCCATCGCGAGTTCGACTTGTGCTCACAGAGCCTCATTGTCGAATCGGCTGCGCGTGTAACGCATGCACGCAGCCCCCGGGTCTACAGACCAGCAGTCACAAGGCCCGCGCACGAGCGCCACGCAGCCAGGGCACAGCCCGTCCGTCGAGCCAGCCGCCGAGTCATCACAGACGCCGAGCGCAAAGGAGGAGCCCGTGCCCAGCACCCTGCAGAGGCTTTCCATAGCCAAGTATCGTGCAGCGCACCCTCCGAAGCTGCCGCCAGCGAAGATGTCGGAGCATAGCTCAATCCCGGCTGGCGAGCAGGCGCCAAGGCGTGTGCGCAATGCGTACGACGATCTCGTCGGGTCTGAGGAGGGCGAGGTCAACGCCAACCCGTCGGAAGGCGATGGCAGATCGCCGCGGAGTGGGCACAGCCCTTCAAGGACAGCGCGTTCGCCCCCGCGGCACTCGTTCATCAGCCCAAGGTCAGAGACCCGGGGGTCGCACTTACACCCGGACCCGCTGCGCCATGCGCCACCTCTGCCTCCGAGGGACGGGGATGATCCGACGGATCCCGACACAGTCTCCAACCCACTGGACAAGGCTCAGCACCGTCAGCTCGAAGAGCGCACCGTGCCAACGCGCTCGAACATACCGGAGGCGTTGCCTATCGTGAACCCCTCTCGGAGAGACTATGGCTTTACAAGCAGCGAAGATCCATTGAAGATCGCGAACGACTGGGCCAAAGGCCTGCTGGGTTCATACATCGTAGGGCCGAGAGCCTCGACAACGGCAGATGTAGACGAGCGCCTCGCGCTGGCCAGCGCTATGTGACGCCGCAGCAGACCACTCCCTCGGAGTATTGCGCCCGGCTGGATGGTCAACTGCACGACCAGTCAGTGCCTCAGATGCAGCGCATCCCGATGGTCCTCGTTCCCGGTGAGACCGAAGATGAAGATGATGGCCAGTTCCAGGCCTGGGTTGAGAATTCCCGTAAGTTGCCGTCAATTGATGCTCTTCGAGCAAGCTATAGAAAGCAAGATGTTCTTCTTGAACGGCGCCTCCGCTTCATGTGGGCGAAGAAGAAGGCCCGCCAACAAAATCGCCATGGTCAAAGACCACGCGCCCAAGGCGCCAATCGTGCGGTTCGAGATACTCCGCGCCGTGCGTCTACGTCCACACCTGCGGCGCCAGCTCACGCTTCGCACTCGAGCACTCGCTCGGATGTGTCATCGTCTCGTACTAGCGCCGGGAAGCGCGAGGCGACCGACGAGTTGGCTTCGAGCTCGATGAGCGTCTCGGGTGCTCCCGATCAAAAGCGTCAACGGCGTCCAGGCAATCTTGCCTCAGGGGCACCTCGTACTCCCACGACGGTGGCTCGCCCCGCCACTTTACCAGATATTGGGTATGACCCCGGTGACGACGTCGCTTCAGAAGCCGCTCCACATGGAAGTGAAGCTCTCCGTGCTCATCGAGCAGAGCAGGAGGTTGGCGAGCCGCCGCTAAACCCTGCGGCTGTGCGAGCGCAGTTGTCCGAGCTGGAATATCAAGCCGGGCGTGGGCGCGACCACCGGGACTGGGTCGGGAGGCAGTTTGCGCAGAACGACGACGCGCTCCGCGCTGTTGAGCGTCGGCTCCACGATCTTGAAGATCCACCGGATGACCGGATGG